CATCTGCGTTGTCGGTCAAACTCTAGATGCCTGGTGAGATCGTCAACCCACTCAATGCGGACTCTGCCAATGGTATATAAAGAATAATAGTTGAGAGTAGATTCATGCAGGTCATCTGTAGACGGAGCAGCCACGTTGTTAGAATCCGATTCACGGCGACGAAACAATTTGATCATCTTGGAGAGAGGGACGTCGTGCGCTATCGCTCGGCAGAACTGCAACTGCGTTGCTGGTCTCTTGAGTCTCGAAGAGCCTTTGTTCATGTTGAACGGGATCTTTGAATGTGTCGGGGTTGATTCGAGGTGTACAGATGAGTGTCGTCCAGGAAGTTGTAACAAATATAGAAAGGAGTAAGAAATTCTTCTGCTCAGCAGTGAATACTGAGCTTGGCAAGGAAGCGGCCGCGGTCATTGAGTTATATATACTCAGGACGCTGGTATCTGCTTTGTCGAGTAATCGTACAACATCCAGAATGGCGATGGCCCAGGTCCAAAACGTTATGTGATTTGCAGAATCAGGCCGCTTGGCCAATCTGTCGAGAGCAGCAGAGTCATGATCAAGGAGCGGCTGGAAAGAGCGTTCGATGAAGCACAGATAGGTGCGTATACCTGAGAGTTCTTTTAACCGTTCCTCTGGCAAAGCAAACAACTTCTCGAGAAACAGTCGCTGCCCTTTAGTGTCCGGATTTTTCGTGACCACAGGCTTGTCCGGAGTTACTGACGTGGTGGACAAAGATTGGCGGATATGACCAAGCTCCAAGTTGTCATGTGGCCCTTGCGAACGCAATCTCGGACTTGAAATGGCCAACGGCTTATGCAATAAGCGATGCAATCTGGTGTCGGTCGCACCTGGGTTCGTTTGTTGATCTTCAATATCTGCCATCAGCGTATAAAACTAGTCTTGTAACAGCTGCGTAACAATAAAGCAAGAAACCGGGGTGACATTTTATTTTGTGCCATGTCTACACAACAAGGCGCAGCAGGTTCTCAGCCTTGTTTTCACACGTCGAGCGACCATAGGACAAATCGAGCGCTTCTGCATATGCCAGCACTTACCTGCTTTGAGACGTACGCATGTTCACGCGCAACGCAAAACAACGTAAGCGCCCATGATGGAAGTGGGCGTTCGATCGGGTGGGGCGTACAGGGTCTTTTCACAGCCGTTCAATAGCACGCGCATCAATGCATGTAGCTTCTGCATATACAAGGATTTCAGCGAATCGCAGGCGTTATCGAACTCGGAATACGCAGTCTGAAAGTCACATACTCTGCAATGGACGCAGACACACCCTGAAGGTATGCGCGCGTGTGTTCGTGTGATGTTGGACCGTTCTTCACAGCACAGCTGATAAGCGATGTGACTCGTCCCGAGATATGCATGGGACGAGGGGTTGCAGGAATCTCTGGAGAGGGGTCTCACAGGCATGCAACTTCTGAGCGCCTGAAAAAGCCGATCGTTCCTGCTCTGTTCAGCTTCTCCATACTCGACGCGACAGGCCATTTTCACAACGTGCAGATATGGATAGAACAGATGCGTGAGTCGGGGAGTGATCAGAAGTAACCATGCTGAACGTGTTGCAGGAAACAGGAGTTTGAAGTGCAATGGAACTCGCGGATCAAAAGGTTGCGACTAAGCTCGAGCCAGACGACTACGAAACAGCGACAAGCTTGAAATCCTTGGACGACGTTCAACGTGCTTGTGCTGGAGCGAGAAGTGACGACCCATCTACTAAAGCTCTGACTGTGCTGAAAAGAGCACTCGGTCACTTGGAAAAGTTCCTGGAAATCCTCCATATACAGATTGGAGATGACATAGACTCTTCGCTGATCTGGGGACTGCTGGGCGTCGGAATAAAAGTGAGACTAACATGAAGTGAGGACAAGACTTCTCTAACGGACAGAAAGATATGTCGTTCGCAGCAACAGGGTCTGGAGATCATCACGTCGAATCTTAAAGACCTTGGTCAGCAGTTAGAACTCATCAACAACTATTGGCTAGTTTGGCAAGACGGCTATTACAGAGACGCCTGTATTGAGGTCCAACTCACGATGATAGATTTTCTGACCCAACAGATCTTCATAGGGCGTGGAATTCTTGATGGTAGGTATGTCCAAACTTGAAGGAGACACGCAGGCTTAATGTGCTCAGAATCCATCGTCGATACTGGAGATTCCTGGGTAACTTTGAGGCATGAGTATGACGCCGCCTCCAATAAAATCGAGCAAACTCTTTCGAACAAGGAGAAGCTATCACAGCTAGCCAAAAGCTTTACCTCACTGCGCATCATCCCGTCGGAGATCTACACGGTTCTGCCCGAGACAAGTGTAGCCATGTTCTGGAATCGAGATGATTTCATCAAGCGGATAGATGAGGCTTTTGCAAACGCGTCAAGAAAGAAGAGCTTCCAGTCTGTCGGGCTGTACGGCATTGGAGGTGTAGGCAAAAGCACCGTCGCGTCCAAGTACGTGGAACACAACTTGAATGAGAAGAAGCTAGGTGCTATGTTCTGGATACATGGCGAAAAGGACATGTCTATGAAACAAAGCTTTACCAGAGTAGCGAAGGCCTTAGGATTGCCTGACGTAAAGGATCAAGAGCATGACGAGAACTTCCTTCATGTTAAAACATGGTTTGCATCCACGAGTGAGTTATCATGACCAGCCGCCGAGATGAAACTGACGCTCCATCAGACACTCAATGGTTGATCGTATTTGATAACGTTGAGAATCTCGAACTGCTTAAGAAATATTGGCCACCGATTGTATACACTGGTAAGGTTATCGTGACTGCGCGAGATGAGGTGTTGGCAAAGAGATGACCGAGCAGGCAATCGATGTTCCATCTTGGGACGTCGATAACGGTTCAGGCTTCTTGATGTTCTTACTTCGCAAGTCTATCTACACCGACATCGTTGTCTCTGAGGCAGATATTTTGTCCGCGAAAGAACTCTCTCGCAAGCTTGATGGGCATGCTCAAGCAATTTCGCAGATTGCGGGCATCATCAAGAAACACCGTTCAACCATAAAGGACTTCCTCCTAAAGTACGAGAAAAATCCTCGTAAAGCACATCCCACCGCACTGGATGCCATCTTCGAATTTTCGTTCAAATCTCTGGGCAAGGAGAGCGCGAGCTTGCTAGGGATCTTTTCGTTCTTGATGCCTGACAGTATTGCATTCGATACTTTTGTTCTAGAGGATGGGGATGTGGAAGCTAGTGACCTGCCTGAAGCACTTGCTTTCTGCTCAGATGAGTTTGAGTCCGTCTCCATCCCACAATACAGATCATTTCCTTTGGCTAATTCCGTCCTCGATCAGGTTCGACGATGCTTTAGGAACTCTCCTCACTCTGGCACTCGTCACAAAAGACCCTGTGACCAGAGTCATGTCAGTGCATAGACTCGTTCAGACACAGTACCGGTTTTTCATGACTCCAGAGCAAAGACAACAAAGCTTCTCGCATGCTGCTCTCTTGATATGGAGGGCTTTCCCAAAGCTAAATGAGGCCGAAGCTCAGCTTTACAAGCAGTGGAAGGCCTGTGAGAAGTACATCCAACATGTTTTGGCCCTTAAAGATGTCTTCAAGACGCAGGTCAAACAGTCCAAGGGTTTTAAGGCTACCCTGGACTTTGTTAACGTAATGTTGGTTTGCGAAAGGTAAGCAATCTCCCTATACTGTGGTATATCTCTGATAGCAACTTTCAGATATCTGGTCGAGTCACATTCGTTTGTTGAACTCAGAGATGTGTGCGCTGTGACTCAAACCGCAATATCAACTCTCGACCCCAAGGAACAGTCAATCGACCTCAAGTGTACGCTGCTTTCGCACATGGCCATTATGGAAGAAAGTCTAGGCAATCCCTTGAAAGCCTTAGAAATCGCAACGAAGGGACACGACCTACGCAAAACCGAAGAACCTTTGAACCGCATCATCCTTGCTTGGGATGAAAGTAACCTCGGATATACGTGCAACACTGCAAACAAACATCTGGAATCCAAGGCTCATTTCGAGAACGCCCGTGCAAGATGGACCGCTATGATCGACGATGGATACATCGACTCACCTTGGCCGACTGTTCAGAAGAAGAACTTAGGCAGATGCTTGGTTTATCTGCATGAGTACGATGAGGCTGAAATGTTGCTGCTCGAGGCCACGAAAGAGTTCGAGTCAAGTGAGCCCATCAACTGGGCGATGCTCGCATAGTAAGTCAATCAGATGTTTGATTCTTCCATGTCTGAATGTATTCAATGCTGAATCCCATAGCGCACATTTCACGTACGGTGTACTGCAAACTTCTCGAGGAAAATATCCCGAAGCAGATATTCTGTTTACGAAGGCCCAAAATACTTGGCTCGGGGGTGATCAAACTAGAATGCATCCATTCAATGGTGGTTGCATGTACCGCATGGGCTATGTTGCACTCCAATGCGGCAAAGCGGATGCTGCAGTGTAAGAACAGCTGCCGTCGGACCCATCCTCCTCTATCTAGTCGTACTGACCGAGCCTCTAGCAAGCACGTTCAGGACTCGATGTATGTGACAAAGTTCCACAGGGACGCCATGCCGGTGGAGCATGCTCGCAATCTCTTCCTCCTTTCACAAGCATTAGAGAGGACAGCAGGTGTTGCTAGCGACCCTGCCAAGGTACACGACTTCAGGAATGAAGCAAAACTTTTGCTTCGTAGCAAACATCCGGAAGCAAGTTCTGCAGACCACACGGATGATTACGATAAATTCGTCCCAATCTTCTGGCGATGAGAGTTTAAAAGGAGAGTTGGCATTGTATGTCAAGTTGGTGTCGCCAATTGCTCTGCGGACCTCATTGATTACGGAATTGACGCAGAAGTGACAACTAATCGATTGAAGATGGCGGCCTATGCATTGAATCTTATCAGAGTATAGCTACATCGGAGTCAAGCGTGTGAGAATCCAATAGAAAACTGCGACCTCATGGCGATTGATCGTGAACAAAAGATGCCTAGGTCGACGGTGCAACGATCTCATACTCTCTCTTGCTTGTAAGCTTCAGTAACAGCATCTGAAAGGTCGTCCCGCCCAACGCTGAGCTCCTCTAATAGAGGCGCATGTTGCTGAATTAAGCGTGCGAGTCCTTTCGCATACTCATTGCTCTCTTCGGCACTGTTGTGGTATAAGCATTTGAACAATCAACCCACTCCGCGTTGTCCTACGTACCTCATTGGAAAGGGCCATGGCTTCNNCAGCTGCCCAAGCTCGAGTTGACGCAGTGCAGGGAACAGTGGCTCAGATGACACCCTCCACGCGCCAATGTCATGTATACCATCCATTGACAAGGAGGTCATATCAGCACAGCTCTTCCCGATTATCCTTGTCTCCGATATCCAATGGCTGTTCATTGGTCGAACACTGAACAGTAGCTTCTCCAGATGGATGAAACTTGATATCCAACACTCGAAAAGATCGTCAGTCCAGGCTTCAGCAACCAGCAAAGGCCCGTCCTCTCGATGCAACTCTGTTGGAGGTCCATATATGCTAAGATCTTTCAGACGTGTCAGGCTCGACATTGACTGAAGCTCGTGTATAGTGAGGCGTTTAGGCATAGCGAATGAAATATCAACCGTTTCCAAGCAATACAATGATCCGATCACCCGAAAAACATCATGTTCAGAATCAGCTAGATGTATTTGGATTTCGACCAGAAATTCAGCTGCCGAAAGAACAGGCATCACGGCTCTCGACTCGAGGCTCAGGAACAGGCTGCGTGCGCCACGAAAGAGGCGTAGGCGTGGATTGTCTTGCATGACTGTCTCTACCGAGTGGTAGGAGATGGTGTTGATTGGAGCATATAGACTCTCGAGCTGTTTCCGAGATCCCAAGTTCTCCAGTATATCTACTGGGAAGCTCAATTTATCCTCAGAACTCAAGGTTAGCTCGCGCAGACTTCTGCATTTTCGTAGGAACTTGAGAAAATGTTCGTGGCCTTGGTCTTCGGCCGTGTAGTCGAGGTGCACATTGCGGAGCCTGGGACAACAGAAAGAGACCAGATCAAGCAGTGACCTTGGAAAATGTGAACATCCCAACATGGTGAACGACGCGATGCTTGGGCTTAAATAAGGACGAAGGTCGAGCTTCAACCAAGGTGGGCAAGAGTTGACTTCCAGTCTCTTCAACTGTGGAAAGCTCAGATCTGCAAAAGCTGCAGGGCATCCGGTGTGGTCGGTTCTATACAGATAGAGCCCAATACTCTGAACTTTGTTGGCGTAAAACTGTCGGCGCTGAGGACGAATGTCGGCTAGTGCAGGAGTGAAAGGTTCGCGCCAAAGCAAGTCTGTACCTCGACTGGCCCAGGCTCGATTGACTAGGATAGCAGGCAAGAGGAGGTGAGCATACCAGCGCCATGCGTCGTCGTATTGAAGCTCCGAGACTGCATGTCGAGCGGCTTCTGCGAGGTACTCCAATATCTCCAGTTGAATCTCTGTTGACAGATAGGGACCTGTTCTCGCAGACATAATTGGATTGAAACCGTTTACTGCTTCGTGGTCGAAGGCGACTCATTGCTTCCTTTATCTCCTATGTCCAGCTAAGCAACCAAGCGACCTCAAATCCCAACTCACAAGATGCTGGACGACCGAAAATGGGTGGCTCACAGTGAATGACTACCAACAAGATCATAGTCGCGTATGGCGCGAGCTTGCGCAGAAACGGCTATGCTGATGGCTAGCCAATAACGGTATAGCTGGCGACAATCGCAGATGATAAATCATATGCAGTCTCGGTGTGCGAGTGTTGAGGCGGTCGTGCATGTGGAGGCTCGTCTACAGGTGGCTTACGGAATATGCATGGCAATCGCCTTTCGAAGAGGGTGGAGGAGCGCGGACGCTTCGCCATCCAATCATTAGCCGCCAGCAACCCCTGCCATGCGTACTCGATGCTCGACACACTCACCGCGTAGTACGAACCAATCCGGATCGCGAGTTTAGACGAGCAACAGCCACAGCTTCAGCCGGTAGTGTTGCTTCGGCGGCATGAGTGCCGGCTCACACAGCCAGTCTCTTCAGCTGACTCTCAGCTGTCAGGCCACGTTTTCCATATTATCAATGTTCCGGCATGTAGGATCTGCTAGGAGCGACCAGCTACTGTACGGTACTATACCGTGTAGATCAAGGGTCAATCAGTGCGTCGCTGCTTATATGAATTGTAGGCGTGTTCGAAATAGGCAATCAACCGGGGTTGATGTTCACTTGGTAATCATTTCCTGCTCGAGAATTCTGGAGTTGCAGGGTGCGTTGGTTTCAACGGCGGTGTTGGTGCAGTAAGGGGCCAAAGTCCCGACAGACTGTACGAGGAGTAACGGATAAGTACAGAACCCATGAGATCCAGCGATGCGTGTGCAGCAATATGCGGAACGAAGGTCATGTTCCCGTAAATCGTCGATAGAACGAACAGCTCGGACACGGGACCGAATTAATTTATACAGACCATCCTAGAATTTGAATGAGAAAGGGGAAGGCGGTGCGTTGGGTGGTGGATCAGCGCAAACCCGGAGGAAGAGAAAAAGAAAGGAAGGTGCGGCTTGGCAGGGTCCTCCCTCTCACGATCTTGCCAACACCACTTTCAAACTCTCTTGTTCAGAACCATGATCTGATGCTGCTTCTGGTATGTGCCATCGTTTTGCTGTTCATCCTACCGAGTTTTCTAATATGGTCGGACTCATCAATGTACAATTGGGATGACAATAACTCCGTTTCGAAAGCTCCTCCGCGTAAGCGTGCACTCGCTTCGCCTGCTAAGTTTGAGGTACGGTATACCCACGCAAGTTCCGTGCCTCGATGCCTGAGTCTGTTCTTGCGTTTCCCTGTAAACATGTCTTCCAGGATATCTCGGCTCCATCGATATGGTTCGTTTTTCGTCCCAGAAAGAATCCAGGCGTACTCTTGCTGATGAGACATACACCTGTATTGTCGCATAACCTACATTAGAGCCTCGTCGAGCTTTCCGAGTGTGCTTCTTTGTTCATACTTAGATCCTCTATATAATCACAAGGATCGTCCACCAACTCAACGCCGAACGCATGGCAAATTCTGGATGCCTCATGCAACAACCCATCTCCCTCTTCTCTACACCAACCTCTCACGGGACTGAACGATGTCAGATATTTCTCATGGCCATGCAGCCAGTGAGCCATCTTCATTTGAAACGTCCAGAATGTTTCTAATTGGATTAGCGCTCGAAGAATCTCTCGATCAGATCTCAATTCGTTCATGGGAAGGGGGACAAGGCACCTTCTCGTACGCAGGGTCAAGAAGAATCTTACCTGCACTCAGTAGACCGCTTGCACACAAGATGAAGACCTGCATACCTCGTACTTCTTATTGGCGAAGCGCTTTTCTGTTCATGACCCATGCAGATGCACGCAGCATGATTCGTCGATATGGCACGACGCGATGATCCGATCCCAGATTGTCTTCGTGAGGACTTCCATCATCCTTTATGTGGAGGCCGAGGCTCCAGCAGTTTTGATTCGGAAGATCTCAAGACTCAAACTATCAAGTACGAATGGATAACGGCATATGTTAGCTCGGCAGACGCATGCCGCAATGTCCTCGCAGAATCATTGAGTCTCATGATCAGCCACTTGATGTTCAGCTTGCCGCAAGCGGGAGCGATAAGCGGAACTCTCTATGGCTTGGGTGCCTTCGTGGTATGTCAGCTAACGAGAGAGTCTCAATGGAAACCTGTGGCAATGACTCCTGCATTCATCACCTTTCTCATCAGCACTCGCCAGTCTCAGCCAAAATCTACGAGTCAATCGTTGACAGAAGACAATCCAAGTCGCCACGATGTTTCAGTATGCATTTTCGAATCCAAGCCGGGCGCCTATACGTGGCTTGCCGACCTCCCTTGGTTGACCACAACAATCAGCCTACCTATGAGACTTTCCCGACAAACAACATAGAGCGTTGATTGTCTGCAGTCGTTCTCCTTTTCTATCCAACGTCACTTATCTCTTCGAGTTCTCAAGTCCACCAGAAACTCATCGCCGAGATATCACAAAGTTGGCGCAATGCTACGGTATATCCAATCCAAGATCCAAGCTCTCTACCAAAAGTTGCTTACCTGCGAAGTGAGATGATACCACGCCACACTGATTCCATCACCACGTCCGACCACAAAAACTTGAACCTTGGAACATCTCGCATCTGTGTTAGAGTACACTGTTCGGAGACTCCTCTATCCGGATCGCTCGCTTCCTGGCAAGACGGCGACTCTATCATTCATGTCCTTCAGCGCGACACGCCTCCGATCGAGAGCTTGAAGCTCGAACATCAACTTATACACGAAGCCGGTTGGGCCAACGCCGTATGGACCATCGGGAAAAACGCCGTTTGCAAAGTCCATCCGTGGAAAGAAGGGATTGAATTGGAAGCCGATGCGATTGCTTTTATCAGCAAGGAGTTTCCCAGCATTCCTGTTCCAGAGATTATATGCACATGGATAGACAAGCCTACCAACCGATCCTTTCTCGTCTTGAAACGTATCCATGCTCGCACGATTGACCAAGCATGGGCGGATCTGTCTCACCAGCAACGTCTCAACCTCGCGAGAGAAGTGGCTCAGTACACCGCTCTCGTGGCCACCAAGACTAGCAATCGATATCAGAGCATCTCCGGCTGCGGCGTTGGGTTCGGTCCCGGTCATGGATACCCTAGAGACAGTCCTATCCATCACTGGTTTCCTCGCACTATTGGTCCCATGCCTGTTGCGGAATACAGAGCCTACTTGAAGAGTCTCTCAACCAATCCTCTTCCCGAGTTTGACGATGAACTCGTTCTCTTGCACGACGACCAAGGCCCCACCAATGTTCTGGTATCTGATGACGGCAATAGCGTTGCCGCGATAATAGACTGGGCGAACGTGGCATACAGGCCTCGCTTTTGGGCGGTCACGGCTATCTACTCAGTCGGCGGCTTCATTATGGAAGATGAGAAAATACCCGAAGCCGAGCGTCCTGACTACGCCAGGATGTTGGCAGCAGCTCTGCAGGCACAAGGATTCCCAGAGTGTAAAGATCAGTACCGTGCTTGGAGAAACGAAGTGGCCGATTGTGATACGGAAAAGGACCTCGCAGAGTGGAGCAAGGTGCAGGTCAATCCCTCCTAGGATCTTTCGGCGAACGCCATGCGTTGATGCTCTCACTTGTTCTTTTCTGCTGTTTCCTGCACTCGCACTATCCACGATGATATGACCTCTTCCTCACTCTTCTTTTCGGCTACCCTCCAGGATAATTTACCTCTCGTTATGCATCTCATACGCGTAAATCCACATGAAAACCATTGCAAAGGTTTTTCTATCCATATCCATTGACGTGCTATCATTGCTCTACTTTTAAACAATGCCCGGTAATTCGCCAAACCATGAACCCGGCTGCATGTGCTTCACTCGCCGGACACATATACGTAATAGAACGTACTCCTGCACCGTACATTACGTAGTTGCCTTTATATAGTACAACGAAACTTGATCTACGCGCAGACCGTTTGATTTCCAGCTCAAAGCACCAGGAAATAAAAGACTCGAGGGGCAATAAGAAAAGAAAGCAAATGTAAACGAATCCAAAGGAAGGATCTTGATAGGATCTTAATGAGAAGCATCCACTCTTGCCTCACTACAAAGCTTTGGCTCTCTGGACATCGTACGGCAGTTACTCCAAACAAGGCCTATCCACCCCGAGAAAAGAGCAAAGTGACAGGGCATCCACGATCAAAACAAAGGATCAGCACAACCAAAAAGACGTGGGAGGGACCAACGCATTGTCAATGAGAATGGGAATGTCAGTTATGATACAATGTAATGCTGAAAAAGCAAACTCTATCTAAGAGTGACCGTGAATGTGGGGAATGATGGGATGGTGCAATGCTAATGTGTGGATGCTAATGGTACAATGAATGGGAAAGGGGGGAAAGAAATGAGGGCTTTCGTCAAGGAATGAAAAATGAAAATGTTCCGTCTCTTTATTGCAACTCCAGGTTCGCACATTGTTGAAGGATGAAGATTCAGTCAGGGGTCATCCGCTTCTTTGTCGATCAGGAATCGCTTCAGTGAGTCAGGCCGATGACTTTTCTGTTTCTCTTAACCAGACGACGTAGACCGGCCTCCTTGTCATCAGCAAAGCGTCTCGCCTCGGCAAGTCTGCGCTCCAAGTCTTCGACACTGAGAATGTGGTTCTTGTCTCTCTGCTGCTCTTCCTTGATAGCCTTCTCACTTGGGGGACTGAGAGGAACAGGAGGCATGATAAACTCGTTGACGTACTTGCCAGCAGTATCAACCAAGAAGCTACCCTTCTTGCTGCCTTCCTCAACAGCCTTCTCCATAGCGTTGGCGCTGCGGTGACGGTTTCCATTGGATGCACCCTCAATCTCGCGACGCAGAAGAGCGAGGTCCACGGCAGGGAAGTCAACATCAGTAGGGGTGTTGCTGTGCTGAATAGGGTGGAATTTCTGGTTCTCTGGCAATTGACGGTTCATGGCTTCCATTGCTAGAAAGCGATCCTCGAGCTGAGGCTCCATGTGACGAATTATGGTACCGCTGGGTGAAATGACAAGACGTTCCCAGAGACGCTGCTGCTCGTTGGTCTTAGGGCGCCAGGCGCGTCCTGAAAGCAAGACATCAATGTCTTCCTTCTTGAGCTCAGGCGAATGGGGTGGAATTGCGTTTTCGGGAATCAAGTCGGCGGCAGTTGGTTGTTGGGTGGGCTTGTAGTGTGCAACGGTCTGGGCAAAGGGTCGGAAGAAAGCATCGAAAGCGCCGGCTATAGTGCCATGTTCGCTGCGCAGTTCTGCAATGAGAGAGGCAGGAGTCAGCGCTGCTGGAGGTGGCGGAGTAGGGGCTTTGACCGGAGTGACGGGAGCGGGTGGAGGAGGGGGAGGAGTCTCGGCCTTGACGGGCGTGGCGGGTTTTTCTACCTTTGGTGGTTCCTCGGGCTGGGCCTTCAACTGAGGAGAGGCAGGGCGCGAGGGGACTGGTGTGGACGCAGCGGGCGTAGATGCAGCAGGGGTCGAGGGCTTGTCTCTCTTGGACTTCTTCTTGCGGCTGGTGATGGCCTCCTGGATGGGTTCCGAAACGGTCTGAGTATCCTTGGCCAAGAGTTCTTCTGTCATTTGTCTGGCCTTTTCTTGGCGCATCTTCTTCTGTTGACTCTTTGTGTTCTGGCGAACGTAAGCCGAGCCGACTCTGGTAGAAGTTGGTGGAGGTGGCGTGTTTGCACGAGAGAGTGAGGTGGAAGTGATGGAAACGTCGTCGGAGATGTGTTCGCTGCTGGGAGTGCCTGGAATTTGGATAGAAGCAACACTGGGCTGTCTCGATGGCATGCGAGATGCTGCAGCAGGGAGTGTGCGGATTGCAGGAGCAACGACAGGTGCAGGTGGAGGCAGAGCTGTTGTGAGACGCAGGGTACGCGGAGCTGTAACCTTTTGGCTGAATCTGATGCTATGCTGGGACTCTGCGAACGCGATGTAGCAGGGATCGTGTTCCAAGTGGTGCGCGGAATGTTCTCGCTCTTCACTGGGGTCGAAGTAAGAGAAGTAGGGACTTCACCACCCTTGAGAACAGCAGCTGTAATGTCAATCTTTCCAGGATGCTTCTTCTTACTAACGGTCTCACCTGCAGCCGATTTGGCCGCGGCGGCAGCTTCAGCTGGTGTCAGGTCCTTGACAAGATCGACTGTATTGGTTGCTGCCTTGCTCTTCTCTTCCTTAGAAGCACCTGGTGGATCCGCCTGAGCGTTAGAGGACTGTGCCTGAGCTGCTGCCTTCTCGAGCTTTTCGGCGGCATTCTTCTGAGCAATCGCTTCAGCTGCAGCATGTGCTGCAGCAGCGGCCTTCTCGGCCTTTTCGAGCCTCTCAGCTTCCTTCTTGGCTGCCTTATCGGCTCTCTTTGCCTTCTTTGCCTCGGCCTTCTCCGCCTTGATATCAGCCTTCGATGGGGTTTCGACTTCGGCGCCGGGAGCTGTATCGTTACTCTCGGCATACTCAACGTTGGCAAGATGTGATTCGGACCTTCCGCGTCTGGTAGGCGTGGCAAAGTCATCAATGACGTTGGCGAAAGGTTTGGTCTCATGTCTCAATGGCGTGGGAGCTCGGGATGGTGTGCCAGATAGCACTGGGACAGCGGGAAGGATCTGAGAGTTGCCGCGTCTGAGACTTGCTCTCGAACTGGATCGCGAAGTTGGAAGGGAAGTGGACGTATCGTCCTTGAGAGGGGCAATCACTGGAGCCGTGAAACCTGGAGGGATCGAGGGCGTCGAACGTCTAGGGACATCATCTTCCTCGTCAAAGTCAAGAGGCGGCAAAGACTGACCAAGACCTTCCAGACCGGGAGGCACTGGTGGGGTTGATCGTCCGGGTTCGTCGAAAAGATCTGATGAAAGATGAGCTGCACCACCAAGAGATGTTATGTCTGAGATGTCTATACCTCTAGTCAGCAAGTTTCTAAAAAGTTTGTTTTGTATACGTCGAATAGTAGCGACTGGTTTCGGCAGATGGTAGACGACCGCCGAGAAAGAAAAAGCTAGTATACATGATGTGGATCACACGGAAACGCCAGTTGACAGTATTGAAATAGGTGCAAGACGGCAGACACTGACTTTGTTAATCTACCAATCTGCGACATGAGAAGGTAAGAAGATACGTACAAGAAGGTGGCTAACGTTGCAGAAACGTGAGAGGCATAAGGAAAAGAGAAAACTCCTGCCGTCCATATAGCCACAGCGGCAAATGCACCGATGACAACTCCGAAGCTGACGAATATAAAACCCGAAACGCCAGTGGCTCGAGACTCTGAGAATCTCTTTTGGGAAGGCCAATGCTGTGCTCGCTTTCCACCCTAAATCAAGACGCCAGTAGCAAGGTCATGGGGGATAGATAGACATGACAGAAAGATAGAAAAAGCAAAAGGGGACAGAGAAACAAAACAAAACTCAAACAAAATCAAAAGGGGAAGCGGTCGTCTACCATCTGCGGAAAGCACCAGCGTCGGCGCTGCCGTACACATTGTGCAACCCACCTTGTCCATGACCAGTGAAGAGCCCCTGGTTTCCGATTTGACCGGCTTGGTGCAGTCTTGCCTGAAGAATGCTCGGGTCTGCTACATCAACTACACCACCTCCAGAGGAGGAAGTGTTAGCATGTTTGTGCTTTTGCCCTTCTTTTGGGNNCTTCTGGACATTGTCTTGAAAGGCCTGAGGCTGAGTGCCATAGGGAAGATTCAGAAGACCAGGGGCTGGGACTGGAGTGGAACTGGTGGGGTGCTGGTGTAAGAAAGAAGGAAACAATAACTCACGCTTTGCGGCATCTGACATCTGGGCACCGCCACCGAGGTTGCGGCTTCTCAAAAGATCTCTCATCATTTCGTCGTTAGGGTTGCGACCAGTCAAGTTGGCGCCATAACCCAAGCCGCTTGTTGCAAAACCATGACCTTGGCCAAACATGCCACCTCCGCTGAAAGGAGGAGTGCCAGTGGTTTTGAGGCCGGGAGGAGGTCCCTGGACATTGCTATAGAATCCGCTGGGAGGGGGCTGCTGGAAGGAAGACTGAGAAGGCATCATAGAAGATTGTTGGTTCATGAGTTTGGCGTTGGCGACAGGCTTGACGGCAGCTGAAGCCGTGTTGGAGTCGTTTGCGAACGTGTATCGTGAAACATTACGTGCGTGGCCAGCCGGAGCAGCAGGTGGTGGCTGGAAGGGAGGTTGAGAAGATGCAGTGGAAGGCGTCTTGAACTGTTGGAGAAGCAACTGCTGGCGTTGTTGAGCGGTCAAGTTGGGAGCGGTGATGCTCAAGTTCGACAGCTCGTTGGAGAGGAATCCGCCATCGATGACCGAGTTGGTGCGCGAGGGAGGTTCGATGGCGTGCTGTGGAGACTGGCCGCGGCCCATGGTGTCTTCGGGCTCACCTCCGAGTTGCATGCTACCACCAATTTCAGGACCATTTTCGTCTTCGACGCTGTTCACAGTCTGTTGAGCTAGTTGAGCTTCAGCTTCCAATCGTCTGCGTTCCTCGTCTTCCTCCTCTTCGCGTTGTCTCATTGCACGTCTCTTGGCTCCACCATGAGGGTCGAATAGCGGAGGGAAATAGTCGAAGTCGATGCCGCTGTCCTCCAAAGTCTTGCTGGACATTTGGAACTTGAGATCGAAAGACTGGAAAGCCTTGAACATATGGGTGAGAGGATCCTCGACAGTCGGCTTCTTCTTCTTGATAGGTGCGATAGGAGCTGGAGGCGGGCTGGGAGTTGCAGGCTCTTCGGGCTCTGGAGAAGGAGACGGTTCGCGTTCGGGTTCAGGCTGAGGCTGAGGCTGAGGCTGGGGCTCAGGCTTGGGCTTTTCCCTAGCTGGTTCTTTAGGCAAAACGAGTGAGACAGAGCGACTGCTAGCTGTGCGGCTCATCTGAGGAGCCTTGGACGCCCAGCTGGCAGTCGATGGCAGTGCAGGACCGTCATGTTCAACACTAGGGCTGGGAGGAATGTATTGCGAGTCTTGCCTAGAGAGGGTGTGAGCAGCGGCGACAGGCTGTTGGCTTTGCGGTGGAGGCTGCGAAGTTGGTTGCGAGGGTGCTTGCGGATGCTGGGTTGAGATGACATTCATCGAAGACAAGTCTTGGCGGGTGAAGCTGTCGTTTTCCTCGCCAGGTTCGTGGAGGAACATGCAGTTGCGGTTGGTGCATTGTTCGTTGCGAAGGTAGGCCGAGCAGTACTTGGTGGTACCGAACTGGGCTCTTAGAACGCGATCGCCGTTTTGCGAGCCATCGACGGCAGCAATGCAGGAGGCGGCATCTTGCTTGCGGGCGTAGGTGACGTAGACGCCGACAGACTGGGGATTGATGTTGTCTTTGGCCTTGCTGACGACTATCTTGACAATCTTGCCGTATTGACCAAAGTATTGATCTCCGCGAAGAGTCTCGAGCAATCTATCTTCCTGCACCCTGGGGCTCAAACCAGTCACATAGACCAGGTTCTTTTGCACGACGCGCAGACCAGCGAGATGCTTGCGAGAGAGAGTGTCGGCCTCGCGCTTCTGAGCTTCCNNCTTTTGGGCGGCGGCAGACTGTTTCTTNTGCTTGGCAGCTTGTTTGGCTCTCCAGAGGGCTTCCCTGGGAGGGGTGTTAGCGATGGGTAAAGAGGAGCAGTTGGACGGGGATGTGTACTCTTCGGGGCCAGGCTTGCGAAACTCTATGTTGGCATCATCGTATGGACGGCGACAGGCAGGACAGAGGCCGTTCATGTTGTTGCGCACGTTGTGATAGCAGAACTGGCAGATCTGNGGAGGCTCGTTAGCTGCGATGGCTAGAGAACGGTTGCAGTCAGCACTCACCTGATAGCCACAGACGCATGGTCGAAAGCCTCGATCTGATAGATCAAACTCTTCTACACAGAGAGGACATGTCTCTTCCTCATCGTCGTCGATGAACTGATCTTGCTGGGTCCGCGACATGATGTGTGGCACTTGTTGGAGCGGAAGTGGTGATGGAGGGAGTTGGCGGAGATGGAGAAGGCGCGCAGAGGCGAAGGGGAAAGTGCAGGAGCTTTCACAGATGGACAAGAAAGGACAGGCAAGTTCGTGCAGAATTAGAGGTCGATGGAATGGGATTGTTGTAGTGTAACAGCGCGGCCGCGGGAAAGAGCAACTGCTCTGCTCTGGCTTGTGAGAGAAGGAGACTGTGGCCCGCACGGACGCCGCCCGCCTCTGATTGGCCAAGCCCGACAGGAACGATGATGACCATCATACAGACCGTCCCTTCCATAACGAGTCCACTTTCAAGAAGAGTCAATCCATACACTCACACAATGGCTCTACGACAATCCGCCACTCGCTCTCTGCGTCTCGCCTCGCGCAACGTCGCCCCCTCGACTCGCGCCTTCACCGTCTCGGCCCTTCGCCAGAAGGAGCTCGCCGCTGATGTTTCCGACCTGCCCAACATGAGAGTACGACACTCCAGCTACGCCATTGCCACAGCGATATGATCGAGTATTGATTTCTGTATCAGCNACGCCCAAAGAAGCGCTCAAGGCCGTCTCCATGTCCCCATCGTCAACCCCGCCGACAAGTTCCAAGAAAAGGCCGACAGCCTGCACCAGTACGGCCAATACCTGATGGCTTGCATGCCCAAGTACATCCAGCAGTGCGTCTATACCCACTCTTTGCGTCCTCGAACAGCATTGACACGAATCAATCAGGNNTTCTCGGTCTGGAAGGATGAGCTCGTCATCTACATCGCCCCCAGCGCCGTCCTCCCCGTCTTCAACTTCCTCAAGTACCACACTGCCGCCGAGTTCACTCAAATCAGCGACATCACCGCTGTCGACTACCCCACCCGTGACCAGCGTTTCGAGGTCGTCTACAACATGCTTTCCGTCCGCCACAACGCCCGTATCCGTGTCAAGACCTACGCCGACGAGGCCACTCCTGTTCCTTCGCTTTGCGGTCTCTACGATGGTGCCAACTGGTACGAGCGTGAGGTCTACGATTTGTTCGGTGTCTTCTTCGTTGGACACCCCGACCTTCGCCGCATCATGACCGACTACGGCTTCGACGGCCACCCACTCCGCAAGGACTTCCCTCTTACTGGTTACACCGAGATTCGTTACGACGAGGAGCAGAAGCGTATTGTTGTTGAGCCTCTTGAGTTGACCCAGGCTTTCAGAAACTTCGAGGGTGGTAGCTCTGCTTGGGAGCAGGTTGGTCCTGGTCACGACAGAAAGCCCGAGAGCGTAAGTTCACCTCTACCAAAATGCTTCTAGCAGCGCATACTGATCAAGTACTACAGTTCAAGCTTCCTACACCAAAGCCCGAGCCCAAACAGGAGGAGAAGAAGTAAAAGATTCACTCTAAACTCCCTGGCGGTGTATCATAGTGTAATCAGTCCAGGCCAAATTTCAATACCAACTTTTCTTTTTGTTCATACCAAAGAAATGGCATCCCATGCTCTAATTATGTTTGACTGACCCAGCAGTTGCGTTTTTGACTCCAAGTTATTCCTTCGAGCATCGACCACCAAAAGATAATGCGCACGGTCCACTTGTCCACGCACCTTCCTATCGCAGCCACCGGACCATTGACTCAAACGATAACTCGAGAGGTATATATGCTGTCGACAGACTGATCTGCATCTTTAAACAGCATAACAAAGTGCAGTCCAACCCATGTACTACACAGACAGTGCTTAGAACATTACTACCAGAAGCTTATCATCCGGCATCAACCTGCGCCATTATCTTCGATATGACAGATCCAACCTTCCACATCACAACCCCTCGCCTCACAATCTCCTACCTCGATCCTGAAAACCCAGCTCATTGCTCTTTCCTCGTCTCTCTTTGGAACACACCCGAATTCATATCCATGCTCGGCGGCAAACCAACCTCCATAACCACCCCTGCAGCCGCAAAGCACNTAATCTCAACTCGCTTTGTCGCCGAACATGCTCGTAATGGCTATGGCACATACCTCATCTCATTACGTTCAGACAACACTCCCATCGGCACTGTATCTCTGATGCGAGGAGAGAACTCCTCACTACTAGCTCCTGATCTCGGGTTTGCTTTACTCTCTGGACATATGAGAAAAGGCTATGCGGTAGAAGCCGCCAAAGCACTTCTTGACTACGTGGACAAGGAANAAGGTGTCAAAGCAGTATTCGGGTTTTGCGATGAGAAGAATGAGGCTAGTATGGGAGTTTTGAGGAAACTAGGATTTAAGTGGGAGGGAGTGAGAAAGGTCAAAGAGTTCGGAGGTAAAGAAGCGGCAGTGTGGAGTAGCTGTATGCAAGCAGTGGAGGATTGGGGACTTGTGACAGCTTGATCTTTCGTCTTGTTTCTGTTGCAGCTGGTTTGGTTTTGGTTCGTTCTCGATGCCAGAATTGTTTAGTACATTGAGCGATTGACAGTTCATCCAGGTTATAACACTGGGTTGTCAAACGACTATTAAGTACGAAAAACTATTGGCTTTAGGGTTGTCGATGACTTCTGCTGCTTGTGCTTGCAGAAACCATCGCCATTCAAAAATCCAACAACAACAAGTTGAACCACCTGGCAATAGCATCCATCACTCATTCGAGGAAAATTCACAATATGCACATACTGCCTGTATTGGTTGACAGTATCTGGACGACCAACGTTTCAAGAGTGTTGGATGCAGCAAAGCCAATGAAGCATAGGTCTTGGCAGCCTCTATCAAACCTTTGCTATTCTTTCGACAGAAATTCAATGGACAACGGATATTTGTCTGCAAACCTTGATACATTGGTGAAAGAGCAGTGCTTTTCCAACAAGATTGACCGTTAGCATATGATTCGATATCCGCAAATGCTTCTTGTGGAAGATGGATGTCCACTTAAAGCAGGCTGTACTGGGCTTTTCATTGATCACATGGTGAAGACAAAAGTGCCAGAGCGCTACTGCTTGACAACGACTTGGACTATAAGTATCAGGCATGTCTTGAAGAGCCACCTAAACTATCCACACAACTCTCAGCAAGCAATCTCAAGCAAAACAGCTCGTCAACCCCCAATATACATCCACCTCCCACCACCCAAGAGTCTAGTTTCTCCCTCGTTCGATTCCTTACAATGCAGAGAAGAACAACCTACCTCATCACCGGAGCCGATACCCCTTTCGGGTACACTCTGACTATGCGCCTCGCAAAAGAACCCGACAACTTCATCCTTGCCCTCTGTACTTCCGACGTGGATACCTGGCGCACACTGCACGAGGGAAACGAGAACAAAACTCCCTCCGTCATCCAAACTTTACACATCGACCGTCGTTTCTTGTTGGAAGATGCAGCACAGACGATAGCCGAAAAATACCAGAGGAGAGTCGATGTGGTGATCACGTGTCCAGGCTCCGACATCGATGCCAAAGCGGTGAATTCGAAAATGAAAGAGGCATTGCAAGCAAAGACCAAGATTGTGGTCTGCCAGACCGTGGAACAGGCATGGAGTAAAGACTCTGCGAAGGGTTTACATGAAACACCCAAAATTGTCGATTTAGATCTTCGAATTGACAGGTTTGGTCAGCGAGATTTGGAAGAGTTGGCTCGAGGGGTGGTAAAGCACACGCACATGTTGACCAAGAAGAACAAATCAGGGACTATTGTGTATTGGAAAGGGATAATGGCGAGCACTCAGCTGCACGAAACACGCTTCTTTGCTCGATTTCGAGAATTGTCCTTGTCGATTGTGTTTGAACCGAGAAAGACTGCTTTGGCACGGATGAGATTGATTGTATCCTTTAATGTTGTCAAAAGAATGTTCATCATATAGCAAGCAGAGATTGATTCAACCCTCTCAAGAATAAAACAAAACAGCAAAAAAACCAGAGCTGAGCTCGTTTGGGAAAACCTCCCTCCTCAAATCTCTTGATCTTAGTCACCCAGATGTCGGTCATCGGGCTGTGTGCATGATTTTAGACGTACACCTCGGGATTATGAGTCGTTGTTTTATTACCGTTGTTACAGGGCATGAGTGGACTGGCCGTTACACCACAGAGCCGTTCACAGTGACAAAGGCAACTTTGAAGGAATATAAGGTCTTTGTGGGAGGAGGGTCTGGGTTCGACTCTGAGGATTGGACAAGGTTTGTTTTGCATTTGACGGAGAGGCGATGTCGCTGACCTTGAGACAGCATTACCGTTGATGTTTGGTGTCGTCGAAAGATTGGAAAGTGCCTGATGTTTGGTCTCTGGTCGCATTGTCGATCNNTAAATTAATATGTCAGTGTTCAGTCCGCCAATGCTACTGATTCGAGCACCTCACCTTCTCAAGCATGGCTTCAACACTCTGCTCCAACGACATAGGCGCCCTCTCCATGCCAACAACCTCAGCACCATGATTCCCCATCTCTGTTCGAACCCATCCTGGAATCAGCACCCAACAGCACACTTCTGGATTCTCAAAGTGTAGCTTTCTGACAATGTAGTTCAAGGCTGCTTTGCTTGCTCCGTAAGCAGTCATGGGCATTACCTGCATCGCCTCCATCTCAGTCATACTTGCGACGCCCGTACTCATAGCAACAAACTTCGGGTTCGAAGACTTCTTCAGCAGTGGCAGGAAAGCCTGGAACAGAGCAAGAGGACCGATAGTATTGACTTCGAGATGGGTTCGGAGGGCCTCAAGAGGAGTTTCAGCAGCAGTGCCGTAATAATCACTGATCCCACTATTCGCAATCACCACATCAACATGATCGTAACCATGCCTATGGGTAATCGTTTCGACCGCGAGTTTTGCGTGAAGCGGAACAGTCGCATCGATCAAGATTGGCGCTACATAGCTATCGTGTCCTACAGGAAGGGACGTCAAGACTTCTGTGGTGTCTGCTGTGAAGGTTCGGATGCACGCAAAGATAACGGTGCTGGGTCGAAGAGCAAGTGTTGTTGTGAGAGCAAGACCCAATCCACGGTTCGCACCGGTAATCACATACACAGTTTGACCAGGCTTGCGACGAGGATTGTAGATAGGCCATTGTGTGTCATCATTGATTTCTCCAATGACAGGACTGGTATCAGACGTAGATGGGGCAGAATAAGGTGTAAATGCCATGTTGTATCCGTCACTCAATAGAGACAAAATGTAATGTTGGTGCACTGAGTTTGCATCATGGACTTACTTGCTTTAAATATTGAACATCATCGCTGGCATCGAAAAGATGCCATGGGTCTGTTGAGCTGACGGCATCAAAATCGAGGCTCCATGACGAACATCCATGGTACAAAACGCGTGGTCAGCTGCGACGATAATGAATTGCATCTGGAACGGAAAATCTAAGTGGTCATTTCGGCCAGGATTTCAGACCTTATCATCTAGAATACTGGTTCATGTGGGAGGGATGCATGAGCATTGGAGGAACAAAGGACGAAGTTGGGATCGGAAGGTTGGAAGCAGCTTTTGATTCTGTTCATAACTTATGCATTGTGCATAGGGTTTGTGCAGTCATGCTCTAAAAGCCATTTGACTCTTCAATACATTCATAGTGTTCCATTCCTCCTCATCAATAATCGTCTATGTGCAGCTGCTGGATCCTGAAACAAACTGTCCATTCGAGTTTTCGCACCCACAAACACCAGTCTGAGGATCCTTGATACATCCAGCACCCTCCCCACTGCTCTCACCATTGTCGTCCCAGAAGAAAGTCCAGTAGTCCGAGTCAGAGCTCAACTGACTATCAGTAGGCGCGGTACAAGTGTAAGCCTCACAAGTGCCGTAAGGGGCACCATGGTTGGCATCGTATTGATGGTCGATCTTGAAGACGGCAAAGGTCTGAGTCTTCGAGGTTCTCGTATTGTGACTGCACTCGGCGGCTTGAATGGCCTTGCTAGTCTTTGCGGGACTACAAGAAGGCGATTTGGGGTATTTGCCCTTGGTGTTCGAAGTTGCAGGAGAAAGAGTGGTAGTTGCGAGGCCGAGGGTCAGGGCGACGGCGAGAATGTTGGCAGTGATCTTCATTGTTTTCTGTTCGGTCTTGTAGTTGAGATTGAATGAGTTGGAGCTGTCTGTAACGAGTGAATGGTGATGGAAAGCGAGACTAGCTTGCTACTGATGCTTGTTTCGAAGTTGTGATGGCAAAGAAAAGAGCAGAACAGCAAGACTGCCGGGTCTTTATAGGCATGCGCCATATACCTACAGGTCTGATCTGACCTCACCTAAAAGTTAGGGCAGTGAGGGCATGATCGGCTTGACAGGTTTACTGTATCATATATAGAGAGGCTGCGACATTGGACGTGTGTCAGCCTCAGGGCCGGGCCTTTCGCATCCTTGCGAACGCGTCAACGCTTCGTGCAGATGCATGAATTTCGTCACAGTCGTAAGTGCATCGAGCGTGTTGTTTGAGAAATTGCCCTAAGAATATGCCACCGGCTTCCCAGTCGTATAATATTTCTTGATTGTCGCAAGCCAGAGAAGTGACTTTGTCGAAGCTTCCTTGCGGCGAATTTGTTTGTGTTGACGCGGCTCAAAATTTGGCAAAGTCCCGAAAGCTGGCTCATGACCCTGGCCCTCCATCGACGACTATCAACATCATGACCAGAGCCGTCGCATCAATTCGTTTGGATATGGATCAAGTTCTGGACGTCGTGCCAGAGTTCTTTGCTTGATTCGAGTCACTATCGTAAAGGCAAAATGTGAATTGGTACACGAACAAGATCAATCATTTTCTTTGTTCCCACACGCTGACCAGAGTGACCATACATCTACAAGCTATTTTGTATCTTGTCTACACCTCACGATTGACCAAACGTCCGTCAAATGCAGATCCCTTTGCTCACAAGTCGGTCTATTAATCCACCAGGCATCGTCTTGCTGGTTAATTACCTTCTCACTCCGACGATTCTGGCAGCTCCTCTCAACCAAGCTGATGCAAACCCGACACCCGACAATACAGAAGCTGACTTCTACAAGCCAACGATATTTGAGGAGAGTCGCAAATTTGTAACGCTTCTACATTGGCAGGACAACTGGTGGGATATGCCAGAGCTAGCCGAAGATGTTGCAAGCACGCCTCACCTCTATGGCGCTGTTCCACACAAGAAGCAGCATCTTTCGACTTCGGAGTAATATGCATCTCCCACACCGGTGCAGAACACGACCAAAGGAAGATTTGTCTCAGAGAATTCGACAGTCGGTTGAAACCCGAGTTCAATACTGTGTATGCGAGTCTTGACATATCATGCAACGCGTGCATCGGTAAAACGTATGCAAGCATCCGCCAGTTACACCGTATCCTTTAGCAGCCTTAGTAACGGAAGGGGAGGATGCAGGAACCACTGTACTGTTGTGTGTAGTACCAGCTAAGCCTTATCGGTCCCTCAGAACTCTTGAGCCTCTTGTTTCACCACGTACGATGAGTTGACCGGTGAAGGATAGATACTATGCATCTCAATCGTGATATGTATACATACAAACAGCGCTGGTGATCATCATGAACGAACACAACATGGCAACAATGAGAACGGCAAACCCCAAATTGCGTGGATGCCAGGCTATCACTCATGATACAGACCGACTTGGACGCCGCCGTCTGGGTTCAATGTGACGCCAGCGAGGTCCTCTGTGAACGGTCTCGAGTCGCGACATTCAATCCGTCGGAAGTGCTGCATAAGGCGCACAGTAAGGTAATATGCTTCAGTGATTGCAAATTGCTCTGCGTAGTGTCAGCTTGCTTCATCATGTTGTCATGTCCATCTATACTTACGGCCTACGCAAATTCGTGGCCCGCCTCCGAATGGAGTGTAANNGCCTGGACACAGAACGGTCAGTTGACTTATAGCAGACGTTGTACATATTATACATACCCAGCCCAGACGGAGATCCTCCCATCTTTCTGGTCTGAATTCTGCGGCATCCTCCCCGTAAACCTCTTTACGATGGTTTGCAGAATAGATGTGGACGAGCAGTTTCGAGCCTTTTGGCACAAACAAAGGCGATTTGCCGTCTTTGCCACCGCCAAGTGGAAGTACAGTATTCTTGTTAGCAACCCTAGGTGGTGCTATCGGGATCGCTGGGTAAAGTCTCAACGCTTCATGCNNGTTTGTCAGTTGAATATTGGCCGGTAAAGTATGCTCCGCGTACATACCTTCATGCTCACAATATCTCAGATACTTGGCATTTTTGATCCACTCATATGTGGGCGCTACTCCCTCAAGTTGATCAACCTCTGTGAGAAGTTTCGTCCATGCCTCGGGATGCCTGGCAAGCAGATACCACAAACTACCGAGCAATGCGGCAGTCGTATCTTTNCCAGCGAACATAAGACTAGTCGCTTCTTCTGACATCTTGTGGAGATCTTGTGTCTGGCGCGCCATTTCATCTAAGAAAGAATATTGGGTACGCTCTTTGTCTGAGCTCTGAGTATGAGCGTGGATTTTGTCCTGAGTTGCTCGCTCTAGAGCCATTCGCGCGTATCTGACCGTAGCACTTTGTACATTGCGAATTGCTTGATCAACACCTGGGCGTTTGAGCCAACGGTATAACAGAGACAAGCGAGCGCGGTCTGCTGCATCATGGATGACAAGCTCGATATCATGGACCAACCGAGCCTTGGCTTCTGTCTGATTTCCGAGAGAGTCGAGTGACTCTCCAAACAAAAATTCTGATGAGACGTCGAATGAATACCGATGGAACAGGGCACCTAAGTCAAAGGTCGATCCATCATCCGGTATCAGCTTGAGTAGTTTTTGGAAATGAGCTTCGAGTAGATCAAGATCATTGATGCGATCTCTAGCAAACGTAGGTCGCAGGATGCCTCTTGAATGAGACCATGCAGCACCATCAGACATGAATGTTGAACCAGACATTATATGTTGGAAAGACAGGCGCCCAGGCCTGGCAGACCAGTCATCAAACTTCAGAGAGAAAGCCGTTTTGATGTTCTCGGCCTCGGTGGTATGGATAGTGTATTTTGGGATAGTGCTGACGATGTATGTTGGACCATATGTCTGAAAATTGCCGTCGAACCAGTCGAGCAGTTTCTTCTTTCTCGCTGCAGATATTATAGACAGTATCATGTCAAGTGCCATGAAGGGGTCCAAGTTACGGTATATACCACGTGGCGGAAGACATTTAGTATTTCTCTCGAGTTCTTGTCTTGATTGTCGAAGCTTCCACCAGCCGAAAGCGACGTACACCAGACTTCCTAGTAGCACAGTACCTATCGCAGCCACGGTCAATGGATGCGGAGCCGTCAAAAGCATCATGTGGTAGCTTGAGAAGTCGGTTCCTAGAGGTGAAAATAACGTGCGACGCGTTCAATGAGAAGAGATGACGCTGTTAGCTGAAGGATGAGAATGACTGCAGCTGCGACCGCAAGTTCGAGCTAGGTAGGTCACATGTCAGATGGGTAGCTCAACATACGTCCTCTCAATAAATTCTCTTCAAAACAGAAGTCTCTTCGGTTGATGAATAGACATAATCCTCGACATATGGTATAGCCATGTGCTTTAGACGAGAGCACATCTGGTGCACCAGAAAATGCCGAAAGGTGATCCCGAATGAAATTGTCATTGAAATGTAATTGGTTGGTGCTCCGAAGCTCTTCGATGTGGGGCATCGCGGGAGCTGGAGCTGCCCCACGTACCCCGTCATAACCACTTTGAGCAATGACAACGACCGACTATGTGAACGACCAGTATAAGAGCGCGAGGCCCACGTCCTCAAACCAGCTCAAGGGTGCTCCATAAACACAATCGTCGTATATTTCACACACCATGAAAGACCTCACAACAGAGAACATCACGGAAAATGTTCATGCCATCAACAAACAGTGTACGAATCCCAGGACGAGATACATATTTGAACGTCTAGTTTCCCATCTGCATGATTTCGCCAGAGAAACTCGACTTTCGACTGACGAGTGGATGACTGGACTGGACTTCTTGACAGATGTTGGCCAAATAAGCACCGATCTTAGAAGAGAGATGATCCTGCTGTCAGACACATTAGGACTGAGCGCTCTAGTTGACGCGATCGACCATCCACGCACCGGAAAATCGACCGAAGGCACTGTACTTGGCCCCTTCCATACCCATGACGCACGCGAAGTGGAGAACGGTTACGCTATCCACAAGGACCCCGATGGAACTCCTCTGCTGGTCCTTTGCACTGTCAAAGATACCGTAGGCAATCCGCTCGAAGGTGTCCAGATTGATGTATGGGAAGGCGACTCGCACGGAAATTACGACGTTCAATATCCGGATAGGGATGGACCAGATGGCAGAGGAATCCTGTTCTCCAAGCAGGATGGAACCTTCTGGTTCAAGGCGGTGAAGCCTGTCTCATACCCGATACCAATGGATGGACCCGTCTTCAGCATGCTTCAAATGTTGGGCAGGCATCCCAACCGACCTGGCCATGTTCATTTCCTGTTGAAGAAAGACAGCTTCGATCCTCTGATCACGTAAGTTCTGGTATAAGAAACAAACTCAAAACAAGCTCTGACAGACACGCAGTNNGCTTTGTATCCTCGTGGCGATCCGTACGAGGCTTCTGATCCAGTGTTTGGCGTGAAAGAATCTCTAATCGTAGACTTGTCGAAGGTGACAAACCCAGAGATGGCTCAGAAGTACGGTGTCGAGGAAGGAACGGCTCTTTTGACTTACGACTTTGTGCTGGTAACGGTGAAGGAAACGCTGAAGCTGCGCAAGGAAAAGGCTGAAGAAGCCATAAAGAAGATGGGCAGAAGCATGGAAGATTTCCAAGGCTTACCGATATTGGAGGTCGATTGAGGAGCCGGCAGACTCATGGCATTCTACCTCGAATCGACGTGTTTACCTCATCTCGATGGGTAGGTCACTGTAGATTTATGGAATGCAAATTGCTATCCTGCGAGTCGATCGAGACCAGACTCTCTTCTGTAACTACACGCTACCTTGTACTCTGTGTTCGATGAATTACGGCACCTGGAAGATGAGCCGACCGACTAGTGTTGAAGTGTAAAGTCGATGCAGGGCCACATGCTCCTGATCAACCACACCAAAGCGTCTCTCACTGCACCCCGCACATCTACCCGCCGCGGTACCAATTGGGGCAACCCAGATACGCCGGCTTTGTGTACCTGTCCAACCGAAAAGTGGTTCCTCGTGGGCTCGGGTGTGTTTGCGATATTCCACCCATCGTCATCGTACTCGGAGTGTGGGACAAGATGCGACGAGGATTCGAACGGGTATGCCGGGGCATCGCATGCCGCGCCAAGGGATCATTTGGGTGGCCTGACAGCGCTGACGCAGTCGGACAGAGAGTCCAAGGGTCGTCGCTGTTCAGACGACGTTGAAGATGAGGTTGTTGCTTGTAGGTACCCTTGCTATGGGAGAGACGGACCAATGGCAGCACGCGGAATATAGAGCGGATAGAAGTATAAGAGTGGTTTGCACCACGTCTGGTGGTCGAGGACGAGTCGGTTAGCGCCGAGGAAAGTGGCTGCTCGAGGGCACGAGACCCCGCCCAAAGAGAGCAGTTGCGCCACCTCCGCGTTTCGTTCGCGTCTGGCGCCTTCCTTATGTAGTCGTTTGAGCCTGCGTGTGACTGAATATCTTCTTTCCATCCTCCAGTCCTCGTCGGTTCCATCCACTCCATCCTGATAAACAGATTCATCTCCAAGCTCAAGCACCTACCTCCACGTGCTGGACAATCTTGTTGTCGACGGTCCCGCCCGATCGTGAGGTGATCGGCGTTCTGCATCATCATCCGAAGTCTCCCCCCACAACAAGGGGCCCGCACAATCCAGAACATCTGTTCATTTCGCCCTCCTTCAAAAAGCGGAGTCGTTTTCAGTCCTATAACACGAGTCCTCGCCAGTCGGAAAATCAACTGAAGCCGACCTCCAGTTCACAAGCCTGAATCATCCGACGACTAGTGCGCTGACTCGAGCTCTAACGTGGCACGCTTTTCTCCACAAACATCGCAAATGAATCTTGGAGTGCCTTGCTTTGTACAGGACCAACTCCATAGAGACAGTCTGCTGTAACCCGGAAGGAAGGGCCATGAGACTGTGACCAAGGCGTTGATCCGAATCTGTAAGTAATAATCCTGAAGACTAAAGTTCAAGTCGTTCATCACGAACCTTGCGACTGTCTGAGAGTCGCTGACTGAATAGCGGCAGGTATTTGAGAAGCTTTCGCACGACTTGTTTATGTTACAAATATTTCTCTTTTCGTTTTAATACTGTTTCGCTCAGACGAGACAACCAAATCAATATGTAAGATTGTCTCGTATTGTCCTAATTCAAGGACTCGAGCACACTTGATGATGGACCTAACATTTATCTGCCAGACACAATCGATAGATAGAAGGAAAAGGGCTCGGATACAGGCACTGCAAGCAATTGTTAGGTATGTCTCATTTCTGTCTTCTCGACGCAGCAGTCAAACATTCGTGGTAACGGCTTTGTAAACCACTCTTGCCTTCACATCTGGTTGCGCGTGGCTCGAGAAGCGTGCAACTGCTAGGCGGCGCAGATGCGGCAGAGTGGAGTGTATACCGCTCGGAGCCTCAACCTTTGTATCTTGAACCTAGATCGGACGCTGATTTTGGTGCTCAGAACATCTCACGGACCGCTCTCTTTCGTACACGCGACCTCCAACTTCTTCAACTAAAACAACTTTCGTACCTGCCGGCACAAGTCTTTGTTGCCAGCGTTCGCTTTCACATCCCGTAACAACGCAGAGCTGGTGACCGCTTTGCTGGCGTTCCATTCGTGAGTTCTCCTTTCTTTACATGTGGCCGACTTTGCTTCATAAGTCAGGTTCTTGCCTAATCTGGCGGACTCGACGTCGAATGTGTACCTACCACGACGACTCGATGACCGCTGAGGCCTTACTTGAAACACGAGGTCATGCAAATGGCAGCTGACATGAATAGATCAGGCAGCATCACTTCGGGGACAACATCATTCTTTCCGCCTACCAATCAAAACCTTGGCACGTTGAAAGATTTGCCATCTTTTCATCCAACCATACCTCTGTGCAACCTTGCACGACGCGAAATTGCCTACTTGACAACCTCTTCTGAGTATTTCAAGATTTATCAAGCTTCCACGGACTATCAACATATTCTTTGTCTCACATCACTTTAAAGTGATACGAATTCACTAGCTATTACCTTTTCTGAGATTCACTCCACCTCGGTCACTCTCTCCTTCATCGGGAACACCAACATCAACTTTACAACCACGACAAGATACCCTCAACATGGCAGCCAGCACTGTCAATCGCTCAAGCTTTGGTCCCACTGCCATCAGAGCTGACAAGATCAAGTTCGGCCGCTCGACACCGGATTCCGAGGCTTTCGCATCTTCAGAGGACGAGCCTGATCTCTCTCACTCAGCTTCTTCAGTGACTGTGCGTCCGAATGCCGCAGCAGGTATTCGAAGATCCTCATTCCTTAGCGAGATCAAGTCAGGAGATCTGAGGAAGCCGTCCGTCACTGGCGCTATCATGCCTCCAAATGGCTCACAGCCCTCAACGCCATCTGCCGAACACAACCCATGGACCTTCGGATCAACTCTAGGTCGCGTTCCTTCAAACGGCTCAAATGGAGGCGCATGGGCTGCTCCAAACTCGATCTGGGGAGCTGACCGACGAGAAATGCCTCTTCGATTGAATGATGGAACACCTGCTTCATATCTTCCTCAGCAAAGCCCGGGTGTCGTAGATTCGACCGAGTCATTCCCTTTCAACATCCCACTGCAACCTATTCTCAAAACTCACAGATCTCAGTCCTACTCCGTTGGACAACTCGACACTGAGGTAGGTCCCCAGAGCCCTGGCGCAGTAGGCACACCTTCAAGGGCACGTGCCGGCGTTCCTGGCTCGCAGTACCGTCCTATGCGTCCGAGCGGTCTTGGTGAAACGATCTATGCCGAAGGCAGGCCATTGGGACAGCTGAGTGAAGTCGAAGATGATGAAGGGCCTGATCAAGGGGTCCTTCTTGCCAATCCTAGAGCACGCCAGGATCCGATCTCAGATGTCAGCAACGCCTTGCTCCGCTTGGCGACCCACGAGAGCGCACGCGCAAAACACGGATCTGCCTCACTCGCTGCTTCAGCTGCCGAAGACGTTCGTCGCTCCATGTCTGACAACTATGCACAATCTGGCGCAGAGTCCGCCATAGAAGACGACGACTCCGAACAGCTTTATCCCGGACGATCTCTCAATCTCAGTCAATCCATGGCCCAAGACGGTACTCACCGTAGCATGTGGTCCACTTCCCTTGGCTTCGGCATGGACGACCTGACTCAAAGCAGAAGGCATTCGCTGGCAGACATTCCAACTCGCCGCGGGTCGCTCGTCGGTGGTTTATCTGGTCCTGCTCAAGGGTACAACAGTGTTGGTTCAGCGTTGGGCATGTTGCCTCTTGGACCAGAAAACGGCAACAATGGTAGTGCTCGCTCGGACCACCGCCAAATGTCTCACGATCTCGAGACAAATATGACAGAATCCGACATGCAGCACAGAGCTTATGCGCAGAACTACTTCTCAGGTGCAGCTACAGCCCACAGAAATCGTGCCGAATCGACAAGTCTCATGATGAACAACAGCCTACAGGGCCCTTACTCATCAGCTGCGGCTACAGGTGGTGCTTTTGGCCGTCAAGGATGGAGTGCTCCGCTCTACATCGTCACCTTCAAGTGTTCGAGATCCGGTATCTTTTACATTCATGAGGGCACAGGTCTTGATGTCAAGGAAGGTGATCTGGTCATTGTCGAAGCAGATCGTGGTCAAGATCTAGGAACCGTCACTCACGCCAAGATCGACTGGCCCAGAGCAAAGGNNGAAGCCCTAGAGAAGACAGGGGAAGATCACTACAAGTGGTTGATGATGTTCTCGCGCCACAACCTTGCCTTGACTGACTCAGAAACACGCGGCCTCATGGCCTCGAATGGAGCAGATCATGGCAGCATGCACAGAGATAGACCTTTAGATGAATACCCTCCTGGCATGGGTGGACCCCCAGAACTGCCACAGGAGCCCACTAAGCCGAAGATGATCAAACGTCTCGCTCAACCACATGAGATTGCCAACCTTCGCGAGAAAGAAGGAAACGAAGCCAAGGCCAAGAGGATCGCTCAGCAGAAGGCCAACGAGCATAATCTCAAGATGGAGATCCTGGACGCTGAATTCCAACTTGACTGGAAGAAGCTCACCTTCTACTTCTACTCTACTGAGTACATTAACTTCAATCTCCTTGTCGGAGATCTGTTCAAGATCTACAAGACACGAATTTGGTTGTCGGCCATCAACCCTGCCGCTTTCCGCTCGCGTCCCAATCAACCACCCAGCTCCATCGGACCCCGCGCTATCCAGCCCGGCGCTTCGCCTAGAACCATGAACCCCACAGCGTCTTCCTTCTTCGTGCCTCGTGCCGGAGGGCGCCCGAGTTATGCCGAGGACGTCACAGGTGCAACTCCTCAGGCGTATCATGAGACTCCAATGAGCCAGGCTCAGATGCAAGGTCAAACAGGATCACGCAATGGCTTCGGCAGGCCAGCATACTTTGGTTCAAGTGGTTATCCTGGTGCTTCCGAACAACCTTGGTACATGCCAGTGGGATCTTATGGCCAGCAGCCGTCTGAAACATTCTACGGCAGCACTCCTTCGCCTTCTCACGACCAGTCTTTCAGACCTGCTCCAGCATTCGGCCAGAGTCTTCTGAGAAACGGAACTCGTCAAACACGTCCCGGCGACTTTGGTCAGCTGCGCTAGAAGCTATGCTTTATGAGCCATGCTGCTATCTAAGCCTTTCTTGACGACCTCAATCAGAACGAGATGCTATAATATCCGACCAGGCAGCAAAGGAAGACGATACGAAAGGGCAGAAAACAGAAAAAAGTGACAGTTACAGATGGTAAAGGGCGAATGGGTTCAGCGGGGACTTACAAGAGAAGCAAATGGCTTGCGACGAATGATTCATTTCTTTGATCAGAACTCTTTTATTCTGGCTTGACTTTTGATACTTAATTTTCCGAGATGCAGAAGAAGTTACAACGGAACTACGAACAGCAGACGTGGGATAAGGCAATACATTTTGTATTCATAAACTCAGATAGGCCTGAATCGTTTGAGAATTGAGATTGCAATAACACACAGAGAAATGTTCATCTTCTTTGAGAAGGTGCGGTGCAGCGTGCCTGCCTCACAAGAAACAGCTGGACCTTGTAGCTTCTCTTTGACTTTCTCTGACAACTTGCAACTGCTATGCTGCGCCAAGACTGAAACTCGACCAGACAAACGACATCGTGAACAAAGACACAATGATAAGAGGCAAACGCAAGGCCGAAGGTACTTGCTGCACGGCTGTACATGAGAGAATGAACGCTGACATTTACACGCAGCGACACAATCACCAGACAGCAGATCGTCGAAGCGCAGGGCAGATGCTGAAGAAGTCGACATCCATGACGCGTCTGAAGAGGAAGAAGACCAAGGACGCATCGAAAGTCAGCAGATGCTGTTGGTGGCTGGTCGTCTCAAGCACAAAGATGATGGTTGGATCGACCAGATGCACGCCGAAGTGACCAAGGACGAGGAGGCTTTCAACCAATTACTTGATGACAAGGAGCGCGAGCTGTAAGCCGTCACAATCTGGCTGTTGCTCTACTCTTCTAACACACAACCAGAGCAGNATCTCGACTCGCAGTTCCACAACGACATTCGCACCTTGCTGATCGACATCCTCGGCGGACCTCCTCCCAAGCAGAAGAAGGGTGCCCCTACCCAAGACACTTTCTACCTCAGACCCGCACACGAGCACGCCCAACTCATGTTCACCAAAGCTGAAGACCTGCTCAAGGAATACAGCAAAGTTGTCGAATGGTTTGACACGGGCAGAGAGCAATTGTCCACCGATCATCTCGACACTTTTGAGAAAGACAAGAACGATGTAGCCGAGATGCTGCATGCTGGTCAGGAACTTGCTCGTCGTCAGATTCAACAAGTCTTGAAGCGACCTGACGACCAAGAACCTGCTCGCAACAAGACCAAACCTCTTTTCACCGATCAGAAGCTCGACGACGTGGCTGCCATGTTCAAGGTCCTGCGCGACGAGTTCAAGGAAGGGGATGAGAATGTGGAAACTGAGCAGGAGGCCAGAGCCGCCATATCTGGAGGTGATGGCCTCTTCCCAACCATCCACAACACCAAGAAGGGTGTCAAGAAGCTGGCTGGTCATCTGCTCGCCGAAGAAGAATGATTGGCTTCATGTTTGTCCACGTTGCTGCTCGGACTTTCGATATATCTCTTGCACTTGCAGGTTTAATCCTCGATACGCGCACATCACTCGCTTAAGTGGCTGTTGTTGACATGACGAGAAGAAGGAGAAGGAGGAAGCGCTGAGGTTGAGGCTTCGGTCGGGTAACCTTCCTTGTTCGGTTGTGGTCCACAATGACGTTGCTCTTCCATCTCGGTACACTGTCCCCCGACCTCATGCGGGAAGTGTCATCCGATGGACATTCTTGCTACATATATTATCTGCTTTGCCGTATCTTAATTCATCTTGTTTGAACATCTTGAATGTAGTCATTTGACCCAAACACTCCACTGTCCAAACTCAACTCTGAACTCCAAAGCAACCTTGTATGCCCTTACACTCGAGAGACTACAATATGTCTGAACGCGCTGCTCTGTCCGCTCGTGCAATCCCATTCATGGAGCTCTCGAATGGCACAGATGCCTCATTGACTGCTCCACCACCACCATTGCCGCATTATTTGAATGCCGAAGGAAGAGCTATGGCTCGATTCGCTGTAGAAGGAAATGCTGTCAGTATGTACAATTGATCACTGCTCACCCAGGAAGATGAGGGCCACCGTATCTGGAAAGCCTCAGAAGCAAGGAAGGTGAGCTGATATTTTGAGCAGNTCACCGGAGGAGCCGGCACACTCGCCCTAGCAGCCGCAAGAGCACTCCTCGAACACGGACTGGCCAATCTCTTCCTCTTCGACCTGCGCTCCACCTTCGACAACTCCGACGACGCGATACAAGCTCTCCACAACGATTTTCCATCCGCAAAGATCATCATCGAGCCTGTCGACGTCACAGACGCCGAAAACGTGAATCGTGCGTTTGCTGCTGCGGCAGCTAGAGGCTCCATCGATATCTTGCTTTGTTTTGCAGGTGTGGTGGGGTGTCTTCATGCCATTGAAATGACGCCAGAGCAATGGCGTCGCACTATTGACATTAACACTACTGGTTCTTTCCTCTGTGCTCAAGCTGCTGCTAAACACATGCAAAACCAAGGCACGGGTGGCAGTATAGTGTTCACAGCATCCATCAGCGGCCACCGTGTCAATTTCCCTCAGCCGCAAGTGGCGTATAACGTTAGCAAAGCTGCTGTCATCGCGATGAAAAACTCTTTGGCTGCGGAATGGGCGAGGTATGGCATTAGAGTCAATTCCATCAGTCCGGGATATATGGATACGGTGTTGAATGAAGGTGCTGGACTAGAGGAGGCGAGGAATATCTGGGCGAGTAGGAATCCGATGGGTAGGATGGGTGCGGTGGGGGAGTTGGATGGGGTGGTGGTGTTGTTGTGTTCAAGGGCGGGGTCTTATATCAATGGTGCTGATTTTGTGGTTGATGGTGGTGCGGTTGTCTTTTAGGTGTGTTCCAGAGGTGAGATCTTCTGAAGATGATGGGGATGATTTGCTTACGACAACAGATCAACTTATCTTGAGTGTCACTTAAGATCAGTATTATGGTGTTTCAGACAAGATCTTCAATATGAACCAGGATCACTGTTGATGAGCTCCATACAAGCCAGCCAGAAGCAAAAAGAGAGGCCGAGCAGGAGAGTCGAACTCGAGCACCACAACAAACAAAAAACCAAATCTCACCACCGTAAAACACGCATACACATCAAAGAGCTCTATACACACAAGCATCAGTATAGGAAGAAGGACAAGATGATCAGAACATAGCAGAAAGAAAGAACTAAAAGCAAAAAAAGGGAGCATGCTTCTTGACTGACGATTAATCCCAGACAACACCGTGGTATAGTGCACAAGACGGGCACCTATTTTCAGTCAAGTTCAGGGGCGAATCATTCCGCTACACCAAGTAACACGGAGTTCATCGTGCTCTCCCCATCTGATAGGCTGGCGACTTTTGCTAACTATATACCCTTACCACTCTGTTCAGTGTGCATGCACAACAATTGCTCACAGGCATAAAGTTTCTTGTTGGAGATCAAAGAGTTTACACAGCACTACGGGCTGTTACTGACATTCGATTGTCAACCTAGCGGAATTGTTTGCAGCTTCCGCTTTCGTTTCATTACAACAAAGCAATCTTTGTTGATGTTTGCGCGCTTGCTTTTCTTTGTCAATGATGACAACAAGCACCCATTGCTAATCGACTCCCGACGGAAGCTGGTTACAGCCGACTTGACTTTTGCTCAGTGTCTGTGATCTGGAAACACAAACTTTCATGAGCCAGACTGAGTTGTTAATTATGCCTATATTGAAGCACAGCGCTAGCTCAGCAACTCTACAGCAACAGGTCCCGAGCTTCTCTGCATTCCACAAACTTCCCACCGAGTTGCAAATTCTCATCTGCAAAAATGCAGTAACACGCACTGAGCCCATCGACCTCAGCAAACGGGTCAATCAAAGACCTCCTGAAGTCACTCATGTTTCGAAATTCTTCTACACCGAAGGGACCAAACTCTACTACCGCGAAAACACTTTCCTCCTTCCCTTGCCTAGTCGACTTGCTCGTGAGGAAAACCTGCATCTGGATCAGTGGCTTTGCAACTCTACGACTACCGAGATATGCAAGAAGATGAGCAAGATTGTTGTCCAAGTGTCTCTGCCACCAGACAGATCCAGTCTTGCCAATCTGATCCTTTTGGCTACACATTTCCAGAACGAATCTAGCGAAGAAGCCAAGAAGACGATCAAGCTACAACCTTTTATCACTGTGCCGGCCGAGATGGAGGCTATCTTACCAGTACCTACTGTGGCCACGGAACTGGAGACCCATGTCTCGGAAGCATTTTGGAGAGTGTTTGATGGCAGTTTGCAGGACTTTGCCAAGGGATCATATAAGATTGACTGGGTAGATGAGGAAGAGATGGAAATGAATGCTGGTGTACCTCTTCTTGAGAGATCCGTCGCTCTTGGCCGCATTTGCGAAGAGCTTTGGCTAGCTATCATGAACGTATGGCACCCGGACTCGTAACGCCTCGTGTGGGTTTATGGAGCTAGAATTTGGGAGTCTTTGCGAGTCAACATCCACCCGTCTCAGTCCTTCCCAGGAAATATCCATCCTTCGAAGGATCTTCTTGGCAGTTGACGATCTGATACAGATCAAGGCGGGCTATGATGCCATTATACAGTAAAGTGGGTCTGAATTGCAGTTAATGATAGTGCTTTGAATCTTACAGAGGTGTCCTTCCTCTGCATCTACCAAGCAAACCAACGCCATCGTTCATTCTTGATCTTATCCTAGCATGATGGTGTCTCGAACGGACTGGATCCATTCGCAAGTTGCGGTGGACAGGGATGCTTTGGTAGCAGGCGATGGCTGCCATCAGGAAGAGGCGAAAGCTCTAGACGACTACTTGTCTGGCCTTCTGAATACACAAGACGCTGCAATCAAGATTACATCGCCTGTCCTCGGAGAAGGCGATCCTCCTTCGGAGCTGTATCGACTCTGGGGACTGCTGTCTAACGCACTGGTTGAACTCGCGGACGACCAAGCAAAGATACTGGATCTTTTAGCCGCAATACAGGCATTGCCGACGACTTCCATTGACTGGACTAAACTCGAGGGCTTCGGTCATATGTTTAGTGACATGCACCGGCTACATCTCCAAGGTCACAGTCCTTGGGAGAAGGAGAACTGGACTGCCACCAGGAAAGTCGAGTTATGTCATCACTTCGAAATCATTGGGGCAGCGGAAGCCAGAATGTATCTTCGAGGTATAGGTGGCATATCCGCAGACTGGGGATACGAAGTGCTCAATCTAGTTTGTTCGAGACGTCCAGGACTTGATGTATTGATCTTTGAGGTGCACGCTTGGTTACAATGTGCAGCTACGCAGCTCAAAAACAGTCTACAACCAGAGGAGACAAGAAGTTACTCGAGGCCGGTCCCTGGTGTACGTGTTGGAAGGCTACAGAGAGTACATTGTACTATGGTCGAGCAGTGGGGCACCTGGAAGAGAGAATTATCAGATCTTAGCGGGAGTCAGAGTGCGCTCTCCGTGGAAAGCAGGGATGTTGCTCCTTAATGCTCAGCACTTATGTGAATGCTATCAAACGACATCATCAAGTATCCAATCATGCACTTGGATCCTCGAGGGGCGGTAACGATTTGGCGGAGAAACTGCTCAAGGCTTCATTTAGAATGAGTTCTTTGTCTTGGACTTACCGGGATTCTTGTCAGATGTGAACGACGAAGCCTTGGAAGCCGGATCCGGGTATGTCTTTGTTGTAGAAGATGCATACACAAGAGCAAAACGTGGTGGCCGCACCACTGTATGGTGGTTGGCAATGAGCACCATCACTATATCGAACATACGCAGCCATGGCTTAAGATGCATCGAACAAGAAGCACCACATGCGGATGATCGGGACACTAACAGAGTACGAGTATCTGACCGCAATGGATCCCGCATCTCTAAACTACGACCAACAAGAATACCTAAACAAGAGAATTTGGGTACTCGAATTGGAAGCTGGAATTAGATCGACTCTTCCGGGCGATATAAAACAAATGATACATCGACATCTGATTCCCGATGCAGAGCCAATCGATATCACCAGACCTGAGAACCTCGTGGCTCCAGCATACTATACTGATCCGCATGCCGAGTTCGACTATTGGAGGCTTACACCTTTTGTGTTTGCCACTGATAACATACACGATGCTGTTATAGCTACGAATGCGCATCGGTTTGTTGACAGGGTCCTTCTCAATCCTACACACATGGCTCGCTTCGACACTTTGGATCCACCCAAGCAGATCAACTACGAGATATTGATTCGATGGGACTTTGTGCCTCACTTTCTACCCGAGATCTCTTTACCGAATGTGGAATCGCTCTTCGATTTGCTACATGTCTTGGGTGGTCATCCCAATCGCATCAGGCTCAATTTCCTGTTCAAAGATATACGAGTGGTGTATGATAGATCTCCCTCATCGAAGAAAGAGATTGCACCAGACAATAAAGGGCGACTCCGGATCATGAAAGCCAAAATGCTGGATCTGTTGCAAACAGCCATGATGGAATATCATCGCTGTCTGGATACACCATCTACAGTCTCACGACTACAGAAATGGGGCAGATACATGAAACACGCCGATGCAACTAATCCTGCCATAACAGATGCTGACAAGTATAAGAAAGTCAGAGTCTGGATGGCAGATGCGTGTTCGGAGTTGCTTGACCGTATGTGGGTCAGTGGATCTGGACGACGAGCTGGATTTGTTAAGTGGCATATGTTGGAGGCCTTTGGTAGGGATCAGAGTTACTATAACCAGGATCCTGATGTGATGTTGTATGTCAACGAACCTGGGATACCTTTCTTGCCATTGAACAAGGCGCGGTTCTTCCCATAGATATAGACGTATTTACGGTCGTTTCAATGGTCATTCATGCTCGTCGTAAACTACTGTGCATTACGATGGACGTACAAACGTGGTATAGCTCAGCAGAGAGAAGGACGACATCATACGGCAGGCGCACTCGCCAGACGCATCGCTCACATACCCTTTCCACCACCTTCCACAACAACAACCACCCTATTAAACAACCATGCCTTCCTTCAAGGCCATCATCAAGAACCTCTTTTCCTCCCTGTCCTGTCGCACCGGCGACAACGAGACCGAGGCCCCCCCTCGCCCTCTTGTGATTGTAAGTCCCTTCGTATCGATCCTTGTACAGGACTGTTTGCTGACATGCACGAAACTAGGGAGGTCCCACCGACTTCAATCACAAAGAGACGAGGGGCGGTGGTCCTCTTCTCGCGCCCATTGTTGGTGCCCCTCCTCCTTGTGTGCGTGAGCACTAAGGTTCGTAAGTTTGTCGATTGAGATTGAGTGATCCCGTGTTAATAGTTGTATAGGCATGTCGTATCTTTGACTTGACGCAATGTTTTTGGGGAGCTGGGGGCTTTTGTAGGAGTATCAATCAAGACTCTTTCTTTCTGGTGCCTGAAGTGTTTGCTGTACTGTGCCATTGTGTCATTGTCATGTGTAGTGTTGCTCCAAGCAGCAATGTGATGAGTGTAGACGGTTGTAGAAATACACAAAGCTATGGTGATAATAGCAGTGTCCATAGAGAGCAAGTGAGCTTGTCGCTCTCAGTGGACCAACCTCGTTCTCGATAAACATTGTGACTTTTTATAGTGTGAGTTTTGAGGTTTGCTGTGTGCGAGATGGGGAAAGGTATATGCAATACGTGTATCATTCAAAAACAAGAAGAGAAAAACAGGATCTATCTAGGCACTACATATCGTCCCATTCAGCGTCATATCCTCCTCTAGCCATGGGACGTTCTACCAGATCTGTATAATGCAGCGCATTCCAAATACAAAGAAGAACAACGCTGTGTGAGAAATATATATGGCCTTCGGGTTCCACATTGTACTTTACCACGAACGAGCGCATGTTGTCTGCAAATTCAGACATGACCGAGTTGGTTGGATTGCTTGCTTTGCGAGCCTTGTCCTTAAGGAAGGATTCGAGGTTCGATGAGACGGCCCAGATAGGACCACCATTCTCGGATTGTCCAGTTGGCTGAGGAGGAATGTTGAGTGTGACGCGTTGCCAGAACTCGACATAAGGTACTTGTAGAGCGTCGTGGTAGACCTTATTCTGCAGATTATGGCAAATTTGGGCTGCTATCACAGCTACCATATCGTGTGGTGGAATGTCTTTACGTGCAGACCAAGTTCCAAGCAATTTAGTCAGTGGTGTTGTAGGGACTGCTGGTAGACTGTTCCTTTGCGCTTGGTCCATTGGAGCGACTCGTTCCCGCTCAAGAAGATACGTCGTCCATATGACCAAGCCTTCGTTGATGACTTCCATATATCTTTCCTGGATGCCGAGGCCAGCGGGAATTGCTGCCTTGGTTTTCTCATCTTTATTAGCGTATTTGTTTCCAGAACCACCTTTGCACTCGAGAATCGGATGTTCTAGCAGTCCGCAACGGATGTCTTTCTACTTCAGAACAATATTCAGACGATGTCTGTTCTGGGCATGATGACATTTCAGAAGTTTGAAGAGCCACAGAAGAGCGTGTATATTCAGGACCTCCTCTCGATCCTTAAAGATGTCGCGGCCAGGTAAATTGGGATCAAATTTGCACAAGATCTCAAACTCAATGGACTGCGGAGGTGAAGTCCAGTCACGAAGCCTGGCAGGGTGCGGAAAATCCCTTGGATTGGCGTTGGGATCTGATGGGTTCTGCTCGGGGTACCTGAACAAGCGGTGGACGAACTTGAGCATTCGCCTCATAGATGTGTGCCATGGCTGCTCGTAGAACTGCCCAGAATATGCGTCCCTGAGTCTTTGACGATTCACCGGATACCACGCTTCACCTGGTACATATAGATGGGCATGTCTCCAGTATTGTTTCCATAATAAGAATTCACCTTGGGGTGGCAGTGTGTCGCGCTGGGCCACCCAATTGGGTGCCTTTCTCGAGCTCAACAAAGTAAGGTCAACGAGAGTCAAGCGGAAAGTGTCCTCAAGGATCTCCATTGTTATGTCCCGATCGAACGGGGATGCAGGCTGGACACTCATGTTGCAAATACTGATCTGGACAGACCAATCCTGATATTGGCGTTGAACAAGATGGGTCGCTTATTCGAGGGACCCAATTGTAGAAGGAGATCGAGGACGACATGTTGGTCCAATTTCAAAGAATCCCCTAAAACGGCTTGAATTCTATGCTTTGTTAAGTCTTCCGCTTGCGGAAGTGTCAACTCAAACGATGAAAAAAACTTTTGGTAGAACAAAGCACTATTTCCGGTCGATTTGAGAAGTGGCATCTTACATGGCAGAAAGCGTTCCGTGAGGACAGCCAACGAGATCAAGTCGTCCTTGGGCCAATTCGGACAGATACGTTCCTCATGTGCATCCAGCCAAGTTCAATCTGGTTGAATCCGACTTACACTTATAGCCAAAAGAACAGAAGAAAAACAGACTCATAATGTTCCAACTTCTCTGTCATTCGACGCGGTGCTCAATCATGGTCGCGTAATGGAGATCTTTGGTGGACAAGCCAGAGGATGTTGAGCAGCGGCATACAAAGACATAGGAACGATAATATCAAGCTCATGCGGCCGGAGTTGAGACAAAGCAGGGTCGAGTACTTTTGACAGCAAAGACAAAGAGAAATACTGTCTAGTAATCGAGTCGATGGCAGGAAACAGGCAAGAGCAAGGGTGATGGAGTGGGTCTTGGCGTCATGTGATCAGGCGATATCTGGGTAGCAGCCCAACCACGCGACGACGTCGACTTCACGACTGCATCGTGCCTGCCCTTGTCCGTTCAGCAATTGCTCGAAATCGAGTCGGTCCCGTCTCTATACCATCGCTACTTCCCGATCTCTATCGGCTCTGAATTCAACACGACCGCCACTGAGCCGAGAAACGCGACACAGTCGAGCCTGCCACCAGTAACCGCCCAACCGTGAGCGCGCCATCCTTGTTTGCTGTCCGAGTCGAACCCGAACACGTCACTTCGGCCTTTCAAGAAAGTCTGTTGTTTCTGTGATCCCGTTCCTTGGACGTTCTGCAAGCGTGGCCCCCGACCAGTGCGGATACTCGTGGTAGGGTCTGCTGCCGTCCGTCTTGTTCACCTGGTCCGCTGTACACAAAGAGTCAAGGCTGCTCTCCATAACCAAAGCCTGGGCGGGTGGGTTACGCATCTTCGTCTCTTGACAGATGCGGGAGACGAGTAACGTTTGCCCTCGTCGATTACCATCTGCTGACCTTAAAACCCGAGTGTAGCTGACTTCGCCTCATGATGGCTACTCAAGCTGACATAGATGCTCTGTCCGACAAACTCAGCACAACTGAGCCTTTGTCATGGATTATCGCAGACTGTCCAGTTGTTGCCCTTTTCGACAATAATCCGACCGACAATCTGCAATCTCTAGGCCAACCGCTAGATCGAAATGGCTGTGGTGACTTGCTCAGACTCTGGGTCGGTATCAATGAGAAGACCCATGAGCTGCTTGTGACTTTGACCATCCGTATCCGAGTATCGCCAGTCAGAAAGAAGACACGTCGTCAAGGCCGACTCATGTTCATGGTCGTCCCGTCCAACGCTTTACAGCTGCGAACTGCTGTTATTGGCTACAACGATCTGGGCAACAAGCTATCACAACACCTCTTCGATATACCCACCGATACTCAGTCCGCAAAGTCTAAGCTCTTGCACTTGTCTTTCGAAATTGGCACTTACACGAGTGATGTTATAATGCCCGCCTTCCAGTGCAGGTCCAATGTTATGCCGCAAGCAATGTCCTTGCTTCGCAAACTCAAGTCGCTGTCTGAGACCTCCTCGTTCCAGCTCTATACCAACCTAGATGATTCGAGACAGAAAGCTGCCCAGCATGTATCCAACATACTACTGGAAGGACACCCCATGATCACCCCTTCGATTGACACCAGGGGCTTTTATCCTGGAGGCCGCTCAGCATGCAAAAACATGTGGGCAGACCAGGGATGGCTGGAAGCTGAAAACGAGGATGTTCCAGGCACAGACCGTGACGTTGAGAAAAATCAGAAAGAATTACATATTCCATTCGATCCACAACCTCCTCCACCATATGAGCCAAACAGCGTGCCAAATCATGTGCCCGGGTCTCCGGATGGACGTGAAGTATCATCGTCGCCACGAACCATTGTAACCGTATCTGAGCCGGGACTGCCAGCGACAGCGCCTCCGAGCGACAGCAAACAGGCCCGATCTGCCTCACATCACCACTCTCAACAGCTTCGCGTGGACAAGTTTAGATCTGCACCGAGTGCAATAGCCCAAACATTTGCCTGCGGGCGCGATCTTTCGCCCTCGACGCCTAGGACAGCACTCTCTTCTGATTACACTGCCACGTTCTTGTCTGGATTTCCAGATCAATCACCTTTGCCTCGGATTCGAGACAGCGCGGAAGCTCAGAGTAGAGCAGATGCAGCAGAAGTTTCTTGTCCACCTGTACGAGTGGCCGCCTCGTCTGTAGATGAGAGTGTTCCAAACAACGACAATGCATCCACCCGCCCCAATACGCCAAATGCTATCCTCGACCGGGTTCCGGACTCGGTGAATCGAAAACGGCATGCCTCGTACTTGCTGGAAGCAGGTACTAGCGAGATGGTGAAGCGATTGGCTCTTTCCCGTCAAAGTCATCGATCGCCCCTCATGAACGATCTTCAAGCAGGATTCTCATCAACCATTCCCGACTCGGTATCTTACCACAACGGAGAAACAGCTCATTCGGCAATGGAAAACAACATTCCAGCTGACCAAAGTGATCAACTCTCGCAATGGCTCAATCACGCTTGGCGTTATTGTCCTACTGCTCATTATTTGTTTGTCACGGAATTGCTCAGATACGGCAGTGTCTTGTCCAGCAACCGTTCTCAAGACGATATCGCAACCTGTCATGTCAACTGTACACTCGCTTTAGTTGCCCATTGCACAAATCGTATGCTGGCAGAAGATTCCAACCACGTTAGCGCTAACTGCGAAGTGGATGCTGAAACAAGAGCTCTGGTCAGGTGGCTATATGTGCTTCGACCTGGTGCCGACATGGAACTGTTTCCTTCTCTGCTTCGGTTGTCGACGTTGAGCCAGCAGTCACTTCGTGTCTCTCACACCAATGAAGAGCACGACGCTCTTACGGCTAGCTCTAAGCGGCAGCAGGCGAAAATCGTGAGTCAAGCATGTATGGAGTACGGTGCCGAGCTATTGCAAAGAAACCCAAGCAATCTCGTCTCAATGATGTTAAGAGAAGAGGAAAGAGTTTAAATTCTAGCATATGTTGTAACTCAAACCATATCCATCACTTTACATCTGCAGTACAGAGTAGATTAGATCCCCGACGAGTGCTCATCGACGAAGACGCCGACTTTCCGATGAACGTCAGGTTCGACGAGCTCGAGAAGACTGCTCTGGACTACCAAATCCCGAAGTTGAGCTTTTCTTTCAAGAACTACTATCTCTTTGTCACGACTCTGTTGGACCGGCGTTGTGAATTCTGCATCTCTTTGTACTGACGTGCCTTCATCCAGGGCGTCATAATGCCGCAGCCGGATGCGGCGAATTTGGAGATGATTTTCCCATTGACACAACCTATGCAGGCCTGGCTCCGCATCGTCTGTTGCTTCTAACTCAACGTTCGCTATTTACGCACGCATACAACGATCATGGAGAACGAAGTCAACCCTAACGATGCACTCGATGAGCCTCAAGGCTTGGCGCCAGCCGCACTCCCTGAGCCAAACCTCGATATTCATCTTAGCATGGACTGCCTGGAAGAAACATTGGTCATCAAGCCATCCCTGGGAGAGCAATGCAAGGAAGTAGACATCACCAACTACAAGAACCACCTAACACCCCATAAGATCCGCGAGGGTGGTGACGACTGGATTGAGTTTTACTGGACCATGGTCAACTTGCTAGTTCCGGGAGAAAAGACATTGGTTGACCCAAGAGATCCCACGATTGGTGAAACGACCACATCATGGGCCAATTCGAATTTCAATGCTACAGTATTTGCATCGAACTTCTTCGAACCAGACGATTGGCCACAGTACGATATCAACGACCGATTCTTCCAGCAGTGGCTACTCGAGTGGAGAACAGCAGCACAGGTAGAGCATTACGGACCTGGAGAATCTGAAGGCAACGCCGTACCTACTAGACAGGAAGTCGCTGCCTACAGGAACCTACGGCAGCGTCATTTCCTCAACCTTGAGAATACATTCGGCACCCAAACTTGTATCTATTACGAGCTCTTCGTCATGTGGGATTTTAATGCATCTGCTGCAGCAGGTGAATGCACTTCTCCAAGAGTGTCAGTATCAAACATTCGCTTCCTGTTCGATGTAGTCGATGCTATTCCCGAGGAACGCCTTGATCGATTATTCGTGTTCTTTGTCTTCAAGGATGTTCGTCAAGGTCGCTACACTCATGTCGCCGATTCCAAGCGTAGATACGATAACGACACCAGACTCAGTCGTCAGTGGACAGACATCATAGAAGAGGCCATAGCCGAGTCACGGCAGTTGAATCAGGACCTTGAGAACGGACTGTATCCAAACATTGACCCGATAACGCCGTTGAAATGGGATATTGCTCGCAATGCCAGGAGAAAGATTTTAAAGACATTTGGCAGGAACAACTTATTGAGAAGAGGGCAGCTGAAGTATATGATGTTTGACACGTTCAAGGAGTCAAGGCGTGTCAGAAGACAAGATCCTGATGTCAGAAGGTGGTTGAGAGATGCTCGAGGAAGGTGTGATGAGTCCCTGCAATCAGAAGTCTGTTGATCGCTCTTGCCTGGGACACCTGAAAGATTCTGATTTGTTTTGCTGTGACTAACTACCTTCCGATTTTGGGGAGTAATGAAAACTACATTGACGTTCTTGCTTTGTTCCTCGAACGGCACAATTCAGACTCTCCTTTCGCTTCTTTCTCGCTTACTTGCACTGATGAATGCCACCTGAGAACCACATCCCAATCTCTGCCATGATGATGGCGGATACTGGTCTAGCATTTGCAGCCTAGGGCATCAAGTCCCGGTCCAGTCTTTGTCCTCCGGAAGTAGGTGAATTCTCTCTACGCAAGCCGCATATGGAATGTCAGAATCTCTTTGTCCTTCGATAGGGAAAGATTCACCTTGGGTGATCATGGATGATTTACCAGTCCTCCTCGAGCCTCAGAGCCGGCGCATCTTTTCAAATCACAACTGCTATCCTATATCGATTGAACCATGGACGAGGCCGATGACAATCTCCTGAGATTGCTTGGACCACCACCATATCAGATAGAAGAACGACATCTCGAGAGAATCTTCGCCAACTACAAACCAAGAGATATCACAATCGGACGACTCATCGATGGTCCGCCGTGGATCGAGCAAGCCGGCCAAAACTCGAGGATATATCAGCTGTTCTGGAAAAATGTTCCATTGGTTATTCTTGCAGAGACCTACCTTGACCCACCGGGACAGCTCACTGGCGATATCTCTGCAGAACTTGCTATACTAGGCGTGGAAACACCATCAGAGATTGCGTGGGCGAATGTAGACAATTTCATCAACAGGTACTTTCTCAGGCCTGGATCTTCATGGTGCGATGCAGGTGATCAAACCATCATTTACGAGATACCTATATACTGGTCTTTCGAGGACTCTATCGAATTCGCTCAGAACACTTTTCCTCGAATTGATGAAGATAACATTGCCGGTCTTCTGGGCACCTTTGAACAGCTAAGATGCATGCATCCTTACTATCGCCGACGGCTGACTCCAATTTTCATCTAGAAAGATGCTCGTGGAGACAGAATATGGTCAAAACAACCAAACAACAAACGCAACATCCTTCCCGAGCTGGGTATCTCTCAACCCATGCACGCAATCTTGGAAGAAGCCTTGAACATGTGGGGCGATTTCCTTGCTGGCAGACTCGACACCGCTATGGATCAAGATGCTCTGCATGATTATCTATCTCTGTCTGTTCGAGACCATATAGAGGCTTTGTACAAGAACAATTCAGAGAAGCGTGGCTACATGAAGTATTGGATGACAAGGGCTTTCGACGCTTTCTGGAGATTCCCGACGGGACAGGATACTGATATGTGGGCGTGGATGGCTCTCAATACTGGAAGTGTCATGATGCCGAGTTACAACTTTTTGCTACCTGAGCGTAGTGAGCTTGCCAGCGATGGGGAAGATGAAGGGGACGAGGACATGGAAGATGAGGTGGATAAGGAAGTAGGGGAGGGGGATAAAGAGATGGAAGAAGATGCGGAAGGTGAGGAAGAAGATGCGGAAGGTGAGGAAGATGACACCATTGGATATCAGGGACGATAGGAGATCGAGACTAAGGAGCACATCGATTGAGCGCTTGTGTAGTCGTAGATGGATAGATTTGGTTGGTAAATTTTATGATGGTCACTGTATTGCAATCTCGCAAGCATCAGTTTCGTACAGAGCGTCGACCAGTATTACCTTTCTTGCTCTACCGTTATCTTCTGTCACATATCGTGTAGCGATGGTAAAACTGGACAATGTGGTGATCAACGCGTACGAAGGCGGGAGAAGGCTCGCTTGCCAACATCAGATCTTGGACCTCTGACCAGAGTTGATGAGGGATATATTTCGACAAGATTAGCACTTCCCTGTATCGAACAGGTGGGATGGCGCAGCGGTAGTAGCTCGTGTCTCCCGTGTAGTTAGCCAGCGCCCACGGTTCGATTCCCTTCACTGCCCTAAACTTCCCTTTTGCTCCTGTGAGCAAGCCGTTTTCTTTTTTCCCCTTCCGTCGAGAAAGCACTACATGGGTCTTATTTTGTTGGCATCCTCGCGAAGTTTGCTGTCTGGTCCTTCGCATATATAGAGGTGAGGTGTATAAGCTTGATGGATCATCGCTCTGCAATGCACATCAACGAATTTGTTCGCTGCCTCAATCTTTTCACTGATCTTGAGATGAACATTGAAACCATGTTACCATTGCCTAACTTTCTACAGTGTCTGTCGAGCTCGACCTGGTACCAAGACAAGGGGGTGGCAGCACTCCTACAAGCGACGCCTTGATTTGTTGAGCCAGAGTATTCGAATGCCAGCGGTGCTGTTGTGTAAAGCCACCCATGAACCAATAGTTGTCAACTTGAGAGTGCCGCTTCCACATACCACGAATCTCACCTTCCTCATCTACGCCCCATGTGGCATCGACAGGTAAAGAGATCTTCATGATTTCGGCGACTGTCTCGCGTGCGTCCTTGTCTGCGAAACCTGTGCACCAGATTACAGCATCAGCATCAAGGGTTGTATCATCAGACAGACGTAAGCCGGACTTTATGTATGCTTTAGGCTCGACATCGGCTCGAAAGCCGACTTTGCCTTCTGCTAACAGCTTGGTCGCGCCAGTGTCTACGTAATGACCGCCGCCACGTTCAATCAAGTTGTGCATCAAGGCAGCGTCCGGATCTCTGCTGTCAATGACCGGAAAACCAGCTTCTCGAAGAGCCAGGTATCGGTCAGGCTCTTGTGAAGCGAGTCGCTGGAACAACCTCTGGCCGAGCTGACTGTCCACTATCGTAGGCATCATCATGAATATCTCGTCCGCTTGCTCCACACTGAACTTGTAGGCGCCGAGGCCATGCTCATGACAGATGTATTCCAGAGGTACCACATACTGCGCTGATCGTACTACCATGGTGACATTGAGCCCAGCATTATAGCAGTCTTCAAGCACATCGAAGGCTGTACTCGCTGATCCAACGACACAGACACTCTTAACACCCTGAGCCTTGAGCGCATGGGCGTTCTGGTACAGTGATGAGTGCATGGCGATACCGCCATATGCTTCCTGTTCCGGGATAGATGGTGTGTACGGTACTTGTGATCCGATCCCTGTAGCCTGCACCAGATGCTTCGCGATGGCCGTACGTGTACCCCAAGTCCTGTTGAACTCAATCCTCCATCTTCCGTCTTCGCCCAAGGTAGTTTTGGTGATCTTAACCGAATTGATCACATGGAGATTGAGTAGCTTCACATAGCCCTTGAGGTGCGCTGTAAGGTCATCTCTGCTCAGAATCTTGTCTTGGAGCTTGGGATGGTACTCGTCGTAGGGCAGCTCACAGTACGGCGTCGGAACATGGAACTTCAATGAATCATAGCGTAGAGCCCAATTGTCGCCAACATTTGCGTTGCGATCAGCCATGACGTTTGACACACCCAGAGCTTTGAGACGTGCTGCGAGTGCTACGGCTGCGTTGCCACCTCCGACAATAAACACGTCCGTCTCGAATGTCTCGTGATGGCTAAGGGGCTGACTCGGAGCATAAAGTAGATCTTGATGTTCGTAGAGACCATGAAGATAATCCAGTCTAGTGCTCATAATCCAGATCTTCCAGGTTGGTCCCTTGGTTTCTGATTGATGTTCTGTGGGCTTGCAAGGTAGAAGCCACATCTTTCCACGACACCTGGCGGCTGGGAGTCCAGTCTGGAAGGCGAACTCACAAGTAATGAGTNNGACTGAACTGGTTAACTCGCATTCCACAAATTGGGCCATAATCAATGGACTTACCAATGTAGGTCCAATCTGCACAACCTCCGCATCTCCCAAAGAATAGAATAGTTCGGTAAGATCTCTCTGCTGCTGAGTCTCTAGTAGAGCACGAGTAATGTTCTTGGGAGAGTTGAATGTTCGCAGATGCCAGGTGAAAGCGAGCTGATCTTTCCAGAATGCCTGCTCAGTAAAGAAACAATCCTCCAAAGCCTCAGCATCATCCGAGAGGATAGCCTCATCTAAGTTTGATATAACGGCCGATGCTTGCTTTATGGCTTCATACCGGGTTATTGGACCAAAACTTGCTGATGCGCGTGTAACGACAGACAGATCATACTGCTTCATCAATTCACGCAAGTCGCCCTTCGGAGGTTGTTGAATCCGAGGACTTGGCTCATTGCGAGAAGGTTGATCGTGTTTGTCTGAGTCCGCATGAGTTTGGTATGCTGATGTAGACATCTTGAGATCTCAGCGTGCCAAATTGTACACTCGAACAAGAATACAGCTCGAGTATGTACAAAAGACTCGAAAAACGATCGCGGGATATCGAGCGCCTGCGGAGAAGAGACGACCTTTGTATCTGGGCAGCAGATAAGATCATCTGCAAGCTGCAACACCCACGAGCGAATAGTGATCAATTCTTCGATGCCGCTCAGGTGCAGCAATCAAGAATTAATATGCCTTGCATGGAGCTCTAACAACGAAGCTTCGTTCATGGCGTGGAATGCGAGAGTCAGAATAGGATGTAGTGTTTTGTCGATACTTGGACCAACGATGTACAAAGCCGACACTGCTATATCATGATAGCTCTGTCTTCCAGACAGCAGCTTGGATGAATTGTACCAAGACTTGCATGAGAGCGCAAGGTCGATGTCTCTGTTTGCCAAGGTTCCCACGCTCAAGAGCTGCAGGTGCTTCGTGCCCGAAAGGGAAAGAGCATTGCAGATCTTTGTTCCAGCCACCCGAGGCCCTCGCTTCCTTCTTTCCTTCAACTTCATCAAAGCCCTCCACCTCACAATCTCAGAGATTGACACAGAAAAGAGAGACTGATGTCTCCTCCACTCGTACACAAGTGCCTGCTCGGATCAGATATCGATTGCCGTGATGCAACAAATGGTTGACCATCCTTACCACAGCAGCTGTTTGTATGGCTTGATGCATTCTATCTGTTTGCGCGATAGCTCAAACTGCCGTCAAACTCATGCACGTGTTGCTTGTAACTCTTGTTTTCATCAACTGATAAATGGACTACCTCGCGCTTGAATGTTCTGACCCTCTCATTCCTAATGATCATCTCTAGAAACCGCAAAACCAGCCCGGCCTCTAGTCCAGACTGCCCTCGCCTTCGTCGCTCGAATTCTGTGTAGGTCTTCAATGTGTCTCAATATGTTAACATACTTATTTCGATAGCATGGAAGCTCCAAAGACTGCTTCTGAGGAGCCCACCAAGCTCGACTCTACCCAGGCTACCGAGATCCCTCCCAAGGAAGATGTCAGACAAATCGTCGAAAATTGGCAGAAAGCCGCAGATGGCCTTTTCTCAGCCTGGTCATCCTGTCCGAAGCAGCAGATTGAANGAGGTGAGTTTCAAGATTTCTAGACTGGATTCTGAAGCTGATAATTGGGTAAGGTCAAAACTCAGATCAAGCAACGCGAACAGGATATCCAGCGTGCTTCAGAGTCGTTCTCAAAGTTGCATGAGGACATTGCCCGCTGGACCTCTGAAAAACTCAAAGCTTCTGCCACTCTCAAGGAGCTGGAGTGGTTGGTTGAGACAATGAACGAAGCCAAGTCTGAAGACTGAAGCCCTACATTCAGCTTTGTTTTCCAGCTATATTTGCAGTCTGGGGATCGCATCCTCGAAACTGATGAGTCTCAAATTGCAGACAGTTGCCATGCTTTCGTGAACAACATCAGCATCATGACAGACTAATTTTGAGAACCCTCGGAATTCAGACTATTGCTCCCAGATTTATTCCTTCCCGTGGCTTCTGTCTCTATCTTTCCTCTCATGTCTCATTTTTGACCGAGTCATGTCTCATATCCCGATGCGGTTCCGAACCTGCAACAAAGAGCTTTGTCGCACTCGCGCTACAACATTTCGACCAAGACAAGGTCTGTGATTCGATGGTCTGTCTTCGCAATAAACCGTTCAAATCCCCACGATGACTTCCCACAAGTCTTCAGATCACGGTATGCAGCCCATCATCAAAGAACTAGAAAGCCTCCAGCTCTCGGACGTTGCAAAGGAATACTTCTTGGGAGTAAGTCTTCCTGGCTGAACAATGCATCTCAGAGCTGACTATATGCAGTTACTCAAGCACATGGACAATCGCGACAAGGAGTGGGCCAAAGTCGTCAAGATGTGGGAGACTTATGAGAGCGGCTCATCAGGTCCAAACAAAGCCATGGTTGAGATTATGCAAAATGTTCAAGATATCTTCATGAAAGATGACGACTTCCTCAAGCACTTGTACAAAGATCGTATGCAGGAAGCAAAGGCCACGATGAGGGATGATTCTGCATGAAGCTGTTGAAACAAACGAATAGCATGTAGTTCTGTGAGCCCGCTACAAGGCACTGCCCAGATCTGAGAAAAGCAAAGAACAAGTTTCATCTCACCTGTTGTCCTCAATTTGTTTGCTTGCTTGTTTCTTTCAGTAGACTAAAGAACAGAGATGGATGTGCCTTTCGTCTTCCAGAATCCACTTGAATGTGAAAGAATAGTGAAAGACACGAATAGTCTCCAAGATTGACAACTCCTCCGCTTAGTTATTACTTTCTCAGGATGAACTGATCTGTCTTCTGCTACGCAACCAGCCATTTGCCTATCCAAGTCACGCCCACTCCCATAGTCAAGTGAGTCATGCCATTCGTATGTGCCGCAGAGGGTCTGACCATGAGCCAGAATGGACAACGCCGATGCCGCCGCTTCAGAATCTGCGCCCGACACTGACAAGATTACAAAAGACAATGCTGCAGACTTTGAGAAGGGAAAGGCCAGGGGCATCTATGAGGGGGTGAGTAAACTTCGCTCAACAGTTCCTTCAAGGCTGATATTCCATGCAGACCCTCGGAGCTATCAGTATGGATATCAATCGTATGAAAGCCATCGGCAAGCACATGGAACTGCGTGACACTGAGTGCGCCAAGTTACGCGATATGTGCCAGGAATACGAGCTTCGCTCATCGGACCCCGACGGATCGGTCCTTGAGATCTTGCACAAAGTTCAGAAGGTACTCGACGAAGACGCCCAGTTTCTGATGGCCGAGCAAAGGCGCCACAATCAGTACATGGACGGAATGTATGTCAAGCTGAGAGAGATGCACAAGAAGCTGGAGTAGCAGACCTTGGAAGAATGATAGAAGATTGGAAGGTTTGAGTGAGACGGACGACTCAAAGAGCCTGTGAATTGCGTTGCTCTTGTTGTTGAGAAGATCATCAGAACCAGCATACGAGAACGAAGAGACATGAGCAGACAACATCAATCAACTCCATTATTTTACGCGATTGCAAAACATTTGCTTACTCATCTCGAGGTGACCTTGCATGATATTACGCAATGTTAGCAGATAGCCAGGCATACACAGTGACACGTCAGAAGGATATCAACTGTTGACATGGAAGGTTCTCAGATATTGGAGAAAGAGAGACAGAAACTACGAAGCAAGACCAACTCGGAGGTAGACGATATAGTCCGCAAAGATCTCCTTGCCTCCCACCTACTCAGCCAGTAATGCGTACAAAGTATGTTTGGCTGAGTGGAATAGCCGGTGTTCCGCACTTGTTCGATAATTACTTCTCTTGTGTGTAAATGAACCGGGAATAGCAGATGTAACGCGACCTACTTTTGCTGGTTGCGAGTTCGATTCTGGTCGGTGTCCGCTTTGCACCTTTTTGGCAGGCGCACTCGCGCGTCACTTCTCTCTCACATGCCCGTCACTTCCACAAGCTTGGACTTCCTCTCTCCTCAAGCCAGCTGCCTCCAACCAACACGCTTTCGTCTTCGTCCGCCCCTTCTTCATCCTCGCATCTCTCAGACTTCAAGTAAGTATCGTGACTCAGTCATCTTGCATTGTTCTAGTCACACAACAGAATGGAGCATTCCAAGATCATCGCTCAGCATGTCATCAACCGCTCAACCAGAGCCGCCATCCAGAAAGAAATCATCGAGATAGAGATCGAACACGTAAGGTTCTTTGCCGAACGCTTGTTCGAGACTTGTCTAACACATCCTTAGTTGATTAAAGCATCGAGTGAGAACTGCGCTCGTGCTCGACAACTCTTGGATCGGTGCCACAACTACCAAGACCAGCTTGCCGAATTTGCGGTCCGCAAAGCTCAAGATTCTGCTCCACTCAGCGCGAATGAGAGCACACTATTTCAAGTTGCTCTTGTCGCTACCAACGATCTTAGCGATCAAATTTGCCACTTCAACAAGCAGGGGGAAACAGCTTCTGCTAGAGTTGCAGAGCTGCTTCAGCTGAAGGCGGAGCTGCAGAAGCAGGACATCAAATTCAAGTTAGAGAAGGCCAACAGTCAAGTCAACAACGATGACGAGATTGAGTGGACAGACACCGAGGTTGAAGACGTCAAGGTCAAGCTGGAGAATGAACACGACAACATTGAGCTGGAGAAAAGAAGTTGCAAGGTCGAAAAGGAGACTGAGGACGTCAAAGTCAAGATGGAGAAGAGGGTCGACAACTAGGGATGAGATGCTGTGAAGATGCAGCTCCATGAGCACGCCTTCATATGGTCTTTAATGCTTCCGAAACTGGCTTGCAGCTCGGTCGAGAATGAAAATCACAAGTCTTGCTATCAGTCTTGTCTCTACATTATGAAGCGCGTGTTGGCACTGTTCAGATTGTGATAAAGCAGAGAGCAAACTTACTTTCTCGATTCTCGCTCTCACACACGCAAGAGTTTCCGTTGCAGGTCACACCCCGACTACACAATTCTTCTCCGCCTTCAAACATTCAACCACAACAAACACAGCCCTTCACTGGCCACAAAGTGAGCGTCCTTGACATGAGTGCACCACAGCATGCTAACCAAAAGCAAGCATGCAGGACGTCCGTCGCATCCTGAACAAAGCCACAGAGTCTGCCACCAAGAACCGAAAATACAGCGGTGCCGCCAAACGCTATCTCGAGTATACCAAGAAGACACTTGGTCAGGTCAGCAAGAACATGGAGAGAGTCACGACAGGACTAGAGAAGGAGATCAACGACGCCGTGGAGAGCTCAATCAACCTGGTACTTCCTGTAAAAACACAACCCATGACGGTCTCGACTGACATCCATCACAGCTTANAGGCACAGATCGAACAGCGCAACACCGACATCGAGAAGGCCAACGAGTGCAAGAAGCGCCAATTCCAGAACTACCAGCTCTACCACAAAGCGATCAAGTCGATGGAGGAGCTCAAGTCCGGAGAGGTTGACCAGCGTGTTGGAGCAATTTACTGCGATGGGCACGACTGGCTCACTGAGAGCATCGCTCACTGGGAGGAAGAAAACAAGAAGGCTGAGGGTGAAATTCGCAAGCTTGAGTGGCAGATGAAGACTTGAGATGGGCCGGACAGGATCGACAAAGAGCCTTGGATTCGTGAAGAACGCTCAGACTTGCCACAGATGCCGACTTGGATGCTCATGGTTGAAGGTCGGGATGAGAAAGAGCGATGCTGGAATTGACGAATCGCGAAGTTGGTACAAGACGAGACATGAGACACCTGGGTCGTTAACAAGAAATGTTAATCTTTCAGAACTCAATCTGTTTCTTTCACAATGTCGTTGGTAGATGTTGTGTTGAATAAAGGACTGAAGGAGGTCGGGCGGACTTGATTGCCGGGAAGCGCCTCGGTTGGTGGGGGTTTGTGCACGAGCCTCGGCCGGAGGTTGGACGATCTGTTGATGAGAAAAGATGGTCCGAGACCGAGACTTTGATGTTCTCACGGCCTCGCATGAATATTCCAGTATGCCAATTGGAAATCAAAAGGGATGACTCTGACATGAGCGTCCGGACGACTCGATCTTTCCTTCCTTTCTCTTTGTCTTGACCTTTCAGCGCTTGTTAATCATCGTCCTTCCAACCTCGCTGTCGCTGCGTCCAACGATATTACCAACGGCCATACCATGTCGATCACAGCCAGCGTGCTTCGCGCCATGCGCCCAGTCGCTCGCCCAATGATGCGCCCGGCAGCTCCGGCAAGACTGCTCCAGCCTATCCAATGCATCCGCCAGTCTTCGCACTCTCCCCTCGGCAGCTCGTCGTCGCCCGCACGCAAGAAGGTCACGCTACCAACAATCATGTCGCTGTACCGCAAGAACGAGCCTATCACCGTCATTACCGCCCACGACTTCCCCTCGGCACATGTAGCCGATCAGGCTGGCATCGACATAGTTCTGGTCGGTGACTCCCTGGCAATGGTTGCCCTCGGCATGGACGACACCAGCGAGGTTCTTATGGAAGAGATGCTTCTACACTGCCGTAGCGTTGCCAGGGGTGCCAAATCTGCCTTCATTGTATGTTCTCCTCCCTCCTATCTTCTACTTCTTCCACTGACTCTCTACCAACAGGTTGGCGACCTGCCTATGGGCACCTACGAGATCTCACCCGACCAAGCCCTCCAATCCGCAATCACTATGGTCAAGACTGGCCGCGTCCACGGCATCAAGCTCGAAGGCGGTGCCGAGATGGCTCCTACCATCAGGAAGATCACATCCGCCGGTATCCCCGTCCTCGCTCACGTCGGCCTCACGCCCCAACGACAGAACTCTCTCGGTGGCTTCAGAGTACAGGGCAAGACAACAGCAAGCGCAATCAAATTGCTTCAAGATGCATTGGCAGTACAAGAGGCGGGTGCTTTTGCAATGGTCGTTGAAGCCGTACCAGCTGAGATTGCAACTTTGGTCACCAAGAAACTTCGCGTTCCTACCATTGGCATTGGTGCTGGAAACGGCTGCTCAGGTCAAGTGCTTGTTCAGGTTGACATGTTGGGTAACTTCCCTCCTGGCCGCTTCCTGCCCAAGTTTGTTAAGAAGTACGGAGATGTCTGGGGTGAGTCGTCAAGGGCGATTCAGCAGTACAAAGAGGAGGTCAAGAGTCGAGCATATCCTGCTGTTGAGCATACATACCCAATGCCCCAAGCGGAGCTTGCTGAGTTTAAGAGATTGGTGGGTGAGGAAAAGGAGGAAATTGAGAATTAGGACATCTCTTGTGCGGCGTTTAGTGCTGTTTTGTGTTGTTGCGTATATACCCTCATTGGCGATGTACATTATTTGAATCTGGGCTGTCATCTCGAATTAATATTAGGCGCTCGCAGCGTCCTTCCATTTGACCTCTATCTCCATTGCGGCTCGCAACTTGTGAATACCTTCATGATCTCATGTCACCCACGCCAGAACTCCATCGCTTGCTCAAATCCACATCAACACCGACCCCAACACAAGTCTTTTTTCCTTTTGCCATCATTCCACGCCTACTTCCCCGTTCTCCCCTCCATCAACCAAAACTCTGCGCCACACAATACGTAACCACCAACTCATCACCCACCTTAAAACACCTCCAAAGATTTCCCACTCCCTCATCAAGACCCGGCGCAAACACCTGATTAACATAACAAAACACGCTTTCATGATTTGCAAGTGCCAATTTCCTGCGAAGGAATTTTATAACTGCGTCGAAGTGGAGAGATGAAGACATTTTGTATTTTTGGCCGCCGCGGAGGGGGNNAGGAGTGGAGGGGCCTGGGCGGAAGTGTAACATTACNTGTTTTTGGGGAGGGGGTTAGTAAGTTACAAAGCAGATGGGAGAGTGTGTGGATAAGGTATAGGGATGGAAGCTGGATAGATAGAGAGGATTGGGATGAGGGAAACACATACTTTTCTCCTTGTCCAAGAGGCCTGCTTTTGAGAGTGCGGTGTGCGCATCGCGGGGTAAATGTTCAAGCACCACTGATGCTGCCATTGTCATTGGCATGTCGGTTCGGAGGGATTCGTCTGATGCTAGTGTTGCTTCTGCTTCTGGCTCTGTTGGTGTGGTGTCTGGTATTGATGGGGAGGACGCCATGATTGTGGTGTGAGAGTTGAGGTTTGAGGTGACTTCTTTTCTGGGTTGTCGAGTACGAGACTGGGTGATTTCCTGATGTATTCTTGATATCAATGGTTTGATATGGCGTTGTTAGAGAAGGTGTAATGTGTTGGTTGTTGACTCAATGATGAGGGAAGTTGCGAGTGGAGGTTGCACCCAGAAGCCTCCAGGCAGTCGCTCCAAGACACAAGCATGCCAACAAAGACATCAACTACTTCGCTTTTCCTATCCAACCATTGACTCAGAGCCTCTATGAACCTGTTTATCTATCTGACAAGCGAAACATGTAACTCTAAATCACAAATGCTTCGAAAATGCTGCAGTAGTGGTAACCCTGCCATCATGTCTTCCACAATCTACAAATTCTACTCCCCAATCATCTCTCCTCTCATCAACTGCTCCAAGATATCTCTCGCTTTCCTGGCGACTTCCCTCGCCACATCTCCATATTCCTCATTCTTCTCAATAATCCCAAGTCTGTCCCACCAAAACGTCCACCTTTCTTGCGAAAAGCCCGGCTTCTGCTTCGAATCCCACAGCTCACCTCCTACCTCAGCATCATTTAGTTCTGCTTCCATGAGCTGCTTGCCAGCCAACCGCACCCAGTCGTATACAATTAGCATGTCCATTGTACGAGTAGCAGGAGGTGGATCTGTCCTCTCCAAAGCCTGTATGAAAGCTTGCAGAGCCTGATACGAGCAATCACTAATCCTCTCGCGAGTAAGTCGCACCATAAAAGCATGCAGATTACGCAAGTATGTGCGCTTAGTTATATTTTCCACTGTGTCTTCGTGTAGACGACATAGATCTTGAGCGCCTATTGTTGAGATTCTTTGTCAGTAAACTTCTTTTTGGTAGCAGTTCTTCTTACCTTCCGCCTCCATCAACATAAAACACCCATCCTGCAAGATATACCGCCAGTCAGGTTGTCCATTCTTTTGAGGAAGCTCTCTCAGCGCTTCTATGATTTCAACCAGTCGATCTTGGGAAACGTGATTTACTGGAAGGTATTTGCTAGTATAGATACAAATATCCTCGACTTCATCGCGGAAACCGTGGATGTTGTGTTCGGGCTCAAAGGCTAGAGATATCTCGTTCGCTACTTCGGAGGCAGAGTTTGTGGAGCTGTTCAAGAATGATAGGATACTGGCTTTGATCTTGGTGTCCGCTTCGTCGTCTTGTTTGTGGTTGAGGTCGAGGGTTAGAGGATAGGTTTCGAGAGGCTCCATAGTGGGAGGCGTCAATACTTTAAGAAAGCAATGGTATAGGGTTAGTCTATCTCGAGTTGACTGCTTGGTATATAAGCATTATATCCGGTGTGGCTCTTGATGCATGCGATATTCCAATAGGCACTACGTCACGAGATCCTGCCAGGTCCACATTTGTTACGCACGAATGAGTTGACTTGTCACTACTGCAACAACATCTTGGAATAGAGTGATATTTTCATTTTAGTCGAAAGAAAGGCTAACAATGATGGTTTATTTACAATGCAATTCGAAAGACACCTCTACCTGATCGGGCTTCCGAAGATATCTTTCTTGATAGGCGGAGTCTGGTTGGAGCCACCAAGGAGTGCAAGGCCCACCGTCTTCCTAGCTGGTGTACCTGGTACGCTCATATGCCCTGGAGTCTCAGGTCTCCATTCTCCATTTTCTCGTTCTGTTTTGTAGACCGATGGAGGTTTGAAGTTCGTTTCTCGGCCGCGGTCAAAGATGTCGTCAAGCATGCTTTCAATGATGCCGGCGTCCATGAATTCTTGATATTTGCGCCAGAGCTTGAGTGCTGTGAGAGCGTCTTCAACACTGTCGTGGCCTTTGTCGGTATCTTGTTGGATTTCTTCTTTCAGCAAATACCAAGCCAAGAAACGCAGTGAGAGACGACGTTGACTGCGCAGACGATGCGAGAACAGGTCAACAGTGTCAACGACCTGAGCTCGAGGGACATGAATGTTGATGATACGGAAATCCTTGGGCAAGCCATGACCAACGAACACAACTCCCAGGTTGAGCAGCAGCCATAACTTCTTGTAGGCCACCTTCAGATTGACCAAGTTATGCTTGCTGACAGCACGGTCAAGGTCGCCTGGACTGATGCCTGAGTATGCGGTCAAGTAATCGACCACAGGCTCCGAGCTTGCGATATAGTCGTCGATGAATGGAAGACCCTCGTAGGGGCCAGCACCTCGCAAGACCGATACACGCGCAAGGCCAAGTCGAGGAGGCCGCACCGTTTCGCGCGTGCCGTCTGCTTTGATGTCAATCTCAGCCTTTGACAGAGCCACGAACTCTGCGTCGATCGCACACGGCATCCCGGCTCGAGGAAGTTCAGTGGTAGGATTGAGAGTACGTAGAACTGTCGAGTCAGGTGATTTGTGAGGGCCTCTGGGCAGATAGTAGAGTAGAGATGGGTCGAGGTTCTCTTTCCAAGAATCATCGATGACATGAGATGCCGACTTGGCTTGATACGTAAGAATGGAAGGCAGTTTCCAATTCATGTCGAATCTGAGGGCTTCTTCGGAAGTCGTAGATCTGACAAGGAAGTCATTGAATAAGTGCCACTGGTCTTGATCTGCTGGGTCAGGCGAGGAAGGTGCGACGTTGATCAACGATACCAAATGAGACTTTTGGTTATCCGCACTGTTGATGTCAACGACCATTCCAACAAGTTCGTAGACCATGATATCATAGAAACCACGCTGGAGATGGTACTTCAGATCAGAGCCTTCGTAGCAGAAGAATTGTCCATTCTGAACTACGACACCAATCTCTTGAGGTAGCCATCCGGGTGTTGACCATAGTTGTTTGTGGTCTGGCGAATGAATAGCTGTGTTGACCATCAGAACTTTGGGGATACTCTGAATTGTCTTGCGCGTGCTGAGTTGTTGGTATCGCTTGCAGCGATCACACCAGCCTCGAGTCTGATCTTGACGTTCAACACTCGCTTTGAGGACTTGAGAAAATGCTGGCCTTGGTGGAGCCATACGTGGGTGATGTTTTAGTGGTTTCGGCGGATATACCAAATCGTGAACAAGTGTTTCGCCTGGCTTGAGCATCTCGTTGGCGCAATGCCCGCATCTTATTGCTAGCAATGCGCCTGTCGTTAGAGATTGCTCCATGTGCCTGTTATGCGGAGGTAACTGCCGGAAGCTATCACAGAAAGTCTTAAGCAAGAATCTGTTTGCTGCTTGTATCGTGACAGAAAGCGGGTTGTTTGCAGCGGCGAATTGTTCGAGCAAGCCCAATGTTGATGCATCCGACAAGCTGCTGAACACTTTGAGAAAGTTACTAGCTTGGCAATTCATACCCGCAGCCTTTTCCAGCATGTCTGTCAAGAAGCCCATCTCACAGAGCAGGCAGTTGTCATAGAGACAGGAAGTGGCCGTGTGGTGAAGTGCGAGATTGCGTATCGTTGGTGTGAAACGTAGAAGCTGTAAAAGCGGATTTGTGTACGAGTTGGCGATATGAGTCTCCAGTCCTGAGTACTTCGTCTTGTTGTAGTACNNCTGCATCGTGTCAGTAATAAATAGGCCAATGCAGCATGTGAATACTGACTCAAAGTCGAAATCGTCTACACCAAATTTACTATATTTGATCTCGACGTTTCGATACATGACTGGGACATCTCTTCTGGTTGCACCACCAAGGGCCAAGTCGCCTAGTGCCTCAAGTGCATCGGACATGCGCCTTGTGCCTTCATGACCTTGAGAATCATCCTTTTGTCGTTCGCTGAGGAAACGAGGTGCCGCAAGTGTGTCGTGTGCTCTTTGGACGGCTCTGGTATCCTCGAATTGATATCTTCGTGTCTTGCGCGGGAATGGTGCATAGCCCCCGATGTCTGATCGTTTCAACGAGGCAAGTATGCCGGCATCAATCTTGCTCGGTGGTGCTCCGACCTCAGATATCAGATGACTAGGCCAGGCAGAGAACAACATCTCTCTGTAGTATGGCATACCAACCAAATTTAAAGGNTCTGCCAATAGTCAGCGTATGGCACTCGGAAGCTGAAGAAATACTCACATGTCCGGTGACCAGTCCATGGGTGTATTAGGTGCGGGCTGATCTGCAAATTCAGTGGGACTGCCATATTCGGTGAATTGGATCTTATTAGGAGACCCCCAGAGATGCATAGCGCATTGAGCGTCGGCAAGAACCAAAGCGTCTCCTGACGGTGCGATGTCTAAAGATGTGATATGAGTGTCAAAGACGTTTGCATGCCGCATGCTAGGCGCATCCGGGTTCATGATGTCAATGGCATAGATAAGTCCACCTTGGGATGCAACCATGCAGGTCGTTGACATCTTGGGGTGCATCCTGACAAAGGCGGCGCCTGGTGGGAATGGAACTGGTGGGAGAGGCATGAGAGTTTTGAGATCAAAGACATTGGCCAGATGATCCAACATGTACCCATGCTGTGGCCTTGAAGACCACCCGCAAGTGACAAGAACATCCGATCTAGCATCCATATCGTTGATGAATGCTGAGTGCGCTTTCCAGGTCCTAGCAACTTTGTAGTTGATCAGATCCAGAAAATGGACATAGCCATCAGCTGTACCAGCACAGATATACTGGCCACCGCGTTTCATCATGGTATATGGTGCATCTGCTTTGAGCNNTGTGATCTGGTCAGTAGAATTCATTAAGCACGTAGAGTGGAAACGAACTGTGGAAGTAATAACTCCCTTGTCAACGTCAATCTTGTACATCGTCTCCTGGCAACCGGCAACTAGAACTTCGTGGACACCTTTCGAGGTGAATGCCATGCAGCGCAAATCTTTCATGTCATCTTGACTGCAAGGATATCAGATCTTGCTTGGCTCTTTTCGGGTTTTTGCGGCACTTACTTGAAANTGCCATTGAGTCACTCCTTTCCGTGATGCCAAATGTACGCTTTTNGCCGTGATTGATATCACGCCGCGATCGCACATTAGCATCTGCTTGACAGGTCCTTCGGAAGGTGCATGGCCTCGGTAAGAAGTATATCTTTGCAACTCTGGTCCGTAAAATGATGTTATTCGACCCTGGTAAATTGAGATGAGCGGACTAAATCTTGTTGACAGACAATTGGATCATGAGCTTACGAATTCGTTTGCAGCCCATAGCAGCTCTTGCATAGAATCAAAAGAAAAAGTGCTGATTGGGGTATTCAGAGCATTTGGACTAGGCGGAGGAAGCACTACTCGAGCGACCTGAAAGACAAATGAACATGACAATCATTGAAAAATGCAACCGTCCGAGGGATACAGGGTCGCATTGAAGTTGTTGGGCGACGCCTTACCTCATCCCAATCTGTCTCCATTATCGCGGGATCGACTCGTTATATGCAGCATCACTTGCGCAGACAACGACATGTGGGTTAAGAATATTGGAGTTTCCCGTCTCGCATCAACAAAGGGAACGAACAGAACAAGCGACAATGGTGGTTCTCTGCAGCAATCAAGCGGCCATGCGAAACCGGGCGGGACGTGTTGTCTCCTTGGATTGACGCGTCTCGATGCAAGACGCCTCGGAGGGAAGCCACAACCAAGCCGACGCCGAAGTTTCCCCATTAGTAATGACGTCTTTCAGCGCTGCTTCTCATCGAAGAGATGGTCATCGTTAACATACTACAAAAATGCAGAAACGGTTATTCTCATGTCTGAGGACTTTGCAGCATGAGAATCCATTGGTATGTCATGATCGAAGCCGATGTTTTTTTAACTTTATCTGAGCTACAACAGNNGGACTGCCTAGATCTGGCACGCCGCCTAACCTAAGAGCTCGCATGCAAAGAGGTCTACCAGAGAAACGACCCATTAAAGATGTCAAGAAAGTCATTGCAGTATCTTCAGCCAAAGGTGGTGTTGGCAAATCAACGGTATCAGGTGTGCATTCATGCCTATCCCCAAACTCGACCTCCGGGCTAAAAGGAAACANNGTGAACCTTGCTCTCGCATTCGCAAGAAGTGGTTTGAGGAGTGGTGTCCTTGATACCGATATCTTTGGGCCCTCAATTCCAACTTTACTTGATCTTGAAGGAAATGAACCGAGACTATCAGCCAGTATCAGCGCCNCAATACAAACCGTCTTGAGATTTTGGCTGATGTGTGACACAGACAACCAATTAATACCGCTCACAAACTACGGATTGAAATCTATGTCCATGGGTTATCTCGTGCCGGAAACATCGGCAATCGTATGGAGAGGCCTCATGGTCATGAAGGCGCTTCAACAACTTTTACATGAGGTTGAATGGGATGGACTTGACGTCCTCGTCCTTGACCTTCCGCCAGGTACCGGTGATGTACAGTTGACCATAACGCAACAGATCGAACTTGATGGTATGAAGCGGTGCGTGTCGAATCACGAACAAAATGTTCTGACAAATTCACAGNGCGCGGTCATTGTGTCTACACCACAGGATGTTGCACTCAAAGATGCAGTCCGCGGTGTTGAGATGTTCCGAAAAGTGAAAGTGCCGGTACGACATCCAGTGTCTCTTTGCCTTGAAAACCAGCTGACGTTGTTTACAGNNATCCTTGGCATGGTGCAGAACATGTCTGCATTCACATGTCCGAACTGCTCTACCACACATTCTATCTTCGGTCGTGAAGGTGTCATCAAGAAGTGTGATGAGATGAACATCAAGCTTCTTGCCGATATACCTCTCCATCCTAGCATCTGTGAAGACGCAGATCGAGGAAAGCCCACGGTGGTTGCAGAGCCAGATAGCTTGCGAGCGCAAGTTTTCAAGGATCTGGCGGCAGAGCTTAGAGGGCAGCTGCAATTCTGAAACAAGCATATGCAATCATCAAGGCTGCAGGAAGCGCCAAGCTCCATGTGCTACTCTTATGAACCTTAGCCATCCTCCGCCAAGAAATCTGTACAATCTACCTGGTTGGACCGAGTTGCATTGCTCCAAATGAAGAGTTGAAACACAGGTAAAGAGTGGTGATCGGCGCAGCCTTGTAGCTTACCAAATCTACGTATAAGCTCAGCCACGTCAGCAAGGCTGGCTACCTACGCACGATAGATATAAGCGCCCATCGAATCTCTTCGTAAAGCATCATTCTAAATCTGACCGGTGGTCTGAGCTGTTGTTGCATATGCAGTTGTGCTTCTCAGAACTCTTCCTTGTTGTTGGACATCCTACACTTCTCCGAAGCCTGTGACACATATCTCGGCTACTGCCATGAATCCCTAAGTTCCGAAACAACTTTCATCATTTGTCTTTGTTATCTTCAAGGCACCTTTTATCAACTAACCACAGCCATGTATTCGAGCTTTCCAATTCTCGACGTTAGGCGGAGACGTATGTCCTGGATGTCGTCCTTCGTCTTGATTTGGGCTCTGTTCTGCTGCCCAACTCGTGCACAGAGCAAAATCAACCTGAACGCGAATCCTTGGAAGCTGGATTACAATGCAGAAGGTGAGCTTACTTCAAGAGATGCTTTCATTGACTGACAATCTGTAGCTGGTCCTGATGCTATGCCCGTCTGATCAGTCGTCAATTGATGCCAATAACATTATATCTAGGACGATGGAATGCCATTTCACAGCTGGTAGACTTCCCAGAGCAAGTGAGTACTATCCTCCATGCTCATCTGGATCGAGCAGAATCTCATGTGACTATACAGAACGTCACCTTCTTCCCGTCCCTTACGCAGACAAGCTTGTTCATACAAGCTAGTGCCTGCGACACGCAAAATTCAGCCTGTCAGCTGCAGCGAGCAAGCATGTGGACACAGAGCGCCGCACATTCACTTTTCGACTGGGTCAACACATCTGTCCCCGACGCTTCCGAATGGGATGCTGCGGCAACACCTCTGATGCTCGAGGGGTCGGCAGTCTTGACTACTGATCGAATCGTCTTGTGGTCGGCAGATCGCGCAGATGGACCATACTATCTTGATGGGGTGGCTATTACTATAGCTTCCAACTATACCGTCACAGATCCGGACCCGGATACGTTCTACACACTGGATGTTGGCATGGTGAGTCGACCAGCCCGGAGACCGTTCTGTCTGTACTGATTACTCGTCCGCAGTNTATCTCTCAATACTGGACTGAATACGGTGAACTGGACTACTGGAAACGGATCAGATGTTTCGTACGAGCATTTCCTGAATCGTGCTTATCAGACTGGAAACATTCCATCGGTTTCTTTCGGCCTACACGTAGGCTCTGTCTGGCCTCCGGTTCCGGGAAGTCTTGTGCTAGGCGGCTATGATAGATCTCGATGCATCAGTACGCCGATTGTATCGGACACAAACGACTTCTCGCTCGCCGAGCTAAGCCTAGAAGTTGCGTCAGGCGGCTGGCCTTTCTTGAACACTTCAAAAGCCGACCCCGAACATCTACTGCGTAGAGGTGATGCCAATAACAGTAACAATTCTCTGACGGTTATGCCCAATCCTGGAGTGCCATACTTGTACCTCCCGGAGGATACATGCTCAACTATAGCATCGTTCCTTCCCGTGACATATGATCGAACCGTTGGGCATTATATCTGGAACACAACACATCCAGCATTCGAAGCTATTGTAACATCGCCGTCAGCTTTGAGATTCTCGTTCAGTACAGGTTCAGGAGTCGAGAACATCTCAATACCTTTCGCACTCCTGAACTTGACACTGGACTATCCTCTTGCCAACACACCAACGCAATATTTTCCCTGTACTTCTTACACACCGTCTAATGGTTCGCCATACCACCTTGGACGCGCTTTTCTGCAAGCAGCGTTCCTTGGCCAGCACGGGCAGACACAAAAGACGTTCTTAGCTCAAGCTCCAGGTCCGGGTATGAGAGCTGAGGCTATCACAAAGCTTGCTTCTACCGACACGACATTGACGGCTATGGCTAATCCGCCAGAGTGGAACGCGACATGGACTGGACAACTGAAAGCACTTCCAGATAACAACGAAACAAACACGCTGGAGACAGATAAATCCAAAGGTCTAAGTGGTGGCGCGATTGCTGGCATCGTAGTCGGAGCAGTTGCTAGTCTCGGGCTATGCGTGATCGCAGCTCTTGTTTTGCGTCGTCGACGCACATCCAGCAAGCAGCAGACTGTGCATTGGGGTGGACGTCAGACCAGTTTGGAAAGAANNGACTTTTTAGGTCACGGCACAGGTACAGTGAGCGAATCTGCAAGCGAGCCTATCCATGAAATTTCGACTTCTCAAGCANGCGAAAAGAGTGGCAACAAGGATGGAGCAGTAGAAATGGAGGTACCGGCATATATTGGAGAGTTGCAAGGGAGCGATGTGTATCGGAGAAGTCAGGTGTTGTCTTGAGTTGAGGCAGATAACATGCAGAACAAAAGACCAGATATGATACTACGACCAAGGAGAGTTCAACAGTAGTGTCTCTGGCAAATGTGTGACAAGACGGTCTACTGTGTGTGTATTCAAAGGATTATTCAGAAGGAAGTCATGCACGCTTGAACCTGCCCTTTTCGTTGGTGAGTCCGAGCTTCTATATCACAAGTGGGGTAATCAGGACGCGTTCATTGGTCATTTACTGGGGTAATCAGAGCGACGGCTGATGCGGAGTGAGCAGGAACAAGAGATGACATTACGAAAGAAGATACGATGTAGAGCCGGCAATAAGCTGCTGTCTGGAGAAGAGGCTTGTTTACAGTTGGCAAGAAAGGCACGAGGGCTCGGTGTAGACCTGCCTAGCCTTCCGAATCCGCGTGTATCTTTGTGCAGATTAACCAGGTTTGGGCGTTGCGCTGACCAGCGGGAGCTCTGATGATTCGTCAATGACGATCCGCGGTGTTTAGCTCCGTCTGCTTCTTTTCTACATAAACGTGTCGGCCCCGTGGTCTTCTAGAGTCTCTTCTGGCCTTCTTGTCTCGCTCTCCTGTTTTACCCATTATCAACAGATCAATCACATCCATCATGAGCGTCAGCAAGTTGGCAGAGTTCGGCGTGAAGCATGTGGCTCGTGGCATTGGTCGTCTTTCTAACCATGTTCTTGAGAGCGGTGCAGGCAGCTACGTAACCACCACCGAGGGCCGCAAGATGCTCGACTTCACCAGCGGTATTGGTGTCACCAACTTGGGCCACTGCCACCCTGCCGTGACAAAGGCAGCACAGGAGCAAGTCGGCACACTCGTTCACGGTCAAGTAAACATTGCCTTCCAAAAGCCTTATCTGGAGCTCGTTGAGTCGCTCCTCCCTATGATGCCACACAAATCGCTCGACACTTTCTTCTTCTGGAACTCAGGATCTGAGGCTGTTGAGGCAGCAGTGAAATTGGCCAGACACGCAACCAAGAAGCAGAACATCATTGTCATGCAGGGCTCTTACCACGGACGCACATTCGGAACCATGGCCATGACACGATCGAAAACCATCTACGGCGAGAACTACGCACCTTTAATGCCTGGTGTGTTCTCAGTACCATTCCCTTACTGCAAGCAATGCTCGATTTCGCACAGCACCGACGGCAAGTACGGTTTTGAAAACTGCTGTATGGATCCCGTTCTGCAGCTCGAGCTGCTCCTGAAGCGTGAGACCGCTCCCTCAGACACAGCCGCTATCTTCGTCGAGCCTGTTCTTGGTGAGGGTGGTTACGTCCCTCCACCTGCTGGATATCTGAACGCTCTTCGTAAGATCTGCGACAAGCACAACATCCTCCTCGTCTGTGATGAGGTTCAGTGTGGTTTCGGAAGAACCGGAAAGATGTTTGCCGTGGAGCACTGGGACGTCAGACCTGATATTCTGATCATGGCCAAGGGTATCGCCAACGGTTTCCCTCTATCAGGCATTGTCTCTCGCAAGGAGTTGATGGATAAGCAAAACCCTGGAAGCATGGGTGGCACATACGCTGGTAACGCAGTATCATGTGCTGCAGGTGTTGCAGTTGCTAAGGCCTTCAAGGAGGAGAAGATTCTGGACAACGTCAATGCCCGCGGAGCAGAGCTGAAGAGCGCTCTCCAGGCAGCCCACAAGGACTCAAAGACCGGAAAGATCATCTACGACGTCCGTGGTCTCGGTCTCATGTTGGCACTCGAGTGCACACCTGGCAAGGGCTATGCCTCAAAGATCCAGGCCAAGTGCATGGAGAAGGACATGCTCGTTCTGACAACATCGATCTACGACACACTCCGTTTCATCCCTCCGTTGAACATCACCAAGGAGGACATGGCTAAGGGTATCAAGATCATCACAGATGCCATCAAGGAGGTTGCTGCTGGTGAAGATCCTAATGAGACTGCCACCAAAGGCCAGGCTCCAGAGTAGTGTATGGAGGCAATTGCTATCATGACAGCGAAAAATCAAGATTTAATGACAACCCAGATTCTATTCCTTATGTATACCTGATTTCCCAATATTTGGTAAGCCAATCACTTGGTGTATTCATGCTCAGTTACACGTTTTGAGTCTGGAAAAGACAAAACAAGAAGCTGGTGGTTCTCAAGACAATGATATTAGCATACAAGTTCAACAAACAACTATATGAAAATTCTTGGCAACATGGGTATCTCACGCAACAGCACCAGACGCCTGAGCGTTCATTTCTGCATCTTCTTTTACCCCTTCACTTCTACTTTGCAATCCCAAACTGTTGAGCACCATCATCTCCCGCCTCGAAACTGAACGGCCTATCCTTCGCATTGATAACAGGTCTGGGAGGCAAAGGCTTGTTTGGACCTGTCTTGACCCTCTGCATCACAGGCGCGGCGGTAAGTGGTCTCTTCTTGCCACCACCGATTTTCAGGATTGCGGGTAGACTCTCACGCTTGGTCTCTTTAGGTGTAGGGACTTCGGCAATGGGACTGGGGATAGTCGAGTTACTTGCAGCAGCGGCGGCGGCAGAAGGTGTTGGTGGAAGCATCTTAAACTCTGGCACCGAAGAAGAAGCACGGTGGCTTTTTTGCGATAGAGGGTGGATTGGAAGTCAAGGCGCGTCCGATGGGGTTGCTGACTTGGCGTCTGGGCAAGATAGCGGGAGTTGCAATGGCGGAAAGCAGAGCTGCGTCTCTTCTGCTGGCACTGCTCGAGACACTAGAGTGCATGCTGCTGACAGGACTGCGGCTAGGACGAGGAGAGGCAGCGGCAGGTGTCATACGAGGATCGTAGAGCCATGCACTCTCGGGGAAAGAGCCATGTTTGTTGTTGACGGCAGCAACAGCAGCTGCTTGACGAGCACGACGTCGACGATAGAGTGCGAATAGTATAATTGACAAAATGGCAACAGCAGCAACTGCACCGAAAGATATACCAGCGATCTCCTGAGATGACAGCTTGTGCGAAGTTGACTTCAGAGAGGTGGCGCTGGGGTTTGAGGTGTTCGATTCAGAAGAAGCCGTTGCAGTTGTGATGGACGAACTCGAAGAAGATTTCGTGGTCGAAGATGGAGAGGGTGTCGTGGTAGGAAGGATGAGGATCGAACTTGGGATTACACTGCTTGACTCAACGATGGTGGGAGATCCGGATGCAGTCAGGATGGATGTAATGCTGCTTGAACTAGTAGCAGGTACTGAGCTGCTTGTACTCGTGGAGGTGTTTATAGGCGTAGTAATACTAGACGAGGTTGTAGAGACCGATGTTTCGCTTGTGCTCGGAATTGCACTACTTGTAGCAGGGAGAGTGCTTTCAGAGCTCGTCTCTGAGGTAATGCTTGTCTCAGATGCCGAGGAAACTGCTTTATTTGCTGTTGAGGATGTCGAAGCTAGCGAAGACGACAGCTGAGCAGAAGATGTTGAAGTCGATGTCGAGTCACTACCCGATGATACTGCCGCGACAACTTGGAGCCCAGTACTCGAGGCATTAGCAGCGACTCCTGGCGTGACAGCTTGGCTGGCAGCAATGGTCGCCGAAGATAGTAAGAGCAGTGCAGTAGTTGTGCTCGAGATCGGCGATGAAGAAGGTGATTTCGAAGAAGATATAGAAGACGATGTTGAAGACGGAATAGCAGACGATATTGATGTTGAAGACGACATAGAAGAAAATGTTGATATTGACAAGTTGGTCACGCTTCCACTGGTGGATTTCAGTGTAGACATTGTGGTAGGCACCGAGGTAGCTGTGCTAGAAGGACTAATAGCAACAGGATTGGTTGACGACAGAGACAAGCTCAATGTCGTTGAGGAAGTTGTGTTATTCAGAATTGCGGTTGAAGAATTGGTAGTTATGGATGCAGACAATGATGAATCTGCGGATATTGTCGTATAATCAACGGTGGTGGTAAACGAGCTTATAGTGGAAGTTGCAATTGTTGTTTCGTTAAGTCTCGCTGAGACTGTACTCAGTAACGTAGAGGTTGATATGAGCGTTGTAAATGTGGTAGATTGGTTGTTTGATGAAGATCTAGGAGGGAAGGTGGAGTTTCGCCAGGCTGAAAGACTGTATAAGCATTCGGTAACAACCTTTGTTCAACAGAAGCCTTACTGTGAGCTCCTTTGAAGGCCACTACATGGCGAATCTGAAGCCATACAAAGAACCAAAGCATGTTCACAAGCCACATAATTGGCGTTCATAAAGAGAAGAAATGAACATGAGCAATTGGAGAACAAAGAACGAGGCAAAGAAAGAGGTCATAGACTTGGTCGTCTTTTGCATAGAGAAAATCGCAGTGTCTTGCAGACTTGTAGAGGGGTACAAAATAGCTGCGGGCAACATTAGTATGTGGTGCTATTTACTGCACTTGGGTGTTGGTTCGCAAATCGCCTGCAGAATAGAGCTTGCTGCGGTATCGAGGCACAGCCGCTTTGGTAAATCCTTCGAGTTGGTTAGCCACGTTCGCATTGGCGCGACCTAATATTAGTTGTACGATAAACCATGTTCAACGACGAGTCGTAAGCATCGCTTGGTGGGTGACGTCCTCTGACATGTTGTGTACCTGCTGGCGAGAACGACAGCTACCTCCGATAATGCTAGCCTTGTCAGCCACGTGCTGACTACAAAATACCCTTCAACGTATCAATGTATATAAGGTTCCTTGCTGCCCTCTTCATCGTCGTGAGTCTCCAGCACAGCGGCCACAGGTAGAAGATACAACTGGGATCGAATCTTGTGTTTAATGACTACCTCTGCCGCGAGGTGTTGTGAAGTGAGGGTTGGTATGCAGAGTCGACCAGTGTCTTGCCAGCTCGAGCAAAGTGTTCGTTCTTCCTGGAGGTTACCTGTATCGGAGTGCTCTTCGTACAGTTTACTTGTCTTCGCTGCCCTAGGAACCCGTTGAAGGACTCGGATGTAGTCACCAAGCGATTCAGAGCATCAATACACATCTCGAAAGATTGCGCGAACAGGGTTGTTTGTCGGACAGAACGTCTTTCGCAACAAATCTGCAGCTGAACAATTCGGACTCGCGTATCGGCATATGAGAGTGTTTGTAGAAAGGGAGAGAGCCTACGACTTGGGAGCCCGAGACAAGAGCGACGGAGTTGTCGGGCTCGGCACGTTGCTCTGCGGCGACTTGCAAGGTGGGGGAGCCGATGTTCGAAACAATCAAAACACTCCCAACAAAACAGTGTACGCGCTCATGACTTGACTGCGAAACCGACGGGTGGCTATATCCACTGCTATGGCTGTACATCGTTAGTATTGAACGTGACAGCACTTGATTTGTTGGGTGTTGGTGATTCTGGCTTCTATTCTTTGTTCTGTCCACAAACGCAACTAGCTGCGGGTGAAATAATTCTGCTGCGCGGCTAAACACCAACTCACGGTAAATCGAGATAAGCCGCGAGGTTGGAATTGAGCATCTCAGCGGACTGTTGTCCTATTACCCTGGGGGCTCTAAACGATCGAGACATGGTTTACAACGAGATCTATCACATGGAGGACGATACTTCTTTACAGCATAATCATAAGTAATGACTTACAAGCAGAGCGCGATCAGAATGTTCACTAATTCCACTAGAGTGTTTTCACAAGAGGCAGGGTACTGTGAGCGTCAGACAGTCTTTTGTTCTATCAGTGCATTTTTCGGGAAGGTATCACTCGCCGGATAAAAGCAATCCCAAACGCCTTCGCTAATATGATATCTTCTGTGCAACGAGACGGGAGCATGTCAAGTTTAACCAAGCAACTGCAAACGAGGGTTAGCAATGACTCCAGTTGGACATTGAAATTTATTACTAACCTTGAACTGACCACCGCCGGTGGCTTTGGCCTGCTTTTTCTGAACTCCAGCGCCGGTGTTGGCTCCGAGTGGGCCCTTGTCTTCCCTTGACCTTGTCTTTGTTGTTCTTGTTCTTGTTGTTCTTATTGTACCTGTTGTTNNGTTGTTGTCCTTCTTGACGACTGTCTTGATCTCGGTTTCGGCACGCTTGATCAAGACAGGATGACTGCTAATGTACTTGCCCTGCATCTCTTTTGCAGCTTGGAAGAACTCATCAGTGTTAGCCAAGCTGACAAAACCGAAACCNCTGCTCTTGGTGGTTCGTTTATCGCGAATGACACGAGCTTTCTGGACCGAAGGATATTTTGCGAAAGCTTTGAGCAGAGACTCGTCAGTCACCTCACCAGCAAGATTACCAACAAACAGACGTGGATGGTCGCCCCACTCGAGGAGCGTAGGATCTTCCCACTTNTGTCCACCTCCCTCACGGAGGACAGTCTTTTGCTTGCCCGACGTATCGACAGGCGCCGCAGGTCCAGCGGAGACAGTTGATGTAGAAGGTTGGGTCCTGTTGGCGCCAAGCGGTATGTTGTTCGCGTTGCCTACAGCTGCACCCTTGTTTGCTGTTTTCGATGGGTCGTCTTTGTTCGTGTATGCGCTCTGCCACTGCTGAATCTGTGCTTCCAACTCGGGATCATAGTTGCCATTACCGTAGAGAGAACCTTGGCCTGCGGCTGGGGGAGGTGCGAAGGGGTTCTTGATCTGAGGAGGAGTGTCGGTGTATTGCGCCTGGGTAGGATAGGCAGCGGCTCCAGGATAAGAAGCACCGGCGCCGGCGTAGTACGGTTGGCTGGCTGATGCTGAAGAGTATGTAGTAGGATAGTAAGACTGCGAGGCTGGAGCAGCCGAGTACTGGGCAGGGTAGCTCATGTTCGTTGCAGCATACGGAGCTGGAGCAGCGGGCGCAGCGGCGACATTGCGCGGCTTGAATCCGCTGAAGGCAGCGACATTGCGCGCAGGCTGAGATACCGCAGACGGAGGAGGCCTCGCTGGGAGGTTTGCTGGCGGCTGGGGCGTAGAACGCGCTGAGTTGGACTGGCTGGTGGAAGGTCCTTGAGTTGGGTGCGACATGATGGTCAAGGGTATGCCTACGTTGAAAGTTTTTTCCCTAATCTCACAAACACTTCGCTGGCTTGCCTCCGATATGCGCTTTCAATCAAGTCGTCGCGTACGAAGCTCCCAGAAACAAACGAGAATGACGGTGTGTCTTAGTGATCGATAGAGCAAGAGGTCTTGACAAGAGTTCCGAGCTGTCCGAAAAGGGTAGGAGTGAGGATTGCGAGGAGATAGAAAATAAGTCCGGGGTCCCGGTCGGCTAGATTGAAACGCGAATGGCGCGAAGAAGCTGATAGAAGCCGAAACACGATGTCGATAGTCCGTTGATAATTAGCCGCGTAGGGTGGCTATCTGATATACAAGGGCAGCGAGCAAAGAGGCTGAACGGAAGCAGTGGAGGTCTGATGGAATTCTTGACCCGTCGGCGTTTGCCAACGACTTCTCTCGCTCTCTGAGGCGTTGATGTTGTTTGAGATGGCAGCTCGCTGCGACGAGACGGTGAAGCACGGACGCAAGGCAGTCGCGGGAGGTGACGTCTAGCGCAGTGCTCTGGGCAGGTTGAGCAAGAGAGATCGGTAAACAGCCGTCATCGGCGTTCCATCGGGAAGGTACTCATCCAAATTGGCGTCGGCTTGGTCGGTTGTTTAGAAGGAGGGGGATATGGAACAAGCAAGAGCGCGCCGAGACAGGCAGCTACTGAGTTAAGAAAAAACCACCATCGGTGTTGAGCGATTGACACAACTCGCGAGTTCCTGCACATCCGCATCATTTCCCAGGCCTCACGCCGAAACACCAAACAGTAGGTGCAAACGTCGTTCGGGGCTGCTGCGGCATCGAGAGACGCTGACAGAGCATGTAATGTTTAGCACACTTTAGGGTCAATGCCACCTTGGCCCCTCCGCGTTAGTAACTCCGAAAGGTGTTGGGCTGCTTTTCAACACCTCCGGCCGCATCATCTCCCTCCCTCACACAATCTCCACTGACACAAGTCTTCTTTAAAAGCCTCAAGCCGCCCGGAGACTTCTTAGCCTCTCTTCCCAACTCAAACAATCCATCACCACCACAATGTCTTCTGATTCTGCTGTGTAAGTTCCTGTTCACCCTCCATCCCACTCTGCCCCACCATCCCACCAAAACATTTCTCCCGTTGCATTCCGTCGGCGGTATACACAACATGATCATGTCGTTGCCACGGATCAATGCCAGCTCTGGGAGAGCTCCATCGACAAGACAGCTTCCCCAATGATAGCTCTAGCTGTAGCTGAAGCTGACATGACTTTTTCTACAGCGGTGACTTCGGTCTCATCGGTCTGGCCGTCATGGGTCAGAACCTGATCCTCAACGCTGCTGACCACGGCTTCACTGTTGTTGCTTTCAACCGCACTGTCGCCAAGGTCGACCGCTTCCTCGAGAACGAGGCCAAGGGCAAGTCGATTGTCGGTGCTCACTCCATCAAGGAGTTCTGCGCCAAGCTCAAGAAGCCCCGCCGTATGATGATGCTCGTCATGGCCGGTAAGCCCGTCGACGACTTCATTGAGCTCCTCTTGAACGAGGGTGGCATCGAGGAGGGCGACATCATCATTGACGGTGGTAACTCCCACTACCCCGACACCAACCGCCGCACCAAGTACCTCGCCTCCAAGGGCATCCGCTTCGTCGGTACCGGTGTCTCTGGTGGTGAGGAGGGTGCCCGTTACGGTCCCTCGATCATGCCCGGTGGTAACTCTGAGGCCTGGCCTTACATCAAGGATGTCCTCCAGGGCATCTCTGCCAAGTCTGACGGCGAGGCCTGCTGTCAGTGGGTTGGTGACGAGGGTGCTGGTCACTACGTCAAGATGGTTCACAACGGTATTGAGTACGGTGACATGCAGCTCATTTGCGAGGTAAGTTCTTGATTCCAAGCTTCATTCGACTTGAACAATTTCCTGACTTTTGATAGGNCCTACGACATCATGAAGCGTGGTCTTGGTCTCTCCAACAAGGAGATGGGTGACATCTTTGCCGAGTGGAACAAGGGTGTCCTTGACTCCTTCCTCATCGAGATTACCCGTGACATCCTCTACTACAACGACGAGGACGGTTCTCCTCTCCTCGAGAAGATCATGGACTCTGCTGGTCAGAAGGGTACCGGCAAGTGGACCGCCATTAACGCTCTCGACCTCGGCATGCCCGTCACCCTCATCGGCGAGTCTGTCTTCTCCCGCTGCCTTTCTTCCCTCAAGCAGGAGCGTGGCCGTGCCTCCAAGCTCCTCCAGGGCCCCAAGCCCAGCTTCTCTGGTGACAAGCAGCAGTTCATCAAGGACCTTGAGCAGGCCCTTTACGCCTCCAAGATCATCTCGTACGCCCAGGGCTTCATGCTCATGCAGAACGTAAGTCAACTCTTGGTCTATTCTTGCCTTCACGATAGAATCCTAACACATTCCCACAGGNCCGCCAAGGAGTACAGCTGGAAGCTCAACAAGCCCGAGATTGCCCTCATGTGGCGCGGTGGTTGCATCATCCGCTCCGTCTTCCTTAAGGACATCACCAAGGCCTACCGCCAGAACCCCGACCTCGAGAACCTTCTCTTCGACGACTTCTTCAACAAGGCCATCCACGACGCACAGGAGGGCTGGAGAAACATTGTCGCCAAGGGCGCCCAGTGGGGTATCCCCACTCCCTGCTTCAGCACCGCTCTGTCCTTCTACGACGGTTACCGTGCCGAGAACCTCCCCGCCAACCTCCTCCAGGCCCAGCGTGACTACTTCGGTGCCCACACCTTCAAGATCAAGCCCGAGTTCGCCAACGACAAGTACCCCGTCGGCAAGGACATCCACGTCAACTGGACCGGCCGTGGTGGTGACGTCTCTGCCTCGACCTACAACGCTTAAGCGAAAGAATAATACGATGATGGAAGAAGAACAGCGAGGGCAGAGATACAGATGGGCCACGAAAATGATGGCACCGATCTCTTGCTATGCGTAGTGCAACGAAAGATAACCCCAATAGTCATGAACAAGCAATTTCCTTTACAGTTAAAAATGATACACCTTTCCTATGGAATCTACTAGCAGGCAACTCGTGAGGTGATGCAGTGATGAGAGTTGGTGAGACTGGCGACTGTGGTGGCATGTCAGTAGATGCGGGTGGGAAGTCGACAGCAGTCTCATGATAGTCCCTCAACCAGCGAGCAAGAGGGCACCGCTGTCATTCCAATTCATGTCCTCATTCGCCGACCACTCTCTTTCTTTTGTTAGCAGTCGAATGCGCAAGTCGTGAGGTTGTTTTCTTGACGGAGCAGTTCACATCGCGGTAACGTCGGTGACGAGGGCAGACCATCCAGACCATCAGCGGGGTGCCGACTACAACGCACCTTGATACCATGGCCGACGTCAAGCGCAATCCAGCAAAGGTCGGCGCTGGACAAGCGCCAGAGGCCATCGACAGCTTCACCGCTGCCATTGGCGCCCGGTATGCTACAAGTCCATGAAGCCCTTCTGTCCGCAGCCATCAGGAGACTAACCATGCGCCGAACCACAGTGTCAAGGTCACGACTGTTGCGCCTCACTCGCAAACTCTCCAGGGCACTCTCTTCACCGCGTGTCCTATGCTCAATGTCATCGCCATCAACACCGCCCCCGCTCCTCCGAACCCCTCATCCACTCTGTCCAACCAGCCCGGCGACTACCACATCATCCCCATCAAGCACATCTCGTCCTTCGACATTGTCTCGCTAGACCCAAATGCCGCCAAACAGACCATCAGCACCGTCCAACCTCCCATCGCCGCCGTAGACATTAAGAAGTTGCGCGACCGCGAAGAGGCCAAGATCCGCCAGTTGCGCGATCAGGNNGAAGCCAACAAGGGCAAGGGTGTCAGCCGCGAGGCCCAGCAGATCTACGATGCCTTGAGAAGAATGTGCGTTGCTACCACACATACATCCCTCTACATCATACACAAGCTGACTTGCCGTTCAAAACAGGNNCTCCCAACACGCTGGCACGGACAGGAGATTGTCGTCAGTGACTCTGTGATCATCAGTCCGCCGTACACTGTGAACGACTGCAAGGCTCCCAAGGGCAAAGACCAAGCCCTCGACAGAATCAGAATGATCTTGGATGGTGAGAGGAGAAAGATTGCCCAGCGCGCTGCTCAGGGAGGTACTCCTCCTCCTGGTGCCCCTAGAAAGGGTGGTTGAGAGATACTATATCCGCCAAAGGAGAGAAGAACAATGAGGGACACTCGCGCGAGCAGGATGCAGAGAGCATCGAATGCGTTGTTCAGATACCCATACCAGAAATCACAAAGCGTGTCGACAGACAGCATCTCTAAGCTATTATATTGCTCAGGTCTCATCTCATCCCTTACCTAGTCTTGTTCTCATGAGCAGACTTGATAAGTTGTGTTGTGCTCCCATAGCTGTAGAGGTCTACGACTTCTTGCCAATTGAATCTCGTGTATTGAGAGTTCATCAAGCAGCCAATCTTGATACTTGAACGGGCTGTTTGCAGAGGTATTACGGATGCTCCAGGTGCATACTTGTGAATAGAATCTGGGAGGTTGGTGTGTCACACTCCTGCGTTCGAATACATCCATCTTGAAGGATAAGAGGATTGTAAGCTATTAAGATGCACAGTTGCGTTCACATTGTGAGACTGTCCATGGAGATAGCCTTCGATGTTAATCCATCTCTCTGTGAAGATTACGTTCCTTGTGAAAATCATTGTGCATATCAGTATCTACAAAACGACAATCTTTAGCCCATGGAGAGGTCACTTTGGTATATACTAATTGATTATCCGGTGTCATTTATATGCACAAGACTTGTGTGCCCCAGGATTGTGCAGGCTTCGGGTTGTGCCAGGTGGTGCAAAGTTGTGCAGGCTTCACGCAAAAATCCCAAAACAAACTTCCAAAACTTTGCACCTTGACAGAACAACCACGAACAAAAGGAATAGCTTGCTGCCCCCTGACGGAGTCGAACCGGCGACCTCGGCATGATCTAGAGGATACTAGTGCCGCGCTCTACCAACTGAGCTAAAGGGGCTTGATGGTAAGTTGTTCTAAATTGCTCAATATGTACCAAAATAGATACTAGACCTACATCATTGCAGATCGGGTATCAAGGCCTCCTCTTCCTCCNNCCTGTTCACCAGATCTTCTAGTTCATGTCCCTCCCTAGCAATTCTGTAACATACACTGTCCCTAAGCCCCAGAAGTGGACTCGTATAAGCCCTTTCCTCCACCTCTCCCCATTTCTGCCATCCACATCTCTCGAGCAGCTTGAGACTAGCAACGTTCTCCAGATCCACATGAGCTTCCGCAAATGTCTGCTCCACTGGCATGGCAGCGAATAGTGCTGGAGTAAAGGCAAGTAGAGCTTCAGTGGCGTATCCCTTTCCAGCATAAGTTGGCGAGAACAAGTATCCAATCTCAGGGAAGGAAGGGCTGCCGAGGAGACCGATGACTGTGTTGGTGGTGTCTTTCAAACACACGGCGAAGTTGTAGATGTTGGGACCAGAGGTTCGTTCGCTGAGGTATGTTTTTGCTTGGTGGACTTCGGTCAGAGGTCGTCGGGANACTCGGTTGAATTAGTTTATGAGTTGAAGAGCTGGAAGAGTGGTTTACGTGTATCTCATGACAGAGGGTAGAGACATGAAAGCGAAAACGGCTTCTGAATCAGATGCTTGTATCTGGCGGAGGATCAATCGCGCGGTGATGATGGGTTCTTGTGTAGATGCAGCCATCTTGTCAGACGCTCAATGAAAACCCTTGTTTCCTGGAACGAATGCTTTGCCAGTGAAAGGATCAAGAAATACTTAAATGTTTCCTGTTTCGTTGAGTCACGAAAATTAATCAATGTCCCTGGTATGACCCTGCTCGTACTCCACATCACTCCCGCAACGTCTCCAAACCTCAGCCTCCCTATGGACCAAAACTGACAGTCAAACCAAGTCTTGGATACGCCACCACTTCCCGGGAGTGAGAAGGAAGAACCATGTCGAAGATTTCGGGGAACAGCGACAATGCAGTCTCTGCTTCGGCCAAGGGAGCCTCTTTTCTGATCCTCCTTCAGATCGGCTCCCGCGCTCTCACATTTGCATTGAACCAGATTCTCCTTCGCTTCTTGTCTCCAGAGCTACTGGGTGTCAGCGTACAGTTGGAGCTGTACTGTATCTCGGTTCTGTATTTTGCACGCGAAAGCTTGCGAGTCGCGTTGCAACGAAGGGCTGATGGCACGCAAGCTGTAATCAACATGTCCTATCTCGCCATCGCTGCTGGAGTGCCTTTGAGCTATGCACTTGCAAAACTATACCTCCAGACCGAGGTGCCCAGAGTGCCGTTCTTGATCCAGTCGTTAAGGGTGTATGGTATTGCAGCTATGGTTGAGTTGTTCGCAGAGCCCAGCTTTGTGGCTGCACAGCAGAAAATGCTGTATAAAGTTCGTGCTTCTGCTGAAGCTGCTGCAACAATCATGAAAACGTTTGCTACTGTTGGATTGGTTGTATGGGCGAGTCGGCAAAGCAGAGATCTAGGTGTATTACCTTTTGCTGTTGGACAACTGGCTTATGCTACCTCGTTGTTGGTAGTATATTTTACGAGACTTGCTCTGGTAGCAAAATCAGAGGGATTCTCTTTGTTTCTACGTAATATTCAGAGGTTCGTCACGTCTTTTGAAGAGACAAACCTACCCGGCAAGCTGACTGTTATTACANGCAAAACCGAAAAGTTCTGGTTGTCTCTTTTCTCACAGCCTTTGCTGAACCTCTCATTGAGCTTGACAATCCAGTCAAGTATCAAGTATGTACTCACACAGGGAGACTCTATCCTCATCGCATCTCTGGCCTCGCTCCAAGATCAGGGAGCCTACGCTTTGTCCTCAAACTATGGTGGCCTGATCGCACGCATGCTCTTCCAACCTATCGAAGAAGCCTCTCGCAACCTTTTCGCCAAACTCTGCGCACCAACTACCTCATCTGCAACGTCCAAGCAACCCGATTCAAAGGAACATGGAGACGGCATCAGACAGGCTAATAGTACTCTCACCCTCATCTTGAAGGCCTACTCCTTGATCTCCCTCGTCGCCTTCGCTGCTGGCCCTACCGTCGCACCCGTCCTTCTTTCCCTCGTAGCAGGAAGTCGCTGGTCTCATACAGGCGCTGGCGAAGTTCTGGGCTGCTACTGCTACTACATCCCTCTGCTGGCTCTCAACGGCGTGTCTGAAGCCTTCGTCGCCGCTGTGGCCGACAACAAGCAATTGTACACCCAGTCAATCTGGATGGGTGGATTTNTTGCAGCCTTTGCAGGATCAGCATACCTCTTTCTCAGAGTATTGGAGATGGGGGCAAAAGGCCTGGTCTGGGCGAACTGCGTCAATATGGGGTGCAGGATCTTGTTCAACCTATCCTTCGTCAAGAGCTTCTTTGCGAAGAAAGGACAGGTGAGTTATCTGCATATCAAGTACCTATCTAACATGACTTTGCTGATCGAGTTTCCAATAGNNGCTTTCGATGTGATGAAGATTCTGCCTTCGGCTGTGAGTATCGCTATCGCTGCGATCGTGCCTAGTATCCTCAAAGCAACTACTGGGCTGTTGTCGAGATACGGCATTATCGGCGAGCTCGCCAGAATCGGAGCCATTACTGGTGTTTTTGTTGTTGCATTGGCATTGTCAGAGCGCAAGTTCCTTATTCACGTTTACAAGCAGATTAGACCATGAAAGGCATGTAGAGGGTTTGCACAAAAGGTGTTTAGGTTTTGCATTTTCTGTATAGAGAAGTCGCTGCTTTCAATTGCTCCTTCCAAGTTTGCTTCATGACGATCCTATCACGTTGATTGCTGGAGGCTGCTTCGTGTCCATCTCTCTGGCGATGTGGCCACCTCAAACATCTCTGTGCATTGCGATAGACCATTTACAACCAGTGTTCGGCTGCGAGAGAAGAGTGATGGCAGGTCTGTGGTGGGTCAGTCACTAGGTGAATAAAGCAATAGAACAGCAGGCACGACTCACAGGACTGACTTGGTTCACTGGTCCTCCTGGTACTCCTTTCCCTGCTCGCGCTTCAAGGCAGCAGCGACCTTGTCGCCAACACCACCGAAGAGACGGCGAATGAGTGACTTCTGTTCACCACCCTCCTTCTTCTTGGCAATGTCCTGCTCGCCCTTGGGATCCTCAACGGCAGTAGAGGCCATGGAGATGGTTTCCTCATTGGCTTCTCTGCGGGCCTCCTGCTCAGCGGCGTAGGCGGCAGTCATTCTGGAGGCGGCAGCGGCGCCGGCAGGAAGGAGTCTGCCATCGGCGCCAATGCTGTTGACGCCGGCCATGAATGGTTCGCGGCTGGGAGCGTTGGGAGCATTGGGAGCGTTGGGAGCGTCCATGTTGATGGCGAGGAGGACGATGACGATCTGATGATGGTTGTTGTGGGTGACGATGGCGGCGTCAAAGTAGATGCAAGGTGTGTGATTGGGGATCTTGAGTCTGAGAGGTGCAAGGTGGATAATGTTGCGAGAGGGTAGATGGGGAAGGTCGACCGTATACTCGAGGCGAGTGCGCTTGATTCTNGGAAAGGGGCGGCGGCGGCTGCGGCAAAGATGGATGGTGAGGGTTGAGTCCATGGTTGTTTTTATAGTCAGCCTGCGGCTGAGCTGCTTAGTCGTCGTGCGGCTTGACAGTTCGTGCGGCTGGAGGGGTGTGATGGTTGTTGTCGTGACGATTTCGTGTCGAGAGCGTGTTGTTTTGGTGCGAGATCGATTCACTTCTGGGTGAGGACACTGGGCACCAAGAGACAAAAGCGAGAGGCAGCCTTCACTTATTCATGGCAATGATAGGGAAGACAAGGAGGCACTGTTTCATCTACTCGTTCATTTCTGTGTATGGTTCAACGTGGTCAACACAAAGGAGCCACATGGTTCCAGTCGACATATCCTAACGACCATACTGGTGCGGTGCATGTTGAGTTATCGAGTAGTATCAATCCAATCCAATCCAATCCAATCCAATCCTATGGTTGAGAGACCGGCAAAGAGACAGAGACGAGAAGGGTCAGATAGAAATGAGGAGTACCGGCTCTCAATCACTTACCCCTGAGCATCACCACCCCTTCACTCGAGCATGAGTGAGGTGTTAAATACCAAGGAGGCTCCTTTCCTTGCACCTCTCCTGGGGGACCGATACACGGCACTTTAGTGCAGTGGTCATCCGGCTAGCATTCCCGTAAGGGTTGCCTCGTTCAACATGGTCGTGAGCCCTAAGGAGAGGTAGCTGGGGTTCGACCCCAGCGACAGCACCTACTTTCGCACCTGGATTTCTGGATCTGGACTTTCTGGACTCTGGATTTGAATAGAGCAGAACTCAGCCAACCGGCGGAGTTTGTCTTCCCTACCCAACCGCGGGTAGGGTTCTGTTTTGCTAAAACGAGCACTTACAGTTCTTGACTTCCATCTTCGTGCTGGGATGAGATGGATGAACAGGAGTTTGGTAGAAAAGAATGCATTGTGAGACTTACAAGACTTACCAATTCAATACATCAAGTGACTGTGTGCATAGGGAACCGGTGATGTTCAAACAGAAGAAAGAGCATCCCTATAGATGTGCTTAGTGATAATCATCTAGTCGCTATGCAGCCAGTCTGGCTCTGCGTCGTCATCCTCAGGATCGTGAGACAACAATGATCCGTGGTCATCTTCTTCCTCTCCTTGTCGGTGAGCGCCTGTCGAGTCCTCTCGGGGCAATGCCGTAGCTTCTGTATCCATCTCATCAGGATCAAAGGTATCTTCCGCCTCATCAGGATCAAAAGTATCTTCTTCCTGCTTCTCGAGCACAGAATCTCCGCCTTGCTCTTCTGCATCCATCTGCACCTCATTAGATGGCGGCTGAGCGTTCAGCTGAGCCTCAGAACCATTGTTGTCTAGCAAAAATCCACCACCAGTGAACTCTTCGTTGACTTCAGGGACGAAGCCACCCCCAGACTCGAGCGCATCATCTGCTGGAATGAAACCACCAGAAGTCTCGTTAGTAGGCGCAGTGTCAGCAGCGTCAGGGAGAGTGTCATCATTGCTCTCCGGCATAAACCCGCCTCCAAGCTCATTCGCATCCGCATCTGATAGAAAGCCACCGTCAAGTTTCTCACTTTCTTCAGGGTCGTCCGGCACGAACCCACCTCCTTCCTGAATGCCTGGGTCGTAGTGCTCGTTTTCAGAAGCTGGCGGACTCTCAGTCAACATGCGACGACGTCTGACAGGCGGCTTTCGAGGTGATGGTTTATACTCTTCTTCGCTCTGATCTTCGCTCTCAAGATCACTCTCAACCATTGTCTTTCTTTGTCTCCTGAGCCGAGGTGCTTGCTCAGCAATATCGTACTCATGGTCAGATTCAGGAGCACCATTGAATCGACGAGCAGTCGGCACTGTGATCTCGCCTGCATCTGGAAAGAAGCCACCAGCCTCCATTGAATCATCCTCAACCTCCTCCGCCTCATCCATCTTCGCTTTGACAACCTCCGTTTTGGCAGTCTTTGGGCCAGTAGTAGTGTATTCGCTCAATCGTTCCTTGATCCGCAGACCGGCTAGGAAGCGACGCCAGAGCTTCAGGCACTCCAAACTGTACAACCGAGCTTCCTCGTTTTCCTGCTCGTACTGGAAGCCCTCTATAACCGCTTCAACAGCCTCACGGTACTCTTTTGCGACAACAACGCCAGATGTGACAGCTGTACCGTGACGTCCTTTAAACTGGAAGCCGGTCACAGCATCGGCATAGTCGATACCAAGAAGACGAGCTGCATTCTTGGCCGATGCATTCCGGATGTGACATCCTCCAGGAGGTACCATAGACGGAACATATATGTCGAGATTGCCAAAAGCGTTCTTCGGTATCCTGCCATTTACAACAGGTGGTGGCACGTATAACGACGTTTGGTTGAAAGCATAGAGGGCTGTGGCTGGCGATTCGTCCGTGTCAGCATCATCCAGGTCTTGAGCTCGACTTTTGGACACTCTTGCAGGGACATGTTTGAGTGGGTGTTCGTTTGGCTAGAGAAATATTGTTTAGTCAATGTTGAAACAGCACAGAGAGTTTTGCCATACCTTAATCTCACGGCCGAATCTGTACCATTTGTCGGCGCTGCGTACAATGTGCACATCGCTACGTCGATAGACAGGTTCCAAGGCTCCTTTACCTACCGCGACTTTCCCGCTTGCTCTCTTCGGCCAGATAACTTCGTGCCTCTTGAGATGTCGTTCCAGAGCATAATAAGGATGGTCTTTGAAATCTTGCACGTTATTTGGCAACCCCTCAGAGGCATCTTTCTTGGCAAATTCGGCATCCTCAAGTTGATCGCGGTCGAGATAGGTCGGTCTCCGGAACACTTTGAGCGCTTTGCGCCACCACTCCTCTCCTCTTTCTGTTACCTCAACTCTTAGCTTGCGAGTCTTCGCGTTGTAAGCCTTGGTATAGCGACGGGTCACATCCCTTGCGATGCCGTTGTCCTCGAAAGCTACCACATATGTCATGGCGTTTGCCTCGTAAGAAGCGGGCGGCTCTAATTTGCCTGGCTTCGCGACTGTGCCAGTCACTACGGGGTCCACCGGTACCCATTTCTGATAAGCTTCGTTGAATGCTTCTACCCAATATACTGGATACTCGAGTGTGCGAACTGTTCGTCTTTTCTTNCTTGACTATACTTCGTTAGTACCAGAACATGCGCTAGCTTGTGACTTCTTACCTGGCGGTTTAGGACCAGGTGTGGAGGAGCCTGCATTCAGAGTTGCATTTCCGAGTCGTCGAATGCGACCAGGAGCAATAATTCTGCGCCGAGAGGTGCTTGAACCTTCAGATGCAGAACCTCCAGATGTTTCTCCACCACTTGTGTTGTCTTTGTCGCTTCCCGCATAAACAGTTGGTTTGCCTTTGAGTGGCGTGGCTGATTTAGTCGCAGCTGTACCGAAAGGAAGAGGTTGCAGTGAGCAGACCAGTCGAGCCTCCACGCCAACGCATCTCAGAAGGGCGCAGAAGAGCTGCGCACCCACATCTTGAGAGCCAGAAAGGGTCATAGCTGCCTTGACGAAGTCTCGCTTCTCGACGGGAGGCATCTCTTCTTGGATATTTCTTATTTGNCTAGAACATGGGTCAGCATGCTAAGGAAAAGGTTAGATGATACATCCAATTACCTCTTTGATTCCTTCTGGCCCCTCTGCCCAATTCGGTCGACGTAGACCAGAAGCTGTTACATTGAACTTATGTCTCCAAACAAAAACAGCTTTCTGTAGTCCAGTTAAGAACTGCTCTGACTGTCCGAATTGAATGAGAGACTGATCTGGATGTAGAAGTGATACAATCTCCGGCATGAGGATGACTTTCAGCTTGTTCTGATGATAATCAGCTTTCTTGTAAATAGAAGCAAGCATAAGAAAGATGGTCAAACCTTTNACTTCTGGCAAGTTGCACCAAGCATTGCGAATATGAACGTGGAAGAGGAGAAACAATAGATGAGCTTCATGAGCTTCAAGCCTTAATAGTTTTTCTGCAGTAGTGGCAGGCTTCCGTTTTGCTATCGCTTTTCTCTGGGCTTGTTTGGTGCTTATTTCCAGCGATATATCTCCAAACTCGTCTTCTTTTTGAGAAGTAGACTGTTTAGGCTCAACGTGGTCCAGACCGACTTGCTCCCAGTCCATGTCATCGTCTTCAGACTCATCAGAATCGATTATGGTTTGCTGCGGTCTGGATGGTGCTTGCTCTTCAAGACTGTGGTCATGTGACGCCTGTCCCTCATCTTCGGGTTGCTGATGCGATGTCGCGGAAGTGTTGGTGGTCGACGGCTGAGTCTGTCGCTGTCTTGCAACTCTGGGTCTTTTGAGAGGTCTTTCAGTCACTTCCGGGACAGACGCCTCAGATATCAGGCTACGATATACATCGCGGTCATCATCGGGGACCGGAGCATTGCGTTTCGATCTCCTGGCTGCACTGTGAACCGCAGCAATTCTATCCTGGGCTCTAGTCTGCGCCTTGCTTTGCGCTGTAGAAGGAGCCATTGCGCCAAGTGTGTGAGCAGTGTAAGCGTAGCCAATGAAGCGGTTCCAACTTGCAAAGCATTTCAGTTGAGGCTATCAATCTTTCACGTAGGCTCGCTGGTTGCCACACTTTGAGCCGAAAGTACTTTCATTCGACTGTTTAATGGTGGAACGGTATGCGAACGCTGAAAGAGGAAGTGTGAGGAAACCGCGTTCCTGCCATGCTCGGCATGACGTATCAATTTCGGAGCGCAACGCGCTGGCTACACGCTCAACCTGAGTTCATCGAGACCTTCACGACCTTCCTCGTTCTGTCACCGCATTTTGTGCTTGCACACAAGTGACTCCTTTATCTGCGAGGCATGTATCAGGTAAAGATATCCTCACACCCGGTCACTCGTCTCCCGCTCGATCGAGAAGGAGTCCCTGAGAAACCATGCAGGTATCGCGACAGCGCCGATCGAAATCGCGTGCAACGGAGTCGGACCCATTCGAGATCCGACTTAATCTAATCTGGTATCAAACCAATCGGGGATTTGCGCGCCGAACGTGTCCAACATGAACCTGAGGGTATCTCGTATGATTATAATATTGTTTGATGGATGGAAGAATGGATACAACAGCGTCCGCGACCTCCCCGACAACTGCGTTACCACGTCTGTTCTGTTGCCTATGATCGGGCCTAGCTCCAAAGAGGAACGGTGGACGGGTCTCACATTCACAAAGATCGAGGACGTCAAGAAGCTTCTTTCAAAGCACTGACCGTGTACTTCCAACAAAAAACGGCCCAAGCAAAGCCACCGCTGCGAACAAAGAGTTGCAGCGAGGAGTGGTTGGCTTGGGATGACTAATGATGGCCGATTGCTGCGATTCGATCCATGACGGGCGTACTAGTGTGTCCAAGGAGCAGATCGGGTTGATAGAGGATCTAGACGCTGGGGTAACTATGGAATATCTGCCGCTGGCATCCTGCTGTCCTCCCTGGCCATCACATGAAAGGGTACTGCCTGGCAATATATTGAAGTAGTCCCTGTCAACACTTAGACCCTTACATCCTTCAGTTCAGACCTTTCTTATCACAGCATACCCCGCTTGCAACCGCCTTGTTTGCTTAGCATCTCTTTCTCACCTATCAGTAATATCTTGGACACTTCTGCCACTTTCGACGAAAGCATGCACCCCTCACCTTCTCCCAGACCATGCAAACGCCAGCGTACGATGGTGACTCCTCCATCGACTATACACGACCCCGAGTCGACATCCATCCTTGAGCGCGCCACTAGGGTCCTTTCTATCGAAGCAACCGCGCTATCACATGTCACCAGATTGTACCAAACAGATCCTCATGCCAGAGAGGGACTGCTTGGTGCAGTTGAGTGTATCACCAGATCACAAGCTGCTGGAGGAAAGATTGTTGTCTGCGGAGTGGGCAAGAGTGGTCTTGTTGGCAGAAAGACGGTCGCGACGCTGAAGAGTTTGAGCATCGCAGCCAGCTTCATGCATGCTGCCGAGGCCGCACATGGTGATCTTGGCGATATTCGCGAGGTATGTTGACCGCTCTAAGAGGTTTCACACACCAGACTGACAAGAATGTGCAGCNACGACGTATTGTTCTTCATCTCGTACAGTGGCAAGACTCCTGAATTGCTCAACCTTCTTCCTCACCTACCTCGCAACCTCCAGATCGTCGCCTTGACCTCGCAATCGAAGGCATCCGAATGTCCCCTCCTGAAAGAGCATGAGAATGGTATATTGCTTCCAGCACCTTTGTTCGAGTTGGAAGAGGTTTCTTTCGGTGTGTCGGCGCCAACAACATCCACAACCGTGCAGATTGCCATTGGCGACATGCTGGCGCTCACTGTGGCCGACCAGCTGCACGAGAACAAGGGCAAGACCTTCAAGAAGAATCACCCTGGTGGTGCCATTGGAGCTGTGACTAGAGAGTCGGCAAAGAGTATTGCCGATGCTTGTCAACAGCCTGTCACTCCTCTTGAGGTCGTTCCTCTTGAATTGCCATCTCCAAGTCTTTCTGCACAGAGCGACTCCTGAAAAAGCCTTGTCGCGTCAGCAAACAAATGCTCCAGGAATATGACCCTTGATCTGCCAGGACAAGCTATAGTGCCAGAGGTGTAAATTTGATGCTGGTCATCGAATTGGCGATCTTATTGCCGACAGGTCATCAGGCTCGCGAGAAAACGGCAAACTGCCTTTGACCTTGGTGATTACATGAACTTGGTATATGTTCAGGAAATACTCTCCTTTGTTGAATCCCGAGACAAGTCCCATACTCCACTCTGTTGTCTGGCGTCTGGTTGTTAGGAGCGAAACCACATTACATGCCTTCGTCTTGTTCGAGGCCAATCTCTGAGGTTGATATGCAGCTGCAAGGGATTAGGGCGGCTGAAACGGAGTCCCCAGTCTTTATCGGATATCCCGAGCAGTCAGAATTGACATGGTCGAAGTGTGGTGGATGGAAACGGAAAGCGTCCTTGATTTGGAACGCATCAGAAATCCAATCCTTGAGCAGCAATTGGCTGTTCCACCACAAATCCCGTTCCAGAAAGTTGTTTGCTAAACATTTTCCAATGAGAAAGACGGAGAAGGTGTTACAGTCGCGCAACCGAGCTGGACATGATCCTTGTACTCCGCCTCACGGAGTCGGTGTCCTCGAACCTGTCTGCATTGGGCACGACGCCAGCTGATCACCAAGCGATTGGCCGTGCGAAGCCTCGACACCCGCCCTTCACCTCCCAAAACTTGTTCTGTGACGACATCTCACACTACTGTACACTTGCCTGCCAAAGAGGCATTCCGTAGCATCACACCTCCTATCTTCTCAAGCCTCTAGCTCTCTTCGATGCGTTCACGTCACAGTACCGACGTTTAATCTATTTTCTGTCCCGGTCGCGATGCATGCGAATCGAACCATGTGCCTTATATCTGGTTTATATTGCTTTGTACCTTTATCAATGGCGTTGTGACGTGTGATCTTCACCAGTTCATGCGTTGTTATTACTTGGAGAGACTCAACATCCTCCTTGACTTGCGATTTTGTGCTTCCAATTCGCATGACCTGAACTTTCATCTCGACAGACTGTGATCGGTCCTGTCAGCGAAGCCTATTCTACTCACAACCAAAGATACTATTGTTTTCAGCTGGTCATCTACGCATTATGGACGTGCAACTGGACGATAATGTCACCAATGTCGAATTAACAGAAAGAGAAGGAACACCACAAATATCAATGATGGATACCACAAAGCGATCAAACAACCGATATCTCGTCAGACTGGGCGCGGTCGCCCTCATCGTCGCAGCGACTCTACCTNTTTTACAAAACCCAATACCGACTGAGAGCAATGCCACCCCTAGCATAGGTGTCGATAGCCGAGCTGTCCCTGTGGAGAGGAAGTTGGTTCTTGAAACTCGAGCAGACAGTCCAACCGACGTATGTACACGGTGGTCACACCAATCTGCTGTGATCAATGGAACCCTCTATATCTATGGTGGACAAGCCACCACCGAACCTGGACAGACCGAGAACAAGTGGAGTAGGACTGCCAACCAAAGTCTGTTGTGGCAGGTTGCTAAATATAACTTCTAGNACAACGACTTCCTATCGATGGATCTCACCAACAGTTGGCAAATCTCCAACCCTTCCCTGACAGGCCTACCACAACCATCCGGCCCCCCGAACGTGTCAAACGGCTTCTTGTGGAACTCCCACGAGTCCGTATATCTTTATGGCGGAGAGTTTTCAGACAGCCCTCTCGATTCACCAACAGCATTCTCGCTTTGGGAATACAATGCCATATCCTCTCAATGGATCGAACATCAGAATCCAACAACTTCATCTGGCGACAACGCTCAGTCTGGCGACCAACCGGTACAACGTGCTGCTGAAGGCGCTGGCGCCTCAGTTCCAGGATTGGGGCGTGGGTTCTACTTTGGTGGGCATGAAGATACCCATACAACCGAAGGATGGTCGAACCAAGTCGCACGAATCTACATCAAGTCTTTGATCGAGTTCACCTTCCCAGGATATCAGAACAACCAAGTAGCCTCCCTATCGGACAACAAAGCTGCAGGCAGCGATGGTGCATGGCGCAATGTCACGGTGGACAGTGCAGGATTCCCAGAACGTGCAGATGGACTGCTTGTATTCATACCCGGGTTCGGCGACCAGGGCATCCTCCTAGGCCTGGCTGGAGGAACAGAAGACACTNTTCGTAAGTCGATACACATTCTATACAGCGCGTTCGTGTTGGCTATCGAAATGCACACATTGGCCCCATACAAGAAACCAAGCTGACAGTCTTAGACACAAATGAATGTTATCGACGTGTACGACATTGCTACCTCGACTTGGTACAAACAAGCAACAAGCGGACCTACACCAAGAATTCGCGTCAACCCATGTGCTGCAGTAGCAGCTGCCTCGGATGGTAGCTCTTACCAAGTGCATATGTTCGGCGGGCAAAACCTCATTCCTGCTGGCAATCAGACTCAGTATGATGACCTCTGGATCTTGACCGTTCCTTCTTTCACCTGGATCCAAGTTGATCAGAGCTCACAATCAGTCCCACCTGGTAGAGCCGGTCACTCGTGTCAAATGTGGGATGGTCAGATGGTGGTAGTTGGTGGTTATGTGGGCGACCAGCTCAGCTGCGATAGTCCTGGCATCTACGTGCTCAATGCAAGCAGTTTAGAATGGGCAACTGGATTTACCGCATTGAGCGGAGGCTCAGACTCGGATTCTTCAGTATCTTCTGGTGCTTTCGGAGGCTCTTCTAGCACAGCTGCAGCATCATCGTCCGGCGCATCTGCAGCTGGAGATACAACATCCCCAACCGGGTCAGGGTCCAGAAATTGGGTCTCAAACGCTCGTACAAATCCATTCAACCAACAACCAGCCCAACTAGCCAACGGCAGCAGTCCAGGTGGTCTCGAAGGTTCCTACGGATATCAAGTTCCTGATGCCGTTATCTCAGTTATTGGCGGCAACGCACAGGGAGGTGCGACTGTCACGGCGCCTGCTCAGACACCGATTGATGGACCGCTAAAGACTGGCAGTCCAATCATCTACAGCACCGTGACTTCCAGTTCAACTACAACAGCTACAAATGGCTCTGGTGGCAACTCGAATTCCGGATCAGGAAACAAAGGCAGCAGCGGCCCCAATGTCGGAGCTATCGTTGCTGGCGTGATCGCAGGTATCCTCTTCATTATCGTCTGTTACCTTGCGTTCTGTGCTTGGCTCTACCGCAAACGCCTTCGACTATACAAACGCCACGTCGAAATGGCACAGCGACAGGCGCTCAATGAGAAGACTCACCCGACCATCCCAGGTCTCATTCCTACAGGAGCAGGCTTCTCAAGTGGTGGCTCAGGCGATCGTCGTCCATGGACCTCAAGCGAAAACGCCAGTGGCAAAGGAAGCTCGAACCGCAACAATGATTGGGGATATACTGAGGCTTATAGGACAGATACTGCCGGTCAAGGCAGTGTAGATGGTTTCTTGTTGAGGAGGAGCAGTGATGATAGTGGTGCGCCTGAAGATTTGTTGGCTGGCAATACTCCATCCTTCTGGGGCACTGTTCTGGCACCGAGGCGCAGTTTGCGTGTTGTCAATCGCGATTGAAATGGTAAAGACGGATCAAGCTGTGTTCGTAGTACTCTATCATCGAGGGATTTCGTATGCAAGCTTGCAAAGCAAGTGTGTAATGTATCACTCAAATGTATTGATTCTTTCCTTCTTGCTACGTACCTCGTACCTCTATCCTGCTACATCACCAGCTTTGGAACATGCCTGCCTGATCGCATGCGCACTGGGTAGAGTAAAAGCTTTCGCCGTCTCGGATTAAATTAAGGAGTAGAACACCACATGGTTCACACATGATAGACGCACAGGCAAGAGAACACGGTGTGTAGATTGGCATCAATAAAACTTTGTCATTTCATTCTCGCAAACATTGGTAGCGACTGTGGCATAGCATATCATAGTGACACTTCTTAGTAAGAAGCAGCACACTCCTTCTGACGCTGCTCAAAGACCTTGACGACCTCCTCAGCAGCCTTGACACCACTGAGTGCCATGGCACCGAAGGTAGGTCCCATGCGGTTGGCACCGTCGACTTCGGAAAGTTCCATGCCGCCGACGATGAGGCCAGGGACGATCTCGCGGGTGCCCTTGACGATGGCGTCTTCGGCGGTGTTCATGTCGAGACCGCGCATGCCACCAAGGCACTTGATGGCCTGCATGCTGACAAGACGCTTGACGGAGAAGGCACCGAAGGGGCCGTCGTGGCCAGTGGTGGAGATGATGACAGGGGCGTTGATGGTGTTGGGGTCCATGCATGACTGGTCATCGTGGTGCATGCTGACCTGTAGGAAAAGAGTCAGTATCAAAGCTTCAAGAGTATGTGCAGATGCTTTTCGACTTACCAAAGTCCAGTTGGTGACAACACCGGCAATCTGGATAGTTCCATCCTCACGAGGGCGGGTGATGAGATCCTCAACGGCAGTGGCGTTGAAGAGCTTGACGTTAGGGAACTGCAAGACCTTGCTGAGCAGGGTGCTGGTGAAGAGAGCGGCATGCTTGACGACAACATAGTTGCTGTCATCGCCGTCCTCCTCGTAGTCGACACCAATCTCGCGGAGGAAGGCATCAGCAGGCTTGCGCATGACCATGGCAGAGAAGAGCTGGCCACCGAGCCAAGCACCACCACCAGGGCTGACACTGGCCTCGATGATGGCAATCTTGAGGTCAGGACGAGCCTTGGCTAAGCAGTATGCGGCAGAGAGACCGCAAGAGCCAGCGCCAATGATGACGACGTCAGACTCGGCGTACTTGTCCAAGTCGGAGAAGTAGCGGCGGGTCATGGCTCTGCTGACCTGCGACTCACGGATGGGACGGAAGGTGAAGGACTGCCAGTCACCAGCCACAGCCTCAATGGTCTCGCCCTTGGTCTTGCCTCCAACGGGAACAGCAGACTCATGAGGAAGGTTCAACTTCTTGGAAGGAACGGTGGGTGAGACGGGCTCTTGAAAAAGCATGGCTGGGGGAGACATTGTGGTATGATAGGGTCAAGATTGGTAAATCTGTTGCAGGTTAGAACATGCCATGGAGGCACAAGAAGGGGTGGTTCGGTATGCATGATCCTTTCGCTGGTATTATCCAGAAATCAAGTTCAGGCGGTCTAATCTCAGAACGATAGCGAGGCGATACAGTTCTGACACCAATGTCCATAGATCGAAGATCAATGGGTTGGCAGACAGAAGCTCGCTATCGGACACCCGCTCATGCATCAGGTAAAACCCGTTGTTTAAGTTACCTTGACCCTTGATCATCTCTGATCAGAGAATACCATTCGAAAAGAAAATCACGCATCGATCCATGATGGATGAGCGTACCGTCGAGCGGTTGGACCTGCTCGAAGAGTCAGCACTGGGTAGCATGGCCACAAGGGGCTACGATACAAGCAATTGTTTCTCAAAGTTGTGTTGTGAGAGAAAGGAAGAGAAGAAAGAGAGACAGTAGCTCGAGGAATGTTGCTCTTATATACCCAGCTATCTGTAGTAGTAGTACATGCGAGTGCGGGGCCTCAAAACATGCTCTTACGACCCCTCTCCCGCACGGTACGATAACTGGTCCCAACAACAGCTCTCTGTATGTCACTTGGGTCAATTGGCAAATAGCAGCTCTGAAGGATAAACTGACCTGCCGCGCGAGTCGAACAGCGGGCCGAATCGGCCGAACATGCCACCTGGAGCGTACACCACGACCACGTTGACTTCTTTGTCCAGCAAGCCAGCTGTCATAGATAGTGCAGCTGTCCAGGAACACAATATCAACATTCATTAGTGACCAAAGCTTCCAAAGGCTGCTCTTCGCGTCACAACGAGTTGAATTGACAAGATAGATTGTCTAGTCATGACCTGGCTGTAGGACACTGGGGTGAGCTTAGCTTGCGGTCGATAAGGATGATCACCCCACTTGATATCAACTTCCTCGTCCGCAAGAAACGGCACAGCATGTGCTCGAGTAATAGCACCGCTACGAATGGTTGAAGTACAGGTTGGCCTCCTTCATAATCACATCATTGTCCCACGATGCTGAGAAATCCATTGCTCCTTGCTGACTTGCCTCGGTGCTTCACTCTGAGGCCTTTTGCAGAGCCTTCTTCCAAGTTGAGTGAGCGGCTTCTGCTGTGACTGACATTTGTGCTCGCTCGAAGCTGAAAGCTGCTGCGATGTCGCAATGCAAAATAGGCTTCGGCTCAAGCGAAGCCAAACGAACCCTCGCTGGAACGAAGGAACGACTCCTTAGCCAAGCAACCCATGACAAGACAAGCAGTCCAATTCTCCGGCGTCGTTCCTCTTCTAGACTGCTCGCCTGCTCCGAGGTACGCTCTGTCTTTCGCCCATGTGAAGGTCGCAAGAGACAAGGCCGGAGCCCAAAGACGCAACCATGCATTCAGCCGCATTCTCGTGTGTGTCAGCGGATGCGGAAGAGTTTAGCAGGCCTGATTACCACATTCGGCGCGGGATGATGCTCTTCCATGCGACCTCTGCAGAATCTATCTGCACGTCGATATCATTGCTGACGGCTCGAAAGCAATAACACAATCTGGTAAACTGTATCCGTTGGCTACAATCAAAGAGGTTCGGTTCTTTGGTCCTTTTTCACAAAGCATCTGATTGCAAGAGTGGTGAGAGGAGAAATCAGGCAGTCCCCGCCAAGTTCTACTTGCACTTCGGACTACTCCTCTCTTTCCGGAGCCCCACCTTGTTGCTTTCCAACCTACCCTCGCACACACACACCCTACACGAGTGTGAGCATTCGGGCTTAGGAATGGCTGGCCGGTTGGCTTGATCAGCAGCTGATGATTCACGGGTGAGGTAGAAACATCATGACTTAAAAAGCCCTGCCGCGACAGGATCACTGCCGTGCTGCCGGTGATGGAATGAAATAGGACATTCCAAAACTACCGAGCTCTATTAGTTTGTACAATCTATTCTTCTCACGAGTTGTCTTCTTCTTTCTGCCTCTGCTCGTTTTCGATGACTGAACACTTCTCTCTTGATTGCTATCATCACTTTAATCCACCTGTTCTCCTTGCTATTTCGTCATGCCTAGCCAGGTAATCACCCTGACCAGCACAACCTACCTTCAAGTGCCCAAAGTGGTCCCGTATCGCAAGAACAGATCAAGGTCACGGTCAAGATCGTCTTCGCGACCCAAATCTCCGGAAACCGTGTCACCTCAACCGATCAAGGCCCGACCATTGCTACGACCAGTCACACCCCGTCACCTCCACCCTTCCCACCAAAGATGTCTGCACTTCGAACGCAACCACCACAGAGCGAAAGTCTAACCTACGACTTCAAGTCGACGACATTAAATGGCTCCAGCACCCCCAGGACGAATGGAAACACGACATACAACCTTGACGTCTCATCCCCGAGTATCAATATCTCAAACATAGATGATCTGAATGGCGACTACTACACACTCTCCAAAACGCCTTCTCCACCACCACAGCGACCATTGCGGCAGAGACTAGTAGGCGCCTGGCGCCTTGAAGCCTACGTCGCCTACCCAACTTCGTCATGTCGCTTCCAACGCCCGACCTTCCCAATGACCAAAAACGTCACAGGCCTCATTATGTACACGCCCGATGGCTACATGAGCGCGCATATGCTGATTCCCGGCCAACTGTCCTTCAAGCGCGGTGAGGGCGAAGAACCGCAATGGGCAGAAGCGGGCAAGCGATCCTTTGCGTATGCAGGTCCATATTACATTACCGATGAAGGAATGGGCAGAGAAGAGATTTTGAGGCACACATTCCAGGTTTGCAACTTGCCGGGGTGGCTAGGCGACATCCAAGTCAGGACGTGGAAGTTCGAGGAAGACGATAATGTGTTGGTGCTCGGCAGTGAGGAGCCCACAGAGATCAGAGTGAGTTTCTTCATTCCATCCCAATGACGCCTTATGGATTTGGGTCCGTTGTGAGTAAGAACATATATTGACTTTGTGCTATAGGGCGAGCAAAGAATCCCTGTTCTGAAATGGCGAAGAGTGACGGATAACTCGAATGGCAGCCCGCCAGCGCCGATGCCTCACATCAAAGTCAGCGGACCTGGCGAGCCATGATCAATGGAAACGACATGACGAGACGAAATATATAATGACGCGCTCTGCATATCAAAGTCATTTATACGAAAGCGGGAGCGAGCGGCACGCACATGTTAGCATGGCTAGGATCATGAACTGTTTCTCTTTCCACGGGTATACCAGGAGTTTCGAGGCGCTTCGTGTTTCCATATCATATGTCAAAGAAGATTAATCGTAAATTTGGTTCTACTTTTTATTTCGTGTCGTTGATGTTTGTCTTCAAGATCTGTGCCTTTAGATCTTGTAGACAAGCTTNCTGCCCGAGACCTTGCCAGATCTCATGTCGTCCATACCGCCAAAGACACCCTCGAGACCACCGCTGCGGAGCTCCTTGGGGTGAGCCTTGACCTTGCCCTCGGCGAACAGCTTCTCAGCCAGCGCCCAGAACATCTTGCCGAACTCGAAGTCCTCGGGCTTAGCAGGGATGGGGTTACCAGCGAAAGTGAAGGCCTCACCAACGACGGTGTAGCCCAGAGTGCTCTGGTCAACGACGTCCTCGCGGGAGGACTTGGCAGGGAGGAGGTAGGAGATGACACCGCCCTTGCTCGAGATGGCGTTGGCGCAGATATCGGGAGAGCTGCCCTCGGAGATACAGTCGAAAGCGTGCTTGAGGTTGTCCTTGGTGTGCTCACGGATCTTGGCCGAGCACTCGGGGTCCTTGTAGTCGAAGGTGGCGTCGGCACCAAGGGATTTGACGAGGTCCCAGTTGTGAGGAGAGCAGATAGCAATGACCTCGAGACCAGACAGCTTGGCGTACTGGACGGCGAGAGTACCAGTGGCGGTCGAAGCACCGTAGATGAGGACGGGGAAGGGCTGCTTAGCAGGCTCGGTGGGGAGAGGGAGCTTCAAGCTTTGGTAGAGACCTNNAGGTTGGAGGGTTAGCCCTGAATATTGTAAAAGTGCATTGGATTGCTTACCCTGTCCAACAGTAGTGACACCAACACCGAGAGTTGCAGCATCCTCGGTCGATAGAGACTCGGGAACCTTCATCTGGACATCACCCTTGGAGAGGGCATATTGGGCAAAGCAGCCGTCCTCCTTGTTGGCAGAGTTGACACCGTGAGAGAAGCCAGCAATACGGTCGCCCTTGGAGAACTTCTTTTGCACTGCTGAGCCGACCTCCTCGACAACACCAGCGTAATCACAGCCCACGGTAGCTCCAGGGTTTGCGAGGTAGTCGACGTGCTTCCAGTCAGTGGGGTTCAAAGCAACAGCTTCTACCTTAACCAGAACGTAGTCGTCACGGATCTTGGGGACAGGGACGTCCTGGATTTCTGCCTTCTTGGCCTCGACGACCTTGATAGCCTTCATGTTTGAGGGTGCCATTGTTTGTAATTTGTGAATGTGTAGTCGAAATTGGAAGATGAGAAAAAGTCAATTGAGAAATCTACTGAAATACTGGAAGCTGAACAGACAATATATTAAAATGAGGGGCAAGATCTAGAAGAGCTTCTCGAAGCACATCGTCGCCTGCTTAATAATCCTATATCCAATCACCATTTGATCATGGACGGGGATAAGCAAACGGAGACGAAACATGATACGTCATCAAGGTTTGAAATTCGAAGACTCGGCCGAGGTTCAAAAACAGTGGAAAGAAGCGAATCCGAGAAAACGGTTTCGATAATTAGCATAGTACAATCATCGTATTTGAAGTCGAATTAAAAAGGCCCATTTGTCTCCTTGGACCATCGTAGTCGTAGCTCTCTTGGGGTATCAAAGCCACGCCTGTCCGTAACGCCATCAATTCCATGCCCAATCCCGTCCCATAGCTCATTATAGCGTCTCTTTACGTGTAGCCAGGGCGATTAGCCGCCCATGAAAGTGGCTTAATATCTGCCCGGAGGAGGGTCCTTGGGAGGAGCGTAGTTGCCGTTGTAGGCGGCTTGGGGCTGCTGCAGCTCAATATTGTTGCCGTAGTTGGTGGTGTTGGGAGGAGGACTGTAGGCTAGAGTTGTGTGTCAGTACTAGTCAAACTAGTGGCAGAAGGGTCGCATTCAGTCATACCTGGGGGAGGGTTGTTCGAGTTGTTGTAGTAAGGAGTCGAGGTCTCATACTGAGGCTGGGCATTCTGGTTGTAGGTAGGAGTGCCGTGACGAATTGTCCAGCCAGTGCCGTAGTAGGGGTTGTAACCGTGCTTACGGCGTCTTCTTGCGGAGAGGCATCTGGAGGCAGGGTTAGAACAAGTTTCGCAGTTGCGCGGGCGCGAAACTTACGAGAAGAGGAAGAACAGGATGAAGAAGGCGGCGATTATGCATGCGAGAAGCACCCAGCGGCCCCAGCGATTCCAAGTGCTGTTGCAGTTGTTTCCGTAGCAGCTATAGAAGACCATGTCAGCCGGAGAGTCGGATGGATACAGAGTGACGAGCGCATGTGCAGATCTTCAGGCACAGGCGCCTGGATCGAACTTACTTGTTGTAATAGCCATAATACTGGCGAGCTTCGAGATTCATGGTTGTGTACATCTTGCGTCGATGGTAATGAATGTGTCAACAGAAGCTGAAGGCGAGGGATTACGAGAGTATTAAGTACAAGGTGGTTGTGAGACCTGCGTGGCTTGGAATGGGAACGGTGACGACAGACTCTTGGTGGCCAAGCGCTTAACTGGTAACCACTGCCACCAACGAGGCAGTGACCGGCATGCTTTCCCGTCTCAGGGCCATGACAATTGATTCCAAGATCGGCTAGCAAGCCGTCCAAGATCTAACTCCATATTTCACTTCTTTTGTTCTTCAATCCCTCAAAGGATGCACACTATTTGTCCGGTCTGGTCTCGTGGACGAAGTACGATAAGGCGGCAAGGCGATAGGCTTGCCTCAGCCACAGTCATCAATGTGGCAGTGTAACTCAGCCACCGACATTTCCAGAAGCACTAAGGCGCTGTCTCCTAGGTGCCAGCGCATCACGCATTGCAGCAGCATTGCACTCCCACATGATATCGAGGGGTTTTGAAACACTCCCAGGACTGCACTTCCTCCGCGCCATTTCATGTCTTTCTGCTCTCCTCTCTTCTTCATGTTCGCATCAATCGTCAAATGGCATATATTGACTGTCGTATTGCACTCGTGAATCCATAAACCCATCCCTTAGCCCGCTAGGAGAAGAAACAAGATCGCTGAACATCGAAAGAATCAAAGACACCCTTGTGCACCCGCCGTTACGCTACGCTGCCATTGCTGGTTCGCAGGAAAGAGACCATCTAAACCCCACCGCTTGCAACACCTTATGCAAATGCCCATCAACATCATGACTGGAAGCCAACCTCTACGCTGCAACGAATGCTCGTGACCTTGACCAAAACATTATTTGCTCGCCCGAGCGATCAGCCATTGCAGCACAGCATCAAGGTTGGTTTCTTCCTTTGCGCTGATACCGTAGCAACTCACCTCGCGGTGCGTTACGGCTTTGAGGTTCAATTCCTCGATAAGCTCGTCCACCGAAAGATGATCAGGAAGGTCGGACTTGTTGCCCAAGACCAACAACGGAATGCCTTCCAAGGCAGGCTTTTCTAGCAGTACATGGAGCTCCTCTCGTGCCACGGGCAAGGCTTCCTTGTCGGCTGAGTCGACGATGAATCTAGTTTCGCGTCAATACGAGCACACTCGTAGGAGCTGGAAAACGTACACCATGGCGTTGACGCCTCGACAATAGCGTTCCCACATCGATCGAAACCTCGGCTGGCCTCCCAGATCCCAACTNGCGCTCAGTGAGCCTTATTGTCGTTACGAGAAAGACAGCCCAACTTACCACTTCAGAGTCACATGGCCCTTGGTAACTTTCTTCATGTTGAAACCAACCGTAGGTATTGANGCTATCACATTGCAGGCACTGTTTAGTCGACTTTCTCGTCACAGAGCACCACGAGACCAGACTTACTCGATCGTAAACTCTCCGCCNCTAGACATGTACAGTCAATATCAAGTCAAGAAGCACGACCAAACAGGCCAGGATGGACTGCTTACTGCTAGGACCCTCAAGAGAGATGTCTTGCCGGCATTCTGGAGGCCGATCATTGTAACATCCATCTCGGTCGCCCTAATCGCGAAGGACATATCACGTCAGGGCATGGTCGTCGATGACAGCAAGAAAACATACCAGAATAGGCTAAGGAGCCAGTCGTAGATACGTTTGAACAGGCCTGCCATGGTAACGTATTTGGCAGACTAGGCACTGCAGGTAAGTGTCGAAGAGCTGGAACGCAGGCAACAAGAGTAGAGCAGCTCGATGGTTTCACGGACAGATGGTTTGGCCAGTTCGCGCAGAACACAAGCAGAAGCGGGGCTCGGGTAGGGTCGAATTCTTATTGGAGGCGTTGGTGATGTAGATTCAAGGCGAAGGATTATCCGCAGACGAGGCACTGCTGTCACGAAGTTATAAGAGTTTGGGCAGCGCTACAGGAACTGAGTTGTTGGCACGGCAGAAGCTTGCTGTAAGAACAATAAGCAAGCGGGCCTCTGACAGCCAAGAGATCACTTGAGTCGGGCAGTCGATGTGGGCTTGGAGGGCACGATAGGTAACCGTAGTGGATGCGACGAAAGGACGGAGCCTCGGAGGGTTTGAAAGCTTGGCACGACGGCTTTGACGGCGCTAAAATTCTAGAAGTCCAATTCGAAGCAAAAAAACATCTGCGACGCCCATCTCGGTGCTGCATCTTGTGTTCGAAGGAAATAAAACTTGGGGAGAATCAAAAGCTGGAAAATTGAAAAGGAACAGCCGAGTTGAATCTTGAACATCGCCTAGCACTTGACCTAGGGGCGTGAGAGGTTTGAGCTCTCGCCAGCATCAAGCAGTAACACCCAGGTCCATCTTCAAACTCGATTTGCCTACATAGCCATGGCACCATCAACGACAGAGAACGGCAAATGGTCGACCAACTTCGACACAGTGCGCCGCCACAACCTCTTCCGCAACCCTCCGTCAGACAAGTCGGCATACCCTACCCTCGCCTCGGCCGTCGACCCTCATGTTCAATCCTTCAATGCTGTCTTTGCAGAGAAGGGTCAGCTTTACCATGCTCTCCGCGACATTGGAACTAAGACCTTCTTCGATGGCAACCCGAACCAGCCCTTCTCGGCCGACGGTCCTAGGCGCAACAAGCTTCAGGTTCGCGTCAAGGAAGTGTTCCTTGAGAAGAGCATGCTCCCTCCTTCCAACAAGATCGACAAGAAGCGCGAGATTCTGCCCGTAGAGTGCAGAGAGCGCCATTGTACCTACAGAGGTCGTTTCAGAGGCCGTTTCGAGTGGCGCATCAACGAGGGCGAGTGGAGGGAGAGTGTCAGAGAGTTTGGTTCTCTGCCCATCATGTTGCGCGTACGTCTTTCGTGCCGATCTGAAGGCTACCACTGACATAATTCGCAGTCAAACCGCTGCCATCTCGAGGGACTTTCGCCAAAAGAGCTTGTCGACAAGAGAGAAGAGACTGAAGAGCTGGGAGGATATTTCATTGTCAACGGTATCGAGAAGCTGATTCGTATGCTCATTGTCAACCGACGAAACTACCCCATGGCCATCATCCGTCCTTCTTTCGTCAACAGAGGCGCAACCTACACCAAGTTCGGTATCCAGATCCGCTCTGTCAGACCCGATCAGACCTCGCAAACCAACGTCCTCCACTACCTCAACGACGGCAACGTTACCTTCCGTTTCTCGTGGCGCAAGAACGAATACCTCATCCCCGTTATGATGATTTTCAAGGCTCTGGTTGAGACAAACGATCGCGAGATCTTCGAAGGACTGGTCGGTCCTGCTGGAAGCAAGGGTATTGAAGAGAAGCAGTTCGTCACAGACCGCGTTGAGCTTTTGCTACGCACATACAAGGCCTACAACATTCATGGTCAGGCGAAGACGCGCGCATACCTTGGAAGCAAGTTCCGCGTTGTCTTGAGTGTCCCTGATGACATGTCTGACGAGGATGCTGGTGTTGAGTTCTTGAGAAGAATTGTTCTTCCTCACTTGGGCACATCCGACAACAAGGAAACCAACGACGCCGACAAGTTCCGCATGCTGCTGTTCATGACCAGGAAGTTGTACTCTCTGGTCGCAGGAGAATGCGCTGTCGACAACCCCGATGCTGTCCAGAACCAGGAGATTCTTTTGCCTGGTTTCCTCTACGGTATGATTGTCAAGGAGCGCATCGAGGAGTGGCTGGGCTCCATTGGTCTGCAACTTCGTGACTGGGGCAGATCTACCAACTGGGCATCGATTGTCTCGGACGAATTCGAGAGAGACTTCAGCGCAAAGATCCTTCGTCGTACCAACGAGAACTTGGCACAGGCCTTGGATTACTTCTTGTCTACTGGTAATCTTGTCTCTCCCAGTGGTCTGGATCTGCAACAAACTTCTGGTTTCACCGTTGTCGCTGAAAAGATTAACTTCTGGCGTTTCATCAGTCATTTCCGCATGGTTCACAGAGGTAGTTTCTTCGCTCAGCTCAAGACCACAACCGTCAGAAAGCTGCTGCCCGAGAGTTGGGGTTTCCTCTGCCCTGTCCACACCCCGGATGGTTCTCCTTGCGGTCTTCTCAACCATTTGGCCCACAAGTGTAAGATTGCCACANAAAGCGTCGACACCAAGGCCATTCCCGGTCTGATTGCTCAGCTGGGTGTCACTGAGACTCCCTCTGCTTCTGTTGATGACAGCGTTGTTGTTATGCTCGACGGTCGTATTCTCGGTTTCTGCTCTCCCCAACAGGCTCGCGTGATTGGAGACACTCTTCGCTACTGGAAGGTAGAGGGTACTCACGGTGTTCCCTCCGAGCTTGAGATCGGTTACATTCCCAACTCGAACGGAGGTCAATACCCTGGTGTCTACATGTTCTCACAAGCCGCTAGAATGTTCAGACCCGTCAAGTACCTGCCTCTCGAGAAGGAGGACTTTGTCGGTCCTTTCGAGCAGCCCTTCATGTCAATTGCTTGCACAGAGCCCGAGATCGTCTCCGGCGACTCAACACACGTCGAATTCGACCCCACCAACATCCTCTCTATTCTCGCCAACCAAACACCTTTCTCAGACTTCAACCAATCTCCTCGCAACATGTACCAGTAAGTATTGAATTTTGTGCATTAAATCAGATACTAATTTAGGGACAGATGTCAGATGGGAAAGCAAACAATGGGTACCCCTGGAACTGCTTTGAAGTACCGCACCGACAACAAGTCATACCGCCTACAAACTGGACAAACGCCAGTTGTGAGACCTCNNCCTCTCTACAACGAGTACGGTCTGGACAACTTCCCCAACGGTACCAACGCCGTGGTCGCCGTCATTTCATACACTGGTTACGACATGGACGATGCTATGATTATCAACAAGTTTGCCCATGAGCGCGGCTTCGGTCATGGAACTGTATACAAGACCAAGAAGATCGACCTCGCAGAAGACAATGGCGGCAGACGTGGTCGTGGAGGCAATGTGAAGAAGCTCTTCGGTTTCGCGCCTGGCGGTCTCGTCCGTGCACAGTGGCGCGCAACTCTTGACGATGACGGTCTGATCGCTGTTGGCATGAAGGTCAAGGAAGGCGATATCATCGCTGCATCGCACACCGTCACTAAGGATCCCATTACCGGCGAGTATGTTAACCGTGATGGTATCACTCACTTGCACAAGTACAAGGATCACGAGGAGGCTTTCGTTGAGGAGATCAAGATGCTTGGCACAGACACTGGTGGTGATGAACCCTGCCAGATGCTCAGCATCAGACTTCGTATTCCTCGTTCGCCTGTCATTGGTGACAAGTTCTCTTCTCGTCACGGACAGAAGGGTGTTTGCTCACAGAAGTGGCCTGCCATGGATATGCCTTTCAGCGAGAGCGGTATCCAGCCCGATGTCATCATCAACCCTCACGCTTTCCCTTCGCGTATGACCATTGGTATGTTCGTCGAGTCGCTGGCTGGTAAGGCCGGATGTTTGCACGGTGTTGCCCAAGACAGCACACCGTTCAAGTTCAAGGACACAGCAGGCGAGACCGCCGTTGAGTACTTCGGTCATCAACTGAAGCGTGCTGGTTTCAACTACTACGGAAACGAGCCCATGTACTCTGGCATCACAGGTCAAGAGCTCGGTGCTGACATCTACATGGGTGTCGTTTACTACCAACGTCTGCGTCACATGGTCAACGACAAGTTCCAGGTCCGTACCACTGGTCCTGTCACTGCCTTGACTGGTCAACCCATCAAGGGTCGTGCTAAGGGTGGTGGTATCCGTGTCGGTGAGATGGAGAGAGATTCTCTGATTGCCCACGGTACAGCATTCCTGCTGCAAGATCGTCTGATGAACTGTTCCGATTACCAAAAGGCATGGATCTGTCGCGGTTGTGGATCCTTCCTTTCCGCACAACCGACCGTCAACCAGTATGGCCACAGAAAGGGTGTCAATGCCAGCAATGTCAGGTGTAGAAGATGTAGTACCAAGGCTACTGGCTCTGAGCCCAGAAGCGACACCTGGGAGGACGGCAGAGGTGACAAGTTCGTTGGCGGTTCGGACGTCACTGTCGTTGCAGTTCCTGGTGTCCTGCGCTACTTGGATGTCGAGTTGGCAGCCATGGGTGTTAAGATGAAGTTCGATATCACGCCGTAAATGTAGAAAGGCGGATTGTTTGGTTTGCATATAGAGCATTTTTGCATTTTCTTTACTATACCAAAATGGAGTCTGGTTTGGGTTCGTTCCTTCCTCATATTCGTGTTCTTCTCCCTGTGTCCTGCTCTGTTATCATCATCACGATCGGCCGGTCTCATATTAACGGCATGATGGTCTAATATATCAGAATGCACAACTGCTTGCCACATAATAAGATTTTGGCCCGTGGTCGTGAAGTGTTTCACGATTCTGTTGCCTTCATCGTTCCCAACCCCATGATGTTGAGCACCAGGTATGGAAGGCAACAAGTGTGCTTGTTTTGTGTCAAGACTATTCTCGATTCAACGCCAAATTCGACTTCACTCGAGCGCTTTCTCTAGAATGCCCTGTGGTCCATTGTGGCATTTGTGATTATGCAGAAGCCTCTCTTACTATACATGATCTTGAATCAATAGCACACTGTCGTACCTCAAGATGGAGGGCGCTGAGAAGTTCTACCATCCGTACGAGCCCTACGACATTCAATTGCAATTTATGCGAGCATTGTATGACTGCATTGAGCAAGGTAAAATCGGCATCTTTGAGTCTCCAACTGGTGAGTAAGAATGAAGAGTACGATCTACGCGGGATTCCTCTAACAAATCCTTAGGAACTGTAAGAACATGGCTTATTTGTTGATATCATAACAAAGTCTTCTAATACAGGCGTCTCAAGGGCAAATCTCTAAGTTTGGCATGTGGTTCACTGACGTGGCTGCGCAACCATAAGAGGAAGGAGTTCGATGAGAGCATAACTGCTATCGAAGGAGGTACTTTCCTCATCCTTCTGCCTCGGACTTTTCCAAGACTAAGATATGAACAGNATGATGATGAGCCCGAGTGGATGGTTCAACACTCTCGAGAAGAGAAGAAAAATCAAGTGATCCAAAAACGAGCAGAACTAGAAGCAAAACTCGAGAAGATTCGTCAGCATGAACGCAAAATCAGAGATCGACAAGAGAATGGACCTCCGTTGAACAAGAAGCGGAAGCTTGATGATGACNAACAATGGCAAAACACTGATATCGTTGATGACGAGCAGTTCGCCCTTGACGACTACGAGAGCGATGAAGAAGGGTCCAAAGGTGCAAACAGTAATAACGGCAACACAGATCTAGGCCTATCCAAAGAAACACAGGCACTGATGCAGAAGTTGGGATATGGTCTCTCTGCAGCATCTCAATCAGAAGACCTCGAAGCTGAAGACGAGTTGAAAATCTATTTCTGCTCACGCACGCATTCACAACTGAGTCAATTCGTCAACGAGCTGCGAAGACTAAACTTGCCTGCTGCCATACCTGGTGTGCAGGAGGAAATCAAGAAGAAGCCTTCACTGTCTGAAGAACTTAAACATCTGTCCCTTGGCTCGAGAAAGAATCTTTGCATCAATGCTAAAGTGTCGAGCTTGAAGAGTATGACGGCAGTCAATGAACGGTGCTTGGAGCTTCAGGATGCAAAGACGCCAAAGGATAAGAAATGTCATTATGTGCCGAACAAGGAGAATGAAGGCTCAGTGTTGGACTTCCAGCACCATGCTTTGGCGAAGATACGCGATATCGAGGATCTAGGTACTTTGGGCAAGAAGTTGGGTGTCTGTCCTTACTATGCCACGAGGCCCGCTGTCAAGCCTAGTGAAGTAGGTACCACTCTCAGACCAACTTTTATCATTCATCTCGGTCGCTCTGAGACACGATACTGACATGTACAACACAGANTTGTCACATTACCATACCCGCTTCTTCTACAAAAGACCGCAAGAGAAGCACTAGGGTTGTCTCTGAAGAACCACATCATCATTATCGACGAAGCCCACAACCTCATGGATGCAATCTCAAGCATTCACACGGTAGAAGTCAGCCTGCAACAGCTACACCTCGCTCGTTTTCAATTGACAGCCTACCTTCAACGCTTCCGTAATCGTCTCAAGGGCAAGAATCGTGTTTACGTCACTCAAGTAGTACGGTTACTCGATTCAATAGCCAACTACTTGCAATCGCTGGATGCTAAGAATGGCACAGAGGGCATTGTGCAAGCCACCGATCTGCTCAAGGGCAAGGGTGTAGATCAAATCAACCTCTACAAATTGATGCACTACCTGCAAGAAAGCAAATTGGCGAGGAAAGTGGAAGGGTATGTTTCTGTCGAGCAGCAGAAACAGCAGAAGCTCAATAACGCTGGCACCACGAAGGAAGTTACAGTGCCAGTGCTCACCCACATCACCAATTTGTTTATGGTGTTGACGAATCCGGCTAGGGAAGGCCGTTTGTTCTATACTGCCGGCGAGGAAAAGGCACAGACAAAAGTCAAGTACATGCTTCTTGACCCTTCAGAACACTTTCGCGAAATCGTCGAAGAGGCAAGAGCGGTGATATTGGCAGGAGGAACCATGTCACCCGTAAGTTAACACTCTCCCTACACCATCGTTCTTTCCTAACGAGCTATACAGATGTCCGACTACACAGCCCAACTATTCCCATACCTCGACAAGACACGAATAACAACACTTTCCTGCGGCCACGTAATCCCAACCACAAACCTTTTCGTCAGTCCCGTAGTGACATCTTTAAACAACACCGACTTCAACTTCAGCTTCTCATCTCGCAACCTCGCTTCCACAATCACCGCCCTCGGAGACTCGATCCTCAAACTCTTACCCACCATTCCTCACGGCTGCGTAGCATTCTTCCCCAGTTACAGTTACCTCGAGCAAGTAGTAGCGCAATGGCAANAAACAAATCTCTGGACACGAATGCAAAAAGCCAAATCAATCTTCAAAGAAACACAGCAGACAGGGACGGAAGATACACTAAACGCCTACACCACTGCTGTAAAAACACTTTCCACAGGAGCGTTCTTGCTAGCAGTCATTGGCGGGCGCCTGAGTGAAGGTATAAACTTCTCGGATGAATTGGGAAGATGTGTGATGGTCATCGGGTTACCATACGCAAACCCAAACACCGCAGAGCAAAAGGCAAAGATCAAGTATATCGAAGAAAAAGCTGTTGCTTCTGGAAGTGCTTCTTCTGTGGGAGCAGCAGCGAGGGATTTTGCAGATAATACTTGTATGCGGGCTGTCAATCAAGCGATTGGAAGAGCAGTCCGGCACAAGAATGATTGGAGTGCCATTTTGCTCTTCGACAACAGGTATACGCAGAAAAGGATCCAAGACAGACTGCCGGGGTGGATCAAGGCTAGTTTGGGACAGACGGCGAGGACGGGCTTCCACGATGTAGAGGCGGGATTGAAGAGATTCTATGCTGGAAAAGCAAGAGAAGCTACAGTGTAGCATAAGTCATGCAGAATCTTATATCGTAGAGACCTGTCAATATCATACAAGATATCACCATGTTTCTTGCGTGTGTTGTGCAATCAGGCAAGCAATTTATGTCTTCGAGAGAAACAAGGGGTATCAATTTCATGGCGCTCATTGACCGCATTTCATAACATTCATCCTCTTTCTACTTCTTCATTGTCTTCGCCTTTTCCGCTGCATGCATAGCAGCCCTCTGGCTCCTACTTCCACCCAATTTGGGCCCCTTCAGACTCTCCAACTTGTTGGCGCCAAAGGTTGGTGGAGGAGGTGCAGCAGTCCTTCTTACTGCCCTCTCTTCAGCTGCAGCGTAAAAGTTTCTCTTGAATTCTTCGGCCATGCGTTCGTCAGCATCTTGTGTGTCGTCGGAAGCAGGCTTTGAGTGTGTGGTAGAGGCAGAGGTTTCGTAGATGTTCAGTTGAGATTCGCGCAGAATCTGGTCGACCATTGCGTCACGAGCTATGTCTGCGCTGTTGCGACGATTGCGCCAGTGTGGTTTACGAGGCGGTTTTTGAGGTCGGGTCGTTGTGGATGATGTGGTTGTCGTTGGTACGGATGTGCTTACATCGACTTGGTTTAGATGGCAGTAGGAGGCCGAAGATTGGCTCTCGTTCTGCTGGGCGGTTGCACTCGAGGTGGGTGTGGGTTGTGTTGGTGTTGATGACTGTGTCGAGGCTTCATGTGATGGAGTCAAGCGAGCTAATTTGGAGTCTACATAAGCCATCCTTGGACTGTCAGTCTTTCTGTACTTGCCATGCTAGACAGATAGTAGGGATACGCACATATGCTTGTCATCTGCCGAAGCAATATGTCCTGTAGGGGCAACGAAGCGGGCCTGAGCATGCTCGACGGCATTCAGTGGCGTGGGTGGAGCATTCGTGTCTACGACGCTGCTGGTGCCGCTGTCGTTGGCGGTACGTGTTGATGAGAAGGCCACACCACCCTTCCTTGAGCCCAGTGGTCTGACATAGTTCACGGACGCGCCGCCATCTCTTGTTTCTGCTTCGGCATCTCTTTGCTGCTTGTGGTCCGCTGTCGTCGTTGACCCGGTCTGTGTCGCTGCGTCGCCCTCGGAGTTCTCATCATCATCGCGTCTCTTTCGAAAGACCTTTCTGCGTTTAGACGGTCTGAATACTGGTCCTTCATTCGTGTCGGCCATGCTGGTGTCGAGAAAGTCCAGGTCATGGTTCATCAGACAGCCGGGCTCTTTCGTCACTTTTTTGCATGTGAAACGCCAAGACAATCCTTCTTCCACCTTCCTCCTTCCATGCGACTTCTATACCACTACCGTGCATCAAATCAGTAGGAATCTAGCTGTAAACCTTGATCAGAGATCCCTTCCAGTTTCTAGTCGATCAGCTACCCTTGTGCTATTTCACTGCCGTTTCGCTTACTATTTCCTACTTTGTTCTCTTTTACTGTATTCCGCGCTAACCGAATGACAATTATTAAGCAAACTCCATCTAATTCTACCACATCTTTAGACCAGACATTTGCCTCTTTTCCGTTCTTGCTTATATAAACCAATTCCACATTACCATCACAGACCAAACTCAGCAAATCGCCCACCCTGGCTTTCCGCACAACCCTTCGCAAAATGACAAACTACAACGTCTCCATCGTCAGCGACACCGTCTGCCCCTGGTGCTATGTAGGAAAGAACCGCCTCCAAGTCGCCATCGACACCCACAAANAGACCTTCCCCAACGACACATTCACCACAACCTGGTTTCCATTCTACTTGAACCCGGACGCACCCAAGCAAAGTCGAGACAAGCAAACCATCTACGTCGAAAAGTTTGGCGAGCAGAGAGTAAAAATGATGCAAGCCCGTCTCTCAGAAATCGGTCACGAATTGGGAATCAACTTTGCTTATGGCGGCAAGTCTGGCAATACCAGAGATTCGCATAGAGTGGTGCAATTGGCAAAGACAAAGGGAGAGGAGACGCAGACGAGGGTTATGGAGAAGCTGTTTAATGCTTACTTTGAGTTGAACGAGGATATCACCGATCATGCTGTTTTGACAAAGGCTGCTGTTGGTGGTGGTCTTGAAGAGAAGGAGGTCAAGGAGTGGTTGGAGAGCGACAAGGGTGGTCCTGAGGTTGACCGTGAGGTCGCTGCCGCTCAGAGGAGGTTCATCTCTGGTAAGTTCTGAATCCAAAACCATCAGATATTGTTTACTGACCACTGCTGGTTTANNGGTGTTCCACACTTCACTTTTAACAACATGTACGAGGTTGGCGGTGCAGAAGAACCTGCCACTTTCCTGCAGATCTTCAACGAGATCAAGAAGCGTGAGGGAGCAAATGCATCAGCTACCACTCAGGTGTCATCCGGTAATACCTGCTAGGCTGACTAACTCACATGACCATTCATCGAGGCTCTGAAACATTGATCTGAAATGATGCCATGTTGTAATAGAATATATAATCGGATGATGATGATACTAATAAATACATAAATGCAACAGAGATTTCTTAATCTTTCTCCGATGGGTGAAAATGCAACTTGTCAAAGCAGCAATTATTTGTTCCGCTCTTATGCTTCTTTTCTGCTTTTTGTTGAAAAACAAGCTTCTCTTTCACAATGCCCCTGCATGTAGATTTGTTTTTCCTTTTGAAGCGCCGGGAAGACAAGTATGGCCAAGCCTCCATATTCATGAATCGTCAAAGCAATCCTTCCAAAGCATATATTGACAGGTAGTTTCTGTTCGAGGAGATCTTTTCTCCCCTTACTTGGTTCTTTGCCCACCAATGGGCCCAAGAGTAGGCTCGCTCTTTCCAGGCAAAAGACCAATAGGAGAGACTGAAGGCTTCTTAGATGAGCTCTCAAACTCATCTTCTTCTTCCATAGAGAACAAGCCCTGATCCTCTTCTTCGATCGTCTCGTTGCGGCCCAGGCTGTTGCTGCTGATTCCTCTGTCGAGCCCTCCGCGCAGAGCAGCGCGGGAATCATTGGAAGAGGTACGGGGGAGCAACGAAGGGGATTTCTCGGAGATTCTGGTACTCTGTAGCTCACGAGTGAGCATCGACATGCTTGCCTGTTTAGGCGGGCTGCCGATAAGGGATCCGAGATCGCCTCCGGCAAGCGAGGAGGAGCGCAATGACGATGGTCGGAGTGGAGATCCAATGTGGCCGAACCCGTTCTCTCCCTCCTTGCGGTATGAGCCCGAGGACCAGATTGAGCTGTATCTTGAAGGGCTGCCAGTATGCGGGCTAACACTTCCCACTTTGTTGTCCACAGGAATCTGTCCATTCGAGATTGCGCGACGGCCAGCGGACAGGAAGGAGGGGTTTATGTCATCGTCAATCTGCTGCGAGGGTCTACGCAACTTTTCTGGAGGTAGAAGCTCATGCAGACTCGATGGCAGAAGATCCTCGCCAATACCCTCCTCTTCACTCTCCTCGGAATCTGTGGCGTCTGGTGGGAAGTGTGAATAAAACGAAGGTCGTGTGCCGACACTAGCGGACATCATAGGTCTAGGTCGTGAAAATCTCTCCGAGTGCAAAGGTCGCTTGCCAAAGCTCATTGGCTCTTCGAAAGTAGGAGGAGAGGAACCTGCCAGTACGCCATCGAGAGTGGTGTCTCCGAGGCCGCGCAGAGTGCTTCCGAGGAACGCCTTGTTCGGCAGGGACGAAGGAGGTGACTCAAGACCATGGCCGAGACGAGGAGGAACAGATGAAGCGAACGGACCGTGACGTGCAGCATGTGAGATGCCCTGACTGTCGAAAGATCCAGGCAAAGGCGCATCTAGCACGCTCAGACCTCTGGCATTTGGCGAGGCCCCGAAGCGGTTGTCGTTCAAAGGAGAGCCAAAAGTGTTGCTAGGGTCTAACGAGAGGGGCTGTGAAGCCTGGAGGTATGGCGCGGGGTTTGGAAGATTTGGCACCTCTTCTTGCTTTGGGTATCCCACCTCTTGCGGCTGCTGTTGCTGCTGCGATGCCAAATCGTTGGCTTGCATGGTGAGCAATGATGGTGGAGCAGGAGCGTAGGGTTGAGGACCACGGCGGCCGTAGTTGAAAGGCTGGCCGCCGCGAGGAGGCCTGTTGATGACTCGACCGTCAGGGGAGAATATGTGCGAGGGCGCAACCTTGACCGAATCTACAGCTGCCCTGGTATAGCGAGTCAGTGGCATGCAAGTGCAGACACATGCGACGATGGCGCAGGTACCTTGGCAAAGTATTTGCAAGGCGCATTCTGCGTCATGGGGNTCCATATCGTGAGAGAACTGACAGGCCGCGCCGGCTTGACAGGTGCCAAATGGATAGAACTTGCATGGCACATGCGACGTGTCTGAGAACACATGTTAGATACGCGAGGGCTCATGAGCTCGACTGGCCATACTCTTTGCTTTGGGAGGACTGCGGGCACCGGCGAAGGCTGCGGCCGAGTTTGGCTGGGGAAAGTCCCTCGACATGTTTTGAGCAAACGAGGCGCTACTCGAGCGCCTGTGAGGCGTGTTTTCTTCGACACTCATGGCCAGATTGCCAGCCAGCACAGGTTGGTGGTGAGGTGTGGAGAGGGGCAATGTTGGCAGGAGGGAGAACAGGCGGAGGAGGATCGGAGCGTTGCGGGAGAAAAGGTGTCGTCGAGAGGGGGAATGGGAGGAGCGGACGCCAACAACGCCGCTGCTTGTCGAGCTGAAAACCGTCGCACTGTAGACCACTGGTGGATTGTTTCTTGTCGTGTATCGCAAGTCTTGTGCTCGGGTGAGCCTGTGAGATGATATCTTTCGCTCGAGTCCGAGAGCGCTCGACCATGTGAGCCGATTGGTCACCTGCGCGACTTCGCAATGCCATCCACTCATCACGTTCACCTCCAGGGCTATCTTGGCCAGTATCCACCTTTGCTCCACCTCATGGTAGAATTGCGATAGCGGAAAGTGTTCGGCTATTGCTTGAATCTATTGTGGTCTTGCTGGCTCTTCTCATCGGTCCGGAGTGTAAGGAAGTCACGACTCGTCGCCCTGGATGTTTGATGGCAATGAGTGGCATGAGAAATCGTGAACCTTCCTCACCTAACTCGACCATCGTGAGCGGTCTGCAAACATGAGCCCTCGATTTACTTGCGTATTCGATTGTACAGAAGTCGCTTTCCATCAATTCCAGGCCCATTGACTCCCAACCGGACTAGGACGTGGTTCATCGGAGTGTCATCTTCCTCCTGTAGGAGAATTGACTGACTCTCAAACTCTGCAGATGAAGCAGTCAGAATCGAATCCCTTTGTCCAAAGAAATGGCTCTCTGCTAGGATTATTGGCGTGGAGCTTTGTTTGGTTGCACAACAGCCATATGCTTTCTCACTGCCACAGAGAGCGTCATGGGTGCAGCTTGCCGCACGAGCTGATTCTCTCCCGAACCACACTCCCTGTTCCTGGCATATGAAATACCGGAGAGTTATTGACACATGGTCAATCGGCGACTGTTGTGTCACTGTCAGGCATTGGTGTCTTGATGTCCTGTTCCTGAAATTTGGTGTTGCCATCCGGAAGTTTCACGAGCAAACAAGGCTATCCGGCAAAGACGAGTCCAGATGATCTAGTGATACTGATGCAGGAACCCTCACGTGGACGCACGATCGCTTTCAAATCGTGGAAGGGGTAGATCTACGCTTGGTGGTGTAGTATGGTTTTGAAGTGCGAAGGTGAAGTTGAGTGCTTAAGATACTGGTAGGAACAAGTAGGAAGAAAAGAAGACAGCCATGTCCAAAGTGAAGTCCGAAGGGAAGGTACGATGAGGGGCAGCAACCCATCTCTTTCAGGTTGCCGTAGAGAGATGGCCAACTTCGTTATATGCATCGGGACTGCAGAGCCGCTGCTGATCAGAGAGGCCACAGAGAGCAAACGCAGGCCTACGACCATCCATCGCTATTACCGTTTGATTGGTTGTTACCAACGACGGAGTGCGCCTGCCAGTCTAAGTTTCCGTCACTGTTCGCACTTTCCTCATTTACCTTTTTCCGCACCACACTTTCGTTATAACTCAACACAACATTCGTTCTTCTCATCTCTTCCTTACCCAAGTCGTTCTTTGCTTCATCTATCAACCTCACCATGCGTCTGGTAATTTCTCTAGCGGCACTGAGCCTCTTTGGCTCTTCCCTTGCTACCGGCGAGACCCAAAAGTAAGCCCATAACATCTGCGCATGACTCCAAAGATCGCGCCATGTCTTCTATCTTCTGCATGATTGCTTACACGTGATCCCAGCGCATTGTCTTCTTGCGAGCCTGTTACTAAGACTGTCACCGTCTCATTCTGCCAGAGCGAGACTGCTTCTTCCTCTGCGCTCGCCCCGGCTGCCGCGGAGTCGTTCTCAACCATCACCAGCTACTCTACTCTGACCAACTATGTGACTGTGACTCCTTCGCAGTCTTCCGTTGGCTCTGGTACTTCTGGTTCGGGCTATTCTTACATTGCTCAAGATGGCACGACCAGCTGGATCAACGGTGCTTCTCCTACTGGCAGCTTCAGTGAGACCCTAACCCAGACTGTCGAGGTGACCGTCTTCCCTGCTCCCAGCGATGATCCCGAGGTCACTATCACCCAAACCACGGTTCTTACCATCACGCCCCCTGCTGTCACTTCCTTCGTGCCACAATCTTCCAGTGCCTTGGCTGGTATTTCAGACGAAGACACCACAACCTCGACTGTGACTTCTTACTTTACCAAGAGTGTCATCTCGGTCTTGACTGTTTACCTGTCGTCAAAGAGCTCTAAGTCTGTTGCTCTTATGACTTCATCACACTCAATCCATACAGTGACTGGACCTCCAACCTCTACTACCATCACTGTCGAATTGGCAAGCACCTCAGAATCAGTCTGCTCTGTCAGCTATGTCGATGTGACCACCGATCTTACCTACACTGTCTTTGCTACCCCATCCGCCGGCCTCACCTCCGCCATCAACAGTGTTGGCAATCTGAGTTCTCTCGCTTGGCCTGCCTCTGCTTGGAATGGTACTCTTACTGGCTCTACCAAGCCATCTGGCGTGTCTGGTGCTGTTACAGCTCTGACTGGTTCGCTGGTGTCTTCTTATTCCGTTGGAGCTGCCTCTCAAAAGAGCGCCGCTGTTACCTCGTCAATCGTCCCATCATCAGCCGACCGTCATGGCATGAACGCCAGCTCAACTATGGCCTCGGCTACTGGATACCTCCCTTTCGTTCCAGTCCCCGCATACTCGCGTACCTCATCAACCTTGACCAAGGTTTACAGCAACACTTCGAGCGCTCTGCCGGCCCCGACCGTGTGTGGTGAACATGGCGACTTCACCTTGACTGTGAGTATGCCCCATTTTCCTTGTGTAAAACAAAACTGACACGAGGATGTAGTGGGATGATGAGCCCAACTTCTTGTCTACAGACNNCCCATCACTGAGCCTAGTCAAGCCTCGCCTGTCACCGACCCATACCACCACATGCACTTCTCGGATGGCTTTGTTTACGCTCCACCCCCATCTCTGTCCTTCCTGCCTGTCTCGCCTCCTCACCTTGTCATGTTCGTTGCCAACGAGACTAGCGACAACAACAATCACAATGAGGGTGGACGACTTGCTGGTGAGATTGGTGCCGGCATACGCAGAAGCTCAAGCGCATTCTGGTTCAATGCTTACCACGCTTATCTCGGATGCGACAATCATTCTGCTCATCAATGCAAGCTCCAGATTACAGGCCTCGTCTATCAAGAAGAGACCAAATCCGAGGTGGCAGCATTCCATCAGACTGTGTCCCTTCTTCCCTGCCTTCTGCCCGAAAAGTGCGAGCTCAAGCAGGTCCACTTTGACTCGTCCATGAAGGCACTGAGCAGTCTTCGTATCCAAGCTTCTGCCAACGATGAACCTGTTTCTTGGTTCATGGACAACCTCGCCCTCGGATGGTCCAACAACACTTGTGCCGCTGGTTTGCTCAGAGAGAAGCCAGTAAATTGAAGGTCAACATTGGAGTCAAATGATTGTACTAATAGCAACTACGTAAGCAAGCAGGACTTGTTTTGAGCATACAAAAGTGATGTGAAGAAATGAGAGTGGTTCGAGATTGCGGCAGATGCGGTACATAATTAGATACTCAAGTAATAAGAGTGTATCTGAAATGAACGGTCTGCTTAACATGCAAGCGAACAACCTGATGTTTTGCTCAAGTACCTAAGTGATGTCTTGCCCGTGTGAGAGTTGTCGAGTTCATTTCTTGGCAGGTGCAGCAGCGAGCATTCGCGACTTCGCGGAAAGTGACCGTCGCGCTTTCCTTCACCACCACCCCGTCATCATCATCACTACGCCAGCGCTTGTCAAGTGCCGATCTCTGGGCGCACATCACTTTCGCTATTACTCTCATTCTTGGAAACTGGCTTAAGCGACGATACCATCATCATGAGTCAACCAGGCGGCGCACCGCAAGCGGCCTCGGCCTACCCTCCTGATATGATCCGTCCCGAGAAGATCGCAAACATCCCCATGCTCTCGGCTGAGAAAAAGGTCACATATACTGAAGGCTTGACCAAGTTGTGGACTGCTTTGGAAGCCAACCCTCGTGGCAGCGAGACTCACAACAAGGCAACCGCGAAGATCAAGGAAGTCTCGAGGGAGATCATGCGCCATATCACCCAGTGGAAGGCCAACAGCCAGAATCAACAGCAGCAGCGACCGCAGTCGCAAGCTCAAGTTCCACAGCAGCAACAAAACCAGCAACAACCCCAACCACCACAACAGCAAGCGCAACCTACTCCCCAGCCGCAGCAGCAGCAGCAGCAACCTGTATCGCAGCCCCAAATGCCAAACCCTCAGCCGCAACAACAAGCTCAGCAACAGCAACAACTCCATCCTCAACAAACACAGCAGCAAGTTCCTCAGCAGCAGCAACAACAGCAGCAGATCCCTCGAGTTGCGGGTAACATAAACAACTTTCCTCTCGGCCCACAGGCAAAAGCCTTCCTTAACGGCTTCAAAGTCTTCCCTCCCACCAATATTATTCCGAACACTCCCGATTATGAAAACTATAAGAGGAATATTATGAGTACTCTGACCAGACTTGTCACCATGCAGGAAAGCAGCGTTAGCCGCTTCCAGCAGACACACGAGAAGATAACACAGATGGAGAACACTGGACAGACGGCCACACCAGACTTGGTTTCGGCAAGAGACGCCGCCAGAATGGGCGTTCAAGACGCCAAAGCAAAAATTGACAGTGTTCGAAATGAGAACGAGAAGAACCGTCTAGCGTGGGCCGACAAGTCGAAGCCGCCGCAACAAAACAACTCGCAGACTCCCATGCCTCAACAACAGGTTGCCTCGCCTTACAACCAGGCAGCGCAGGCAAACAACCCAGCTTCTGCCATGAGCCCCGCCGCACCCTACCAGCAGCAACAACCGAACGTCCCAATGCATCAACAGCAGCATCAACAGCCCCAGCAGCCCATCGCTCGCCCTCCCAACCAACAGCAGCCATACCAATCGCCCGCGCCCTCCGGCCAACCCCAAGCTCTCTCTCATGCCGACGCTATCAATCAAGCACAACGCACTTACTCGGCCCAGCAAGTGTCAGGAGGAGGCGGCACACCCACCTCTCAGCCTGGCGGCCAAGCTTTCAATCACACTCAGCAGACCGCTCTCAACGTTGGTAACCCTAAGTTCCCTATTCCTAAGAACCTGCCAACCACAGGCACTCACAACCCCGTGCCACTTGGTCCTGCCCGTCCTACTTTTGGCGGCCCCAGCAATGGTGCTCCTGGTATGATGGGTCAACCTGCTGTTCAAAAGACACCCCACTTTATTCTTGAGGGCGAGGGAGATCGTGTGCTGAGCAAGAAGAAGTTGGATGAGTTGGTCAGACAAGTCACAGGTGGTGGTGAAGGCGATGGTCTCACTCCTGATGTCGAAGAATCCGTCCTCACTCTTGCCGATGACTTTGTCGACAGCGTCATCACTGCTGCCTGTCGCTTGGCCAAGATAAGACCTAACACGACTCTTGACATTCGTGATATCCAAATCATCCTCGAGCGCAACTACAATATTCGTGTCCCTGGTTACTCTTTGGACGAAGTTCGCACAGTGCGCAAGTTCCAGCCCGCACCTGGATGGACTCAGAAGATGAACGCTGTGCAAGCCGCCAAGGTTATGGGAAAGAACGACGCATAGGACGCTGTCGGCTGCAACCCAAGACGGGCAGTGCAAGCACCAAGACTTGCAAAAGAAAAGAACAGACCTGATGATGAACTACGTTTCTCGACATATTTGCTTTGAAGCGAGGAGTTCTGGGAATGGGAGAAAACGAAAATTTTCATTCATGGTTCGGGGATTGGGCGAGGGAATGATGCTTTTGATGAACTTGTATTACTGGGATGCTCAGATGGGTCATCATAACAGATGGGAATGGCCCATGGCCATCTTCCTTGACTGGCTGCATCTTTCCTACACACTAGCATTGATATACCAACAAAAAGAAGAATAACGCAATTGTTGCTTCCTCCTGCGTTATAACAGGTCAATACCCGTAAATGTCCTTTGATCGCGCAGCAGTATCATCATCGTAGATCAAGCTCGACAACATGATATTCGCGTCTTTCTGCTTGAANAAGAACTTGTCCGTCCTACACTCCGCAACCTCATCATCCTCCTCAACTTCGTCATCAACAAATACCAAAAGCAGTCCTCTATCATCAAGATCCTCTGCCGTCACCACAATGAAGGCAGTAGGATACCACTGCAGATCTGGCGCTCCCTGCTGTGACTCGCTTTGGCCTGGAGCTACTTTGTCCAACTTTACATGAGCCTCGAGGATATCGCTAAGGCTTTTGTTTCCGAAGTTATGGGAAGGAGCGACGCGGACGAGGTGAGAGCCTTCGTTGCCTTGGCCTTCGTACCATTCCCTATCTAGCGTTGTTGCGATTTGTTGCATGTGCTCTTCGCTGGTTTCGATGAGTGTGTGGAGGGCGAAAGAGGCGTTGGACCAGGAGTATTCGCCATAGTTTGCTAGTTCGGGGCATGTGAGAGGGAGGGTGAGGTCCATTGTGTGTCCAAGTCAAGTATAATGTTGTTTGGCCGGCAAAAGGTAAGAGGTTGTAGTCGAATTTACAAATGGGTGACTTGAATGGTGAAAGGGACGTCTGAGCCAGGGTTGCACTATTAACATACTATCTCAAGATGTTTTTGCCCTTATCTAGCTCTATCTTCGCTTTTGTGCATTTATCCACTTGTGATGACATTATGATAAGTGTATTCTATCCTATGGTAGGTCTTCTGTGGTATGAACAATTGTTGTGGCTGACATATTGAGGTTTGGCGAATTTGACATGCTCGAGTTCAGACTTCGTGCTCAGACAACATCTCGGATAAGTCGACTACGCAAAAGATCGAGGCAGGTGAATCGGCGAATAACATGACGTATGTCTTCTCAAACTGGACAGATCGAAACATGGTATACATGAAATGGAACAGGATCATCCGAGGTGGAAACGCTACTTCGTGAATTCAATGACTATATCCTTCATCCTTTCATCATGCATAACACCAAAAATGCAAACAACCGTTCCTCCTTATTTCATGGCCCTGTCACGCTTACATCCACAGACACAGCTTTCCACTAGCAGTGCCTGCAGCGATCCAATCCTTGCTCTGGTGGAATTGTGCAACACTAGGCACAGCAGTAATGCCTTCGCCTCCAAGCTGAGCCAATTGTTGTCCGTTTGAAGCATACACATCCACGAATCTATTCATGTTACCAATGACGAAGCGTTGGATATTGTCGGCTGGTTGAAGTTGCCATTGCGCGCGAAGACTGTGATTCAATATCAGCAAGAGACCCCTAGCCCAGAAAGAGAAGAGGTATACATACATGGTGACCCAACGGCCAGTCTGGTTGTTGTGAGGGATGATAGTCGTTGGTGTCATTTGTTCTTCGTTCAGCTCTGTGCCAGCAGCCAATGTTCCAACACTGCTGAAGTCATAGATCTTTACTGTATCGTCGTAACTCGCCGTAGCAATCTGGCCTGCCGAGTTGAAGGCTGCGTGAGAAACACTCAATCTGCTCTCGTGAGCTCCGATCTCTACTGGCGCTCTATCGTCACCATCTCCTTTCAACATTCTCAGGTCCCAGAGGCGTAGGTAGCGATCTAGTGATGCGGTAGCGAAGATGTGAGGGTGTGCGGGATTAAGACTGAAGCCTCCGATCTTCTTTTCTGACAAGGCGAATATGTCTGTGCCTTTGCCTGGCTTTGATCTTGTGTCGTGACGGCCAAAGTTTCCATTCAAGGTACTGAAGAAGAGAGTATGGGGATCGAACTGTGACATCTCGACGCCGCTGAGAGGTTCATCGTCGTCCTTCGAGATGGGCGCATAGGCCTCCACAGCCACACCCTTTTGAAGGTCGAGTTTGCGGATCGAACTGTCGTAACTGGCAGAGTATAAAGCGTTTGGATCGTGAGGGGAGAATTGGAAGGCAGAGATCGTGCGTGTGTGGATCTTGAGGGTCGTAATTGAGGGTTTGGCTTCCTCACTGTCTTCGTCATCGTCGTCGTCTTCGTTCTTTACATTAGGCGTAGGTTGTTGCGAGGCGTCAAANAGACCCAAGCTTCCTAGCTTGTCTCCAGCAAAGACAAGGGCTTTGTCAGTGGTTGGATGAAAGCCCAGAGAGTAGATTCTCTCGGGCGTGATTTTAATCCGGTTTGGTTCGAAGCCTTCCCACAATTCCAGATTGCTCATGCGTTCTCGGAGCTCCTTCAGTTCCTTGTCGGTGGTTTCCTTGACATCTTGGGCGGTGAATGTTCGTTCGCCCGGATTGGCAGGACCGACGAGTCGCAGGAAGTTGCCACTCTGATCCCAGTCTTTTCCTGCCACAACGACATCTGAGAAACGCAGATCATCAGAGACACGCTGTCGTTTGGCTCGCTCGGCTTGAGCCAACAGTTCCGACTCTTCCTCTGCCTTTCTTTTTGCTATCTCGCTGTCTGCAACAATGCCTCGCAATCGACTCGATGTTCTCCGTGGCTGAACCTCTTCTTTTACTTTNTGCACAGGCGTCTTCTTTCTTTTGGCAGCCTTGTCAGGAGTGGCGCGTGAGGGTTTCTTGGGCGCGATGCCAGCGGATGCAGCTTCGAGTTGCAATTGACGAAGCAGAGCCTGATTTTTNGCTATGTTTTCCTGTCGTTGCAACTCATACTCGCTGAGCTCGGCTGCAGATTTCTTGGGCATGGTGACGTTTTATGGTGATGGTGGTAGATTGTCACTTTGGCTCTCTCGAGAAAGTCGAGGGAAGACGCGAATCTCGCGTTTCGGTGACGTGCATCGCTTTCTGTCGATCCAAAATTCCGATCGAAACCACTTTTGGACCGACAAATCCATTGACAAGTGCTATATCACCACCCGGGCCAGATTTTGCGACACAAGAATATACCGGCCTGCTGGACAGGCACGAAATTATACCCGGAGCTGGACACTTATGCATATCACCATCATCGCCATACAGTCGCCTGTCCGCTGAAATAATCCTATAATCGAAAAATGTCTGGATGCGCAAATGCTGGTCAAGCTCTCGGCAGAGGCTTGAAGTTGTACACATCAAGAAGCACATACACATTACCCTTCCTCTACCAGACTCCAACACTGCGCCGTTACTACAGCGCATTACAAGATCTGGCCAAAGAGAACGCTTCAAAGACGAACCCAAAAACCACCATCAGGAAACCAGCCCGAGAACCTACATCCACCACCGCACACACCACGACCAAGTCTGACTACCAAGACTTTGTGCCCTTCGAGACACTCGAAACTGCCGAGCCACCTGTCGCCCAAGATACTGTCCAAGGAGAGTCTCTTACAGGCACAGAGCGTCATGCTTTCGCCCAACTCGAAGCTCTAGCCAATGCTCCCAAACGACCTGCTACCAAGACAAGAAAGTTCCCACAACGCGATGCTTTCATAAATCTAGACGATGTACTCAATGAAGCAATTACAAACATCGAGGCCAGCGAACAGCAACAACGCGATTTCGAGCACAGGTCCCGTGCGCTTACCAAGGAAAGATCAACCATACTCTCCAAAAGAAGAGATAGAGGTGGCGCCGCCGCAGCAAAGACTGCAGCAAAACAAAAGAAGCTCGGAAAGACTGAACAGGACGCCCAAAGTCTCACCACCGCTCCACAAATAGAAACAGAATCAGTCGACACGAAAGAACAGGAGGAAACCGAATATCAAAAATTCAACCGCGAAGACAGACGCACGCTCGCGACTTTGCACGCTGTACCCACAGACACAAAGATCTGGTCAATTCTAGAAGAGCGTCTGTTCTCTCAAATCGCTCTATTGCACCTCGACAGTCCTGTCCCTGCTTCCACGACCATATCACCCAAACGACGTCAGTTCCTGATGCAAACCTTTCCTTTGCGCCTGGTCACCGCTGCCTCGATACTTCGAAGGTATTTCCCCACCTCCAACCTCATTCTCGCCATCTTGCCGCGAGTCAAACAACTAGGTCCCTCAGCCTACGCACTAGCAACCACTTCAGACCTCTACAACCAACTCCTCGCCTTCTACTTCCGGAAGTTCGGTGCTGTGGATACATGCAACGAGCTACTCCAAGAAATGGAAAACAACATCATCGAACCCTCAGCCTCTACTCTCAAGGTCCTCGACTACATACTCCAATACCGTGAAGACTGCATCGAGAACAGCAAACTAGGTCCTTCGGTAAAGTCTTTATTCACGACAGAAAAGTTTCGCAGGGATTTTGCGACAATGGAAAAGTGGAGGGCTAAGGTCGAGCAGAGTTTGGCTGAGCAGGAGAGTAGAGCGCAGAGAAAGCTTCAGGAACGAGAGCAAAGGAGTGAAGAAATGGACGAACTCTCTGATCTCTCAGGACCTCTCCGAAGGGTTGAAGTTTGAAAAGGAAACAAATGGTACGACCAAGAGTACAATTGGATTCTCGTTTTGTGGAAAAAGGAAACTGTTCTAGGTTTCTGGTATCTCTTTGTCTGATGAGTTCTAAAATGGATACTTGCCGTATAACTTAAGAGGAGAAAAAAAGGACAAGTCATGGCAAAAGAGCAGAGATGAGAAAACAGACAAATGCAAATGCGAAACGAGGACATGATATGCGGTGAACAGCCAATCCAAACCACTCGTTCCAATCGTACAGAGATGAAGATATGCGACGCCCTAGGTCCCGCCTTGACTACGCCGTGTGTATCATCGCTCAAACCTCGCCCCATCCGCCCAAAACACCTTCGCCAGTGCTTCCAACACTGACCACACTGCCAGTGCTGCTCGGGAAATCCCAGTAGCGGCGCGAACCTCCAGAGCGGGTGCGCTTAGTGCTTTGGCTAGCACAGCTGCTGCTCTGTGCACGGCGATGCATGAGTGTGTGCAACAGGACACTTTCGCGTCTACGTTGCGCCGACACCGAAGCTGCGTGAGATACTAGCGGGTGATGTCGTCTGATGAGATCAGCTCGACGTCGTGACTCTGGAGAAGTGCCTAAAGCGGAAGCTGTGACGGCGGCATTGCTGGGTGATGCCCAGTCTGCTGGTAGAACGCTCTGTGATGCTGCTTGTGTTTGCGGCTGTGAGTTGACAGGAGATGGGGATGGTGGACGTGACGTGAAGCGGCTGCGGAGGTATCTGAATACCACTCCAATGTCCAAGTCGCGCTCCCAATACTCGATTTCTTGGTCTTTGTCTTGTTGTGGCGCTTGATCCTCAGCTGATTCTTGGGGTTGTTCTGGGATGCCCCATAGAGAAGTGTCCGCTTCAACAGCAGGTGATACAGGTGGGTTCGCAAAAGTAGGAGCAAAAAGTGGAGGAGCAAGGTTGGAATCAGGGCCATCAACGGAGTGGGTTGTCGCAGTAGACGGTGGGATCTGCCGTGGTTGTGACTGAGCAGATTGATCAACCTGGTAAGGTGCATACGTGCTGAAGGTACGGTCTTGACGATCGTGTTCGGCGAGCTGGTTAGCNAGTATACCAAGCTCCTTCGCAATTCTGTTCAGGAGCCGGTTCTCCCATACTCGATCTTGATGTGCTGAAAAGACTTCGGCCAAAGGAGACTGCTGAGTCGGTGTCGTCTGAGCTGCTGGTGCGAGTTCCTCGCCAAATATGACGGATAGCGTGGTGTCATCCAAGCCCATGAGATCTTTGATGACTCTGCGAGTGACACGCTGCCAGAATGACTCAGTTTCCGTGTCTGTATTTGGCGCAGTAGTCGAGGCAGTACGCGAAGCGATTGATAGTCTCTTCCTCCGTCTGCGAGTCTCCTTCTCAATCTCCTCAAGTACGGCACGACTTTGTTCCAGGCGCCATTTCTCGACACGTAGTCGTCTCTCTTCTTGTTTGTCCGTTTCCAGTTCCTCTAGGGCATCAAACTTGCGCTGCACACTGCTACGTCTTCGTTGAGCTCGACGTCGATTGGTCGGGTTGTACCTCTCGAATTGCCATAGATGTTCTTGAACATTGTCGTTGTTATGGTAGAGTGCGGGGAAAGAGCCCATGCCATCATGGTTGGGCAGCACTGCACCACCACTCTGGTCTAGAGCGAAGGATGGATGGAAGGTATGGAGGCCGTCATCTAGACTGTCCAACTCTTCTTCATCCTCTTCGTCAATCTCGGTGCCCTGGCAGGTAACTTCAGCGTCGTCGTCGGCTTGCCTTTGGTTGGAGCGGTCGCCGGTCTCGAGTGAACCAAAATCAGAGAAGCCAGATGCTTGTTGGATGTGAGATGTCTGCGAGGTATACGAGGTCAAGGAGGGTTCGTGTTCGTATTGTGGTGAAAAGAGGATCCACTCTTGCGACTCATCCACAGGTCCGTGATGTGTGGCGTCGTGGGCCACGAGAGAGTGTGGGATGGACGCTGGTCGCTGGATCTGACGCCACTGCTGGAGCGGCTGTCGGAATGCCATGTTGGCTCGATGGTTGTGTGTAGCTTAGGATGGAGGTTCAGGTTCCTCTCAGGGGGAAAAGGTGCAAAGCAAGGTGTGCTTTGGGTTGGCTGCAGTTGATGTTGCTTCTTGCTTGATCGGTATGCCTTGTCGATCTGGGGTATTGCTTCTTATCGTACGCAGCGGCCGTTTATTGATGTACAGACAACGGCATCAGTATTCCATCATTTTCATCATGCAAGCAGCAAAACAGAGCGAAAGGCTTGCAGAAAAGACATCGAATCCATAGCTAGAGAAGACTCATGCACCCGCCCAACGAGTCACGATTTGGTGTTGGGCGCATGGCACCATTCCTGTCTTGCCTGTTTCCTCGTGAGCCATCGTGACGCACTAGCCACAGCCTAATCGCTTTGGCGTTAGATAACATCGTAACCTTGATAAGCTTTATTTCCATTCCGCTATCGCCCTGCTGCAAAAAGATACCTATATACACCGAGCTGATGGCTGCGAAAATCCTGAAACATGTGTCATATCCAGTCCCCTTATGCTTGCCCTATGCATCTTCCCGTTCCGCTACTCTGTTGTCTCTGGACCCTCTACCGCATCCCCTATTTCCTCTCCTGGCAACCTCTTCTCTCCGTCGTCGCTACCTTCCTCCTCTCCAAGCCAATGTCTGATTATGCACTGTGTTTGCATGTTCTGGCAAACCTTCTTGCGACCTAGATTCTTGAAACGTGGTCCGAAGGGCCCGCTGACATAATGATACTGTCCCCAGAAGCGGTACTGCCTTTTATCGCTCATGGGGTAGATTTTGTCACCCCAATGACCCTTGAAATTGAACCAACTCACCGGCGCATACGGAGTCTGCACCGATGACTTCAAGTGACGAGATGTGTAATTGTACACATACGCGTGATGGTTCAGATTCGGGTCCCAGAGCGGTCCTTTATCTGTCTGGTCGTGCAAGAGGCCCCACGGCAACACATACGGGTGTAACCCTGGCGTCGCGTAGTTCGCGTGTGTGCCAGTTGCACTGTAGATGACTGGTCGCTTGCCGTACTTCTCAATGGCATGGTATGCGTATGCCTGTCCCGCTCCGTGTTCCGAAATGTACACTGCTTCTGGAGTACCGTTGCGGAATCTGACCATCGAATGCTCCCAGTCTCCTATATGGTTACCGAATCGGATGTTCAGTACCTTGTTTCCAAGGTTGTAGCTGTAGAAGTAGAACCAGAATGCGTCGACTACTCCGTCTTCCTTGGGCACAACGATGAGCACTGCTGGAGCAGAGCTGTGTCCGCCACGTTCTTGCAGCCTGTCTGAGGGATTGCTACGACCTTCGGGACCATGTCTTGCCAATTCATTTAGGTCTTCAGGACCTCTGGGTATGTTCGAACTTCCGCCTAGCCAATCTGGTCGCTCTTCCACATTGTCCTCACTCTTGAGATACGCGAAGTGACCGTACTCGTTCAGCTCATCAAGATTATCAAGTGTCCTATCATTCTCCATGCTCCTGATGAGGGTGTAATTCGCATAGGGCGATGTATGAACGAGATGTTCAGCAATATCACACGGCCAGAATTGTTCTCCTGAGAACAGATGGACATATGGCGTGTAGTCGTAAACATACTGAGGGATATTCCGTGACAGATGCTCTTCTCTTGACCAATCCTCTGGCTTTTCGAGCCCGCTGGTCCAGAAAGCTGCGGAATCTGGTCTATCCAGTGGTCCAACTTGTGATAGAGGGGTCTGTTCATTTGACGGGAAGTTCTGGTAGAGTGGGTCTTCGCCACTTGAGCTCGCTGTTTCGCAATCGCTCAGCCATCGACAAGTCTGTTTGTTTACCCATGATAGAGAAGATTCAGTCCAGCTGCGGGCTCCAACTTGAGTGGCAACATGACCAGCCTGACCTGCATGTGGATGCGCCGATGTTAGTGTTAAGCAACATAGTATAGCAGGAACAACAGCCGCAGGCTGAATCCAGCTTTGCACATCACAGCCTTTGCATAGGTTGTGTTCTTGGAGCGAGTGTGGTGGGCTTGCTTCATGGCATGGGAAGGAGTGCAGCTGCCGTGCGAGAAAGTGGCAGCAATGTAGTGAGGTGAAGAAGACAAGAAAGTGGTACGAGATGGTTGATGATCAAGACTGCCGTTGTAAGCAGCTGTATCCACTGTCATCCGGATGCACGGGTCAGCGAAAGTCCGTATAGGTAATCACATGCTACAAGAAGATAGAGTCATAACCATCAGTCGAGCAATTTGTCTTTAGACGGAGGCAAGTGACGACAAGTAAGCTTTTTGGACAAAACAAGGCAAGGGAACCGCGTCAGCCATGCAAGACAAGCAATGCCAATCAGAACCAGCAAAATGCAGGAGACACAGCGCCAGAACAAGGCATAACCCGGAAACGCAAGAGCAAATAATTCCGATATGAGCGGCAAGCAACACGTACTCGATGGTGTCGCGACGAGGGGCGCACTTGCAATTGGACCCTTAGCGGATGTGTCGGGATGCGGGGTGATGATGACGAAGAGCAAGCTTCTGGAATTGAGCAGGAACTTGTCGAATCAGCAATTGGTTCAGGAGAGCAATGAATAGATATGAAAAGATGAGAAGAAATGTAGAAGACAAGACAGGCCAAAGAAGTTGGATCCAAGGCAGCCATGTCGAGTGTCGTTGACAAATGCCCGAGAGAGACAATCGTCACCGTCGGTCAGCTTAAGGCCGGATGGCGCTAGCATCTGCTTCCGAGTCCCGGCCCGTCGGCTTTGTCGCGAATGTTTGAACATGGCCAAATTGTTTGAGCCTCAAGCTCCAAGCTGCCATTCACATGAACATGCCAACAAAATAAGCATGCCATCTCTCTGGAAACATGACAAGCACAGACATGGCAGGCTCGGAGGATGAGTCCGAGTGGGAGTACGAGTACGACCCCAATGCGACTGACGATTTCTACTTGACCCTCGACTTGACGACGCACATCCCACCCGCGCTTGCTAGAGACAGGCGCACCAAGGCTCAAAAGTCGACAACCCGCGGCTCAAACAAAAGTCTCGCAAATGCCCCTGGTACTCCCGAGTCTGGTACCAAGGACGCTGCAGCTCAAGATGGCGACGGGAACTCAGCCAATACAACAGCCGAGCGCATGCAGATTGTTGGCTTGCATGACAGGAATCCAATCATCTCCTACAACAACTCCATCTACTCATGCCAATGGGCCACCGATCTAGCCACTCAGATCTTCCTCGCCCCGCCGCCGACCGACTTCGATCCAGACCACACAGCGCTTCGCTCCACTCCTTCTTTCGACGTTTTGGGCACGAGCGCCGCTCGCCTTGTCGCCATACCAGCCAGTATCCAACCTCGAGAAACCGCTCCACCGAATGCTGTCAGGGCCGCATATGCTGGTCCAGAGACTACATACACGACAGCTGAGGGAGACGTGATTGAGCACACCACAGCCCAAGGCTTGCGCATCGCCCTCCCTTCCACCGCCAGTGCTCAGCGAACAAGCCAGGCTAAGTTCCTAGAAGCGCTGTCAGCCATCAAGGCTCGCCGCGGCGACCAGGATGCCGTGCCTGTCACGAACATCAAGGTCTACCACCCACCTGAGGGCTGGGAGGAAGAGCGTGCGGACTACATCGAGAAGGAAAGCGCCCGTAGCNAAGAAAGACAAGGCCGAGGCCGCTGCACGCGCAAAGAGAGAAAAGCAGAACAAACAGCTCGACTCACCAGACTGAACCGACGTCCCGCATACGCCCGCCCAAACCCTGAAGAGGAGGCCGAAGAAGGAGGCAGTGGGGATGAAAACGAGGACGATGCAAACAAAGACGCCGACGCCGATGGTAACAAGCTAGTCACGCGCAAGAGAAGGACTCTAGCTCGTGGTGGTGCCCGTGGAGGCGCTCCAAGCGGTAAAAGATTGCGGCAGAGCCTGGGTCTGCCTGAGGCCAGACGTGACTCGAGACCTAAGGGCCGTCCACGCAAGAAGAGGAAGGTAGTCGCAGCACCTGAAGTAGTTGCTGAGACCAACGAAGATACGCCTGCTGAAGGAGCTTCTACTGCTGCAGGACACAGTCACGAAGGCACGAGCACACAAGCTGAGCAACAAGATACAAGCATGGCTGAGGGTGGTGCGACTGAACAGGCCGACGATGGGGCTACTGCAGATCAGACTGGTGATTGATAATACAGACCTCCGCCTTTTCATTCTTGTTTTGCTTTATATGATACCACCAATGCGGAAATATTCAACATTCTGTCTTTCAGCAAGGGATTGATGCGTGCCTTCACCAACATGTTCAAGCACAAGTCTATCATTCTGAACGTTTTGATCTTCTACGAAAAGCTCCGTATATGATATCTATCTACATATAACCCTACTTCTTCTGTTCGTCCACTCATGTCCGATAAACCCATTCTCGTCTACTTCTTAGCACCGTGCCACTGCTCATAGACAGCATCCCAACCCTGCTCGTTCATAGCACGCTCACGCTCCATAACCTCAGCAGTAGAGTTGTCAGCATACTCGACCAGGGCCTTCTGGATGCTGGCCTCCTTCAAACCAATAATTCTTGCAGCCAGTAAAGCAGCATTGGTGCTGTTGTTGGTACCAACAGTGGCAACAGGCACGCCACGAGGCATGTTGAGGATACTCAAAACACTGTCGGTGCCATCGCCAATAGTGGGCTTGACGGGCACACCGATGACGGGGATAGCAGTATGCGAGGCGGCCATACCGGGCAAGTGTGCTGCACCGCCTGCAGCAGCAATGAGGACCTGGACGCCGCGGGGCATGGCACCGTGCACGTACTCAGACATCCAGTCGGGAGTGCGGTGAGCAGAGGTGATGTGGGTCTCAAAAGGAATGTTGAGCTTCTTGAGGATATTGATGCCGGCTTGGAGAACAGGCATGTCGCTGTAGGAGCCCATGATGACGCCTACCATGGCGTTTTGTGCTTGACCGGCACCGCTAGCAGCTGAGGAGGCAGAGGCTGGTGCACTCTTCTTGCCGCGGATTTCGTCGGTGATGTCCAGAAGGGGTTGCATGGCTTTCTCAGCTTCACGCATGCTGGGTGCTGTGAGAGTCATGTGGCCCATCTTTCTGCCGGGGCGAGCATCGCCCTTGCCATACAAGTGAATGGAAGCACCGACACCAGCAGCGATGGAACGTTCGGCGACCTGAACAGCAGAGTCGGGCGTGGAAGCACCAAGAATGTTGAGCATAATTGAAGGCTCTCTGATGCGCAGTTCGTGTTGCTGAATGGGGATGTCCAAGATAGAGCGCAGGTGAGCGTCGTACTGCGAGATAGGGCATGCCTCAATGGTGTAGTGGCCAGAGTTGTGAGGTCTAGGAGCAATCTCATTGATCAAGAGGCTGTCATCGTCGAGCAGGAACATCTCGACACCAAACACACCCTTACCCCAGAAGCAAGCGACGGCCTTCTTGGCTAACTCCTGAGCCTGCTCAAGCACCTTCTTGGAGACGTTACGTGCGGGAGCATACACGAGCTTGCAGATGCTGTCCTCGTGAATGGTCTCGACAGTAGGGTAAGCCAAAACACCGTCCTTGGTCTTGACAACCATAACCGCCAACTCAGCCTTGAAATTGGCCCACTTCTCAGCATACAAAGGACGGTTTCCGAGAGCCTTCAGGGCAGCGTCAAAGTCGGCGGATGATTTGACTGGGAAGTTTCCACGACCATCGTATGCCTCTGTGCGTGACTTGAGCATGAAAGGGAAGCCAATCTGCTCCCCAACCTTCTGCAAGTCCTCATTGGTAGCTCCAGCCAAAGGAATAGAGTGAGCAGTAGCGACATTGTGCTCTCGAAGATGTTCCTTTTGCGCATACTTGTCCTGGATCATGCGAATGGTCTTCCAGCTTGGCTCCACGGCGACTTGAGATGAGATCTTTTCCAGAATCTGAGTGTCTACGTGCTCAATCTCGACAGTGACGACATCGCATGTTTTTGACAATTTTTCGATGGCTTCCGGGTCTTTGAATGATCCTTCGAAGTGTCCTTCATGGCTGCTGATTTGCTTTGCGGGTGACTTTGCTGCGTCCAGAATGTTGACTTGGATGTTCAGGCGGTTTGCAGCCTCGACGAACATACGACCCAGCTGACCACCTCCAAGCAAACCTACAACCTTCTTGTCCATGTTTGTGCAATTGTATAGATATAGATCAATTATGAGCGGGTGAGAGTTTGCGTAGTGTTTCTATGTAAATGTTTGAATGCCAAGAAGTATGACTGCTAAAGTCAAATTCTGAGGGCCGATCTCGTTTCTGCTTGCGGTTTGTGTTCGCGAGCAGCCGGAAGACGAGTCAGAATAATCAATTGAACATGCATATAGGACATCACAAGAGACAAAACACCTAGATGATCAAGTCTGGAAGAGGAGGTAGACGAAAGTTTTTGGTGGACAAATTGGCAGGAGTAAAAGTGCCTCGATCAACAATGACATGGACGGACAGACTCTCGAAGCATGGGGACAGCGGTATTGCAGTCACGTCGTGAAATATTGCCATTTGATCGTTGTTGTTCCTTTTGCGAAAACGGCGCTTTTTTGCAACACCAACCAATTTGTCCCGGAAGATGCTTAAATTCGCTAGCAAAGAGAATCTCATCATGTCTCGCCTCATGATTGATATCACCCAGAGACAACCATTTTGAACCCCATGAATACCCCGATTCCAACAGTGTAAATTGCTTACACCTTGAAACCCTTCGAGCGTCTGCGACCACGGGCACGCTCGAACTTGCGACCCTTGCTCTCAACGTAAGGCTTNCTGCAAAGGTTGTTAGTACACGTGTATATCCAGAATGTGTGATGTTGCTTTTGCTGTTCGCGAAACAAGAAGAGGAGTTGACGTGCCTTGTGAGAGTGAGGACCGAAGCCGAAGTGCTTAACGGCCTCACGAGCGTTCTTGGGGCCACGGAGGAGGAGGGTGTTGGCACCGGTAGGGGCGCGCATGGCCAACTGATCGATGGTCAAGGCCTCACCACCAGCGGCGACAATGCGGGCACGGGCAGTGTTGGTGTAGCGGAGAGCGGCAATCGAGAGCTTGGGGAGCTCAAGGAGACGGTTGTCGTCAGTGACGGTGCCGACCAAGACGATGGTCTTGCCCTCGTGAGCCTTAGCGGAGTGCTTGTTGGCAGCAGTGGCAACGATCTTGGAGAGCGACATGGGAGGGCGGTTGATCTTGCTCATCATCAAGCGACGGAGGACAGTGGCGTTGAACTTGCTGTCGGTACGGNNCCTTTGCGCAAAAATGTCAGCCCTGCGCTCTTCTGGGATTTCTCGCAGCCATTGCGAGCGCGCATCTTCAAACAGCACCGCAGCAGCAGCCAATCTCTTGTTTTTTCTTCTCTCAATCAATCAATGCATGCGTAGTCGGCTGCTGGCGGTGCAGAATGGGTGGTCGCTTCGATGGCTGTCTTCTGGAAGGGGCTCCTTACGGCTCAAGAATCTGTAGAGCTTGACCAGCAGAGCGGTGTAAGGGTTGTCCGACTTGGGAGCCTTGCGGTGGCCCGAACGGACGTGGTGGTGGTCGAGATCGATACCCATATCTATTGATTTCTGAGGTAAGAAAGGTGTTTATCGGTATCTGGATAGGTGAACGATGACTGACTTCTGATGCTGCTAGTCGACCGGGAGGGTGGTTGTCGGAAAAGTCGTCTCGTCGTCTCGTCCAAGTAAAGGTTCGACGCAGTCAACGCAGAGAATTTGGCAAGTGCGTGGTGCACGAGGCCCGAGCGTCCGTTAACGAATTGGCCGAGGTTTAACCGCCAAGCCAGATCTTCGACTCTGCTTGACACTACTCGGAAAGTGAACAGTCCAATGGCTATTATCAATCACTGTATTCATACTGACAAGATCTGACGCTGTCCGAGTGAATTTGACTCTATCGAGTCATCCCCTCTTCTGGCGGTGCTGTTCTCAAAATACCTTCGTAGCCCAGTCTGAGGCTGTTGCACATTTATCTCCACAAAATGCACACTCTATGCGACACATCAAGTACATCTCAAGGCTTTGCGCCAATACAATGCTCTGCCTTCCATATCTAGGTCAACTACATCACACCTCTTGCCTCCCGTGCGCCTCAAACTCCGTGCGATGCCTGGTGATCAGAAAAACTGTATATCCCAAGACGCCGTTGGTTTTTCTGTAATGAACAAAAGAAAGACAAAACCATTGAAATATTGCAACCATGTTTCATCATGCATTTTGTAATGTGACCCTCCATCTAGACTGAGTCGTCCAAGCGAGTTATGGACGGGCAAAAGGAGATTTGACAGAGAAGAAGAAAGAGTCGTGTCAGTCTTATACTTCTGGTTTCAGGCCAACGAAGAAGTCACGCGTGAGCTCGAAACTCAGCCAACTGCTGGCCATACTGGGAGCGACCTTGAGGNNGAGGTTGGGGGCAATACCCTTGTACAGACCCTTGATACCTTCGTGCTTGACGATCACTCTGACGGCATCGAAGATCGATTTGTACTGGTAGCCCATGCCTGACATGGTGTTGATCTGGAATCTTCGGCGAAGCAAGTCACTGATAACATCAATCAGCAACCACTTGTTTGCTCAAGCTCATACAAGACTTACAAGNGGATATGTGCATGTTTGTGCGACAGCTCCTGAGATAGCACCTGCACCCAATTTTCCGATAGAGCTTGGGTTGTCGGAGCCTTCCGGAGTAAAAGCCTCGCGAACTGTTTCGTAGACCATGAAGTTCAGTCCAACNCTTTCAACAGTCAGTTTCACGAGATTCGATAAACCATGGGAGGTTCTTACGTATGGCGCAACACCAGCAACTGTGGGGACTATACCCCGGTAGAGCGCAAAGAAGCCACCTTCTGTCTTGTACATCTTGATCAATGTCGGCCACATCCCTGGTAGCTTCTTTCCAGCTTCTGCTTTTTCTAAGCCTGCGAATGAGGCTGACTGAATCGAGAGTCGTGTTCGGACGATGTCGAGGGGGTAGGTGAATGTTACTGAGGTAATACCGGCGATCGCACCGCATGACAGACGCTGGAGAGCACCAAGAGGAGCGCCAGGGTTATCTTCAAAGAACNNTAGAGTGGATCAGTATGGGCCATGATGGTGGACAAGATCCAAAGGCGCATTGCATACCCGCTTGTAGAAATTGTAACTTCCAAATTGCACGGCCGAGTAAGGCACGATACGGATGCAATTTGTGCCGTTGCCTACCATAAACCCACGGAATCCTTCTTCGCGCCACATCTTGCCCAAAGCCTTGCCTATCGACATTTTGTATTCTTCACGGCCAACACTCTGAATTTGAAAGAGGATCTTGAGACGCTCAAGTGGGGACACAACAGTTCGCGATACAGCACCTGCCACACCTCCAGCAATGAACGATGCAACTACGGGTTGTGCGAGCCATTCTCTTGTACCGTCCCACGGTTGTGAGGGTGTAGTTCCGGAAGCCATTGGGAATTTGAGGGAAATGTCCTTGGGAATATGCGACGTGTTCTCGACCGAGTGGAGGCGTCGAGGCCAGGGGAAACCAGGTTAGAGAAGCGTCCTCGAGTGAAGGTATTGAACTATTGCGCTCTCGTGCGTGCCGACTCTGTTGATCGTGCTCGTAGTAGAATGACGGTGTTGGCGAGTCGAACGAAGCCAAGTCGCAACGCTAAAAGCAAGCCGAGAAGAGGTCGAGGAGGATGTTCTTAGGATACGCAAATAGTTGGGTATTAGCGAGCGTGAGGACAAGGCATTGGTCCACGAGAAAGGGCCCGTGGTTGTGATGACCAGAGATCCGGTTGATTCAGGTTGGATGCTGCGCTGTTTAGTCGACTCTTAATGCCGACCGACGTAACGTGGGTCGCGCTAATTTTGCCCAGCAGTCACTTCTTTTCTCGTCCCTCGGCCTTCTCTCCTCCGTTGTCAAGTGTAGCACCTCGAGAAACGAGTGTTACTGGTCCATCGCTTTAATAAGACCTCATAGCTTGAAGTCGATACACTTTCCAGGGGCTGACGAGATCATGAGTAGTCACGCTGTACAGAAGCCACAAATCACGAGCACGAGAGACCGACTGCCGAATGCTCGTTTCCCAGTCAGCAGCACACAAACAGACTTGACTTGCTCGTCGTGTAACATCTGATCCGGATCTTGTGAGCCTTTGCTTGTTTGCCTGCCCTTCTCAAACAATCTCTTCCACTCATACATCAGATGCACACGACATCTTGCATCTCATCCTTGCCTCGAACCTTGAACATGATCTGTGGAGATCCTGTGGGGAACCTCATCGGCTTTCTCGGGTGCATACGGGTTGCTGACCATGGAACTGTTCCGAAGTGCGGGCTCAACTCATCCCTCCGAGGCCTCAGTGTTTGCTTCTTCAAGCACTCGAAACATTGGATGAAGTTAAGTCGAGAATGACATGCTCCTTGTGAGTATGCGGGTTTGGAGTACGGATAAGACAGAACACACATCCTCCCTGTGTGCTGAAGACTGTCACAATCTACAACTGACCTCTTCTCTATCCCGAGCCATAAGGGTTGTTATAAGCTATCGTAATGCACAGTTCTGACTAGAATACAAGTCTGGCCATCGAGATAGCCTTCGCTAAGGTTCTCTCAATGGAGAACCATAGTTTTCGCGAAGACATTGTGCATTTCGACAGCTGTACTGTAACTGTCTATAGCACATGAGGAGGACGCAAAGCAATATTCCAATGTTGACAAAAGAGGCACATGAACTTAGACATTACGAAAAACTTCCTCCAAGACCCATATTCTACGAAAACAACAACAAAAGAGATACTGACTTTACTCCGAGTTAACCGCACTCCTCATAGCCTCGACAGCATTAGCAGCAAGCTCCCAAGTCCTACTCATAACACTTTGCTGCTCATTATCAGCCTGATACCCACTATCATTACTCAACATCTTCTTCTCAGGACTCTTCGATCTGCTCCTCGTCAACGCATCCTGGGCTTTCTTCACTGGACTCGCATTAACGATGGTGTTCTGCGCTTTCTTGACCGGGGAGCTGATGGCACTGACGTTTCCCTGCTGCCTCTTCTGCTGTTGCTGTTCCTTCTTGTAGTCGGCCTTGTACTTTTCAATGATCTTGGCTCTCTGTTTGTCAATCTCTTTCCAGTACAAGTAGTCGTTGATATTGGCGATGTGGGGGATCTCGCCTCTCTCCCCCTTTNNGGCGTGCATGTCTTTCTTCATTGCTTTGTACTCTTTAATGTCGTATTCACCCTCGATGGAGCCAATATGTCGCTCGTAAGCCTTGTCCCAGGCTTGTTCGTCGAATTTCATGTAGATCTGGAAGAACTTGTCGAAGCCCATCTCTGCCCACTCGCCCTTGGCTACACCTTCCTGGTACTCTTTCTTCAACTGCTCCATCACTGCATCGGTATACCGAGCGATGAGGGTGCCGTGTTTGTATGTTTCCTTCTCCTTGGCTTCCTTTTGTTTTCTCTTTTCGATCCTTCTCTCACCCTCGGCACCAAGTGGATTCACCCAGAGTGGAACGACCCATTTCTCATACTTGGTAGCAGCCTCCTTCTTAGCACCTTTAGCTGCTGCTCCAGCCTTTTAGGGGCAGCCTTCTTTGGAGCGGTCTTCTTTGTGACTTTGGTCGCTGCTGTTTTCTTGGGAGCAGCTGTCTTCGTTGCTCCTTTCTTGGTGGCAGGGGTCTTCTTCTTGAGCTTTGGAGCAGGAGCCGAAGATGTGGCAACAGTCGTGNGGCTTGGGAGTTCGTTTTGGCCGCGACGAAGCAGCTGTGCGTTCTATGGGTTTCTTTGGCGCCATGACAATGAGCAGTGCCTTTCGCTTGAAGTCGGGTCAGCATGTGAACGGCCCCAAGGCAAGGTAAGGTGGATGGAGAGACACGCAAACCAGACCTCAACCAGTGTATAGCTATCCGACAGCCCAACAAGTTTCAACGATCAGAAGGCGGACTCACAGAGATTATTCACACTAGGATTAAAAACCAACGACTTTGGTGAAATACTTTTTGAAATTGTATGAAGCAGATATAGCAGTAGAAAGCCACGATGGACTGGAGCTATAAGATACCAGCAAGATAAAGCAAATGACCTCCCAAACACCGGTGACCGTCACGGCATGATTATTTGTTTATAACTTTTGAGTCCATCTGCCAGAAGAATGCAGAAGACCGGCCTGCTGAGGCCTTAGAAACACGACGCATTCCTCAAAGTTCATGAGCGCAATTTGGCCATACGCTCGTTCATGCTGAATTAGTGGTTAGCCGTTGGTTCATCTTGCTACATTCCGATCGGCAAACTTACAAANGAGAAGAAGGCGAATTGACTGGCCGAGATGCCGCGCTCATAAATGAAGCGGGATGACAAGTACGAACCGAAAATGGCGCGCAGGTAGTTATCAGGAACCTATCACATTGGTTAGCACGGCGTCCTTGGGGTGATTGGTTGCAAGCGACTTACTCTCTCCATGATGAGATCAAGACCAATCTTCTCTAGCAACAAGGCAGGAAGGGCATCTGTGAGTACTGATCTGCGGAGCTCAACATTGTCCCAGAGCTCAGTGTTCTGAAGTTCCTCATCGAGGTTAGTGATGGCGGTGCTTAGACGGTCACTAAGGACACTCTTGGAAATGCCAGTAGCCTCGCTCTCTCTCCAGATGGCCTCAAACTCTAGTCTAGCGTTGTTGCAAATTGTTTGTTGAACTTGCTTGACGTATGCCTTGTAGAACTCTGGAGTAGTGCCGTCTTCGTGCACACACATGTTCTCGATGAAACCAGCATTGTCGAATGACAATGAAGCCAGAACCTCAAGCGAAGACGATGTGACACCACCCTTGTTGGCAGATGCATCCTTAAAGAGGATACAGCCAGCCTTCTCAAGACGGAGCTTAGCATCCTGTGTGATGAAGAGGTTGGCACCTTCAACGATGTAAGGAATGATCGCCTTGCCATCAACAATGAGCTTGTTGACCGAGTTCAGGTTGATGGACTCGGGACGACCACCGCAGGGTACGAAGACGTCATAAGCCTCCTGGCGCAGATGGAAAGTGTTACGGAATGCCATGCCGTTGTTGACGACCTCACCCGAAGGAAGGGTGATGTTGTTCTCCTCGACTAGGACTCTGTAACCTTGGGGCGAGAGCTTCGAGACATCATATTGGTTAATCATGACACGCTTCTTGGCCAAGCGGAGCAACTCCTCTCTATCAAGACCTTCAGAGTCAAAGAGGACACCCGCACCATCGACAATGGCAGTGTACTTCTCTTGTCCGAGGAGGATTTCGTTGCTTCCAAGGTCACCATCAGGACCACCAGTTTGGAGTTTTCTCATGCTCTTCTGATCAAGGTTAAGCTTGCGGTAGATACCCAAGACGTACTCACGAACAGACAGAGTAGTCATGCCGTAGGCGTCGTGAGGAATACCACCAAGCTTAGGGCTCTTTCCAGTGAAGAAAGACTTCCACCAAGGAGCACCACGAGCTCTTGCGTGCTCAGTAGCCCAGTCAACCAGTTCAGCAGTGTTCTCATCGGGGCCCATGAACAGAATTTCCTGCTTTCCGTGAAGGTCGACAATGGGATCCTTGATACCAGGACTAGTGGGTGGAAGGAGCAAATCGAGAATACTGTCGATGTACTTCTCAAAGGCGACACTGGCCTTCTCTTGGTGCTCAACATCAAGCAGAATGACACCCTTGGAACCACCCTCGGGGATGTCCTTGTTCTTTCTTTGTTGAGTGTTTGCAAGGTTGTAGTTCTCGTCAAAGAGCGAGCGGGCATTGATGTCGTATGCCTCAGGACTTCTAGACTTGACGATACGGATACCACCACGAGCGATGTCGCGGAAACGAAGGTGGAAGCCACGGAACTCAGAGCTGATGACTAAGAACATGCCATAAAGAGGTTGGGGGTACTCTTCGACAGGCAAGAAAGAGGGGTTCAGGCGGAACGAAAGAGCAGTCTTGGTTGGGGTATAGTAGTTGGTCTTGAGGACAGCCTTGTTGAAGACACGGAAGGCCGTCATGACCATCTCTTGATGCTCGTTCTGGCAGGTGGTAGAGATCAAGTTCTTGAGTTCGGCGTCGCTCAGAACCTTGTCAACCTTCAAGCGAAGGTAACTCAGAGTTGGCAGGAAATCATCCTCATCACCGCGAGTCTGGACGTAATGGGTGTTGGCGAAGTTGAGGTACAGAGCCTTGACCAGTTCAGGGAACTGCTGGATGATCTCGAGAATGAAGTCTGAGGTAAAGGTCTCAGTACGCAGACGACGCTTGAGCTTCGAAAGCAGTTCAGCGTGGACACTGTTGTTTGCATCCAGGATTGCGCTGAGGGTGTTATATTCAGAACCAAGACGGTTCAAGAAGTGGCTGACAAAGACCCACACGCAGTGCGCGTAGATGGTCTCCTGCAAGCTGAGATTGCCAGTCGCGAAGTGGTTCTGGAACTTGGTGCGAGGTACGCAGTACAACAAAGAGACTTCCTTCATGATCTGGTGAATGGAGGCCTCAATTGGAGGGTGCATGTTTGACTCAGGTCCGGGTACAGGACGAAGGTACAGCGACATGATTGTGTATCCGTTGGAGAATTGCTCAACGTACTTGCGAGACGAGGTCAGGCCATAGTAGTGGTAAAGATCACTGAGGGCACTGAAGAGACCCATGGCTGAGCCCTGCTTGTATGCAATGACCAATCTCTTTTCTCTCGAGCCCTTGATCTCGAAGAGCTCGATGACGGGGCCGGTTCTAGCGACTGCTGACTCGAGGATGTGTTGGTAGATGTCGCGAGTGTTCTTTGTAGCTTTCTGGAGGAATCTCTTGTCAGAGATGAGATCGAGGTTGGTCTCCTCAGGGCTGGGGTTGGGCTGCTCGAAAGAGCACTGGTATACAAAGTAGCATCTCAGCTGCTGGTCGAGATCACCGGGCAATTTGCTAGATGATCTGAATGTCTCGACACGGTAGCTGTTGGCACCCTTCGAGTTGTTGAGGTACTTCTCGTCGATGCGTTGCTCGTAGCGAGGTCCACCAACAGAGGTGATACCAGGCTTGCTGGTATCGATGAAGACGGCGTGGTCGACAGCTTCCTTGTCGAGGCGGATCTCGAGCTGCTTGTCGTCTCTGGCGAATGCAGCAACCTTGGCGGCGTAGAGCGAGTGGATGTGGCTGACAATGCTGCAGGGAGTTAGTGTTTGTCAAGTAACCATGTAACTAAAAGGGGTTTCCTACGCATCAGAAGTCTCGGTCGAGAAGTACATGTCATCAATGCCCAACTCGTTGTAAAACCATTGGGTTTCACTCTCGACAAACTCCGGGGGAAGGNNGAAGCCCTTGGCTTCAATCTTATCCATAACTCTGCATACGAATTAGATGCATATTCTTGTAAGACAGTAATCGTGATCTGCTTACTCCTCCATTTGTTGAGTCTTGCCCTCGAACTTGGGGGCTTCATAGCCAGAGCCCTGTTCGCTCAAGACACGGGAATGACTTGAGGCTCCAGGAACGCTCAAATGTGTTGGTTGGGGTGAGGGCTGTCTATCAGCGGGTCTGATAACATGGTCAAGGTTTTTGTTGTGTGGCACGCCATTGCCGTTGGCGAGACCATTGGTAGTTGTGCTCGACATGATGTTATGATGGGACACCTTGATGAAGAAAGGTGGATGTCGGAGTGAGAGTCTCGGCGGGCGTACGCCAGTTTATAATAGATTGGAGACAAGGCGTGAAAGCTGGGCCGAAGTAGCTGCGAGTAAGATCGAGCAGCTGTGGAGGGAAGGTACGGTTCAGGAGACTTTCAGAAGGAGCAGAAACAGGGAGCTTTTGAGTAGATCGAGGTTTCCCAAAATGACGCACGACAGAGACGCGGCCTTGACAATAAACAACAAGGGGAAGCCGATTCGACACAAGCGGTAAATGGCTCAGGCCCTCTGAGCTGGCATCAGCTCTATATATACCAACGTTTCTCAGTCACATGGCATCATTGTCGATTCCAACTCGACCACTTTTTCTCGCATACTCGCGGCATACCCACTTGGTACCTGATCACCTCGGTGGCACTAGCGTCAACAGACGATCTGGGAAATTTAGCGCTGCCGAAAATGTTCGGCCCGTACACACCAAAACTGCTGCGCCTTTTTAGATCTTCACACGCCCTGGACGCCCTACTTACGCGGTTATAGACGGACTATAGGAGCGGGCATAATTAGCCCGTAAGCCCATTTCCCTGGCTTCAATCAAGGCCGTATAGAGTGAATGGCATCTACACTCGTGTCCATTCCAGTCATCATCATATCCCTCATCCTCCGATCGGAACAACTGTCTTGTTTTCGTCTCTTCAAAGTGCTCATTTTTGCATACTCTGTTACGTATTTTTAGTCATAGTTTGATACTAGCCAAGTCTACGCCATAAGACGAAGTGGTTTTATTCCCCAGGACTGCTCACATGGCTCCTCCCCCTCGCTCCTCATTTGCGGGGCAAACGGCTTTCGTGGAGCGACAGAGGGTCTGTCCGTTACTCTTTCTCAAAATGAGGCTTTCTATTACGAATATTATCAAATAGGAATTGGGGGAATCGCGAATTCTCCCGTAAGGAAGCGGGGTTCTCAGCAGAGTCTTCACATCAGAATCCCATGGCAAAACCCAAAGAGAGACTGCAGCTGAGGAGCAGAACCATACGGAGAGGTATCGAAACTNNGGAGAGTTGGTCAGTGTCTGAGCTCAAGGGGTCGTGTTCTAGGTCCTGTGACTCACCTGTGGTGGCTTTGCTTGGAGGAACAACTTTGCCAGAGCCGTTTACTGTCCATCCGCTGGGTAGTCCGGGGTATGTGGTGGCTACCGTGCTGGTCATGCCGGACGCCGTGGCTCTCCAGTTGCCGATACCTGGGGTCGAGACCGAAGACCAGGTGCGATGAGTCCCTTCAAATGGAACGGCACCGCTTACAACCGAAGTGATCGCAGGTGCCGAAGTATCAACATTCGTCGAGCCTCCGTTGATTGACCCTCCAGCTGCTTTGATACTTGTCCAACTTCCGGTCTGGTCTGAGTATGTGTAAGACTTGCCGGTCGAGTAGTCCGTGACTGAGATGGACTGAACTACCATCGTATAAGGACCTGCTGCATAGTCGGTACTGCCTCCTGCCCACGCGACTGTGCCAGGAGCATTCGACGAATCACCACCACTCCATATACCAAGCTTGATCATCATAGGCGTCTGAGGATATTGGTCACCAGCATCGGTGGCTTTCAATGCACGCTGCGTCTTACCATCCACCTGCCAGACCAGCTCCGTTGATGTCCAGTCAATCGTATAGGTATGAAAGTCTTCCGTAGGATTGTCCATGTGGAAAGCCGCGGCACGACCGGATGTCGAAGCATCACCTTTCCGAAAGTAGATGGATTGTACTTGATCTTGCTGGTTTCCAACCCATTCCCAATCAATCTCATCCAGGTCATCTGATTGTAGCACGCAGCTGCTGACTATTCCCTGTCCAGGAGCAGCTCTCATCTTCACTTCGACCTTGCCAAACATGATGTACCAATTCGATGTAAGCATAGGTGCATCGCCTGACTGAGCGACCGTAAATGATACACCATTCNNGGAGTCATATGTTGGTGAGCCGGATGCTGTGAATTGGTTCGATTCGCCAGAGGTAAAGTCGACATTGATTGATTTTGAAAGTGCTGGATCAGCAGGACAGCCATTTTGTTGTGTTGGGTTGCAGCTGCTTGTCGTTTGAGCGTGAGTGGTTTGTGTGAAGGTGAAAGATGCGATCGTGACCAGTGCTATTAGTCGTGTCGATGCTTGTAGGCTGAGAAGATATGACGGGCATAACATTTTCAACGGTTACGGTGGATAGATAAAAATGCTAAAAGGCAAAAACAACAAGAAGACGCGACCAACAGGATTGTAGGTGAAAATTGTAGGCAAAAGGTCACAGTGAGAAAGCAAAATGATTAATAGCGTGATACTACCTCCAGCCATCTGTTTTTCGATGGCAAATATAGTGAAGTCTACGTCAGTCAGGAGAAATCAGGGCGTCAACTGCACCAAGCAAAGACTATAATGCGGTGTGCAACAGGTTGTCGAGGTGGCTGGGAAGTGATGGGCACAATGAAAGCTGGTGGTTGGATGTCTGACTGCCTGGTCCAAGCTCATCACCGCAACAACGAGCGAGGGAGACACTTGGGATATAGTGACTCTCCAATCGTCAGAACATGCAAATGAATGGACACATGGTTGTTAGACGGGAAAAGTTGTCATTATTTTGCTGAAAAGATGTTCTATGCACCAACCGGCGGACGCCATGCTGCTCATGAAACACTCCACGTCTGTCCCTTGACTAGGCACATCTTGATCTTACATAGTCGAGTCGTGTAACTATACTGAATTCGATGCTCACATACCCTCGAATTCGCCAGCATCGTCTTCGTCCATGTCGCCGTCTTGGATCTCTTTGGCAAGCTCGCGCTCTCTTTCGCGAGCTTCCTGAGCATTCTTCAGCTCTTGTCTGTGCTTGTTCATGGGATATCTCATGGCCATCACACATTCGTCGTGAATGCTCAGACAAGCCTTGATACGCTCGTGGAAAGCTTCGGCCGGCTCTCTTGTCGCGTAAATGTCACCTGCCTGTTTGGACTCCATGAAGCCGTGTTCATGGTCAAGGGTTGCTTCAATGACACCATCACGAATGGCCTTTGCGACGATGTACTCGGCAGACTCCTCGCTTTCGACACCGAGACGCAGACAGATGTCGCGCAACGAAATGCGAGAGTATGACAGAGAAAGCATGCGTACACCGGTCTTGATGACATTTTGACGCAAGCGGAGAACCAGAGTGTAGGTGCCGTCACGGCGGAACTGAGTGACGTTCTCCTCGACAACACGAACGAAGCCTTGCAGATCACCAACACGCACGGCCTGGACCAGACGGAAGTAGGGGTAGAGAGCACGCTCGAGCGAGGGCTGTCTGAAGACGGCTCTGTCCGGGATATCACCCATCAGAAGCTCGACGACTATCAGGAGCTTCATGGCCGACTGATAGAAGCCAGCAGCAACGTTGTTGGTAGGAGACTTGCGAGTGGCACTTGTCAAGTGCTCATGAGCTGCAGTGTATGATAGTTGAATTGCGCGAATGCGGCCCAGGTAGTAGAGGTAACGGCAGACTTGGTTGTTAGGGGCGTTCGGAGGAAATGAAGTCTGGTTAACCAAGAGGTCGGCCTGGTTGATGTCGGCGGTGGAGATGTAGTTGCGCAGAAGAAGGACGATGACAGCGGATTGGGTATCGTTGTCCTTGCGCAAGACTGCGCTGCGGAGAGCAGCCAGAAGCTTCGATCTCGTGGCAATGACGGGCGATTGCTTGGATGGCGGCTTAGGGTCGAGCTGCTCGTGGAAGAGGTGGTAATAGAAGTAGGACTTTGCGGCGAGCGAATCCAGTGTGCGGCGGTTGTACTCTCGTACTCTGTCGACCAAAGCAGATGAGAACTCGGCGCCGTGTGAGTATTTTTGCGCATCGTAAAGATAGACCTGGNNTAAGAGAAATTAGAGGCATGATTACTGAGCGTGTGGTGGGCAAGTTCATACCTGGATCAGAACGGCCAGGTAGATAAAGGATTCTGGAAGGACATCTCCCTCCTTTGATGCATTGCCGTTGGCAGGAGCAGAGGAAGTCTTTTGGAGAGCAGACTCCAGGAAGCGCTTGTCGGACGAGTCTTGGTGTGAGGCGTACAGCGAAGCAACTGCAGTCGAGAGGGCGTCAAGGAGGTGAGGGCTCTTGCGCATGCTCGATATTGAGCGGAGTACACGGAGGGTAAAGCGTCCATCGAAGCGAGCAACTGCTTGGTCAAGAAGAGCAAAGTTGGCGATTATGGCNTAGTGTTGTGTTAGCATGAGGCTCGATCTTATGTGATGGAGTAAGGTACATTGTGAAAGCTGGTCGGCGGTAGGAGCGTTGTCGACGGGAGCTGAGGCGACCTCGACGCCTTCCATCTTGTCGGCCATGTTGATCTTCGAACGCAGAGACGAGACGGTGTGAGAGGATAGAGGAAGCGCGTGATCTTGTGTGGATGGAGTGAGTTGATGGAGTTGCCTCTTCGCGGAGTTGGGAGCTGGTGCTGTTCGAAGGCCGATGGCGATGACGGAAAGAGCCAAGGAAGCCGGAGCTCACTTTGGCTGCAGCTGCCATCATCACATGCGAGCCCGCTACTGTATTTGTTTACCACATAACTTTTTGTTCGGCACTTTCAACCAACGTCTCTCGCCAATTTACTCAGCATGACATCTTCTCTACTGTCGTCGCATCTGGATCAAATATCCCTCTGTGCCTCGTCCATTTCCGACCTCCCATTTTCGCGACCCAAACAATTCACCAATGCCCTTCTGACCCACCACGACATCACCGCCCTGATCAGAGATACCGAACAACACGAACGCGCCCTCTTCTCTATTGCTCCTCCTCCGGTTCCTTCCAAGTCGCAGATCCAGCAAATATCTTCGACCTTTACGACTTCTGCCTCTCGATCAATTACCGCATCAAACACTCAAAGGCCTCCTCGTCGCCATACCGCTGTCGCTGCAGTCCTGGGTGGTGATTTGTATCGCAAGACTAGGACTGGACATAGCGGCAAACAATCCAAGGGCGATATCGATGTCGAGCTTTTGTTGCGAGGTGCAGAGAAGCTTTGTAGAGTCTAGTATGTTTATACCATTCGGGAGTGCGGTATCCTGTTCTAATCAGATTGTGACAGTCCTATCCCGGGTGCCTTCGACAGAATTGGCGAATTAAGAAACCGATATGCCCAACTGAGCGCCAACATTGCTCATTACGAAGAACGAGTCGCAATGCAATCTGCCCAACTGGATAATTTGCATCAGAACCACGATGATTACGATCAAGACGACTATGACTACCAAGATGACCACTTCGAACCTACAGTCCATATGACCAAAGATGATATTGTGAACGAAGAAGATGAAATTCGTGCTCTCGAGGACAAGAAAAGGGCACTCCAGTCAAGAGTCAGCAGTATGGAAAGAGACATTGAAGGCCTGGCAAGATGAAAACACATAAGTGTAAACTGGCAAACACACGAATACTGGAGACTGAAACTGGCTCTGTTAACAACCACCAAGACGAGGATCAGATTCTGATTCTCATCGTCTGATGCTTGCAAGCTATAGATGGCCATCTTCGAAAAACCTACCAACGCCCAGACAATGCATGAGCATCTCAACCCCAAAATTTGAGGTCTGCATGTATGACAAGGTCTGCTGCACAGCTTTTTATCAGAAGAGTAGTTCGGTCTGCGAAAGGGCTTGGTGAACAACAAGTCCGAGCCACTAACAACACCACGAACACGTTGCCAACAGAGTGATGCTAAGGATGAGCAGCTGATGGCAACAAATAAAGGCATGGTTTGACAACAAGCCTGTGTCGATGTTAGTAACAAAAGCTTATTTCGTAACAAGCTCCCTAAGCAACTGGGGACAGCTTGGCCAGGACAGTTCGATCCTGGAGTTCTAGACCGAGGGGAAACCATTGTGGCCGCAACAGCAGACAATGGGGCTTGCTCTATGAGGGTCCGGTCGCCAGGCTGAACATCGTTGTAGATAGATATCCTCAGCCACAAAAACAAGAAAGGCGACTGCGCCATGTTGACAAACCAATCCGTGCGCTTGAAATGTACGACCTTCGTATTCGATGTTGTGATTGGTGACGTGAGGCTGATTCTAGAACAATGCGGTCAACCCTCAGCTAGGAGAGAGCTCTTTTAATCAGCCCTGTACACCACTTGTCAACTTCACTTCTTTTCTCATTCATCCTGAACACTTTCCTTCAATTTCATACACCATCGCGCACACAATCTACACATCACAGCTTACAATCCACAACCAACCACCATGGGCTTGCTCGGCAATTTGATCAACGAGTTCACCCACCAGGGCCAGAGTGGCAGCGGCGGCCAGCAGGGTAGCTACAACCAAGGCGGCTACGGAGGACAAAACTACAACCAACCCCAAGGCAACTACGGCGGTCCTCAGCAAGGATACGGTGGCCCGCAACAGGGATATGGTGGTCCACAGCAAGGCTACGGTGGTCAACAAGGCTACGGTGCTGGCCAAGGTACACCTCAAGTCCCGCCCCCATGGCGTGCCGTCTGGGATGACCGCGAAAACCGCTGGCTCTTCATCAACGAGCAAAACGGTGAACGCACTTTCGAGCACCCTGGTCGCACTGGTGGTTATGGCGGTGGTTATGGAAGCAGCTACAACCAAGGTCCTCCTCAAGGTCAATACGGCGGCTACGAACAACAGCAGCCTCAGCAGAAGAAGAACCACAACCTAGCATATGGAGCAATGGGTGCCGCAGCCGGACTTGCTGGTGGTGCATTGCTCATGCACGAAGGTCACGAAGTCAAAGAAGATTGGGAGGAAGACAAGTACAGAGCCGAGGAGAAGTTTGATCGCTTCGAGAACCGCGTTGACGACATGCCTGAGGATGCAGCCCGTTGGACAGGCCGCAAGGTAAGTTTTCGTTCACCATATCATCAGCTGATCACCTGCTGATCATTTGTTTTACAGGTCGGAGAAGTCGAAGACATTCCCCAGGACATCGAGAACGACTACGACCGTGCCAAGTACGGCATGGAGAACAAATGGGACAATGCCGTCAATGATGTCGAGGATGTGCCCGACGACGTTGCTGGCTTTGTTGGAGATGGCGTTGGCAGAGTCGAGCGCTGGGGAGACGATGTCGACAGATTCGGCGACAACATGGACAATGCCTACGACCAAGGCAGAGATGATCAGCGCTACGGCGACGACAATGACCGTTGGTAAACCATGCATTGATCTTCGACCTCAGTCAGTTCCAACACTCTTATGACCCAGCCTCACGACAGCATCATTGCAGTTCAAAAACATTCAGCTTGATAGCCTTTACCTATGTCATCTTTCTCATTCACCTTCTTCATCGTGGTGGATTTTCCCCAAGTCAAAGCTGTAAGACGGATGACCCTGTCTTCGTATACATCACCCTTGTACGCGACTCACCACCCTATCATGACTATATGTTTGCCCTTGGAGCATTCTCGTAGGCGTTTATGGTGTATGCTTGTAATTCCTGATAGTTCTAGTTAACGTGAGCTGCCCAATGGCCATTTTTTGTTTGAAGCTTGGTCAGCTATGAAAGAGTCGCAACTTCCATCGTTCTCCGACTGTAGCAAAGAGCAAAGTACACACTATAAAAATGCACAATCTATTTATGATCCAAGATGTGGCCAGAGAGAGGTAGTAGCAAGTCGCCTCTCAGTGGACACTATCCTTCTCAAGATACCATTGTGCATTTTTATAGCTACACGCGTTACATCCTTTTGCACTGGGGAGGTGGTATAGTCCAGGCTTGGCAACAAGCAAAGCGGAGAACTCACCGATGACATCGACAATCCAAAGATTCCATGCGACAGAAGAAGCCTCGCCTTCACCTCTACCATTATCATCAGCACAACCAACCAATACAACATGTCTCATATACTTCGCACACCAGCAACACGCAAACTTCTACCTCGCCTCTCAACCCGCACATACTACAGCTACGAAACACCACTCCCACCACCCTACCCACCCACCGAAACCGCAATCCTCTCTGCTGCTCTGCCACACGTACCTACTCTAGGCTGGACAAAATTATCACTACGTCAAGGCGCCCGCGATGCAGGATACCTAGACGTATCCACGAATCTGTTTCCCAAGGCCGAGTTTGAATTGGTGTTGTACCATTTACGGACGCAGAGATTGGGATTGAAGGATAGAGTGCAGTTTCCTGAAGAGGCGGCTTTGGGGGTGACGAGCAAGGTTAGGAGTTTGATTATGGAGAGGTTGAGGGGGAACGTGGAGGTGGGTGTGCAGGGAAGGTGGCAGGAGGTAAGCATGTAGCCATTGCAAGAGAGAGAAGAAAGGGCAAGATACTAACAGAGAGGATGATCTAGGNCACTAGGTCTCATGTCTCTAGCTGGCAATATTCCTCCATCTCTGAAAGAACTCTACCTCCTCGCCGACGAAATCTGGTTCCTGGCTGGAGATGAGGCAGTCGACAGTTCTTGGTACACCAAGCGTGCGACGCTGAGCTCGATTTATGCCGTTACAGAGACATACTCGACAACGGATCAGAGCACGGACTTCAAAGATACAGAAGAGTTCTTGAACAGGAGGTTAGAAGAGGCAAGGATGGTGGGTGGTGCGTGGAGGAACGTCAGGGAGTGGATGGGTTTCCAGGGCATTGCCACTGTTAATATGGCGAGAAACTTTGGTGTAAGGATATAAAGGAGATAAGAAGTACAGGGAATAGTGGTGAAAGTGTAAGATCATGATGATGAACGGATGCTGGTCTCGATAAAACTGACCTAAGCTCCGAAAATTACTACTAACTGTACAAGTTACATTCCAATTTTACCGCCTGCTTCGCCTGACCGAGCCCGTGGTATCTTGTCCGTTTCCATTTTCCCATCCGAAGATTCCAAAAGAGAGTAGATGTTTAGTGACCTCCCTGCTCACGTCTACTATCACCCTCTGCACTTTCATCTGCAGCACCAGCGCCAGCACCTGCAAGTCTGATACCTTCCTCATCACCCCTCAACTTTTCGAAATAAGCCTTGATATCTTCTGCCCCCACGGCCTGACCACTCTCAGCGAACGGCTGCAAGAAAGCCTTGACCTTGTCACGTAGATGGTTGTAGACCATGACACCCTCGATGGCCTTCACGCGGTCCATGTTGCTGAGCAGAGCCTCGCCACGTTCATATGTGCTTCCTGAGCCCACACTGCCGCCACGTCCGTTCTGTGCTTCTTGATTGTCGCTTTCCGAAACAGGAGGTTCGTAGGCCTCTTCCTCTTCGAGAAGTTGGGGATGGGGCTTCAGGTTAGGGAAGCAGGAGGGACAGCGGCAGATGTGTGAGCGGAAGTCTTCCNNCTTCAAGAAGAGGGAGAAGGTTCCAGATGGAGCCGAGGGCAATTTGGTGTGTAGAGGAACGTCCTCTGCAGTTGTGTTGGTAGTATCAGATGTGACATTCTCCTGAACACCATCCTCAGATTCTACCTTGGTCTTCTTAGACGTGGTTTCTTCCAGATCATCTTCTGCACTTCTCTTCTTGCCTTCGGTGGGCAGTGGCAGAGCTGTATCCTCTGATGTTTCCTCGGCTGTCGTGTTCTCACTTGTTCCCTCTGTGGATTCTTTGTGGTAGACAGGGCCAAGGNNGAAGCCTTCTTGGCCAGCGTATTGTTTAATCCATGGAAACGAGCTGACACATTTATAGCAGATCAAATGATCAAAGTCATCTTCAGCAGGGAAGCCAGTCGGTAGAGGTGCCTCGTCAACATCTTCTTGCTCCTCAACAGGCTGTGCAGTAGTTTCTGGGTCTTGGGTAGGCTGCTTCGATTCATCCTTCTCTTCCTTGGGAGCAGTCTCGGATGGCTGAACTCTCGGTAAGCCCATGAGACATTCGGGATGCCACCAGTCCTCCCCGCAGCCACCATCTTCAACCGTACCCAGACCTAAGCACTGGAACATGGTGCCCTTCTCTTTCTCGGGATCGTATGGTTCTCCACATCCACAGAAGCGGCCAGCAAAGTTGTGGTTGTACTTGTTGTTCTCAGCAGGAGTTTCGCCAGTCACATTGCCCTTCTGGCTGGTGGACTCGTCGATTCGGAGTGTGCATGGGGCCGCCGACGGTACTCTGGTAGTACCGCAGTCGCATACAAAGTTGCGTTTGGTGAAGAGCTCGACGAGTTCATGTTCGCCATGACAGGAGATGCTGCATGAGTAGCACACGGCGGCTGAGGTGCGCGATTTGTCGTCGGACGAGGAGGGAGGGTTACATGTCAGACAAGCAAAGATAGCCTGTCTCAGTGGACCGAGAGGTTTTGTACAGGTGTCGAATTGATACGGAAGTGCCTCGCGAGCTTCTTGTTCGAGCTGAAGCTGGCTTGCAATGAACCTTTGCGAATTATTAGCATTACATTGTGCAAATTTTCATGCGATTTCACCGACTCTTGGGCAGTCTGAGAGGTTCCGGGATCTTGGGACATGGTATGCGGTGTTTGGTAAGAGACAAAGTCGCTCTTTCCATGCATGAACATGCGCGTAGCGGGAGACCAGTCGCATCCTTCCTAATTAGGAAGCACTCTACGCGAAATCGCCGCGCGTTTTGTGGGGTCGCGCCTTCCAAGTTGTTTCGCCGATTCGCTCTGGTAACAAGGAGTCAACAAACCCAAGCCCTGTCACTTTTTCTCACATTTACCACAAATTCACACAATCATGAGGTATATCATTCTATGGCACCTCTAATTGAGATCAATTCACTCACACCTTCTCAGTTCACCACTCGGACCTCCTGAATCATCAGCTGCTGCTGGTGGCCGCAAACGCCAAAGAGACGACGAAGATGTACAAATGCGCTCATCCTCTGCCGCTCCTCCCTCAAGTCCTCCCAGATCATCCCCTCCTCCCGCTACCGCGGGATGAACTTGACGATGACGAAGACGACATCATTGAGCCTGACGAGGACCTCATTCCTGACCTGGATGATGCCGAAGAACAACTGGAAGATGATGCTGGTGTTGATTTGTTTGGCGACAACTTTGAAAACGACTACAGACGCCGCGAAGATGATTTCTACGAAGGCCAGGATATCGACGATGAAGGAGATTACGACGACTTGGATCTAGCTGCCAGACGACAACTCGATGCCCGCCTCAATCGTCGTGATCGCGAGCTTGCCCGCCAAAGGAGACCACAAGTAGCTTTGGACGAGGACGAAGATGACTTGATGGATCTAACCAGACAGCCTCGTAGGCGGCGACACAGATATGACGAGGAACAGGACGACATGGACATGACTGAGGATATCATGACCGAAGAGCTTTCTGCTGAAGGCTTGGCCGATGTCAAGGCCTCTAACCTGACGGATTGGATTGCGCAGCCCGCCGTACATCGCGGTATCGCTCGTGAGCTCAAGGCCTTCTTGACCGAATTCGTTGACGACAACGGTATCTCCGTCTATGGTGTCCGAATCCGTACCTTGGGTGAAAACAACGGCGAGTCTCTAGAAGTTGACTGGGAGCATCTGAGTATGTCCAAGCCTACACTGGCATACTTTATCGCCAACGTGCCCACCGAGACGCTCAAAATCTTCGATCGCGTTGCCATGGACGTCACTCTCTACCACTACCCTTTGTACGAGGGTATTCAGTCTGAGATTCACGTGCGCATCAACGGATTGCCCATGTCCTACACTTTGAGAGAGTTGCGTCAGTCTCATCTCAATTGCCTTGTTAGAGTCAGTGGTGTTGTGACACGCCGTACTGGTGTGTTCCCTCAGCTCAAGTACATCAAGTTTGACTGCACTAAGTGCGGCGTCACCTTGGGACCATTCCCGCAAGACTCAAATTCCGAAGTCAAGATCTCTTTCTGTCAAAACTGCCAGTCTCGAGGTCCATTCACTGTCAACTCGGAGAAGACCGTCTACCGCAATTACCAGAAAATCACTCTGCAGGAGTCGCCTGGAACTGTGCCTGCTGGTCGTCTGCCTCGCCACAGAGAAGTCATTCTTCTATGGGATCTGATTGATTCGGCTAAGCCTGGTGAGGAAGTCGAAATTACTGGCATCTACCGCAACAACTACGATGCGGCTTTGAATAACAAGAATGGTTTCCCTGTCTTCGCGACTGTCCTTGAGGCCAACCATGTCGTCAAGTCCCATGACCAGCTCTCTGGCTTTAGGCTGACAACGGATGACGAAACCCAGATTGCTGCTATGGGAAAAGACCCTCAGATCATAAACAAGATCATCAACAGTATTGCGCCAAGTATCTACGGCCACACTGACATCAAGACAGCTGTTGCACTTAGTCTGTTTGGAGGTGTGAGTAAGGAAGCACAAGGCAAGCACGCGATCAGAGGTGATATCAATGTGCTGCTCCTCGGAGACCCTGGTACTGCAAAATCACAAGTGCTGAAGTACGTAGAGAGTACCGCACACAGAGCCGTCTTTGCCACAGGTCAGGGTGCTTCAGCTGTGGGTTTGACCGCCTCAGTCAGACGCGATCCTATGACATCGGAATGGACTCTGGAAGGAGGTGCCCTGGTGTTGGCAGACAAAGGAACTTGCCTGATTGACGAGTTCGACAAGATGAACGACCAAGACCGCACTTCCATCCATGAGGCCATGGAACAACAAACCATTTCCATTTCTAAGGCCGGTATCGTCACAACACTGCAAGCTCGATGTGCAGTAGTCGCAGCAGCCAATCCCATCGGCGGAAGATACAACGGCACTGTCCCCTTCAGTCAAAACGTCGAACTCACCGAACCCATCCTCTCTCGTTTCGATATCCTCTGCGTGGTTCGCGACACTGTCGACCCAGAAGAAGATGAACGCTTAGCTGCATTCGTCGTGAACTCACACGGCAGAGCTCACCCTACCCTTAGCAGTACCGCCAATGACGCACCAGTCAACAGCATGCAGGACGCTAATATGGAGGTTGATGGCGACCAGGGAACTTCAAAGCAAGGCGAAATCCCGCAAGAGATGTTGAGGAAGTACATTCTCTATGCCCGCGAGAAGTTCCGTCCCAAATTGGTCTCAATCGATCAAGACAAGATTGCGAGATTGTTTGCGGACATGCGCAAGGAGAGTCTTGCTACAGGCGCCTATCCCATTACTGTAAGTGTTTCCTCTGTTCCTTGTTCATATACATTCTTTACTAACACGACAACAGNNGTCCGTCATCTGGAATCTATCCTCCGTATCGCCGAAGCCTTTGCCAAAATGCGCCTATCAGAATACTGCAGTAGCACAGACATTGACCGTGCCATTGCTGTAGCTGTCGACTCGTTCGTTGGCAGCCAAAAAGTCAGCTGCAAGAAAGCATTGGCGAGAGCGTTTGCGAAGTATACTCTTGCCAGACCTGGTGCTGTGCGAAAGAGTAGAAATGCTAGGGCCGGTGCTGCCAACGTTGGTGTTGCTGCTTGAAGTGTTTCATAATCTCGAATTTGAACGGATGGTGGTCTTGGTAGGGGTGTTTAGGCGTAGTGCGAGATATACCTGTGTCTTTTTTCTTTCTTTTTTTCTCTTTTTCTTCTTTATCTTACAAAGCTATGGGTCAGAGGGGTATATACATAGCTGTTCCTCCAAAGATCGATGAATTAAAATGTCCAAATCATCTCATGTTTTGACTCCTCTAGATCTCATCCTTGGAAATCATGAGCCGCCACACTGCATTTTTGCTGCCTCCCCGATTGCTAAAGTATGTAACTTCCACTCCCGACTATAGCAGAGGGTAAAGTACACGCTATAAAAATGTACAATACTATTAGAGAATAGGATAGTATCCACTGAGAATCGATCTCTGATCAGCAGCTCTTTTGCCCATACCCTTATTTCTAGATATGATTGTGCATTTTTATAGCCACATGCGCTTTAAGGACCGTCGCACACGGGGAGGTGGTGAGTAATTCATGTTTCCTTGGACCACCTTACTCTAGATCTCATCCTTGGAGATCATGATGCCGTAAGGATCACGATCGACCTCACTGACATGGATCTCAATATGGTCATCNCTCAAGTGCTTCGAGATAATCCTCGCTTAAAGCCGCTGAAGAGGCCCTTTCTTTCTCCTCCTTTCTGACGCGCTCCCACTCCTCCTTNNGACGCTCTTCTCCAACTGCGGCTTCAAGACTCCGTGCAAGAATCCTCGTTCCGTATTCGAGTGGAACAAAGCGATAACACATTTGCCCTGCTCGATTGCAGCCAATGCCTCGTGATGGCTCAATTCGCCAGTAAATAGCAGATCCACATCTTCTTCGCCGTTCTTGCCTAGACCGCCGAATAGACTTCCACCACTCCCGGCACAGATGGCGACGCTAGAAATGTCGATTTCGTCCATTTGCTTGCCTTGAGGGATGGCGATGGGGAAACCTTTGGGGTTGCCGAGACCGCGGCCAATGCGATCGATGATCTCGAGAAGAGGTTGAGGAGTAGAGAAGCGGACGATACGACCCATTCCAGCAGTTGTATTCTGGTATCCAGGTACTGAAGAAGGCTTGATTGGACGACGAGTGTGTGTATCATTGCCGAGTTTTAGTGTACGGTCTTTGATACTGAGTTGACTAGGATGGTGTTGGAGCTGGNNAAAGTCGGGCGTTTGAGTTCGTTGGAAGGAGTCTCTGGCTCTTTGGTCTTTTGGTCGTGTTCCTTCTCTTCTNGCTTGGGCTGCTAGTTCTTCGGCGCTCATGGGGGTGCCGGATACAATGTCGGCGAGCCAGTCACCTAGGCCACCTGGTGCGCAGTCAATCGCGGTGTGGGGACTGTATACGCTGATGCCTTCGGCAGCCAATCGCAGGAGTGTTTGTTGTTGGGTGTCGGCCAGGGATAAACTCTTGAGACCTCTGAAGATGATGGGNATCTATGCTTGACGTAAAGTTAGGCGTGCTTGCTTTTGGCAGAAAGGTGTTGATCGGGTGAGCGTACGGTAGGCTACGATAATGGAGTCTCCACGCTCAATGGCTTCGTCGGCGACGGCTTTGGTGAGGTCAATGGTGAGGAGGGCAGAGTTCATCTGGCGACGGATGGGATCGAAGGGTGATTCGAGAAGGACTNNGGTCCAGGTTAGGGTTGCTGATGGTAGAATGGGAGAAAGTATAGACGTACGACCAGTGTTGTCCCAGCTCTTGTCAGCGAGAGCCTCTGGGTANGCTGGCTGCATTAGCGACCTGATGGTATAGAATGCTCGAGGAACAACTCACAGTTTACGCATTGCGCCGACGACGGCCTTGGAGAAGGGGGCCGAAGAGATTGTTGAACTCATCTTGACTGTACGACGTAGCGTTGCCGAGAACATACAGATTGTGCGACAAGAACGAGTGTATACAAGCAGAAAGAAAGAAGTGATGGTCGAGAAAGGTCAAAGTCTAGGCCAAAGCTCGACCAAGCGCTGCGTCATTCTTGAGCGACTGTCAAGCAACCGACAGTTTTGCGACAATTCACCTTTGGATTCAATCACACGACCAAGCATAAAATCATGAGCGCCAGAACAGACGTCGAAGCCACACAGAACCAGCTGTCGTCTGGTGTCACTCCCGAGTCGCTCAAGGCCACTCTGTTCGAGAAGCTCGAGGCACAGCACGTAGACATCCAAGATCTATCAGGTAGTTGCGATAAGACCAACCTCCTTCCGGTTTTGCACAAATACTCATAAGTAACCANNGGTGGCTGCGGTCAAATGTTCGAAGCCATCATCGTGTCACCACAATTCGAGAAGAAGACATCACTCGCCCGCCATCGCCTTGTCAACACCGCCCTCAAAGCCGAGATTGCTGCCATCCACGCCTGGACGCCAAAGTGCATGACTCCTGCCGAATGGGAGAAGAAGAAGGGTACTCTTTGAGTCTCACATATACCCAAAGTCTCACATGACGACCTTATAATGTCCAAATGATACCACTTTGACCGTCTATCTACTCTACCACTAGCTGAGCAGCACCTTGATCTCGTCGCTGGTGCGAGGGAACACATCGCGGACCAGCATGCCCTCTTCCACCTCTTCTCCTTGCTCGGCCACTGTCAACTCGTCCAGCCCAACAATGATTCTCTCAGCAGATTCAAACTTGCTGACAAACACGTTCGATGCGTCTTCACACACCTTACGCACCATTCTCTTGTCTGCGAGCTTGCCAATGAACGCTCTGCCATCTTCCATTGCTCCTGGTAGGAATGCGTCCAGCTTCTGTGCCATGTCTGCCAATCGATCCGGCTGCATCTCTCTTAGTTTTCTGATGCCACTGATGCCTTGACCGAGGTTGGTGTTCTTGTATTCTTCAAGACTGTCGAAGAGTCGCTTGAGTCCCGATTCGGTTTTAAACCACACAATCACTGTTTCCACAAGTCTGGCGACTTGTTCTTCTACCGTCTCTTCAATCTCGCCAATTTTGTTTTCTGTGAAGCTTCGGCCCTTGAGTGTCTCTATCGTTGCAAGTGAACAATTGATAGCAAGTATCTGGCTCTGTGGTGCGCCCATGCCCTTGGAAATGCTTTCACAGCCTGCCAAGTAAGGATCAAGCGCTTCTTCGAGCACGGCTTGGAAACCACTTCGATCCTCGCCCGAAGAAGCGTTAGCCAGTGATGTATCGTAGCTTTTCATCAAGCCCTTGAGAGTGTCCAGTGCCTCCACTAAGAAGTCGGGTGGTGAAAGATCTAGCGGTGTGACCGAAACGTCGCTGTGAATGTTGGCGATGTGGTCTCTCATCAGCGTCCTGAACTGCTCGAAGGCCTTTTGTGTGATAGGCTGAAGTGTTTGCACAATCGTCGAATCTGGCCCAAGGAAGGGTATGAAGATTGAACAGTAAAAGCGTATCAGATTTGAGATTTGATAGGCCAAAGTTGCATCTTCGTGACTCTGTACCGTCTGCTCAACACGTTGACGCAGTTGACGAAGCACACCAGACAAATCTCGATCAACCAGGTCGTTGAGCGCTTTCTTGCCATCAAAGGCTGCCACTTCCTGACCGTCTGCTTCGTCGGATATCTGTAACCAGGGCTCGCGTTCACGACCTGCTTTGATGTTNTTCGATATCTCGTCCGCGTCTGAGATGAAGAGAATTTGCAGTGCTTCCCGCTCGCCGACTGTCGCAGCGTGTGCCCATGCGAGCATGTCGCTAACGTAGCGCAGCGGGTCGTGTGCACTGAGCTCAATTGCTTTGCCCATCGCTGGACCGCCAACACGCTGAGCAGAACCTCCGGTCAGAGCAGCATAGAATGCATCCGAGAGCACTTGCTCTCGGTTTTCAGCAAAGAAGTCAAGACAGCTTTGGAAGAGCGCAGGTCTCTCAGCCAACACACGGAGAGCGCGTCTGACTGAAGTACTAAGTTGAGGATTTTCGAGATCCAGCTCGCGAAGCTCACGTTGAGTCCAGCGGAATAGCTTCTGGAAGGCTGCATTCAATTGTTTCGAGCTTTGCTCCAGGATTTCGAGACCTAATTGTTGGTCTTCGGTACCCAGTAGCAATTGACTGTCATCATGTATCTTCTTGACTCGAGCCAACGCCTGGAAGAAGGAGTCTGTGACCGGTTCCGCAGTAGATGTCAAGGAGGTGACTTCTGCATCAGACAAAAGGAAGTGCGAGGTGAAGGCGGCCAATAGTTGTTGCTTGGTCTCGGTCTGCTGCCTTTGTGTCATCATTGCTGTGCTTTCTTCCATCATAGGCCCAGTCTCCCTGTTGGCGGCCGAGATATGAGATCGCATGCTTGAACACAACTTGTTGAGATCCTCTATAGCCGCACCCACTCTCTGCAGTTGCTATTTCGCAGTTAGTAAAAGTGAGACAGGAGTTGAAAGAGACGATGTTTCTCGTACTTGGGCAACCTGTCCGAAGTCACGAATAATCTCTCCATTGCATTGAATCAATTCTTGTTGCGCGTCTAGTCGAAGGTTGCGCCTCGTCTCGGCTGTGTTGTGGACTTTACGAGCATCCAGAGTTTCCAATGCATCTCGAATCTCTAAGTCCGAGTATGAGGCAGCAAGCACACTGGTAATTCGACTTTGAAGGGCGCTTGACTTTGGCGCTGTTGGCCCTGGAGACATGGCTGGCGAAGCAGGTAATGAGGCTTCTTTCAGCCGCTCAGGAAAATAGCCACTGGCCATGGTTACAGTCGAGTCGGATTGAAGTATCAGATATGACTCTCGCTGCTTTTTGGTTTCGTCAGAATCGATGCTACAGTGTGCAGTGTGGAAGTGGTTGCTCTGAATCTTGACAATTGTCTTGTTCTTGAGAGGCAGTAACCGATGAACGTGCTTGCATAGCGCAAGATTACCAGCAAAAACTACATACCGAAACCGAATCAAAGACACAACACAATCGAACTGACCAAAAACCAACTCCTCCGTACAAGCACCTTGCTCAAAACAAGCCAAGCACAAGGAACACGAGTTGCACGTCAAGTGGCGGAGCGCAACTGTGGGGCGGTCTCGCCAGGTCACCAGCCTCCAGAGTTCAGGGTCTGTTCAACAAGCTTCTGTGGCTCCTTTTCAGAAACTCTTCAACTGCTCTTGTCATGTTGTCTGTTGTTTCCTACTGAAATCTTTCACTATGACTTCCGTCAAAATGGCTAGCAGACGCGAGCGAGTCTTCAGCCGACGAGAGGTCGAAGCATTGATTGCCGAAGGCCGATCAATCATTGTCATGAATGGCAAGGTGCTCAAGGTAGACGCGTGGCTCAAGTATCACCCTGGTGGTGACAAGGCCATCATGCACATGGTTGGTAGAGATGCTACGGACGAGGTGACTGCGTATGTTGCTTGACAAAATCAATTGAACATACTTGAGCTCTTTCTGATCTCGTATCCAGTCNTGCACTCCAGAGAAGCCCTTGAGCGCATGCACGCCTACCAAATCGGTGTTATCGAAGGACGCTGGTCCAACCTTCTCCCCCCAATTCAAGGTGGCCAGTTCCGTTTGAAAGATGTCGTCGACACTGAAGTTCAAACCTTGGACCATGAGAACGACTCGTCAAGTCAGGGAAGCTCAGGAGAGCCTTCACCTCTATTTGAACCCGTCGATGCCCAACTCCGCCAGCGCAAGCCCGCCATGTCGCGATCCTCCTCTGCCACATCTATGTCGTCGCTGGACGTCGACAACGAGAAGTCGCACAATATTCACGACCCTGAGAGCGATTGGACGAAAGATCAGATTAAGAGTGATCTGGAAAGATACCCAGAGCTTGATTCCAAGACGCAGGATGACATTATGAAGAAATACCGCGCACTGGACCAGCGCATGAGAGGCGAGGGCCTCTACAACTGCAACTACAAATCCTACGCCATTGAGATATCACGGTACTCGTTCCTGTTTGCCATGTTCTTGACTACCTTGCATTACGGCTGGTACTGTACCTCTGCTCTCTTCCTTGGTGCTTTCTGGCATCAGTTGGTCTTCAGCGCTCATGATGCTGGTCACATGGGCATTACACACAACTTCCATGTCGACAGTGTCATCGGCATGATCATTGCCGACTATCTTGGAGGTTTGAGTTTGGGATGGTGGAAGCGCAACCACAACGTTCACCACATCATCACAAATTCTCCCGAGCACGATCCTGATATCGAGCACATGCCATTCTTTGCCATTTCGCACCGCTTCTTCAAGTCGCTGCGATCAACCTATTACGACCGTGTTATGACCTACGACCCCTTCGCCAAATTCGTCATCCAATACCAACACTGGCTATACTACCCCATCCTTTGTTTCGGTCGCTTCAACCTATACCGACTAAGCTGGGAGTATCTCATTCTTGGTCTCGGTCCCCGCAAAGGTCCGGCATGGTGGCACCGCTGGTTCGAGATTGCCGGACAATGCTTCTTCTGGTACTGGTTCGGATATCAAGTTCTGTACAAGAGCATTCCTGATGGCTGGAGCCGTTTCGCTTTCATCATGATCAGTCACGCCGTCACTATGCCTTTGCATGTCCAGATCACACTCAGCCACTTTGCCATGAGCACTGCTGATCTTGGTGTCAATGAGTCGTTCCCCCAACGCATGCTGCGCACCACTATGGATGTCGACTGCCCGCAATGGCTTGACTTCTTCCACGGCGGACTCCAGTTCCAGGCTATCCACCACTTGTACCCTCGCATGCCTCGTCACAACCTGCGTAGAGCACAGAAGCTTGTCCAGGAGTTCTGCGACGAGGTGGGCATTCCATATGCAATTTATGGCTTCTACGATGGAAACAAGGAGGTCATTGGCCGTCTGGGGGATGTTGCCAGACAAGCTAAGATTCTGGCTGCTTGCCAGAGGAGTATTGCTGAGAGTGGTGAGATGCACTGAAAAGTTAAGGTACTGCCTGAGTATGTCAACGATGATATAGAGACCTTAGTTGACATCCTTACGAATCCCAACTTCTACATTTCCGACTTCTGCAAGCTACGCCGCGTCGAGATCACTGATGTTGTAAACCTGGTCGTCAATTATCTCATTATCTATTCTGATTTTCCCGACGGTCGGGCACCTGAGCTCTACGATGGCAAGTCCGTCCAGATCGCTTACAGACTCGAGACTCACGGTAAATGTACGACCAATGACAAATATCAGCACAGTGTTCATTACCAGTCCGCTTGTGAAGCTGGTGAGTCGCAGATGTACCACCTTTGCGAACTGGAATACTGCGATATCGATACCTTTACGAACTAGAATACTGCAACATCGATCTTGTCCTTTCGCCGAGATTTCTCTAGCAGCAACCACCCGCAAGCTGGAGAGTTTAGTACCGATCGCGATTTCGCCATTGATTTGCTCAATGTTGCTTAAGTCGTCTTTCGAGTGACTCGTTAGCCTAGGAGATGTATCACTAACGAAGACTTCGGGGCTTCCGTTGGCCTAAACTAGTAGGATACTGTAGTTCAACGTTGATGTAGGAGAGGCAGTCTTCGAGAGGAGCGAAGAAGTCGGCAAAGAAGTTGCCTGTATTTCGCACACTGCTGAGACTCGCAAACCTGGCGAGTTTCCATGCACATAAGCATCTCATTCCTGTTGGCACAGAGATCCAAGTCATCTTCGAATTCACTGAGGACCAAAGCATTCCCGTTGGCACAGAAATCCAAAGCGAAGGTGATGTTTACGGATGTGACCGCCAAGCACCATACTGCAATCGAGTCTGGTGGCTGCACAACAGGCGCAGTTCACTGCTCAGACTCGACAACACGTTTCCAGCCTCACTTCACTAAGAGGAACCTTTCACTCAGCACTGAAAGTGTGAGCCAACACAACCTACTTTGCGCTTCATACACTTCTTTCTACCTTGTCTTTGCCTCTTCTTCACCTTACAAATTATCCGCAGAACACGTCAACTACCAACCTAACTCAATTGTTTGTGTGCTTCACACCCAGCGCTCACCAACATGGAGAGCCTCCAAAACACCAACATGGAGAGCCTCCAAAACACCAACATGGAGAGCCTCCAGAACGAAGACATGCGCACTGTACTCGATGCCGTGGACGAACTACGTACAGTTGGTGTCAACAACATCATCCCTCTCCCACAGATTGTCGCTTGCGGTGATCAATCCACAGGCAAGAGCTCCCTCCTGGAGGCGCTGACTGGTATTCCATTCCCTCGAGACACTGGACTTTGCACGCGCTTCGCTACTCAATTCGTCCTTCGCCGCGCTGATGAGGGTTCCATCGCTGTCAACATCATTCCTGGCCCAAACCGAGTCGATCAGAATGAGCGTGAGCGCCTTGAAAACTTCGGAAGGGGCAAGACGTTCAACNCCACTAAATTGGGTGAACTCATCGAGGAAGCTACTCAAGTTATGGGCCTTCCTCCACTGACAGGCAAGAAACCCAAGGTCGTTCGCGCTTTCTCACACGACGTGCTTAGTATCGCCATTTCTGGTCCCGATCGTCCTTCGCTTACTCTGGTCGATACACCTGGCTTGATCAAATCCAAGGGCAAATATCAGTCTCTTGAAGACATCAAGACAATCGAGGCCCTGGTCAAGTTCTACATCAATCAAGACAGCACAATCTTGCTATCCGTACTGTCAGCCATGTACCAGTATGAGCTTCAGCAAATACCTGCTCTAATCACAGAGGACGCTGCGCCACGTACCCTTGGCATCATCACAAAGTCTGACGGCCCAGGAGCCGATACTGCACTCGAGGGCGAGTACATTGAACTTGCACAGAACCAAGTTCTACCTCTCGGTCATGGCTGGCATGTGGTCANNAAAACAGGTAGGTTTGTGTAGATTTGTTCTTCATGACAAAGCAATGAAATCAGAAACTAACAGTATTATTATCTTAACAGATCCGAGAAGGAGATGCACTTCGATATGGAACAGCGTGATGAGGCCGAGAGAAACTTCTTTGCTGGAAGCAATTGGACTGAGTTAGACTCGGCTCGGCTTGGTGTTCCTACTCTAACCAATCGACTCGCCAAACTGCTCTACCAACATGTGCTCGCTGCCATCCCTGGTCTCCAGAACAGTCTGAAGGTTAAGCTCCAAGAAGTTCAAGAAAGACTCGATGAGCTTGGCCCGGGTAGGGGCACAGTTCAGGAACATCGTGGTCTTCTGGTTGATATTGCTTCTCAGTTTCAACGTTTTGCTGAAGTGGCCATTGACGGCAACTACAAGAAGGATTCCTTCTTTGGACTGCCTTCTCGCAAAGTCTCGACAGACGTCAACCACAACGACCGTCGCCTTCGTGCGCTTGTACAAGACGCACACCGACAATTTTCATATGCCATTCGTCGTCATGGAGCTGCATACGAGGTCACAGAGACACCTACCGAGTGGGATGCATCCGACAGTGACGGTGACTTGCTTGGTCTCTCAGACACCACACTACGCCCTCCCTACAGCAACTTTGCATCAGAACAGCAGAAGATAAGTTTTGAAACTTATGTCAACTATGTGCAGGATCTTGAGAAATACTTCCGTGGCGCTCAGCTTTCTGGCATGTTCAATCCCGACATTGTGGACGAGTTGTTCCGTAAGCATTCTTCTCGCTGGTCAGAACTCGCAAGAGCACATATCAGAGAGGCGAACGAGCATTGCAGAAACTTTATCATGACGCTTCTTTCTCAAGTTGCTCCACGAGACATTGCCGGCAGATTGGAAGCGAAACTTCGGCCTACTCTTCAGCATCGCGAAGAGGAGGCATTCAAGGTGCTCGACAAGTTCCTGCAGGTCGAGCGAAGTGTGCTCATGACGTACGATCCAAAGTTCACAAGAACAGTTGAAAGACTCCGAATTGAACGTATGAACCGCAAATCGAGTGAGGGCACCATATCCAGCCCAATGAGCGAAATCTCACCACCACCTGCCAAGATGCCTCGTACCGACACGAAGAGCCAGGTCAACATAGATGGTCTTGCTGCAGAAGATGCCCTCTGCATCAGCTGGGTCTACTACCGTGGCCAGCTTGAACATTTTGTCGCCTTCTTGACCAAACACATCATCGAGTCATATATGGTCGAAGGCTTGGACAAGATCTTGTCACCTAAAGACTTTGGAAGCATGACCGACGAGGAGACACTTTTGCTGGCTACCGAGGCTGAGGAGTTGGTCGAAGAGCGCAAAGGTCTTCTGCGCNAAAAGGAGATTCTCNAAAAAGGCAAGGCCAAGTTCGACGCTGCCTTGAAAAGAAGTAGAGGAATGTGACGTGAGGGAATGCAAGGTCGATTCTTGTGTCAAGCAGTTGTTAATCGAGAGTTTAGGTGGATGTGGTGACGAAGAGACCAGCTTTGAGCCTCTTTGCAATGAAGGACATGAAAGTCAGCAGAGACAGAGCAGTAGTGAACTGTAGCACGCATGCACGATAGTCTTCTTCATGAGTACTCAGGTGTTCTGTAACAAGTGATTATAATAGGGGTAAAGAGCTGAAATGTGTTATTGTTGCTTGCATGTGTAATTGAGCAAGGAATTGGCAACCAAGTGCGTCGCTCAGAGGAAACTGCCTTCGTCCTGCACTTGCCTCATCGAGATACAGAATGGTGCTTCGCGGCCTTAACCACCAACATAAGCAGTGTTTGATCTTAAGTTGATTGGTAGTCTGCAACTACGTCCTTCTATCCATAGGGAAGGGAGATGCCTTCCTGACAGAAGGCCTAGAGATGAATACACTGTCCGAACATGTGAGCTAACGAACATGACCAGTATAGAGCTTTGGAATGCTCGCAGATTAGGTATAGCATATCCTCAGGGTTGAGCGAGGGTAGATTCAGGTGTGACAGTTCGAGGTCAAAGGCTCCCGAAACAGGAGGGCTATCGAGGAGGATTACCGCGATTTCAATTTTCAATGCGCGGCCCCTTACAAGCGGGCAGCAGAGGACAGAGGTTTGCATCTCAGTCCGCCCAACTCTAGAGGGCAGCACCTGAAGGCATCGCAAGAGCGGAACAGCTGGAAATGCAATAATGTCCAACATGTCAACCTCTCAGGCTCGAGCGCACTCACAACGGAACGGATGCGCACGCGGACTTCACTTCCAATTTGGACGCTATCATCCTTGGTCTCAGCATCGAGGCTTGTGGGGGAAATGCTACTGTAGGCCCCTGCACCTTCCGTTCAACGAATCAGCAGCCGGGCCATTAGGTCCAAGGGTCCCCGGCGCGCCGCGAATTAGAGCCGTGATTGTCTTTGATTGAGGAGCTGTCAACTTCTTCGTCCTTGCTATTCTCTGTTCTACTCTATACCAACGACCCTTGTCACCTCTTTCACGACCCGCACACTCGCTCTTACTTCGACACATCTCGTCGTCTCTCCACAAATCAGTCACCACACACAAACAACCGCAGCTATGTCTAAGGAATTCACCTACTCGGACATTTCCGAGCACAACACCAAGAAGGTGAGCAATACCACAAGAGACTTGCTGGATGTGCGAAAGGAGACGGCAGGCACAAACAAAACGAGAGTCGTGCGCGTTCTTCACAAGCAATCAGTCCAGCAACATTTGACCGAATAGACATCCCTGACTAACACAATCTTAGGACATCTACATGGTCGTCCACGACAAGGTCTACGACTGCACAAGCTTCGTCGATGAGCACCCGTACGTTTTTCACTCTCATCTACCTCACCCATCGTCTCCGGCTTTCCAGCGAGACTCTCAAACCTCACTCAACACATCCTCACCCCACTCAGAAACCCCACTCTTGTATTTGTGGTATCACAGGAAAAGGAGATCTCGATCGATCACACCACACAGCATCAGCACAAAGAACCCCCTCCCACAAGAAAACACCCCACTAACCCACCCCTCCCAGTNNGGCGGTGAAGAAGTAATGCTCGACGTCGGCGGCCAAGACGCCACCGAAGCCTTCGAAGACGTCGGCCACAGTGACGAGGCCCGCGAGATCCTCGAGGGTCTGCTTGTCGGCACCGTCAAGCGCCAACCCGGCGACCCCGCTCCCAAGTCCTCCGCCCAGCCCACCTCAGCAAAGACATCTGGCCCTGACGCTGCTGGTCTCGGTGCTGGTCTTTACGCCATTCTGCTTGTTGGTGGTGCTTTGGCTTACTTCGCATACTCTTACCTCCAGGCAAATGGCCAGCCTAAGAACTAAGAAGTTCTCAGCTTGTGGAGAGAAGGAGATTAGCGAACGAAGGACATTTGGACGACAGACCAGACGCAAGAAAATGAAAAGACAGAAGGAACCTGTCTGGCACTAGAGCGCGATGAGAAGAGACTACCATCCTTTTCAACTCAGGCAGGGGGACGAAGAAGCGATCGGGGCAAGTACGCTTGAAAAAGAGCAGAGGAGTTTTTGATGTGCCTGCACGGAAGGAGGCGCTTTTAAGATCTTGAGGCGCATCTTGTGTCTTTTCTAGGAGCTGGTGTTGCAAGCAGCAAATTTTACATATTCAATCCATTCATAACGCATCAGGGTGCTTCTCATGTGCTTCAAAACGACTTTGCTTGTGGGATGGCTCATTGCAGATTTGGCAGATTTGGCAGATTTGATACAGAGTAAAGGTCTGTTCTGAGTACATACGGAGTAAAAGAGAAACCCGGCTTATCCACCACTATCGTCCATAAACGCCACTTTGCGACCACGTCTACGAGTGTGCTCCCGCATCTAACGGTAATAGTCACTAGCATCATCACCGCCAGCCGGGGGTGCATACTGCTGCTGTTGCGGCGGCTGCTGACCCTGCTGATGTGCACCTTGAGGGTTGTATGCCTGGTAGGCTGGTCCCGAAGCAGGAGGAGCAGAAGGCTGAGCACCACTCAGACTAGTGTACGATTGATTGGGATGTTGCTGAGGTGGGTACTGCGGAGGGTACGAGGTAGTCGATGTGTCTTGAGGCGGCTGGGCAGAATACACAGACGTTGGGCTTTCGAAGCTCGAAGTGCGTTGTCTGATTGGCATTTGCTGTTGCTGTGGTGGCCCAGGAGGTGCATTCGATGGCTGTTGAGGTTGTGGGGACGAAGTGTAGTTCAGGGGTGCTGGTACAGGGGCGCCAGCGCCGTAAACATTGTTGCGGCCATCAGTGGGGCTTTCGTACGCACTCGTGCTCAGCTCTTGCGGGTTTCCCGAGTTAAGGGTGTGAATGCTCTGAGGACGGTTGTTGTATGGCTGCATGCCAGGATTGTAACCGCCATCTCCAGGTGGAGCACTTGGACCAGGTCCCATGGGTTTAGGACTTTGTTGGGCATCTGGTGGTGGTGCGCCATTCGGAAGGAAATGGAAAGGAGCCGGTGCCGGAGTTGCTGATGGGTTGCTCATAGGCGGAGGATAACCATAAGCGTTCTGCTGCTGGGGAGGCTCGGATGGTGGAGGTTGGTTGTAGAAACGCTGATCGGGAGGAGGACCTTGTGGAGGGTATCCAGACTGCATGGGAGGGTATGGGTTGTAGTAGCCGCCAGAATGTTGCCTAGCTGGGGCAGGATATTGTGGTTGCGACATGGAGTTCTCCAAGAGAGCCTCATAGTCACGGCGAGCCTTGATGAACTTTTCATTCAACTGTGTGAACTCATCTGTTTGGCGTTAGTCCTCGAATTGATTGTTTGTTCTATTACCAAACTTACCCTTCTTCTGCGAGTACTTTCCAATCAGCTCGATTAGTTTGGGTCTGATTGACAAGGTCTGGTTATACAGATCGGTAATCTCGTCCTCGCTGCCCGTGTCGCGTGAGTTCTCGCCTCTGACGCTCAACAGAGCCAACAACTTCTCGACATTTCTAATTTGTGAAAAGACATCTGCCTCAGTTTGGGCATCTCTTTCGAGCTCCTCCCTCGTTGGGTCTTGCAGTTTTTCGACGTAGTTCAGTGGGAAGATACCGGTCTGACCACGCAGAGATCCCTTCCACCAGTCCTTGTATACCGATTCGATAACAGCAATGACATCGCCTTTCTTGAAGGCCAGCTCACCAGGCTCGGATGGTACGAAGTCATAGAGGGCCTTGACTCTGCTGACGGTGGCAGCTGTTGTACCTTGTTGGGCATCGGACTGGGACTGAGATGGGTTTGCTGAAGAAGCCTCTGGTTCGGGAGCTTTGTCCTTCAGACTCAAGGCAAGGGCCATCTGCAGCTCTTCCTCTTCTTTGCGACGGTCGGTGTCCTCGATTTGACGCTTGACAGGCTTACTAGGTGGAGCCAGTCCAGGGTTTGAAGTGCGTAGCTTGTCGTAGGCCTGCTCCATGATGCCCAAATCAGGGTTTCCTTTAAACATGTCCTTCCATTCTTGCATGCGCTCGAGTATCTTGCTCTTAACTTGCTGGTGTGTGTTGCGATCGGCAGCTAGGCGAAGAAGAGCATCGGTGAAGGAACGAGAGGACAACTCTCGGTGGATTGGAGCACCACAGTTTTGCGACAAGGCATTGGCGAGTTCGAGTGTGTACAGCTGGACATTGGCGTTGCGGTGGGCGAGACGCTTGATTAAAGCAGCTGTGACTGACTGAGGTCCGGTGGGCGAGGTAGATACGCGATCGCATACATCGAGGATGAGGGCCCAGTTTTCGGATGTCAGGTTCTCGTCGGTTGCCTTGNNGCTGTTATGGCACCATCAGTACATTGTGTCGAGACGGATACGTCTGGGTGATCAGGAGAGCTACTTACTGACTACCTCGTCAAACGTGTTTGCCTGAGAGCGAAACATGACCGCTCTCTTGTTATACTGTGGGATTCAACGAGTGTAGCTTGATCACGCCTTCCAGAAACAAAATGGTTAAGTTGCTGCCTGAGCACCTGAATGTCTTTGGGCAAGTTGCTCGTCTCGGCGAGGGCATGTGAACACTCCCCAGACATCAACGCAGCGCGTCATTGCCGAGCCCTTCCACCTAACAACTCACTCTGACCTTGCCACCACCAAACCTTGACATCTTGATGCACCGCCATAATGAACGCGCAACACCTCTTCACTGCCATATTTGCACTGCCTTCGAATCTCGGCACTTTGTCAAAGACACATCTCGGAGGGCACTTTCATCACATCAAGTCCGGTCGTTACAAGCTTAATTCACTCTTTCTGTTCTGTGCAGAAACATCATTCTTGTATAGATTGGTGCTCCCTAGCCTTCGGCACCTGTCTTCTTTGTTTGGTATAGTGGTTAAAAGCAATCATTCGCCTGTAAACGCCCATTGCTCTTTCAATCTCCTCTCGCTCTGTAATGCTGCCAGTGCAGAGATCGAATCCTTTGATGTCGAAACCCAAATAAAAAACCACACCCGATCGTAGGTGTAAAACTTCATCAGCCGATCTTGACATTTCCTTGGGTTGGTGCTGGGCTCAAATCTGGCCCAAGCATACCGAACGCCAGTCTATGTCAGAGAAGATGCATCTACATCCTAAATGGCCATGTCATGTCTCATAGAAGAGAAAGAAGGAAATCGCCCGTGTTCAAATGCTTAGCAATGCTCGAACCGTACTCGCGGTTTGTATGATGTGTCATGTTTATCAGATGCCCTTGTTCTTGCGCTCCTCAGCTCTTGCTGCGCGAGCCGATCGTACAAGGGGTGCAAGCGTTGCCAGTGGCTCTGCGCCTTGGATGAATTGATGCNNTATTGAACACATTAGCACATGATTAAGACATCCGCAATAGAGATTGCTTACCATCAGCAAGTCGTGCGCACTGGCTCTCTTATCAGGATCAACCTTGAGCGCGAATGCGAGGAAGTCGCGGAAAATAGGCGTCAGTTCCTCCTCAGCCTTAATTTGAGGTGTACCGTTGGTAGCGATCAGGTACAGAGCTCTCAAAGGTGATTCGTTGAGGTATGGGGGCTCGCCCTCGATCATCTCAATGGCCATGATACCGAGTGACCAAATGTCAATCTTGCGGCCGTATTCCTTTCGTGTTACCACTTCAGGAGCCATCCAGTATGGTGTGCCGACCATGGTTGTACGCTTGTGTTGAGACTCGTTAATTTGTGCACAGAAGCCAAAGTCANNGCTGCAAAGTGTTAGTCGAGATTTCACAACCGGAAATTGGTACTGCTTACTTAATTTGATGTTTCCCTCAAGTGATAAGAGGATGTTGTCTGACTTGATATCACGATGAATGACTCCTTTCGAGTGGAGGAATTGAAGACCGTGCAGAGTNCTGGACGTAACGTTAGTCATCCCATTTTGGGATCTTGGTGAAAAGAAACATACCTCACGACACACAGCTGCAATCTGCGGTTCGGACATCATGTTGAACGTAACAACGTCTGTCAAACTGCCACCCTCCATGTATTCCATGACGACCCACAAGTCTCCCTTGACCAGGTAGCTGTCCATGAAGTTGACAATGTTCTTATGCTTGCTGTCCTTCATGACCAGAATCTCGTTGATGATCAGATCCTTCTTGGGTTGTTGTTCCAAGTTCATCTGCTTGATAGCGACGCACTTGTTAGTGCCAACCTCATAAGCTGTAAAAACACCACCAGAAGCACCTTGACCAATCTTGTTGAGGCCACGGTATTTCTTTGTAGGATCTGCAGGTGTACAGATTGCATTGAGTTTCTGGATGATTTCTCCATTCTGCTGCTGGCTTTGGCGCTGAGGTCGCTGTCTCGGGCGAGGAACGGGACCGACTCGAGCTTCCTGGCTGGGCATAGGGACTGCCTGGGAATTTGGGATTTGCACATGAGGTTGCTGAGGAGCGCGTTGACTTTGCTTGCGTTCAAGACTTGATTGCTGGAGTGCTGCCTGCGCCGCAGCCATAGCTTGTTGCTGTTGTTGCTGGTATGCATAAGGCGAAGAAGCAGCTGGGGGCTGATATTGTTGCGCTTGAGTTGCAGTGTTTGACCGTGAACGAGACATAGTAGGTTGTGATACTTCATTGATGGTTGGGGGTGCATATTGGACGGCAGGCTGTTGATCTTGGGGGTTTGGTTGTTGAGGAGACGTTGTTCCGGGAGCAGCAGGAGCTGCACGAGCAGGATTCATACTAGGACCATTGGGAGTCGCACCAGGAGGGCGTGGGGCTGCACGCAGGGGAATTGTGTTTCCACTAGACATAGTAGGTGACATTGGACCAAGACCGAGACCGACATTGCGAGGGACAGGAGGAGCCGCTCTGGGGTTCTCAAAGCTATCCTCGTTGTTGGGTGGGAAGCGTGGGCTTTGCGGAGGACTAACAAGCGACGTGAATCCTGAGCCAGGAGTGACTATGGGCGATGTGAGGCCGCTGGGAGGAGACATGTGCTGCGGAGTGTCGCGCGCATGAGCTTGACCAAATTTCTGCCAGATGCCATCTTCAGGGTTCTTCTCTGCGTTCTCCTTGTAGAAAGTGACAATGTCGACAATAGCCTTAGGGTCTCGTTTTTGTTCCTGTTCCGAAATGCCAGCACTAGCCAGGATGTTCTGCCATTCGCGAGGAAGACCCNNTAGGGAAGTTAGCAGTTGGCTGACCGAGAGTGTCAAAGAACTTACGGTGAACTCGCCGGTACGATTGTCGACACCGACATGAGTGATATGAACAGGGTTCTCGGGAGCAGAGATGGTGGGTCGGCCAGGAGATTTGAACAAGCTCGATATGCTGAAGCCGCTCTTCTTCTTGGCCTTCAGTTCGTCACTAAGACGCTTCGAACTCTCCGGACGGGGCGACAGGCTGTCCATAGGGCCAGCGGATGAATTGTTGCGGGTGAGCCGGAAGCTGGTCGAATGACGCAGCGAGTTGAAGCGGGAGCCAGCGGTTTGTGATCGGAGAGAGATGGACGGGCGTTTTGGCTGAGCAGGGAGAGTTTGCGCGTTTGCAGAGNNAGGGGGTGCAGATAAGCCGACTGGAGAGGGAGAGGTCGAGTGGGAGTGCGATGCGGCGCTGAAGAGCGAGATGGAGTCCGGACGAGCAGCACCGTCCGGCGGTACGACACGCAGCTGGGGGTTCTCGTCGGCGGCGTGCTCGGCGAGGTTGGAAAGGTGGTTGTAAGAAAGACCGTTATGAGAGCGCAACTCAGGCTCGGACAGGTCGCGCGCGAGAGTGGGATTGGTCGGTCTGCGAGATTGATTGGTCGTGTGCGACGACGTGTTGTACTGGGAGCGGACGGCAGCCGAGGCGCTTCTGCGTAGCTTGGGCGGGCCTTGGGATGACGGTGATTGGTAGCCAAGCGAGGACGACGAGTACTGCAGCGAATGTTTCCTCAGGAGTTGCTGAGGTTGTGCGGACGAGTCGGCCATGAAAGGTGAAGGGGCTCAGCGGCGGGACTTTGAAGCGAATGTGGTTGGTCGGAAGGCCGAAACGAAACAGCAGCAGCAGCACGACTCTCGACACTGACAGCACGCTGCGACAAGGGTCGGATACAGGACTCTAGGTGCTTCTGCGGCGGGTACAGCCGGACGTGATTTGTACGGCCGTCGAGATGCAAGGAATAGGTAATGAATCGCGGCCGGCGACAAGTGACACTGACACGCGAAAGCAGGGGGGAGACTGCGTGCAGCTAAGGTACTGCTCTGGCAATATACACTACAGATTTGACTTGACAATGAGAAGGCAGGCGAGTGCAGACAAGTCCAATCACATCCACCGACCTCCAACTCCCTTGACTCGCTTGTTTTCGCTGCTCTCAACGGCCGCCATCGATCATGGGCTCTAACATTCTTTGTCCTTGCTGGAGCCGACATCTCCACTTGCGTTTCTACTACTGCCTGCTTCTGTCCACCAACCGCCCGAAAACTGAAATCCCCAATCGCCTTGGCAATCGACCGTCCAACTTTCAACCGATGCTCGATGCTTTCCAGCTATGGGACCTGTTTAATTTGCTGTAATAACCAGCTCCTCTCTTTCCCCAGCCCATGTGTCGCGCCAGTCTACTGTGAAACACTGCTTCCGCAGCATCTCCTAACCACTGGGCTGATGGCTGAGACCCGCATTCAACAAAGACTATCATAAAGCAGACCAACGTTCATGCCCGATGCATGTCCACCAGGGCCACGTTTTATTGCCGCGCCGCGTTACAAGCGTTTGACGGCGTGGCAGTTAGACCCCGGTCTTGATTGCCTTTTGCAACCACACCTGAAGCTTATTTTGTGAAGGCCATCGGCTTTGTAGACATGTTGTTGCTTTCTGTTCAGCGAAAAGCGCAGCTCCAATCGAGCAGAGACATCTTCATTTCTGGTTACTAACTTAAAGCTCGCTTGAAACCACTGTCTGCGGCCCCTGCCGAGCATACGCGCGGATTAATCTTCTAATTTCTTGTCGCGCTCCGTTGCCTGTGTTTTTATCAACCATCACGATTACCGTTGAAAATAGATTGAGTAGTCTCGGGTGGAAAGAACAGACTGCAGATGTCGCTCGTCTCCGACACTTTGGCATGTGCCATCCTGCACATGCAAGCCTCCTACAGCCTCTCAATCTGTCTTGGTTCTGCGTTACAGGAATCATGCATCGCCGTGCAGCATGCATAGTCAGGCGGGCGGCCCCAAACCTGCCCTAGCCCGAGGGGACAGCGTCACGAAGAAACTGCCTTTCAATTGTCCGTAGGGAGCCCCTCTTGTTCAACCTGGCTATTCATGTGGATCTGTATGCTTTATCACTTAGCCGAGTCCAGCTCTACAACCCATCTTGGACCCATACTAACTACGCAGGCGGCGCAAGCCATCCCGTATCTGATTTCCGCACACCCCAAGTCGACACGGCAGCTATTCATCAGATAAAGTCCTTCAGCAACCGACTTCATCCCTTCCATGCATATTGACCATGGTTATACTTTGGCAGTTGTCTGCCGGATGGTCATCCGCGGTGCATAGCTAAAAGTCAAGTCGCATTGTTAACCGGGACTGTGGGCGTCTTCGTGTTACAACCTCACATTCATTCTGCAGTATGGAGTCAAATGGGCAGTACCGTTGCTCCATGAAACAATCAAGTCCTGTGCTCAATCACATCACCTCATCATTTAAAGAGCCTAGAGAGAACTTATCTACCACCTATGCAAGCTGTTCCGTCGCCAACCTTCAGAATCCCCGTGCCGTAACTACATATCACACCACAAACCCACCGGGTCAGCTTCCTTTCGCAACATATGCAGCACGTTGTGGAATATGTCAAATTTGGTCAATTCTGAAAGTGATCATCAAGGCGCAAACCCGCATTCCGGGTTCCCTGAAGATGATTTTTGCAAATAGATCTCGAGTCTGGACTGGGTTGATTCAACCAATGGCTGATGCTCGTTGTGCAACCTTAGTTGCAACACCTCACAAGATCACAATTCTTCGACATTGTTGATTCTCAACAAATGACAGGTACTGCCCCAGACGTTCATATCTCAGTGATAGCTCATGTCGTTATGGCGGCTACCTGCCGCGAGCGACATGCACGAAAACATATAAAGATTGTCTTGATCAACGAACGAATCCGGGGCCGGATCATCATGCTAAACAGAGAGATTTATCACGTCCGCATGCCGATCCAACCTTAGATACCTTGGTTATGGCTTATCGAGCCCGAATACTGGGCCAGCTTTCCAGACCTGATCAGCCACCGAGAATGGACGGCTGAAAAGGCGCAAACATTACACAATCCAACATGGTGCCCCAACGTTGGCCATGGTCTGTTGAGTGAATTGTTCGAACCGCAAGATAACCTCTGTGTTGCTACAAAGGTTGCATCACAGCATATCCAGAGAACTTCTACTGCATAAAAGCTCAGGATACTGACCGGATATTGGTATCCTAGAGCAAGAAGATTATATGCTTAGAAATGAGAACGATGAAGTCAAGTACTTCCAGCAGCCAAGAGGACTTCATGTTCGTCGGTCGAGCATTAAGACTGGACAAAATCCTCAAAAGGCATTGTGAAAACTGTGCTCTGTATTCCAATAGCATACCAGATTCAACATATTCTCTCTGACGAGTGAACCAAGAAGAGTCGGGAGCACGTATATGAGTCAGCTGAATATTGGGCTTTTGATCTGCTTTGTCATCCTATATTCCTGTTTGATATTGACAAGCATCGGAAGAGCTCGAATGCGCTCTCCTCTTGGTATGGAAGTCTAGTGAGAGGCTCACGTCTGGATTCGCTGTGTACCACTAGGAAAATTGAAATCGTCCGTTACAGTAATGACTCTTTCCTGGGCCACTCTTCTCAACCTCAAGCAGCCTTTCCATTATGCGTAACATCGTCTAGTCATGTATGGAAGGTCACACTCGGTCCTGCTGTCATCGGTATACGTCGGGATCGTTGAACGAGACAGAGAGATCTAACGAGCTATTGAGAAGACACTGCTAGCGTTCGTATTGTCGAATGGTATTGGTGTTCAGCCCTCGATTGGTCCCTATACCAGATATAGTCGCCATGTCTTTACCAACGATTCTGTTCATATGCTTTGGGTTTGCACCCGACGAGCATCATTCATGACCTGATACTGACACCAAGGCAATTGAACAGAGATCCGAGATCAACAGCTGACGCCTACTGCGACGGTCACATGAGAGTAACTACAAACATACATCTTCCTGAGAACTGGCCATAAAAGAGGAAACATGTCGATTTGACAGGTCATCGTCACTCAAAGCTCAAATGTCGCTGTCGCACGGCCTCACCTCGGCAAGTCTTTTGCGGTTTCCATGATCGCATCCTCGAATTGTTCGACGAGACTCCAACAACAACTTCTACCCACCAGAGCACACACATTCTAGGAGCGTCTTCGCCCCACCCAGGCACCCATCATGCAGGGGGTTCAACATGGGACGCTATGTCCCTCCCGAACTCGAGGGCGTCATGTCAGCCAATAAAGTCGCTGGCAAACATGCACTGGGCAAAAGGGCCAACAAGATCAAAGAAGGCATCCTGACTGTACGCTTCGAGATGCCCTACGCAGTATGGTGCAACCACTGTCCCAAACCGACAATTATAGGCCAAGGTGTACGATTCAACGCCGAGAAGAAGAAGGTTGGCAACTACCACAGCACGCCCATATGGTCCTTTCGCATGAAACACCCCGCTTGTGGAGGCTGGATCGAAATACACACGGATCCCAAGAACACGGCTTATGTGGTCAAAGAAGGCGGCAAAGCCAGAGATACAGGCGAAGATCGTGTAAGAGAAGGAGAAGAAGGCGTACCAATCCTCTCAGCAGAGGAAAGGGAGCGTAGAAGACAGGATGCTTTTGCTGTTCTCGAGGACAACAAACAGGACAAGGTACAAGAGAAAGAGCAAGGCAAACGCATCGCTGAGTTACAAGAAGTACGGGATCAACACTGGGACGATCCATATGAGGCCAACAAGCGTCTAAGGAGAACGTTCAGAGCAGAACGCAAAGTCAGAGAANAAGAACATGACTACTCGGAGAAACTCAGAGACAGGATGGGACTGGACGTTGAACTAATGCCAGAGATTGACGAAGACAGGAGACATGCTGATTTGATCGACTTCGGCGGCCTATCGGACGAAGATATTGACGCCAAAACGATGAAGGTCACTTCACGGCCATTATTTCAACAAGACACGAAACACGAGGCAACTTCAGTCAAATCCAAATTCTCGCACAAGACCAAAGCAGCCGCTGAGGTCGAACGTCGGAAGAAAGCACTGCAGCAAGAGGTCCGGGACAACTCGCGTGCAGCAGCAGACCCATTTCTGTCCTTTGGCGGTACAGAATCTCGCACTTTCCGCGCGATCGCTGGCATCAAGCGAAAGGCGGAAAGCAAGACCTCAGAGCAACAAACCCATATAGAGGAGAAGCAGCAAGATGATACGGGGAACCTAGGGAAGGCGCAAACAAACCCTGCACTTTCCCTGGTTGCTTACGACTCAGATTCAGCATGATACACGAATTACGATGGCATTGCAGGCGCTATATACCCAATTGAAATTGATTTTGATGCTTCTCAATAATCAAAAACCATTTTGCATGTGACGTAGAGCCTAGATCCGAAAAGAACGCGTGCACGGTTGCCAACGCGTCTCTCGAGTCGCGTACGGTAAGGCGGTCATGGACGACTCGATATGACTTTGACGACTATACACAACCAGACAGCTCACGAATGTCGAGTTAATCGAGTATGCCACCTAAAGCAGTACGAGCTGATCCCGACACAATCTATCGCTCGGAAACGCCTCTACGACAGAAGAAGTTTCCCAATCGACGCCGCACTATACGCTCCTCTGGCGTTAGTACTCCAGCTCCGCTACGCCAGCAGTCCACTTTGACACAACAGCCGCACTGGACCGTATCTCGCTCACCGCCAACTGCTGGACTCGAAGATGAAGCCGAGGATGAAGACGAAGATTACGAAGAGGATGAGCTAGAAAAAGCACGACCTAGGAGGAAGAAGAGAAAGAGCGAGATAGATGGCAAAAAGCAGACAACCATGACACAATACGTTCCTTCCTCTTTCATAGGAGAGCGCTATGACGGAGCAGCCGATCTGTTGCTGCAGTTCTTGCCAGACGAGTCTTTCGATGGAGTGCGAGATTCACAGTCGCAACTGCCTCTTGACAGACACGACCATGCTCCGCAAGCAGAGATGCATGCGTTTGTCGACGAAAGTGCACCCACAGCTGCAGATGGCGACGTGAAGATGCAAAGTAACGAGGGAAATCAGAGCCAGAAGACGCAATCTAGCTCAGACCATGGCGACGAGAGAGTGGATTCAGCCTTTCCCAAACAGCAAGCGCGACTGCGTCCAAGCCCAGAACTACCAATATCCGCTATGAACCTAAGGACTCCGAGAAGGAAATTCAAGTCCGAGATTCCCTCATCCAACACTCCGCAGAGCGCCATTATATCCATCTGCTCGGCTAAAACAATGCGCTCACCTGAGCGTTCACCGTTACGGAGCAAGAGCACAAATGCATTCTCGCAGAGTCATGCTGGCGAGGATGCTAGAATGAGTCCTGTTCCCGAAAGTCCTACAAAGCCCGTTTCTCCTTTCCGTCTATCACCTCTCAAAAATCGCCCTACCTTCCGGATACCGGAGAAGCCTCCTACACTCCAGCATCGTAGTACCATTCCAGACTCGGAAGACACAGCCACCCAAGTGACTCCATTCAAGCAAAACAAGTTCCGCAGCCAGATACCCGACACTCAGATGGAAATGTTTGGCGAAGAGATTTCTGCTGTCACTGAGACACAATTCCCTATTGACAGCTATACCCAGTATGCTGGAGGAACTTATTACGCCGAGAACGATGATTATTACTACAACTTTGATCCGGTCTGTAGTGCTTTGGATCGTGATGCTGCCCGTTTCATGCAAACACAACTACAACGAGATCGTACCGGTTACGATGCCTTCCACAAAACGCGAAGCTTTTCTCAAGCAGAAGAAGAGCGAGCTGAACAAACCCTCGAACAAAAGCAGGGTCAAGGCATCCAGGAACCCAGATTGGTCAGAGCGCAACAGTCTCAAGAGCTCGGTGATGATTTGCCTGCCCCAACTTCACGGCCTCAACCGCTTGAGCAAGATTTCGAAGATGCGCCTACACAATCGCCTCGATCATCTCCTCAACAGCCTCCGCGAGTTTCCTACAAGTCTGATGAGATTGAAGAAATAGACTTGTCGGGTGACATTGTTCTGCCGAACACGACCATCCGAGAGGTGATACAGATTGCCTCCTCCCCGAACAGCAAGAGTGTCAGTAGCGGAAAGTATCCGTCTTCGCCACCTCTTGTTGTCGAGAATGATGCACGTCTTCGGGCAGAAGCTGAAGAGCAGATGAACAAAACTGAACGTCACTCATCTCCACCTCTGCCAATCATTCTCCCAATACCTCCTTCGCAGGTCAGCACGGTTGGTGGTACGCAGCTATACCATTCCCTGAGAAAGTATACCCAACGGGCCGCGTACGTAAGTAGTAGTCCACCGCCTATGCCGCCTTCCACGTCTTCACCTCCACCTGAAGCGAGACAACACCTGAAGAGGTTCCTTGAGATGTATGAGTCAGATGATGAGGATGAGNATGGACAAGGACGACCCAGAACCGCCCCTTGCGACCAGGGTGAAGACGACATGGACCTGGACTTCGTGCCTCAACGACAGCATAACACGGATCGTGCAATGAGAAGTGATAACGATGACGGGTCAGAGAATGAGGGAGATCACTCGAGGCTGGAAGACATATTGCCCGATACCCTTCTTGACTTTTCTTTGCCGCCACCGCCAACGCAAAGTACAGTAAGGAGTACGAGGTCATAATCAGTTATTGTGGAAACACGGAATATGAGGGAAGAGTTTGTGACTTTGTGGCTGTTCTTGTTATGCTCATTCATAGAGTATCAAACACTAGCAATCTTCTGTAGCCCCAGCCATTTCAAGCTTCTTCTAGCTCCACCAACATTGTTTTGGTGAAATGACACAAGATTATTGATATCTTTATCATGAGTAAACCAAATTAACAAGGTAATACCTTGAGAGAGACAATAAGTCGTCGACTCTCTGTGGACACGCCTCCGCTTCCTAAAAGAATTGTGCCTCTTTATAGTCGAAATTCTGCTCTTGGCTATAGTCGGAGTAACGGTGCAAGTTTACAGACTCTAGTACACAGGGATGCTATAACCTGCCTTCCACCACAATCACTTCAAAGCCCAAATCAGGAAGGCGGAGGCCTGTCTCCAAACCTCGGAGGCGCACCCGGGTACCTATATTCATTTTCCACGGGAATGTTCTTGGCCAGATGATCCTGGTAGCGAGGAGGATTTCTGGGCCCGACTTCTGCACGAAGCAGATCTTCTATCGCAGACGCCCAGCGCACAAGTGTTGCTTCTTCCCAGGCTGTGTGTTGGATGTTCAAGCCTATGGGCATGCCGTCAACATCAAGGCCGATGGGAATGGTCATAACGGGGTATNNGCTGCGATAGCTTGTTAGTACGATAGTCACTTTTATCAGTGGAGGACGAGATTCAAATTGCAACGTACAAGCTTGAGCGGCGATTTGTTGGCCTGCGCCACGGACGTCGCAGAAGAGCAGGGCATCCAAAGAGGTCTTTTCGCCGTTTATGACTGGGTTTAGAGCTGCATCTATTCCGTTTTCACGGCACTGCTTGCGCATGTGAGCGAAGGCGGAGTAGTAGGCTGGTGATTTTATGCCTTTNGCTTCGACTACTTCGCGGAAGTTGTCCNNTAGAGACTCGATATTAGTATAGATCGTGGTTTCGGAAGAGCAGCGGTGTTAAGTTACCTGACCTGAAGGGAAAGCCGGATGGTCGCCAGGGTTAGCGCCTTGAGACCCTGCGTTTTCGTTGTTGAAGCGGACGACATCTTCGACCGTTTTGATGTTTGTATTTTTGAGCTTGCTGAGATACTCGTTCATCAAATAGTAGCATTCTACTTTGTTGATGGTAAACTCTGATACCTCTTCTTTACCATGCTCNCCTGGGCAGTGTGAGCAAATCGTGGTTCAGCTCGATGTTGTGAGTAATCCTTACCAGTCCCATCCGCCATCAGGCGCGATACGTTCCTCAGCACAAGGCATTTCAACTGGTATAATCTCTGCCCCAGCATCTTTGATCAGCTTTAGGACTTTCTCAGCCACCTTCCTTTGCTGCTTGGGCACCAGCTCCCAAAAGCGTTTGATGGGAAGACCAAATCTTGCACCATACAACGCCTTTCTGGTAGTTAAGCTGTCGACATAACTCTTTGGCTGGCGTCTCTCGGGGACGACCGAATGCTTGTCTTCTGGATCAGGTCCAGCTATTGCGTCCAGAGCACGGGCTGCATCAGATACACATCTTCCGTATGTCCCGATCGAATCTTGTGTCTCTGAGATTGGTATCACCCCACTGCGGGAGGTCAAGCCGACAGTAGGTTTGATACCCACGATACCACTGACCATGGCTGGCCAGATGACAGAAGTGTCAGTCTCCGTACCAAATGCAAGTGGGACGATATTGCTGGAAACAGATACGGCAGAACCAGAGCTTGAGCCTTGTGGACTCCTGCTGAGCATATACGGATTTCTGGTTTGACCACCACGGGCGGAGTAGCCATTCGAATAGATCTTAGAGCGCATGCCAGCCCACTCGTCCAGGTTCGAGTGACCCAGGATAATTGCACCTGCTTTCCTCAATAGATGGACGATGTGTGCGTCTTTGGGAACGATAGCGCCGAGCAAAGCCCACGAGCCGCCAGTAGTTTGCATTTTGTCCTTGGTAGCCATGTTGTCCTTGACCAGAACAGGAATGCCATGCAAGGGTCCACGAGTCTTGCCCTTTGCTCGCTCATCATCGAGCTGTTGTGCGATCTCCAAAGCATCAGGGTTTGTCTCAATCACGCACTCTAAATACGCGTTGACCTGATCTTGCNNTCAGCAGAGAGTAGGACCTTGATTGAACAGACTCACTCTTCTGATTCTTTCCAAGCAATGCTTCACGAAAGACACCGAGGTCATAGCCTTGGTAGAAAGCAGATGTTGAAGTTCGTCGGCACTAAGCTCATAGACATCATTGCCATCGCATTGAGGCACGTGAAACACATCTGGGATGTTTTTCTGGTCAGGACGTTTTCTTTCCGAGACCATGAAATATACGTCGTCCCATTCTTCCGACACCATGTTTTCGACTGCAGCTGTTTGATTGAAAGAACGAGGGAAAGGACGACTTATCCGCTATAAAGAGAGGTGAAACCGAAGCAACGACTTTGGCCAAGAGTCCAAGCGCGAGGTGGAGATGAAGGATGCACACCGATTTCTTCGTTCACCACCGCAGGACCTACCTTCGGTCTGGAGGATGCACGGTAGAGAAGCGTCTGTAGCACATGATATAGACTACATAGATGCATGTCAAAGTATAGGTATAGGTCTGCCAGTCGGATTGATAGAAAGCCAATGAGCCGAACCAACCTTTTTCACGTCATGGTGCACGGGCCGACACGCAAGAACAGGCGTGGCAGGCATCCAGATTCCACTTCACGACTTCCTTCTTGAACATCGAGAACTGTCCAAGATCAATAGTCATGGCCAATACAGCGAACACGCCGTTCCGCCGCTGGGCGAGAGCGAATTTCACCACTAGCTGGCTCTATCCTCTGATGGTAAGTCGTTGTGCTTCCCACTGTCCCCTCATCGATGTCTGGCAATATCGAGGCTGTGGAAATATATAAACACGAGGAGATATCCTACAAAAACATGGCACATTGAGTTGACATCCATCCGCTTCACAGGGTATCTGGTTTTTCTTGAAGCATAGATACATGTGGCCACTTCTTCGAGCTAAAATGCTCCCTCTAGTCGTCATGTCAATCTTCATCCTGGTCATCCTCTTCTTGACAGCCTACCTCCCTCAAGTCGCTCTTCTCAAACTCTTCCACAAAGGAGGCTCCGCCTGGGTGAACGGCACTTTCCTGGTCCTGACCGAAGGAAACCTCATCATCGCGCTCCTCTTTGAAGCTTTCCTGGTCGACCACACTCAAGTTGATGTCTTCGATACCGTCATGGTAGCCAGAGGCCATGCAGAGCTCGTCAAAGCAAAACGGCCTGTGGATACCGAAGAGCCCGAAACCCCTCTCAAGGCGCTGGGACCCCGCGACAAGGGTGCAGTCTTTGCTCCCTTTTCTTTCCGCCAGTTGTTTGAGTTTGTGGTGCTGTTGCCGCTCAACTTTATTCCTTTCGTTGGAGTTCCTTTGTTCTTGATCTTGACTGGTTATCGTGCTGGTCCTTTGCTGCAGCGCCGTTACCATAATCTCAAGGGGATGAACAAGGAGCAGCGCAAGGTTTTCATTCGCAATAAGTCGATGAGGTTCCAGTACATGTGGTTTGGTACTGTTGCGTTGATTCTGCAGCTTGTTCCTGTCCTGAGTATGTTCTTCTTGATCACAACTGCTGCAGGAAGTGCACTATGGGCTGCGGATATGGAGGATCGTAAGCGCAGCCAGGAGAATGCTATCGAGGATGAGTACACCGATGAACCTTGATTAAGAGTCACGCATTGTCTTACGCTTCACTGTAACACTCTACTTCAATGTATGTAGCTAATAAGAGAGTCGACATTTGTTTCCCACTTTGCATATCTTGTAGCGCTATGGCTCGTCGTTGATTCGTTTCTCATCTAATTGTCCCTGAGCCTAGTACCCCTGAACCAAAACCTAGTGACCCAAACTCCAATTCCGTGATGTAACCAGATGTAAACTCATCGGCGTGCCCTCTCTAAACCATTTCTCTGAACTCCGAGAATAAACTAAACCGTCATCAACCCAGCTTAGGCCCCTTGCTGCCCGAATGGGCTTTGGAGTATTCGACCAGAAGGCCCAAGACTCCATTATTCGGACGGCGCTCATTGCCCGCCTCTGACTCCTCTGTGTCAGCGTTCTCGTTAAATGTCTTCCACGAGGGAGACAAGTCCTCGTCTTCTTCAATAAGCCTGCTTGTGGTCAGGGCATCCAAACCTGCCATGTGATCCTCTTCACCCTCATCAGGACTGAGATACTCAGGCGCGCTTGGACGCTTACCACCTGCACGAAGCTGCGTCAATCTTTGACCTCCTGAACGTTTGGTGGTTGCAGGAGCAGACTTCTGTCGTGGAACGTCTAGTAACAGAGACTGATGTGGTGATGGTTGATGTGATGGAGGCTCCCTTACATTTCGGCTTCTACCAACGGCAGTCTGTCGCGTTGCAGTCTCTAACGGAGGGAAGGCAGGTGGGAGTTGTATACCACGAGCACGATTCTGGCGGAACGCCTGCTGTCTGTCGTACTTGCTGAGCCGTTCCATGAAGTAGTATTGCGACATGGCCATCTTGTCGTCCTTGGTGCCGAAGTAATCCCCACGCAGTCCATCTACATCTTTACCCACGTCGTCTTCGACGTTCTTGCTCTTCCTGAAATCAAACACGGCAAATGTGCATAAATAGCCAAGACCATCGACTTGGACTGTCGAGTTGCGGAAAAAGTCAATGATCATTTCGCTTCGCTTTCCAGAATTTCTCCATAGAATGAAAGGAGCAATAAGAAGACTGAGTATCTCCTCGAGGAAGATCATAACCTTCATCTGGTATAGAGCAGAGAACTCGACGCGAACTTCGTCGCTATGTAGCTGATTCTTCCATCTGGCTGGGCAGTAGTGTATGGCGCTAATCACATTCTTCAGATGGAAGATGGGCTCGTGTACTTTGCTTTCGTCAGGGATAGCACTACGGGCTCCTGTAGCCACTGCCAGTAGTATGGAGACGTAGAAGAAAGCTGTACGGCCAGGCGTAATCTCGAATCCAAGAAAGAGTTCAGAGTCCCACAAGGTAGCGATGGTCAACAGGCCTGCTAGAGTACCACTGACCAGACTGACAAACTGCAGGAATTGATGGGTCTTATCTCTGGGAAACTGGTCGAGATAAGCTGCCGCCATAGGATGTGCTTGTTTGATGCGGTGGCGGAAATCATGGTCAAGTTCGTTGAACTCGCGAAACTTCCATTCTGCCAGAGGGGTGAAAGTACGAGCTCCAATGGCTGAAGGGCTAGCGCGGAATTCNCTGGAGTATATTAGCACTGGTGCACTCAGCTAAGGAGGTGCTGTTTGACTTACAGCATAATATCGTGAAAAATAGTAGATGCAGTGCAAAGTGATCGTGAATGGGGCCATGAAAATGCTCATAATGGCGAAAAAGCGGAGACGTTGACGTAGAATCTGGATCAGGCGATGCCTGTCTTTCCTNTGCAAACACGACGGATCAACTTGGCCTTGGTCATCGAAGATGAAGTTAGAAAAACATCCGTCGAGCCAGTCCTCTAGACTCTTCGAGTAGTATTGGCGATTGCCCAGTATGGGTATTGACAGAGTTAGATCGATGATCTCTTTGTTAAAGAGGGCAATGCTGTAGTTGTCGCGACGCATCAAGCGATTGGCAATATCATGAGCGTCCATCTTCTGCTTGGATTGCTTTCCTGTCGTCTTCAGATACTTAGGAACGGTATCAGCAGTTTCCGGATTGAGATCACGAAGTTTCATGAGCCCTTGAACTACTCTCTCCCATGAAACAGCCTGGATATCGGTGTCGGGTATGCCTAGCAGATGCTGATAAAACATCTCCATCTTACGCAACCTCGGGATGTCGGCAATGTAACCACAGAAGGTCTTGATCCACCAGAAACAAAATGCCCATAACAACAGACTCTTTATCCAAGACGACTTCTTCATACACTGGGGTATCAAAACTTCCGAGGTGCCCTTGCTACTGGGGATCTTGGCGTAGTCGACGCAAGTCGAGAGAAACATGAAGAGGCTGAAGAGGAAGGCGGTTGTGGCTAGGTGTATGAAGCGCGACAACAAGATAGACCAAATACCATGTCCAGTAAAGTATTGGTAGACGTGAAGCAGGAAGGCGTCCAAGTTCTGAACGTTTGTCCAGAGCCACATGGCTTGTTCTTTAAGAACAGCATCTTGATTGGGTGCATGCGAGACGGCAGGACGAGGTCGATCTTCAGGGTGCAGTTGTTGGCGTTCTTGGGTCTTTCTCCATTGTGCTTCGGTTCGATGGTTCGGCGATGGAGCGAATGTGCTCTGGTCGGGCTTGTCTTCCATAAGCAGTGAAGCTGGAATGTCTTCGTCGCCATGAGGTCGGGAAGTTGAAGGCTGGTGCGGATCAAAATCGAGGTCGGGCTCAGCGTCTCCAGCTATGAGAGCGTTAAGCTCATGCTCATCGGACGAATCTCTCAGCCCTCGTTCAGCTCGGTCGGGCGTGTGGCCATGGTCGTGTCGGTAGTCCTGTTCGTAGGCGCCATCATCAGCTGAAGGGAGGAAACGAGACAAGATGCGTGAGGCCATCATCTTGTTCGTCGTCTCTGCCCGTGTTTGTGCATCGAGGAATGCGTCAAGTTGAGTGTGTTGGTTGCTCCCGTGCCCTTTGCTGGTCACCCGAGTGTTGACACCGTCATTCTCCGCCCGCTGGCGATCGCGGCTGCGGCTACGGCCCGAGCCGCGCGCTTGCTTGATTAGTACAGTTGATGGTCAAGGGTGCTTTGAGCGCTTAAATCGCGTCTTGTATCTGTCCAGCTCCTCTTCCTTCAGCGTACAACCTGCATAATCTACCCTACTACACTTATTATGTGGTGTTGCAGCTATTTATCATGTAGTAATGCGGCTGTATGCATCAACGGCGACTGCATGTTGTGTGACAGACACCTTTGTCACATTCATCTCCAGAAGCCATGGCACAACTGTCCAGATATGGTACCTAACGGCTTGGCCAACATAACGATTAAAGCGCTAACCACCAAGTNNAAGAACGACGAAGAAACCTACTATGCAGAGTATCCGGCCGTCGTTAAGCGACATCTTGTAAATTTGTGCGATCGTATAGATGCCTCGAAGCTGTGCAACCATGCTTCGACACTGAGAGGTGGCATTCCCTGTCAGGTCGACCTCAGTGTGCCAAAACTTGAAACAATGATGGGAGGTCAAAACTGTCATGCTACAATACTCTTCGACGATAAAGTCGAGTGGCTCGCTCGATTTCGTCTTACCTGGACCCCCTCACCGCCTCCACACGTCCGTGACTATGTGCTTGAGAGCGAGGTCGCAACTTTGACATATCTCCATGAACATACCACCGTTCCTGTTCCCGCTGTTTACGACTGGCGGCGCGAATTGGACCCAGAGAACCCCTTCGGTGTCGGCTATATTCTCATGCAANAACTTGAAGGAAAGCCTGTCGTCTGGGGAGACATGAATCCTGCACAANAAACGAAGCTCATGGAGCAGCTTGTAGGAGTCTATCTCGAGCTGGAAAAACATCCCTTCAAGAAGATTGGGTCGTTGGCCTTCTCCGAAGCTACTGCATCCGGGCTTGACATACAGCATCTGGCAAGTCCCAGCCTCTTTCGGGCAGGAGCGCAACGCTCGTTGGGTCCTTTCTTATCCCCTCGACAGGAATGGAGCTCTATCTTAGTCCACAACAAAAAAATGATCCACAATGGCGAGATACAAGCACACCATCTGCTTGAGCTTTACACTGCCCTGGAATATCGTCTCCAGATGCTTGATNCAGGTCTGGAAGGACGTGGCCCCCTAGATCAATACTATCTGAAACATCCCGACGACAAAGGCGACCACATACTGGTGAACGAATCTTTCGAAGTTGTTGGTATCATTGACTGGGAGTGGACACAGACAGTCTCCAAGGCAGAAGCCTTCTGTTCACCTTGTATGATGTGGCCAGTGCTCAAATTCTACGACAGCGACAACGAGCTTGGTGCAGATGAGATCCAGTTTGCCGATATGTTCAGGCAGAGAGGTCGTGATGATCTAGCTTTGTGCGTCATGCAAGGAAGAAACGTTCAACGCTTCCAAGGGCTACTGGGCCCTGAGGCCTCCTTGACAGGGCGCGAGGACATGGTGAATCTCATGAAGGGCCTTCGAGATGCTCTTGGTGCGAATGAGGAGTGGGTCAGGTGCGAGCAGAAGGTGCTTCGGGAGCTGGAAGCGGATGGCTCACTCGCATTGATGCGTCAGATGGATCTCAAATTCGCCTTGAGTGTTTAAATACAGTAACGAGGGCTCTGGTCCGTGCACTCGGGCTTTTGGTGTTTTGTTCAAACCGGTGTAATTTGCCGACATGTGATATACAGCATACTTGTCGTGCACATCATCTTCAACAATTCAAATCGAGACCAAAACGATAGGACATGGATTCGACGTTACAGGCACTCGTCAATGAGTGGCTTCGCCTCGATCAAGATGTCTCGACGCGCTCAGAAATCGAGAAACTCGTTGCCGAGAACAACATCGCCGAACTTCGACTACGACTTCAGAAGCGTATTGCCTTTGGTACTGCTGGATTGCGTGGAAGGATGGAAGCCGGCTTCTCGCGCATGAACTCTCTCACTGTCATTCAAGCCTCCCAAGGTCTGGCTGAATACCTACTCAAGACTAATTCTGGTACCAAAACTCAAGGTGTCGTGATCGGAAGAGACGCCCGTCACAACTCTGACAAGTTTGCCAAATTGGTTGCTGCTGTCTTTGTAGCAAAAGCCATTCCTGTCAAATGGCTAGGCCAAGTACACACTCCACTTGTACCCTATACTGTTGGCCATCTGGGTGCAGCCGCCGGCGTCATGATCACTGCTTCACACAACCCAGCTGCCGACAACGGTTACAAAGTATACTGGGGAAATGGATGTCAGATTATCCCGCCACACGATGCTGGAATTGCTGCATCTATCGATGCAAATCTGGAGCCAATCACTTGGAATGTAGATGTCCTCGAACAGGGAAGCCCTCTTGTAACCAACGCTCTTCAGCAAGTCCAACAAGGATATATGGCCACCGTTGCAAGAATCGCGACAGTCTCAAATCCAGATGGTTCTGTACCCTTTGTCTACACACCAATGCACGGAGTTGGTTTACCATTCTTCACATCAGTGATGAAATCATTGGGGTTGGAAACCAAAATGCATGTCGTTCAGGAGCAGGCCCATCCAGACCCTGACTTCCCAACTGTACGCTTTCCTAATCCCGAAGAGAAGGGAGCTCTGGATCTTGCCAAACAAGTCGCGGATCAAAACGGCATCAAGCTGATCCTAGCTAATGACCCTGACGCCGATAGATTTGCGGCTGCGGAGAAGGTGGATGGTGAGTGGAGGCAACTGACTGGCAATCAGATGGGTGTTCTACTTGCCTCACATATTCCGGACACATATCAACCCAAACAGAGCAGTAAGGGTCTAGCAATGCTGTCATCAACAGTTTCTTCAAAAATGCTGGCAAGCATGGCCACTACCAGCGGCAAATTTCACTGGGAAGAGACCTTAACAGGCTTCAAATGGTTGGGAAACAGATCTCGCGAGCTGCAACAACAAGGCTACGAGGCACTTNTTGCTTATGAAGAGGCTATTGGCTACATGTTCAGCGAAGTGGTCTTCGACAAAGATGGCGTTGCCGCAGCTGCTGTTTTCCTAGCAGCCTGCGATCGCTGGAACAAGCAAGGACTGTCTCCATGGGCCAAGTACAACGAGCTCTGCAAAGAGTATGGTTACTTTGAAGATGCCAATACATATGTCATCTCACCTTCTTCGGATGTCACCAACGCAGTCTTCGAGCAAATACGACAGCAAAAGCCTACAAATGTTGGAAGTCGCAAGATTCTTCGTTGGCGCGACCTCACCATCGGATATGACTCTGCAACACCCGACAACAAACCAACGCTGCCAGTCGACAAAAGTTCGCAGATGATCAGCTGCGAGCTCGCGGGTAATGTGCACTTCACAGTACGCGGATCAGGAACTGGCGAGTCTTGGTAATCATTGCGGAATCGAGGTCATATGCTAATGATGATCANNGAACCCAAAATCAAGTTTTACATCGAAGGTAGTGCAAGCTCATCGCAGGAAGCAAAGGCATCAGCGCAGGAGGTCCTCGAAGACTTGATGAAAGAATGGTTCAAGCCTGAAGTAAACAGCCTGAAAAGAGAGTAATCGCCGACCAACTTGTACGGAAGGCGGCAGAGCAAGCACTCCAAGTTGGCCCCTATAGAGTCATGGATCTGGCTACATGGTTTCCAAAGACTTTCTTTGCTCCGGCCTACTGGAAGCAATAATACGTTCATGTGTTTGGTAGATACCTGTCTTGTGTACTTCTCATTCACATATGTCATCAATTTTGTATCTCCAGCTGGATGACTTTAGTAGATATATGGTCAATGGACAAGACAGCATACAGTAGAAGTACTTGATAGATTGCAAACAAAGACTTTTCATTCATTCCGAAGTAGGAGGGGTATCAATACATAAAGTCGTTGCTGTCTATCGCTGAGTGCGGAGTTGAGTCAAGTCGTGATAAAAGCATACTCGGTCATAACCATGTTGAGCAGAGTCCAATGAAAAAAAGGAAAGAGAGAATAAGGCCGTAACAGATAGTCATGAAAGAATGTTTTGCATCGTGCCTTCCAACAGCAGACCAGTGAGGTTTGTGGCCCTCAGCGAGAGATCAGTTTAGGTAAGAGCGATGGACGGAGGAAAGAGCAACTCAATCAGTGGCCATGGAAGCATCGTCTTGATGCAAAGCCAGAAGCATCTTGGCCGCATTGACCTCTCTGGCTCTGAAGCGACCAACCCCAGGCACATTGATNCTTTCTCTTCTTGCTTGTTCTGGTCTGACTGCTTGTGCCTTCACCTTCGCTTTCGTCATCCTCTTTCTCNNACTTGATGAAGCCACGTATTCGGGGTCTTCGCCGTCAGAGCCCGAATCAGTGGTAGGAGATGCAGTGAGCGAAGTGATGGGTGATGACGATGCAGGTGCAATTTCAAAGGAGCGGCGGCGTTTACGAGCACCAGCTGCCTGAGATGGAACGGTATGTCCAGAAGTAGAGGTGGGTGTGACGAGAAGGTTTTGCATGTCGGCTGGAAGCTTGGATGTGTTGTCGTGGCTGACACAAGGGGTAGGAGTGCCATTGTCGTTCTCTCGAAGGTCGTTGACTGCAGCCCAGTGGACTGTGGGAGAAATGCAAGTCTTCGGAGAGACCGAGGGCGAGTCAGGGATGTTTCGGCGAGTACGAGGTGCGTCAGTAATGACAGCGGCAACCTCATCATCGCTCTGGAACGGGCTCCCGAGGTGAGCGGTGGTATCAACTCGAGGGCGTGTAGGACGAGCACGAAGGCGCTTGGGCTCTGGCATCTGCATGGGTGCTGAGCGAGGAATATGAGGTGGTGCTGCCGAGGTGGAGTTGCCCGAGGCAAGGCTGTAGTGGTTGGTACTCACGCCGGCGCGCCAGCCCTCTGCCNNCTCACGAGCACATGCACGAACAACATCTGGCTCGATGATGAATCTTGCAAAGCCAGGATGATTGGGAGGCAGGCAGTCTCTGATGAAGCTGGGACCGAAGATAGGGGTAAGTGCCCATCGAAGATGCCAGCAGAACGTGGCGCAGACAGCACGGGCACATCCATAGGGCATCCAGTAGCCTTGAGCTGCAATAGCACCGCCAGTGATGCTGAATGAAAGTTCTCGTAGACCGTTGTTGAGACTGAGAACCTTGTTGGGTTGGGTCTTGGGGTAGTTGCATGCCTTGAAGAAAGGTGTGATCCTGACAAGGCCGATCTGATAGTCCCACATGACTGTGTAGGTTTTGTTGGGCTCGTGGGGCAGGCTGAAGGTATACTGAAACACTNNGGGACGAGTCAGTACTCACAATGTAACACAAGTGCCGTGATATCACTCACGTTCGAACGCCTCGCGACCAGTCTTGTCGGAGAATGCCTTCTTCTCACTGTTGTAAGGGNNAATGTGACGGACAAAGTCGCGGATCAACCCTTCCTCGCCGCTGCCATTCGGATAGACCTTGAAGCGGTGATGATGCTCAGCCAGCTCCAGACGCTCTCTCTTGCTGAGCATGGCGCATTGGTCACTGACCTCGAACGGAGCATAGTTGACCTCGCCTCGGGCTGGATTGCGATTGAACACGGCAGCGTCCTTAGCAATCTTCTGACGAAGGCCCGTCGAGGCTCCACCAGAGCGAGTGACCTGTGGTGGAGGACTGGGTGTGACAGAAGATGCTTGGCTGGTTGGTGCTGGAGTGAGAGGCGGGCTCAACGATGAGAAGGGAGGCAGAATACCCGGAGATGGAGGAGCATTGAGGAGAGATGAAATCTTGATCATCGTGGGTCTGTTCTCTGATGCCATTGTCGTGTCGAGATGTGTAGAGTCGATTGATGTGGGAGTTAGTAGGTAAAGATGATGGCTCGGGGTCAAGTAGTTCAATTGAGTGTCCAGACAAGGAGGCGATGGGCGGTGAGTATATGCGAGTGCTCGACGTCTTACCAAGTCTAAGGGGAGCTTGCGGTATGTATCAAAGACAGGCTCCAGGGACCGTGAGGAACAAGCAACGTCCGTCATAGTTGCCTATGCCTCTTCTGCCNNTATCCTTTTCTTCACCAAACTCCTTCTACCGTTCTTTGTAAATTGCCAGTGGTGAATNTCCTCTGCACTGATCTTTTGCTGGTCTTCACTTGCTAGCTTGTTGCTATGAGAGCAAGTTTTCATTCATGTCGGTCTGCACCTCGTATGCCGGGCTTCGGTTGATTGCGTTCAAGTGGGCTGTATGTCTCAGCGACTTCGCATGACCAGGCAACGTCGTTTTCTTTTCCTGCTTTGAGGAGAGCTCTGTTTGTACACCGATTATTGCCTGAAAGGATGATGTCGGGAGGGGTCAAGAGAGGATCAAAGCGCCATCGACTTCGTGTGGTTGGCTGCCAAGCTGCTTCTCCTATAGCTGGAATACCAGCCTGTTTGAAACCAAGATAACCGTGACTGGAGAGTTGAAAAGACTTTCCGTCGTGGATCCAGAAAAGCGAGCAAGTATATTCAAAGACATTCGTATAGTGGGAAAAAGTCTTTTTGATATACTCTGCATGCACTTGTCACCTATACGATCTTTATGCCGTTCTCTGCGGCAATGCTTCAGGTCTGGCTGCAAGCTGCCATAACGCCCACAAGACTTGCATATGCAGACTGCCGATAGAATGCTCTTGGACACACGCCACATCTTTCTCCTATCACCCTTGCCATTACCCTTGACAACAGTCACAGATGAACAGCAGTGCTATCATGAAGGCGTGATCGTCCTGGAAGCCAAGGAGACCACTTACAGACTTGCAAGCTGGGAGATGAAAAGCGCAGAAGTAATTGGATGATGATGACGATCAAACTGCGAATATGAATCACAGGAATCTCAAGGCGATTGCTTTCCAGCGCAGATCATGATGTATGGTCAGTCCTGTTCCTGCGGCTTGACATGTCGTGCAGCAATCAACCAACGATCTTGAGCTAAGCTATACACTACAACGCAGATGAGTAGCAGGGATGGACGGCACACACGTACATCATGTCGTGTAAATCTGCCGATGCCAAGTCTGGATATTGCAAGAGGGCAAGACGAGCCCTGACATGGTGAGAGTCTTGTGCGACCGAACACATTTTCTGTTCTGTCTCGTCGTGTCCGAATCTCGGGTCGTTTTGTTGAATGCCGGACGAACCTGGGAGTTTTTGAGAACAACTGATGTGTGTCGTGTTGAACGTTTCAGAGTTTCCTGAGGCGGTACTACAAGCCTGTCAAGAGAAGCCCCCTTCCGCGTGTGGTTCATGCGACGGATTCGGGCTCTGTATAACGGTAGCACAGAAGCCGCACTGCGCAGAGTGCTGAGTTGAAACAATTGCTCTCAGTGAAGAATTACTCGTACATGAGGCAGAAAGCGGTTGCATGTTCTGCTCGCAAGACCAATTTGACACTACCACGAGTCAGTGTTAAACTTGATTGAGGTTGAGCCTCAATATCAGCGCTACTCGAGCCTGCGGTATCGCTTCCGGTTCGAGAATGCTTATCCACGAAGGTGCTCCAAACGCGTCTGCAGCAAGATCTCACGATGAAGCCGCCCAACCATTCTCTGTGTATCACCCTATTGAGAACAGAGGGGCCACAAAGACCTGCGTTGAATCGAGTCCCTCGAGTTTGGACGCGAACCTGTCGTTTTTCTCCTTTTTCCTTGCAATCAGACCATAGCATTTTGAGCGCCGATAATTCGTCCCTGCCGTCCCATGTCGGCCTGGCTTCCCGCGCGTGACGGGTGTCGTGCAACGTGAGCATGGGCCCTTGTGTTTACTTGGACTTCAACCTGGATTGCATGTCGATGCGCAGATCCTAGTCGGACGACGGCGTTGACAGATTTGAGCTGCATAATGACAGGAAGATGCTGAGCGATCTGTTGGAGATTTGTGAAGTCGATGATGTGGTAGGCTACCAGTTTTCGACGCCAAGACCGGAGTTCGTTGCCTACCCCTTTCGCAACACCAACGCCTCTCTCATCAACTCAACAAGAGGTTGCACTTCTTCAGAAAACACATCTTGCCTCAAATACTGATAATACGGAGGTGCCATGAATACGTATGTCTAACGCGTTTGAAGACCGACAGAAGGGAAGATACAGTTGAACGCTTCCTTTGACGCTTTGTCTCGGATCCACTTAGGTCATAGCATAGAACAGAGCGAGCTACTCTTCCATGTGGCTCTCAGCACATGGCGAGCGATGGTTCTGATCATGTTTGCACCAGCAATACATCCACAGTCTGAACTGTTGCCACGGGCTGTGACATATAGACAACCCAATGGACTCACTAGAAGTCAGCTCTTGACTACGACATAAATTGCGAAAGGAAAGTGACCAAAATCAGGAAGGTAGAATGCTGTCCGAGCAACATTGGGTTGCTGAGTGCTTTTGAGTTAGTTCTTTCCGAATAAATTCTTGGTATGCCGACGTCCTGGGATTTCTCTACTTTTCAATTTTCCAAATTCCTCAACACAACCGAGACAAGTTTGTCGATAGACATGTGTCGATGAAAATCATGGATAACGTCTTTCGTTTTTCAGACTTGTCGCCCGAGATTCAGCTGTGTATCTTCGACCAGTTTGACCGTCCAACGCTACATTCCGCCGTACAGGTCAACAAGCAATGGTGCGATATCAGTACACATTTACTCTGGAAGCATCCGTCCCCCAGCCGAATCAGCAACCTGGCTTCTTCACGATTGACACAGAGACGGCAGTACTATGCGAGCAGAATTCGGATCCTCGAGATCGAGCAATTGAGCGCCACCCCTGCTTTTGACAAAGTCGTTTTCTCATCATTGCGAGTGTTATGGCTGTGTGACGATCTCAAAACACCGATCACAATAGCCCAGCTCGTTCCTTACCTACAGCCGCAACTACGCTCGCTAAGACTTCCTGGCTGTGGACTAGACTCACAAGCTCTCGACCTGATAGCCAGCTCTTGCCCTGCTTTGAGAACTCTATGGATAGCCGGACCCCTTGAAAGGGTCAGAGACGTCGACTTTGCAAGTTTCGTTCAATCCTTGTCTTGCTTGCGAAGGTTGTTCTTGAGCGGCAATTTTAGTGTCTCGGCCACAAATCAAATGCTCAAAGCCAACACGGCAGCCCTAGCGCCACGACTCGAAAGCTTTGGTCTATTGGATCTTAAGAACTTCCCAGATCCTGAGCCATTCCGTACGTTCATGCTGAACTGTAGATCGCTTCGCCATCTATCTCTTGGAGGTAGCGAAGGACATGATCACCCAAAAGTTATGACCGGCAGGCTTCTAGCGCATGTGTTAGAAGCAAACCCTTTGCGTGTTATAGATGGAGATTGGCTTAGCTCGCAGCTACTGGAGCAAATACCTTTATCATCAGCCTCGGTCCAGTCACTCAAAAGCTGAGATCATTGAGGCAACGCGGTCGCTCCTCGAATGCAGTTTCTGCTCTGCAGCGCGTATCGAATCGGCTTCGACTTCTCGACTTCTGCATGTACGATATTACCACAGCTCTTTTCTCCGCTATTGGACGGCAAAAGCAGCTCAGGAATCTTGCTCTAACTCTCATTCCGGACGAAGAAGTGTTCTCTATCACACACTTATCGGCACTCTCGAGTCTGAAATCGCTCGAACATCTTGAGATTACATATCGGTACACACTTGCTGGGCCCGCGACGATACATGGACTGGATGATGGCACGTTCGCACAACTGATCAAAAACTTCCCACAACTCAGGACCCTGGTCCTAAATACAAATTCTCCAGCCTTGGGTGGCTCATCAGTCAAGGCACTATCTCAAGCCTGTCCGTTGTTAGAACGTTGTGCTTTGATCTACCCTCATGATCTGAGCGAGTGGTTTCCAGAACGAGGTCCACATCTTTCGTTTCCAAACCTGACGAGTTTGTATATTGGCAAAGTGGCGTATTCTATGCCAATAGGGCCTCTCGACTGGATGAGCGCCCTCGACATACTTGAGGAGGCAACTATCGAGCGTGTGGTGATGGGTATACGCAGAGCAACGATCTATGCTAACATGTTGCTGAGATCTATGCCCAATCTCCAGAGCCTCGGCATTGAGACGGCTTCAAGGGCTGGGGAAGAATTACTGAACGCGTTGAACGAACTGAGGCCATGCAAGCCATTGGGAGTAGGAGACGTGGCAGAGGAGCCAATCACTACAATCGTAGAACAGTTCTCCTGTCTGGACTTCCTAGATCATTCCGAGTAATGCAAATCTGAGAGGATTCATTGACTCAAGCATAGCGCACCTCTAAACTCGAAAGGAGAAGTGAGGGATGTAGAGTGAGGACAGAATGTTCTTACAGTGCTACACTACTTTCCACAGCTAAAACATATAGCTCTAGATCAGTAGCTCCGTGGTAGTCCTAAAGCCTTCTCTGCCACGTAATTCATGATCATCTCCCTGCTGACTGGTGCAATTCTTGGTACAAAACACTCTCTTAAATATCTTTCCACATGATACTCTGCTGCATAGCCCATACCACCCAGTGTCAAGACCGCTCGTTCACACGCCGTGAATGCTGCTTCGGCAGCTAGATACTTAGCCGTGTTACAAGCAACACCAATCGCATGCTGAGTTATGCTTGGGTCAGTCTTGGACGCATCATAAAGGCGTGCTGCATGGTAGGTGGAAAGTTTTGCGGCTTCGAGATGCATGTATGCTTGAGCGAGAGGATGTTGAATCCCTTGATTCACACCGATGGGTCGACCGAATACAACTCGCTCTTTGGCATATTGTGAGGCTTTGCGTAGAGCTGCGTAGCCCAGACCTAGTGCTTCGCCTGCTAGGAGGCAGCGTTCGGCGTTCATACCATGCAGCACGATTTTGAATCCTTGACCTTCTTTCCCGATAAGAGAGTCGGCTGGAATGTGGTAGTTGTCAAAGAAAACTTCATTTGCATCAACTGCTCGTCCACCCATCTTGCGGATCTTCTTCAGTTCGAGGCCGGGTTGTGTTTTATCAAAGTCAATAAAGAATAGAGAGAGGCCTTCTGATGGCTTGGTAACTTCCTCGATTGGCGTTGTGCGTGCTAAAAGAATCATCTTCGTCGCTACCTGAGCAGAGGAGATCCAGATCTTCTGACCAGTCACATTGTAGAAGTCGCCGTCTTTGAGGGCGGTGGTCTTAAGTTTGAGGGTTTCTAGACCAGTGTTTGGCTCTGTGACACCGAAACAGGCTCGACATTCTCCACTGATTAGTTTCGGAAGCATTCGCTGGAGTTGTTCCTCTGTAGCAAATTTGGCGACTGGTTGCGTAGCATACACATTCGCATGGATGGACTGAGCACCAACCATTCCAGCACCGGATTCTGAGATGGTCTGTAGCATCATGGTGGCTTCTGATATGCCCAAGCCTGCTCCTCCGAGAGATTCTGGCAATGCAATGCCAATCCATCCATCTTTNGCCAGTGCAGCATGTAGTTCATGAGGATATGTCTCCTGTTGGTCGTGCTCGAGCCAGTAGTCATCTGTAAAGTTGGAACATATCTTGAAGATGGCATCACGAACTTCCATCTGCTCTTGCGAGAAGCCAGAGGTCTCCATTAGTCGCGTAGGCTTTGAGACTGAGAAACATCTTGCTTGTGGTATTAACCGTTGAAAGCAGTGAACGTAAGATCGTGGAAAAGCACGAAGAGGTGGGAACAAATGTCTTGACATGTTCACAAAAGAAGAGAGGCACGTTTTGGAAATGATTTGAGCAACCTACAACTATAATGTTATAGCATTCGGCTATAGGACGAGCAAGCCGATTGAGGGGTTTCGGATGATGATGAGTTCTTGGGCGATCATGACCGGCGAGGAGGAGCAAGTCGGGCGGCGAAGCGTGATTGGTCAGGGTCGCGCCAAGAAAATGATGGGTCCTAGAGTTGACGAGCATAAACATTCATGTCACAACAAAGCACCTGCAGCTTCGAGGTCTCATCTTTGCGACTCTTCACACACCACATCCCTCGACCCGAAACCAACCAATCACGCCTAACGACATGATATAGTCTGGTCAATTCCACGTCCAGCTCAGACATCTTCGGCGCACTCTTCCCTGGCTAGCTTCCATCCAAGCACTACAACAACGCGTCAAACAATAATGGCGCCTCGTTTCAAGACAGCCCCTGTCGGCTCGTCGCAATGGATCCAGACTGAGCGCGATCAGGCTGCCGAGTTTGTCGATATGGAGGTCGAGGAGTTCGGCTACGCTGCCCAGAATGAGATGGAATGGCTGAACGAGCACATGGCCGAGATTTTCAGCAGCAACCCTGTGTATGCTGTCGCTTTCTCCTTCTGAAACACTCGCGCTGACTTTTGCGCAGTANGTTTCGCCGACATCTTCAAGACTCCTGGAAAGTTGCGAGGCAAGACTCCTCGCACAGTGCGTAAAACCGCTGCTCGCGCTGTACGTATTGTTCGATCGTTATCTCAAGATGCTCAAAACTGACAGCATTCATAGCCTCTGACGGATCTTTTTGCACCCAATCCTCAATCAACCTTTAGTCCAGCACCCAAGAACGAATTTTACGCGAAGGTTGCTCAGTTCCAGATTGCTCAGGATGGTGAACAAGAGCGCCCTCGCTCGGGTACTTCTAGAAGGAGTCCTTTGCGTGTAGGCAAAGAGAACACGGATTCTGGATACCACGGTTTGACTGAGGATGAGATGGACGTTGATTCCCAACAATCCATGCTCAAGAACAGCCACGCACAAGCTCCCGATCTCGAACCTTTGCAAGAGCACGTCACAAACGACCCTGTTGTTAACGACACAGCATCTTTTGTTTCGGCAAACGAAGACGCCGAGAACGTCAACGAGGACCCTGCAGACGACGATGACCAGGCCACCGTGCTCGACCCCGAGTCCAGCAGTCGACCTGTTACACAAGATTCGAACGCGCCATTTGCTGATGACAACTGGCAGGCTGAGCAAGGCCAGAACGAAAATGAAACGGCAGATGAGGAAGAGCTGGAAGAGGAAGAGGAAGAGGAAGATGAGAACGCTAAATCGCCATCCGACACCTCAACGCCTGACAAGCCATTGACGCGTAAGAGCAGTCTCACTTTCGCTGCCCTGCCTGCTCGTGAGCCACTGACTGCTAAGCGAAGCATTGGTCCAAGAGGCAGCCATATGGAAGCGTTCGGTGGTGCTCGCACAAGTGCCTTGGGTAAGAGCTTTGGCATTCCGCAACAAACAAACTCTCAGCCAGCAGAAGATGCAGACGAACACAACAAGACATCAACTCAAAGGCTGCACGAGCGCATAACCTTGCTCGGCCAGCAAAAGGAGCCTCGCACATCCAAGTCTATTCACATGCCTGCGTACCCTTCTCTGCCAGCTCATGAACACAGATCCACCTCCGGACCATCGCAAGAAAACGTGCAAGGCGATACACAACCGCTTGTCGACGACGATGATGATTGGATTGCACCCATCCGCACCAGCTCTCGCGCTGCTAGTGGCGTTGACACTCAGAAGCTGAATGACCAAGTATCTGATCCTGTCTCGGTTGAAGAAGCGCAACCAGCCTTCACCGGAATTCCCAGGCCTGCATTGCGCGAATCGCCATCCAAATACTTTATGGGACACCACAAGTCCAACTCGACAGCCACTCTCGCTTCTCCTACAAAGGTTGCAACTGCTCCTCAACACGCTCATCACCAGAAGAACACATCCGTTTCAAACCCCAACTTCCCACCTGGCAGTGGCGCGACAACTCCTGTTGCTAATTCCATCGCTTCTCCAACAAAGCAAAAGTTCGCCGAAGCACCAATCAGCGCATCCAAGGCCAAGCTCTATTCTGTCTTCAAATCGGCCAAGGGCATGTTCGGTAGTAGCGCTGCAGCCAGCGCCCAAGCGAAGATGAACTCACTTTCCTCTCCTCACCAACCGCTCTCTGCGGCGACATTTGAACGTCCGGACCCAGACATGTCGAGAATGCCTGGCGGTCTCTACCCGGATCTCGGTCAGAACAGGCCAGCAACCGCTTTTGCTGCAACGGATGGAAGCAGACGTACTCGCAGCTCAACTGAGCATGCCCGTAAGAAGGAAAAAGAGTCTAAGGAAGAGCAGAATGCTATGGATGATCTGGAAAAGGTTAGGCAACAGGAGAGACAGAAGGCTCACGAGAAGGCAGAGAAAGACAAGGCTGCTGAAGCTGCACGAGTTGAAAATGAGAGGCTCGCAGCGGCCAGTCGTCCTGGTGCCGCCTCACAGCAATCATGGAGATCTACTGCAGATGAAGCAAGCGACGTTGATGAAGCAGGTCCTCCAGTACCTCCTAAGACTGGTGTTCCAGCTGGAAAGTTGAGGGCGCCCGGCAGGCTGGCTAAGCCATCGAGATTGGGTAGCATTCAGCCAAAGCCTGCTCCAGTCAACATCAAGGTAGCATCAGGTTCGCAGAGACTTGGTTCCACGCAGCCTGGAGCCTCTTCTCAAGATGCCAATCCTGCGCCGGCCACGACTCGTCAACAAGCAACTCGCTCTGGCAGTGCACAGCCTCCTGCGTTATCTAAGTCCGTCGGTGCTGGTGCCGGCTCGGTCCGTAGCGTGAAAGCTCTCGAAGCTGCTGCTAGAAAGAAGGAACAAGACGAGAAGGTGGCTCAGAAGAAGGCCGAACAGAAACGCGAGATTGAGCGCAAGCGAGCTGCCAAGGCTGAAGAAGAACGTAAAGCAGAACAGGAACGTAAGNGCGGCCGAGCAGCAAAAGACTTCAAGAGGCCAGAAATGCAGCACAAAAACAGGCAGAGCAGAGAAAGGTCGAGCAACAGAGACAGTTGGCTTTGCAACAGAAAAAGAGTGCTGAATTGGTAAGCGGAATTGTTTTAGTGAGGTCTCTACTTGTGCTAACGTTCAAAGGCTGCAACTCTAGAGCAAGAGAAGTTGGATAGACAGCAAGCACAGTCTACACTACCCCGTGGCGACATCGGCGGTACATTGAGACAGCTATCCAAGCAAGACCGACCCGCACCTCAAGCCAACACCGCAAAGCCTGCCAAACGACCTCTTCAGCAGGAGGTTGAAGAATCATCACAGCGCCCTACCATGGGCAGAGCACCAGCATCATACCAGCAGCAAGGGGACAAGCGACGCAAGACTCTGGAAGGTGATGACGATGAAGTCGACAGGCCATCAGACAACGCATTGACAGCTCCTCCCAAGAGGCCTTCAAACATGCGCAAGGAGTCAACACTCAACAAGTTCCCACATGGCTACACTCACGCACCGCCTCCGGCTGCTCACCACTCTCAGAACATGTTCAAGGCGACAGTCACAGCACAGCATCATGCACAGCACGCCAAAGCAGGCATGCATCCTAACGATATGATGAAGTTGTCGACCGCGCGTATTCCCTTTGCGGAGAACTCGAATCCTCCTGGAGCATCGTCAAGCAAGGCAGCACCTCCGTCAGCGTTCAAAACTCCTGGACGGCCGGCAGCCCAAGTCGTTTCTAAGAAATCAGTGCCTAAGTCTGCCAAATCATCACCTCTGTACCCCAATGGAGATAACATCAATCTTCCTGAGATCGCTACAGACAGTGAAGATGAGGATTCGGACGATGACCAGACTGGTGGATTCCGAGCACCTTCTTGGGTTGCATCGCCAGCTCTCCGTGATCTGCTCACACAACAACAGCTTGTGGATCCTGAGAGTATCTTCGGACCCATTGCACCGCTTCAAATGGAAGAGGTGTTCCGCAACAGTAAGAACCCTGAACGATTGAAANAGTTCCGCGAACGTGGATCTTCTGCTCGCTGGGTCGACACAGGAGATGCAGTCACGAAAGAGGAAAAGGTCAAGGACCGCGAGATGCGTGCACGAGTTGTCAAGGAAGGTGGATGGAGATTTGGACAGGATGCTTAAAGCCGATGGTTAAGCACGCGTGTGAAAACACGAGATTTCGTATTGTTTGGTGTGTCAGTTCTTTTCTAGCATGAGGCTCTTCTGGTTGGTGTTTTGGGTAGCGGGTCTTGTGGGTTTTAGTGGACGATCTTTGTTTGTTTGCGATCGGAGCGGATCCCCATGAGGATGGATGAAACGACACAGCGTCAAGATAGGACAGGGAACTGAAAAGGCGATTCTAGCAAGCAATGGAAGCTCATTAGTCTATGAATGCAAGCGTTAAACAAGATTGCTCGGTCCAAATCAAGGCATTGGGTAGTAGATGGCAGGAGCGTGGCTAGCAGACAAAGGGTGGCTTCCCCAATCAATGACGAGCTTCGTCGTGGCTGTGGAGCTCTGATGCATGTGAAAGCGCACGGAGCTCTGATTGTGGATGACGTTTCTGGGCCAAAATTCAGGCTGGCAGGTTTGGGAAGCTGCTCGCTGTCTTCTCTTCTGTCGCGTGCTCTCCGTCAACACATCCTTGTTCTCCATCCTCACTTTTCTCCCATTTCCTATCCAATTGATCGGTGAGCCTCATCTGCATCTCGTCCCCCTTGCTTCCTGAGCTTCATTCTGAACACAACATAGACCAGCCACCGCCATGTCGAACACAAACTACCCCAACCTCAACCCCCAGCTGCAGAACGCAAAGGACACTGCCATCAACGCTAAGGACGCTGTCGTCAACAGTAAGGTACGTCGTCAAGTCATTCCGGCCAGAGCTCTGTCAGCATCTGTCCTTTAGAAAGAGGTCCGCTGTGTGACACCCCAGTCCATAGCTGCCGCTTTCTCAGAGAGGCATTTGCGGCTTTGCTCTTGGAACGCAACCGCTTCATCCACACAGGAGCTGCCTCACATCAAGTTTCGATTATGCTGACTTCTTCTTACACAGTAATCTCAGATTTNNTTGAACAAACCAGAACTCCATCTCACCATGTTCCCAGATGCCAACGCTGCTTACCAGAACCTGGCCAACGGCCCCGCAGCCGAGAAGGCCAGAATCGAGAGCCAGAAGACCTCGCAAGAGTACTCCAACCTGATGGACTCCAAGAGAGTTCCTGATCAGCCCGCTGCCACTGGCCAGCCCCTGACTCACTACCACTCATTCTTCTACAACCTCCTGAGCTGGGAGAACNCCCGTGTCACCACCATCTCCTTCGCCTCAATCCTCACCTTCATCTTCTTCACCCGCTATGTCCCCATCCTCAAGTACCTCTTCAAGGCTCTCTACATCGTCCTCGGTAGTAAGTAGCCGCTCTCGGCCTATCTGATGATATTGTGACTGACCGAGATTTCAGTTACTGCTGCCGCTGAAGTTGTCGGCAAGCTTGTCATGGACCGCGGCTTTGCCTCGCGTATGCGCCCTCGCAAGTACTACACCATTCCTCGCGAGACCCTCGAGGCCTCTCTGGACGATGTTGAGCAGCTCATCAACTTCTTCGTCATTGAGTTCCAGCGCATCATGTTTGGCGAGAACGTCTTTGTCACCGTTGGTGCCTTCTTCATCACCTTCATCTCTTACTTCCTCGTCAAGATCATGCCTACCTGGGGCCTTGCTCTTCTCTTCGCCACCTTGATCTACACCGTTCCTCTTGTCTACATCAACAACCGCGAGGTCATTGATGCCCAGATTGACAACGCCAGCACCCTCATCAACGAGCAGACCCAGCAGGTTCGCACCATTGCCGCTGAGCAAACTCAGTACGCTACCGACATGGCAAAGAGCACTGCCACTGACCTTTCGAACCGTGCCTCTGAGCTCATCGGCCAGGCCAAGCAGCGTGCTGGTCAGGCTGACGCCCCCAACCCTGCCAACCTGAACCCCGCCAAGGACGAGCCCGAGAGAGAAATCAAGAAGGAGGATGTCCAGAACGCCGCCAATGACCTCACCAACAAGGCTGCTGCCACCGCTCAGGACGCCGCCAACAAGACCTCTGCCACCGCTCAAGATGCTGCCAACAAGACCTCCGCCACTGCTCAGAACGCCTACGACTCTGCTGCCAGCTCCGCCCAGACTGCTGCTGACAAGACTTCTGCTACTGCTCAGGATGCTGCCAACAAGACTTCTGCTACCGCTCAGTCTGCCGCCGACAAGACCTCAAGTGCCACTAGCAACTCGTACGACTCTTTCGGCTCCCAGAGCACCGCCTCTCAGAGCATCAACCGCTCTAACACCGATCCCTTGACCGAGTTCGACGCTCCCAGTGTCCCTACCACCGAGCCCAGCCTCGCCGCACACACTCAACCCGTCCTTCCTGATGAGAACGTCTACCACGAGAACTCTGCACCTGAGAACGTCAGAGCCGAGGCTCCTCTCCTGTAAGGGAACACATCGATGCTTCTAATACGGTCGTAATGATGGATTCAACGAAGTTCAATGATGACACTTTCACATAGCACATGACACGCAAAAGCTGAAAACAGAGAAGTCAATAATGTAGCATTAGTTTGTCGAAAAAAGGGACGAGCCTAAGGGAACTCACAGATTGATACCTAGGGGTCCTTTGTTGTTGTTTTCTAGTCAGCGAGCAATTACTTTCCATTTCTTTCATCCTCTCAATTTGCATATGTCTCTGTGTTGTTGCTCGAGTTGACATTCTTGTGCTCAGGTGATCACAACATGTTTGCTTGTCATCATCTAGAGAGTTGTGTTTGCGAGATACTCATACATGTATAAATCCGACGCAGCTCCGAGATCGCTTGACAGGGTGACACCTTTAGCGACCATGGAAAACAGATAATCGACGACAACACGTTCGTGTTAGCACTTATCTGGTATCCGACATGCTTTGGTGGTACATGTCTAATAAATAGATCAAATTCTGGACACAAATCTGTATATCTAACCACCAAACGTGTTATTTCCTCGAATCATCTTCTAAAGGTTGTTGTTTCTAGAAAGCAGAAAGAGAGCTCATGTACTTGAGCCAGATATGTTGTAAAACAGACAGGGTCCATGCAAAAACGAGATAAGAAAGACAGTAAAAGTGGCTCAGACAAGGACAAGTGTGACAGGAATCAGAGTGCGAGCTTTGTACAGAACGATCTCGATGTTATGTCGAAGGCATCGGATGGATATTGCTTCCGATGGCATCAAAGCTCTTTGATAGCATCATGCGCCACGGAAGGCAACGAAGGCAACAGGTATGCATATCTCAAAGAACTACGAGTACAGTACCGTGCCAGAAGTTTTTGTACGGTCAGGAAATCCTGCTTGATTTATGGTTGTAACCATTCTTCGCTAACCTCTTCTTATAAATACTGCTATATGATATCCATGGGATAAATAAATTTATATGCTATAGTATAGGTTTTCTTGAGCACAGATAAAAACTATTCGACTAATTGAAAAATTGTTCAACTATTCAAAAAGTACGATTTTGGTGGGACAAGCAGGCTCTACGGAGACTTTTGGCACGGTACTGTACTGTACAAGTACCTCGGCTCAAATTGCTCAATGCTTTCGAATCACAACAACCAACAATAGTTTGTTGGATCGCCGAGCAACATCAGTTGCGTCCCTCTTCAGAACCTCCACGACTGTGTCTGTACCACTCGAAGTTGAAACCAAGTTTCTCGGGCTCTTTGAATGAAAGCTTGTCTAGAAGTCCACGCGAAATCAGATCCTGGCAGAAGGTCTTTTTGCGTCAGGATCTGCTAGAACATAGTCTTGCTCCAAGTCAGCAGGGCGCTCTGGTGGTTGGTCGTCATGTTTGGCTTTAGCCGCAATACTCTGTTCCTTATGGACGGGACTTGCAGAGAGTGGTAGTTTCTCCTTCAAATCCCGCACCAGGTCTGCAATCGTCGCATACTTGTTGTGCCAACACTTGTCGATTGTCTGATTGATGAGCTCGTCATTACCATCCAGCAGGGGAAACTCCATGTTCTGCATGTGTCTCACGACTGCGGACCATTGCTCGCGAGGATCTTCGGTCAGACGTCGATCTGCATACACCTCGAAACCGTAGTTGATAAAGTAGAACAAGGAGCCAAGGGCGAATTGCTCCGTTGTCGAACTCAACGGACCCACAGTCCCTGCAGCTCCGAGGTGCGTCTCGTCGGCATTGAGCAGTCTCCCGTAAGGAGCGCTGCAAACCTCTGAGTATGCCCCCATCTCTGCAGTACAGTCAAAATCAGACAGCTTCAGACGATCGCGATTGAGAAGGATGTTTTCCGGCCGCAGGTCGCCGTGTGCGAGATTCAGAGATTCGAGGAAAGCGACGGCTTGGGCGAGGTCGTGCATCCACTCTTTGCGAAGGCTCAGAGGTTCCAGCTTCTTCACTTCTGTTACGATATGTGGGATCTCGAGTTCTGAGATGTGATTGTGTTGTATCCTCGAGGTAAGTGGTCCGTCTTCCAAAAGTATCACTTGAGCATCAAACGATAATGGACGCAGGAATTTTTAATGAGCAGGGGACACATACCTCGCATGTACTCCAGGAAGATGCCGCCGCCTGCTGTAAAGAAGCACTGCACCACCGAAGGGCACGGTGGATGTTGCAAGAAGACTTTCCAGATTTTGAGCTCGTTCCGGAATTGCTCTTGTTCAAATTCTCCAGACTGCGGGACCTTGACGACGATACGTGGATGAACTTCATAGACGAAGGAGATGCCTCCTGACCAAATCCAGTGCACGTTAGGAAACTCGTTTTTGATAGACATGACCGAGTGGGTTCTTAAATACTGATATGGCACACGCTGTGCTTATCGACGACACAGGCAGATGAAGAGGATAGTGAGAAGGTGGGTCATAATGAACACAAGAGTCCAATTAGGATGATTTTGCATCCCTTTGGTAGTGCAAAGATCTATGCGCCCATAGTCCAAGCATTGCAGCGAATAGCGGGTCTTACCAAGGAGTTATTAGCCAGAGGTGAATTTCAGCCAACGACACGGCAACACGTGGTTGCACAGTGTATTCTACTGCAAGCCACACGCTGCATGATCCATGCAGGACCATCATATATGCTAAAAATCTCTTCAACATGACTTTTAACCAAGTATCCGATCACGACTCACCCCAAGCATTTACAGCATCACGATGGAATCTCAAGAAACTGACGCGATTCGAAAACAGATCTGTCAACAAGCATCACTTGACACGCCTGAAGAAGCATGTCTGTCTTGTGTGTTCCTACATGAAACCGAGCAAAACCCATACTCTGGCGCCCAATGCAAGGTATTTGCTCTCAGAGACCATAATGCCCGCTCTATCGCTGTGCGTGTATACCGCAGACAAGACTCAGCATCAACATACCTTCTACAGAACGAATTGAAATACAGACGAGAGATCGAACGCCTCGGACTCGAATACTTCCAACATATCATCTCGTTTTTGNAGACTGGAAACCAGCTAATTCGCAACCCATTCATTTGTTTGAATTGGGTTGAGGGAGAGCNNTCCTTGACTTGGTCTGATCGTGTGCCAGAAACACGTTCCAAAAGAAACGACTTGATCAAGAGAATCGCAAACATCTGTCTCGACCTCTTGAGTATCCAAGAACAAGGTAAAGTCCAAATCCCAATCCCATCTACCAAAGAAACAGATATCTCGATGTGGACCATGGCTGGCATAAGTGACCAACACCCCATCACAGAAACTTCAGCCAAAGACCAAATCACAGCAAAGATACAAAGAAAGATAAAACGAGCAGAGAACAACCAATACGCTGGCGGCAATGCCGAAAGCTGCATCAAATAACTGAACCTACTAGAGAGATACTGGACCCCAGAGCTCGATACCGCGCCCCGTGTGCTCGTTCATGGCGATCTATCAGCCAACAATGTCATCGTCGACGTAGACTCCAATTTCAAAAGGCTGGTTTCTATCCAACTCGTTGCTATGTGCTTGTTTGCCTTTTGCTAACTTGAACTCAGTATCATCGATTTAGGTTGGGCAGAAATGGTGCCCCTGCAATTTGCTGCTGCATATCCTCGGTTTTTGACTCACGAACCTGCCAAACATGGACCTTTCGATTGGGCTGCAAAAAACACAGTCTGCATGCAAGAGGATAGACTCGTCTTCCGGGAATGTGTCCGAGGCAGAGCTGTCCTCGAAGGTGGTCTGTGTCAAGTTTATCACGACCTTCTCTGCAGGGAAGACGAAGTCAACCGGAGTTGGTGGTTCGCAGCGATATCTGAACCAGACAAGCATAGGGCAATGGAGTTGTGCGATTGGTGTCCTGAACCAACCTCTCCTACTTCATAGTATTCATGAGAGACCAACGTCGACTAAGCCCCAGAACAAACAAAATTGATAGCTCATGTGTATCCTCGTCTGTATGCGCGAGCATTTTCCTCTCTACTCCAACACTCACAGCATTTATCCTAGGTTGTGAATCTAAAACTAGGATGGTCATCTCCAAGGTTATCGACGTCCGACCAAGCAAGCCTGTAATCTCTCTCTCTTCTATTTCTCTTCCTGTTTTCCCACAAAACACCAGCGAAAAGGACGACACAGCCCAACCCGCAGATCCACAAGAAGCCCAAACTGACTCCATAACCTGTACGATAAAGTGGTGCCTCGGTTGTGAAAAATACGTTTGAGGCAACAATACCTCCGAGATTGCCAAAGCCGACTGTCATGGCGGCGGACACAGAGCGTTTGTAGTGACCTGACATGCAATTTTGTACCCACGCCAGGACGATGGGTTGTGTGATGTAGCCACCTGGGACGACGAGGAAGAGAGCGAAGTACTTGACGCCTACTGAGAGACCGGTCTGACAAAGCAGAATAATGTATCCAATCGAGGCCACCACAAGACCGAAGATGCAGAATGCGAAGCGATGGCGAAGACGATCAGTCAGCCAAGCGGCAGCGACAGAGCAGATTGCGGCGACAACGAAAATAGGTATAGAGCGGATCTGAGCAGAGGCAGAAGTATACCCCATCTCGCGAATGATAGTGGGTACGAAGAAAGAGCCCGAGTATCCGGTGTTTACGATACCCATATACATGATGACTCCGCAGTAGATTTTCCAATCTGTGAAGATACGGCGGGCTAGTTTGGATTCTGTTAGCTTCTGAGCACTAAGAGGCTCTCTCCCAGCAGAGAGTACGACCAAATACTTACTAGCAGCCTTATCCAATCTGTTCATGATTGCTTCACCAGAGTCGGTTTGAAGCCGTGAAGTCAATAGCAGACGTTCTTCTTCGGTGAGAAACTTCGCGGTCTCAGGCCAGTCACAGACCCAAAATCTAGCAAAGACGCCAACAACGACGGTCAAAATACCTTCGATGATGAAGATCCTATTTTGAGTCAGCACTCCTCCAAAATAGTTCTCAGTCGAGAGAGTTAGCTACCATCTCCAACCTGAATATCCACCGATACCTGCACAGTTTACATCAGTATCTGGCACGCGTCGCATTGCTTTAGGAGAGCATACCATTCATCTTTGCTAGGGCATAAGCGAGAAGCTATATGTGTGTCAGCATCAAGTAGTTAGGGAGCTATCTTAGAAGTCTTACACCACCAAAACCACCAGCGAGAATACTGGCAGAGAAAAACAGGGACAGTCGCCATTGTAGTTCGTATCGTTGATAATCTGGTACAATCAGCAAGACATCAAACGTTGGTTGTGAAGACACCACGACTTAGCTGAACGAATGCACTCAGCTCTATGAGATGCCGTCCCGGACGGCGTTTCATTGAAACACACATTCCAAGGACTGCTCATCCAGGCTGAGACGAACGCCAGCACTAACCGCGGTGTTTGTACCTTCGGTTTACGTACACATGCTGATCAAATAGACACAGCCACTGCGTTTCAACGATCAGTTCGTGGTTCATGCATGTATGAACAGACCGCTTGTAACTTACGGAAACAGGCCGGCCTCGAAGATGCCAACCAGGACTCTCATGGCAACGAGTCCTTCAAAGGTTTTGACTAACCCTTGACCAATAGTAGCGATGCCTGTAACACTATGAAAAGTTGATCTTGTCACAGACATATAGACGCCTACCCCAAAGAACCATGATACAACTCAGCCAAAGTGAGGGTGAGATTTTCTTCAATACAATGTTACTCGGAACTTCGAGCAAGATATACTGGCCCCACAGCGTCAGCATGTTGCCTTGTTCCACCAACCTAGTAACATCGTTTGACAAAACTCACAGGTATGAAGAACACAAACAAGGCAATGTTGTAGTCATGCCCACCCATCTTCAGCTCATCGGTCATACCCTGAATCTTTGCATTGCCGATGTTTGTGCGGTCCAGGAAGGCAAGTAGGAACAGCACAGTCAACCTGGAAAACAAATCAGTATCGAGTCTTCTATGTATGCAGTGCTCGAAACATACGGTGGCAGTATCCTCAAATCGACCTTTCGCAACAGCTTCTTTTCAGCAATGGGATCAATGAAAACACCAGTGTCAGAGCCTGGCCCTGGCGCGATCTCGAAGTGTTCAATTGAGTGTTTCTTCGTTGTGTCGTCCATATTGGGCGGCTGAATCCAAAGAGAAGACGGACAGAGAAAGATCTGAAAGAAAGACGGCTGCATGCATGGTCGTTATATATCTCGAGGGGAAGAAGGCCGAGATGTACCTACTCGTACGTACCATCCCCATATGGAGTATCCGAGGATAGAGTTGTGGGGGATCGTCGTAGCAGGTAGGTATGCGGAACGTTACCGAAATCGCGGAGCGGTTCCTTCGAAGGATTCGTCCAGGTATATACAAGTGGCTGTGGCTTGCCGTAAGCATCTGGCCGGCAGGTAATCGACAAAGAGATGCCGATGATGGGTTGATGGTGGAGGAAAGTACAGTAGGGATAGACCATGAAGCCGAGAAACTGTGAGGGGTTACAGCAATGATCGAGGAGGCAAGAACGACTAGGGTGCATGCCAAGCGCACTAGCTAGAGGTGGAAAAAACAGATCAACAGAGGGAGGTGCAATGAGGAAAAAGACGTAGATGAATACAACAGGTAGAAGGATATACGCTACCAGGACCCGCTTCAACAATTATTTCAGCCCAAACCCTTCGCTCTCAGATACAGCACGCCAAAGCTTCTCTTCGAGCTTTTCCCTACTCTCGTAGCCCCAAAGTACTAGCATGTTGAAACATGTTCGCGCGATAGGGAACCTCTCTTTATCCTTGCCCCCGCTCTGTCCTTGGCCAGCCGTCCCGTCGCCGCCACAGACGATGCGAAGAACAAGATTTGTGGCACCAACAGCAGGTATACGATCGGATCCAGTAATGAATCCAAGAAGTTTTCGCTGTGCTTCGGGCGTGGCACTTCTGAAACAATCCCAGAACCAGGATATGACCGGCACTTGATCGGCAGGGTTAGGTAGAGGTTTGTGAGGCGGAGCAACTTCGCGCCAGTTCTCGTATACAGCAACCGCCTTCAATGAGTTGACATCGAGAGCCTCATCAGAACCTCGGACCATGAGCTCGATCTCTTCGGCACGGAAAAGCGAAAGAGCATTGCCAGCACACACCGTAAAGAAGCCACGCTTGAATGGCTCGAATTGTCTAGCCACGGAGGTGTCAAGCAAATAGCGCACGTAGGCATCGACGTACTCGCGGCGATTCTCGTTGGTGACTGGTATAGCTTCGCCGCCAGGGATGAGTGGAACGTCCGTCACTGCACCGTACCGCTCAATGCTTGCAACAAAGTCTCTGCAGTAGGTTGCTTCGACGTCGCCATCGAACTCAAGAAGGTCGCGCAAACCCTTGGCCAACACAGGCCGCCACTCTGCCAAATCTTCGAGAGTATAACTTACTTGAGTTCTACCACTTGAGGGAAGAGCAGGATTCTGAGTTGAAGGAGGGGCCGAAGCGAGCAACTTGCGGAAAGCGAATGGCGGCAGTGCAACATCAAGGATGGTAGAGTTGTAAATTGCGAGTCCAAGAAGAGCTCCAACGAGATAGTACTGATCGCTGGTCTCGAAAGACGATGGGTTGAAGTAACAGAATCCTGAGTCATCATCATAGAGGAACATGCCTAGCTGATGTGTCAGTTCGTAATCACTAAGTCAGAATGGTTGAAGTAGAGACATACCATGATTAGGGTCAAAGATATCCCTGACCACTGTCAAGAACCACTCTTTTCTCAAGCCGCCTGCGTCGACACCTTCTTCATCAGCGAAGTGGACTTTGAGGCCCTTTTTCAATTCTTCTGGACCAGATCCTACAGCACCGCTGATCTGTTTGAGACTGTCGTCAACCATGCACTCTCGTCTTACACGTAGGTGGAAATAGCCATCGATGGATCTGCGCGTGGTGACAGAGTCGAAGTAAGCCTCGCGAGCCATGATCTCCATTTGCCGGCGAGCATCGTATTCCATAAGTCGAATTTTGGCACCCATAGAGAGGNNGAAGAGCGGGTATTGGCAGAAAGTGAACTTCGCTTTCTTTGATTCCCAGGCCTTGAAGTCTGCAACCAAATCGTAATAGTCCAGCAGTGTGTTGTAAAAGTCCGAGGTAGGTAGCAACTGTCCGTGCATTTTTGTTCGTGGTTTGGACAAAGAATTCAGGCTTGTTTGAGCAGGAGTGAGGCCAGCTCTCTTCATCTGCCATGAGTTGTTTGCTGCAAACAACATTGCCATGATTTTGGCAGCGGCCTTCAGCTGCCAATCTTCGCTGTAGTCAATTACACTTATCGTCTCCATCTGTGGCATTTTGTTTCTCCCAGCTCCACTTCCGCTACCACTCAGTCCAGTTGCTGACTGGAGCTGGGCAAAAGTGTTTCTCGCAGATCCAGACAGATCTGGAATGAGGCCACCGTCTTGAGGGATGATACTGCGAGGTCGGCTCTTTCGTCGCGAAAGACGATATGTGACGAATCTCGCAACCAGGTCAACCATCTTGACGAACTGTTGCTCAGGTAATCTACTGAACCAATTGGTAAGACAACGATGACAATTCTCGGAAGAATTAGCGACCAGTCCAAAGATACGCTTGAGTATGCCAGCATGCTGCCCGGGCTCGTTGCTAGCAGGAGTACCTGACAGCTTCTGTGGAGATACAAGCTTCGAAGAAGATGGTGGCGCCAGTGTTGAGCTCTTGAGCCCTGAAGGACTGCGTGGCATTGGTGGGCGATTGCCTACTGTCCGCATAGAAGGATACAAGGATGGGTTAGCCAATATAATAAGCAGGAAGCGTATGTTGTCTGGTTCAACCAGAGGTCGTGTGGGTCGCTTCAGGATGTTTTCGGTAATTTTCAACAAGGCTCGCTCGGCATGCAGTCGGGCTTCTGCAATGTCTTCATCAATCTCCTTAGCATTGACGGGACCGCGGATGTGTTCGTGAACCTTCTCCTGATCGACATTCCTGATGTTTGCAACTCTGTCGCGCCACTTAAATCCAGCAGTGTGAACAACATCGTACCAATGTGAAAGCTGATCCCAGTCAATATGAGGAGACCTTGAAGTGGTCAAGCGCCTGCCTTCTGAGCCAGGGTGGCCGCGCTTGTCGGATTTGTCCGAGGAATTGCGAGCGACTCTGCCTGTCCACCAGTCGCCATTTTCTGCAAAATCACCAAGAAGCAGAGTCTTTGCATCGAGCTGGGAAAATGAATCTATCGGACTTTGAGTAAAAGCCTCAACCACTTCACTGGGAGGGGTTTTGATGGCACTCTCGCTTCTCCTGCGTGCAGCAACTGGATGTCGTACGGTACTAAAACAGGTGTTCAGACAGTTGTAATCACCGAAACTGCTAAGCATATAGTCCTCAAGAGGCTTGAAGATGACCTTGACACGATCGTAACGCTGAGAAGTAGGGCTGTCACAAACAGGAGGTGTAGGACGTATGGGGAGTGGCGCAGAATGAAATCCAGGTGGCGGAGGAGGTCTTCTATTGGGCGGCAGAGGTGGCATAGGAGGTACTGGAGGCATATGAGGAGCAGTATACGATGAACCAGCGGTCATGGGTCTCGAGGGACTCTTGTTCGGCGATGGGGATGCCTTGTATGAGAAATTTTGGAAATCATCTTGAGTCTTCAAAGATGCCGAAGCGGGCTCGGGCGTCACAGGAGGTGACTGCTCGAAGAAGCGTGGCGGTGGTTGAAGGGAAGCACTCTGTGCTGTCGAGTCGCCACGAACAAAAGGATCCGCAAGGCCTGAGGCAGCTGGCGAGGTTGGAGCATCTGCTCTTCGGCATCGTGCTTCAAGGTAGGTAATAAGACAGCGATCGATTATGGCTCGACTACGTTCAACTGACAGTGGCAAGATCGCNTTGTTTCTTGTTAGTAACTTGCGAAGCCCCCCTCTTCCGATGAACTCACGTCGTGGACCCTGCTGCTGTCCCGGATATGTTGAAGACTTGGAGTCACGGGGCTCCTTAACATAAGGCTCAAGATCGTTGATGGTCAAGCAACTTGTGCAACGAAAGACGTTGAGATTACTCGGAAAGCGAACTTTGTTGTCGCAGCACATGCATTGGCGTGTGATCAACTCTTCGTCTCTCTTACGCCCTCCGATGGGCTTGTCCGGTGTAGGCACGGTGGAGGGACCAGCATCCAGCACAGGGACTAAGTGTTCATCGAGAGGAACATTTCTCAAGACAGGGGCACTTTTCTTCTTCCCGAATATCTTTGGTAATGGGTGGCTGACAGCGCGCGTGTGCGGTTGCTGTCGCGGACTCGATGATTGGGCGGGTGGAGAGGAAAGCGGAGGCTGCTGATCTCGAGGTACTCGTGGAGGGGATGCAGGAGGCGGCCTGTTCGAGTTTCCCGACGACCCCGAAGTTAGAGATGTGAATCGCGGTGGCCACAGAGACATGCTTTCCCTGATGCCGATGCTTCAGGTTGCTCCTGGCTCGAAGTGACGGGGAGTGGAATCTGAATGATGGTGGATTGATGCAGGCGGGCAGCAGCTGGGACGGACGCTGGGCGTACCGGAGGAAAGCACGACAGTCATGTCCTGGGCCAAACTCCGAAGGAAAAGAACGACAAGAGAAGCAAATACGAGGCACCTAGCGGCTGAGCTCGTGTTGACCACAATTCGACTGTGCTCAGCTCTTGGGTTGTCTCCCTGACATGACTCTCTCCCTGACATGACTCTCTCCCGAGCCCCTCACAACCGCTCCTTATTCTGGGGTTGCCCTACTCCGAGTACGTGAACCTAATCGTGCGCTGCGAGGCTCTGGAACCCAGCACATGCCACCAATTCTTCCTTTGCAACTTGCTCCCTCTCCACCGACTTGAATTGCAAATTTGCTCCAATTCCATACTGTTTCACTCTTACCCCTGTCTGTAGGTTTGCGCGTCGTAAGCTCTCGGATCTACAGTCTTGGCCTTGAGACAATTCACTATATTCACATTGCACAGAAAACATAACAAAGTGAGCGGGTAGCGTTGTGATTTTGAAAGACAACAGTTTGGCTAGTTCATGATAATGCCCGCTAATCCCAGAAATTTTGTGGATGCCCTCGTCCCAATATCGTTGCGACACGAAACGAAGACCCTTGCCCAGATCCCTTTTAACAACCACGTCAACGCCGACAGGGGCGAGACGTTTATCGGTAGCGCCAGAGAGAGAGGGTGTTCTGTCTCTTCCAGGTCTTTCTGCGACCGGCAGAGGTGTTGTTGTAGCGGTGGCCCTTGTTGATACCACGGTTGTGCTTACCGGTGGAGGTGAGGCCACGGAGTTCGCGGTGCTTGTGGACGGGGTTGACGATCCAGTTGATGCGGGCGTCCTTGCGGATGGCCTTGTGCTGGGGGTCAACGAGGATGATCTCGAAGTACTTGTAGGTCGAGTCCTGGTTGATCCAGTAGGAGTTAAGGACGCGCAAGTTGGCGCAGCGGCGGCCGACACGCTCCTCAGCGACGGAACGGAGGGAGCGCTGGAACTTGAGCTGGTTAACACCCTGGTTGGTGGGCTTGCCNTGTACAGAATGTCAGATCCAGATCCTTCTTCGCATCGCAAATTCTTCAATCGTACCGTAGGTGGCACCCTTGGGCACAGGGCGCTTGCGACCACCGCGGCGGACGCGGACACGGTAGATAACGTATCCCTGCTTGGCCTTGTATCCCAGACGGCGGGCCTTGTCGGGGCGCGAGGGGCGCGAGGCGCGGTGGATGACGTTCAACTGGCGGAGCNNTATATTGATGTACTCTCAGCAAAGTTCAACGAGTAGCATCAATTCTCATGTAGCGCGTACCTCCCAGCAGCGAACACGGAGAAGGAAGCGCAGGACATCAGACTGCTTCTTCTTCTGGAGCTCTTCGACGTATTTGAGGGCACCCATCTTTTGCAACTGTCAGCGATTGTGACTCTTTCCAGGCGACTGCAATCAATCGTTTGATGCAGAGTTTTGACGTACTGTTACGGTATTGGGAAAGCTGGGTCGTTAGTAAAGTCGCACGAAGAGAGGAAATCTTCAAAGCCTGGCTCGAGATGATTTTGCAAAGTGTGCGGTGCGCGAGATTTCTTGGCGCAACGCCAAGCTGCCACCAACCGAACCACTCGAAGCGTTTCGGACCCTTTGACTTTGTTGAATGCTCGTCTGATCAAAACATCAGTCGGACAAATGGTGAAAGTGATGTTTGTTGTAACAATTTTCGTCAACTGAGCTCTGAGAAGAGCTTTCATCACTTTTGAAGCGATTTCTCACAGCCTGTGCAACTCGGAAGTGTCGAACCTACCTATTCGATGCAAGGCTTGTCTCGTTTCTACAGGCTCAGAGTGCCCAGTATGCGACTGAAAGCAACGAACAGTTGTCACACATTGTGTTCCTGTCACGTTTCTACCAAGTTCCAGTCCATCTCATCGTTCCAGACGCTGTCAATTATCTGTCGCATGAGAGAATCAATGACTTGATGATTCAAGATGAAAACTGAGAACTATGTATTCTGCCGTTATAGTCATTTCACGTTATGCGTGCTATAGTCTGTTTCCTTTAGTCTCCTCTTCTGACGCCGGCTTGAAGGCAGCGGCTTACTTAGCAGCCTCCTTCATCTTGGCCACACGAGCCGATGTTCTCTTGACAACGTCCTCCTCGTTCCAAATAGTCAGAGCACTGGGAAGCTCGACGACAGCCTTGGCCCACTTGCCGGTATTAGGCAGAGCCTCGATCGACTTCTTGAGCGACGATGGGAGAAGGTTGCCTTCCTTGGAGAAAGCAAAGAAGCGGATCAGGAAAGGAGCAATGATGGCCNNTAATTTTGTCTCGGTCAGTATTGTGCCCGGTGGACGTGGATGCTTGACGAAACATACCTCAGCGAGTGTGGGCTTGTCCTTGCCGCCAAAGAAGGGAGCGGCATTTGCAAGTAGAGGCTCAATCTCCTTCTCAATAGCGGCAACAGTCTCCTTAGCCAACTTCTCCTTCTCCTCGCCCTCGGCCTTCATCATAGGGTATAGGTTGCCCTGAACCTTTGTGTTCCATGTGTCGACGAAGAAAGCCAATCTGGCTCTGAACAGCGGTGCGAAGGGGTCGTGCAAGCTGCCAGGAAGCAAATGCGAAGGACGGGCGTCTGCGAGGAACTGGGCGACAATGCCCGACTCGGTGATGATCTCCTCGTCATAAAGACCAGGAACGGTGTACTTGATCGAGGGTACCAGACCGCGGGGGTTGATATCGAGGTACCACTGCTCGCGAGGCTTGTCCAAATCGATGATGACCTCTTCAAAGTCCAGGCCCAGCTCTTCGAGTGTGATGTGAGCACGGTGTGCGAAAGGACAAAGGTGGTTGGTGTAGAGAGTGATCTTAGGCTGAATGCCCTTGGACTCGCCGTTGTTGCTCTCGCCGTTTGTGTAGCTGGCCATATTTGCTGTATGTCTCTGCCGGGTTGGGGTATTTCAGTATGTTGTTCAAAGGTCAGCAAAGGTGTATTTAAATGTTCCGTGATATGTCGTGATCTTCTATGGGTGGGGTTTCCTACTTCGTCATCAACGGATTTAAGCGGGATTATCAATCTGTCCTTCGGCGGCGAAGCAACGTCAGATGCCATGCTCTAGCAATTGTTGCTGTAGGGAGGCGCAATTGGGGATTGGAGAAAGCGCTCTAACCTCACTGCATGAATCTCAAACTCCAAGCACAAGGGTTTTGATTTTCGCTACGACAGGACATAACCACTGGTGCAGCACAGAATTCTTGAATGGTAGCGTTCGCTTTGCACCATTCCTCATCTGCTGTACGCTCTTCGCAGGGCGTGCTCCCATCTCCAAGGCCACGATTCGTCGGTGATTTCCCGCGTTTCACGGATGATATGTGGAACACGTACAGGCGGCTTGAGGTGATGAACAGTACTAAAAGATCAGCTCACGTTTGGTTCTATAGGAAAAGGCTCGAGACTTACATTTGTCCTTCGCTGTCTCGCCGTACCGCATAGATTTCGTGTTCGACGTCTTTGCCATCCCTCACATCCTTCATGTCTTTGTGTGTTCTGTATGGTTGCAATGCCAGCTAGGTGCGACTCGTTGGTGATGTTATATGTATTTCGTCTACGCAGCCTGATGCACTCTTCAACCAAACAGTCGCGCTACATTGCTGCAGGTCGGCGCCTATAACCGCGAGAGACGTGTGATAGCGAAACAGCGGCTCTGCTCAAATCAAAGAAATGCCAGGAGCTGCGCAAAATCATCATAGGCCTCGTCTTTAGGCAGCGAGTTGCCCGTCCCAAATGAAGTGTTGGTGTCGGGAAGTCGAACAGCAAGTTTTGCACCAACAAGTCAGTGACGATTGGCTATGATACCGCGTCCGTTGTCCATGAGTTGACAAAATGTTTTACTGTGCACAGGAAGCATGATCTCTGGTTGGTCCCCGTTCTCTCCAAGCCTTTGAGGAGAGCGACCATGCAAAAGATCCTGTACTTTTGGAGGCGCGGTCCTTTGTTGTCTCTCGTTGCTCTGAATCAAGTGGATGTGGACGTACGATCAGGCAACCTTAATTCTCGCAGGAGAACTGAGCATACGCTAGTGGGGCATTGTTAATTCAAAAGTTGTCTTCATAAGCCTACGATACATGGCATATTAAAAAGGTCGTAGAACGTAGGCAGGAAGTTTAAGCCTTGACGTTCTTTGTTCTATAGCATGGTGCGCTTTTCAAACGTCGAAGCTCGCTGTCCGCGGACACCCGAACGAGCAGGGCCGTTTTATGTGACAACTTATCTGCAACATCGTCCAAACATGCCGAGTTGATCCTTCCTACCTACGGGAAATCTTAGACTGACGCTCACTCGGTCCCGACTATCGAGAAAGTATCATCGAGGACGCTTTCCGGTGGTCCCAGAACGGCGTTGCTGCGCGGGAGGATTAGTTAGTACAGCTCCCAATCATACCGATCCCGGAATCCGCGCCGCCTTCGTGACCATTCCAAGGCTACTGGTCTCTGTTGTTAGCGAACTTGCTCTGGTTCAGAAATGACAGATTCTGAAGATGGACCGACCGCTTTCAGCAGGTCATTGCCAAGAGCAGTATGTTCATCGGCTCTACTTACCTTCACTACATTGACATGATCGTAGTGTGATAATTGTCGAGTCCGGAAGGTACGATGCGACAAGATTCCACCCTGCTCTAATTGCAAGGTTGCTGGAGTTGCATGCAAGATCACTAGTAGAAGCAATGATATTACCAAACCACGAGCTAGAGTGCTCATCTCTAATCAATAGTAAGCGATCAATTCAGACTAGCGTTAACGACACAAACTCTTCCTAAGGCTTTCTCTAACTAGATATAGTGAGCAGAAGATTGACCGTATGGAACAGCGCCTTGAGAGCATAGAAAACTTGTTGCAGGTTTTAGCTTCAGGAACAAAGACTCCTACCGNNGAGGCATACAATCCGGATCAGGGCCATCGCCAGGAACAATTACACCCANTGCCAAGTACTTCTGTATCACTCCGTAACCTTCAAGTTGAGCAATTTGAAGGAGAGTCTTCTCTGTTAGCACATTCGAGGCAAGCCCACCAAGCCTTGCAACATCTACTGGAAACAGCACCGATGACTATTCGCAACGATCCCAACACAGTCAATGCTCTCGCATCTCTATGCAACTTGCTAGAAAAGCACCGTTCTGAACCTCCTAGCATCAGTCTGCTATCTCAAGCTGGAGCGCCGAACGAGCTTCAGCACTCGGAACTGCCTCCACGCGAGGAGGTATTGAGACTCTTGCCTATGTCGAAGGTACGGATGATAAGTTACTGAGGGTCCTGTTTGATACTGAAGACTACGATAGCGGATGACGTGTATGACCATTTTACGTGGTGGCTCTTCTATGGGTTCCAGGACTTTCGCAGGATGTACGATAAATTCTGTTATTCCCCCTCGACCTGTCCACTTGCGATTTGTGTCTCGGTTTATTGCACATTGTGCTGGCTCTTACAGGGCAACCCGATAATGCAAAGAGCTGGGGTGGACATGTCAAACTATGCTGATTATGTTCCGATTTGTCAGAAGCATTTAGCCATCTGCATATCTTCTCACAACCTCTTTGTGGAACCGACTCATGACAACATAGCGGCTCTCACGTCTGCCGTGAGTACATTTATGTTACCATTGGCTGGATTGTAATAAAAATTAACATGATTCAGGNCTGCATTTGCCATTGGCATCGCCGACATAAACACAGCTTGGACATTGATAAGCACTGCAGCGCGGTTATGCCAAATCTTAGGTTACCACCGCCTGGTTCTTGACAGAAGTGGTGACACAGAAGTGTATATGAAACGAGCTAATTTGTTCTGGTCGGTTTACTATATCGACAAGTCCTTATCACTTCGACTTGGTCGAGCATCTGCGCTCCAAGACTTTGATGTTTCAACCTCTTCAAAAGACTGTTTTGAGATGTGGAAGCGCAGAAAACCTTACAGTCACAAGAATACCAAGGTGACGGAGTGGTTGGTTCTCTCACTCGAGATGGCAAAGATTGAGGTTTGTGATAGTCCATCTTCTGAAGTTACCAATCGCTCATGTCTACAGGGTGCAATCTACGAAAAACTCTACGCCCCAGGGAGTATCAGGGTTCTGTCTGAACGACAAAGACAGGGTCAAGAGTTAATCATGCAAATTCATGAAGTGTTGTCGATGAACGAAAAGGTCAGTGTTTTCCTAGTTCGGTGGTGGTTACATGACTAAACCAACTTGTTGCCAGNNTGCTTTGCGGCGCCAGAATTCCTCCAGGAACATAGCTGTTTCTATAAATTGACGAACGATCTTATTCTATACAGCTTGTTCACCCTCGTCTATCGAGCTATGCCAGAAGCTGCAAATGCTCACCAGCTCTCTTTGCAAGCTGCACGATCGACCATGCAAGTCCAATACAGATGCAACAAAGAGGCAGAAGCCCTGGGTCCGGATTGTAAGCTCGAATTGACGACTTGGTGAGTTGCATCAATATTATATTCACAGGTGGCCCCACTAACTTGTCTAGGTNCCATTATGTTGTGTCCATTCACGTCCTTCATTGTGCTCTTCCGAAATGTCATCACCGATCTAAACATTGACGACCTAAAACTCCTGGAAGATTTCGTGGCGTCAATTGAATGGCTCAACGACAAAACCCACCCCGAACCACTTCAGCGTTTTCAGCAACTCTGCTATGCCTTCTACACTCTTGCTAAACACTTTGTGGCCGCTCGATTGCGTGCAGACAATGTACACCAAACTACCGCCAGTGCAAATCAGATGCATCTGATGAACATCTTGCACCAGACAACTAGCTTCGATCAACCGATGAATGCTTTGGCGTTCCCTGAAGACTTCCAGACTTGGATGGATACCAATATGGACTTTATGAACGACAATTGGTTGGCTTTTGGAACGCTCTGATTTCACTATTATCAAAAGCACAAATCTCGACCGAATCCGGCGTCTTGTGTCATATGGTTGATGGTTTTGGAACAGGAAAAATCATCTCAGCGATCTTCAACTGGTCGAACACATTGTCATTGCAACCAAGGTTTAATGGCACTTCTATCTGCTATACCCGAACATAACTAGAGGCATAACAATCAAGCCTGTCCCGAGGGCACTTGATAAGGTCCATATCCGGGTTTTGGGAACTTGGGCGAGCCATCAGCGTTCCACGTGAATTGCTGTGTTCTAATTGTTCTCGCACTCCATCCGTTCGTAGGATCTCTCATGCCATGATACACGATCCAGTCCTGAGTACCATCAGGACTCTTAGTGAAACTAGCGTGTCCCACTCCGTATGCTTCTTCTTTGGGGTTTTGGTAGAAGACACAGCCTTCATTGTTCTTGCGCCAATCTGAAGGGTTCATCGGATCATCACCGACGAGCTCCAATTGACCCAGACAGTAGTTACGGTTATCGGAACGAGCAGCGCTGTAGATAACAAACTGCTGACCCGTAGTGGGATTAGTGAGCTGTTGTGGTCCTTCGTTTGATGAGAGACGGTAGTTCCAAGGTCGTCCATAAGGTGTCTTCTCCCAAGGATTGTCGGGGACGCTGATAATCTGGCGTTCTGTAAAGTTACTCTCTACAGTCCAAGGGTCGGACATCTTGGTGATGCAGAGATTCGATGGCCAGGCATCGTATTGACGGTACCAACAACTGTAGATGTGATAAAGCCCAGAGTCATGTTGGAAGTAGGTACCATCAATAGCGAATTGATCATAAGTGTTGAGCTGAGACTTCAGAGTATAGGTCGAGTCCCACGGATCAGAAGATGAGCCTTCAAGGACATACATGCGATGGTGAACCGCTGGACAATTGTAGTCACACCACATATCCACCTCNTGAGTATGGTTAGCATGTTTTTCGTGCGAGTAATGGTTACCGGTACCTGGCGAAGGAGTATCATAATTCGGGTCGGCTGTAAAAATTATATACCAGGAGTTGTCGATCTGATGTAACTCAGGTGCCCATAGATCAGTCGAATAGTTCATACCCGGAGGTGGGTCGAAAGCCAGCTTGACATCCGCGTTGTTCCAGTCCGTCAGGACGGAGCTGCGAAGTATTGTGACATTCGTATTGGTAGTATCTTAACGTGAATGTATAGTTAGCATGTTTCTTGTGTATGAATGGTACAAATAGCAGTCGAAAGCTGATGGGTATCGGGCCATCTGTTGTGGATTCACTCATGCTTTTGTACCCTTGCCTTACGTACACGTCATATAGTAATAGTCTCCATGACGAATTACCCATGGGTCTGCGCCCACTTTATCGAGAATCGGATTTGTGTAGGTAGATGCATTGGTAGCAGAAGTGCCACTGGTGGTGTTCGAGTACTGGGCAGAGACAAAAGAGGTCAAAAGCCCCAACGAGGGAAGTGCAGAAAGGAAGAACATGTCGCTCCTCGGAGGTTGAAAAGAGAAGCGATCAAGACGGGCATGGTGAAGACTTTATTTATACCTACCTTCTGCAGATCGACAAGAAGATGAGCAGCCAAGGAAGGAGCGATGGCAGGGTTGCATGCAACTTGAACCATCGTCCCCGCCTTTTCTTCGCTCTCCCCGCAAACCGAAAGAGGCAGCCATGCGATTTCGGCTTGTTGTCGACCGGATTTAGCCGCTGACTTTTGACGATTGCGCCTCTGAACCTGTCTTCGCGACAACAAGATCAAAATGAACAACGACCAGTTCAGAAAGCTGCTTAGTACACCGGCGCGACAAGATGGCGCCAGCAGCAGCCCACGGCCGAGCGCCGTACCCTCATCACTTGGATCGAAACGCTCATCTTTCATGCCCATGACGCCACGTTCGGTTCGAGGTGTTACTGGAAACGATTTCGCCCGCCAGGTCGCTGAACGCAATGCCGCAAATCAGACTTCGAAGAAGTTCAAGGGCTCTGCTGCGCCCAAGGGATCTCGACTAGGCTCAGGTTTCACCGACCGTACGCAGAACCGATACGATGACGAGACCGACGAGCGAGCCGCACGTATCAAGGCTCTGGAGGAGCAAGTGAAACTTGGACAGTTGGACAATGCAACTTTCGAAGCTCTACGCGATCAGATTACAGGTGGTGACGTCGGTGCTACACATCTGGTTAAAGGTCTGGATCGCAAATTGCTGGAGCGTGTCAGAAAAGGTGAAGATGTCCTTGGAGGACAGAAACCCGCAGATGAGGAAGACTTGGAAGATGAGTTTGAGAAATTTGAAGAGAAGGAGGTTGCTCGTGTCGAGCGAGAGAAGGTCGTCAAGAAGGGAGAGATGGCTCCTCCTCCTCCTGTCGCTGGCGCAAAGAGATCTAGGGATCAAATTCTGGCTGAGCTGAAAGCACAACGGAAGGCACAGGCTGATGCAAGACTGGCCACAAGACCAGAGCTGGGTGACAGATTCCGTGATGTTGGTTCTTCGCGCGCCAGTTCGCGTATCGAGGTTGATGCTAAAGGGCGCGAAGTCCTGATCACAACTGACGAGCATGGAAACGTGAAGAAGAAGGTCAGAAAGGCCCAAGTACCAAGCGAAGAGCCAGTTCAACAAGCACAACCACAGAAGTTCTTAGACGAAGGTGTCACAGTGCCGGCGCCCAAACCTGTCGAGAAACCTGTAGAGGCACCCAAGGATGATTCAGACGACGACATCTTTGATGATGTTGGTGATGCCTATGACCCGCTGGGAGGACTGGATGACGATGACGACTCTTCTGACNGACGAAGATGGGGAAGTATTGGAGAAGACACTCAAGCCAGCCCCATCACAATCGAAATCACCATCATCGGAAGCGGAAGCAGCATCAAATCTGGAGTCAAAGAGGCCACAACCTCGATGCCACCGCCTCCGCCACCAGCACAACCCTCAGCACCACGCAACTACTTCAAATCCACCACAACCACAACCAGCGAAACAGCAGAATCACAGCCACCACAGAACCCCTTCAACGATGCTAACTTTCTCGCTGCTATCAAGAAAGCTGGCGCACTTTCAAACATTTCTCTGTCTCTCAATGCTTCTTCAGACGATCCGTCAGCGCCCGAATCAGCCGAAGCCAAAGAATTACGTCTACAAAAACGAGCACAGATGCTTGCAGCCAGTGATCGTGATCTCGAAGACATGGATCTCGGGTTTGGATCTTCAAGATTTGGAGACGAGGAAGAAGGCGATGATGGACAAAGGATCAAGTTGTCGACTTGGAAGGGCACCGGCGAGGATGATGACGACGATGGTTATGAGGGAGGTAGCNAAAGAGAAAAGAAGAAAGGCAGAAAAGAAAGGGGAGACAAGAATAGTGCTCAAGACGTGCTGGATGTGATGGAGAGGAGGAAAGAAGCTGGAAAGTAGAGACGAGATAGTGGTCTTGCCAGATTAGTTCTCAAGTCGCACTCAATCAAGATCTGCGCCTGCCTGCTTCGTACTTGCCGTCTCATAGCTGAGTCACCTGCTCCTGCTAGCTGCGCCTTCTCTACTCAAGATCAAGCTTTGGCAGCTTTATATTTCTGTCCAGAATATTTTTCATCCACAAAAGCGGCGGTGGTCTAGTGGTCAAGACGCTGCATCAATGTGTCTTGCAAACACAAGCTCGTGTTTGTGTGCAAATGACTGAATCATCATCATTCTGCAATCACAGGACGATGCAGAGGCCGTGAGTTCGAATCTCACTCGCCGCAATCCTCTCTTTTGCTCTGTGACATCGATCAACCTGGATGAATACATGTTCATGCTTGGCTGTCTATCACTAAAGGCTCGAACAGAAGACGATTGGGAAAACACCTGTTTGTTCAGTCGTATATCGTAGCTCCCCTAACCAAAATCCACCTCTGGCAAACCCCTCGCAACAATGGCATCTTGAACGCCTTTCTTAACATCCATGCACGCTTGCCCCCAACCCTCTTTGACATCATCCCCGATCTCCTTCTCAAGGACTTCTTGCTCGACAATCAAACTCAGCCACTTAGCCACCTTGACAGCTTTATCCACATCCCTCTCTTGCTTGACCACAGCCACCAAATACGTAACCAAAGAAGCTGTATCCTCAGAATAAGGCACCTCGTCCCAAAACTCCTTGACCCACTCTCTGACTGCCTTCCTCAGATCGGGAAGCTCTGTCAACTTGTTAGATGTGAAGCTCGGTTTCTCTGGCCGAGGAGGCAGCTGGAAGAATCTTTCTATCGTGTTGGCAGGAGTCTCTTGTCTTTTGCCTCCTGCTCGTGATCTTGCTGCTTCGATGCCGCCGGAACGTCTCAGTTGTGCTGATCTTCGTTCATCCAAGACTTCTTTCCTGATTTCAGGGGGTAGAGCTGCGAGAAAGTCTTCGTCGATCTCTTCTGCTGCGCTAATGTCATCTGTGTCGGTGTCTCTTGCGACGAAGTTCGCTTGCGTGAGTGTGGAGTTGCCGTTACTGGCTCTAGCTCTGGCGAACAAGCCTCCACCGCGAGGTTTTCTTCCACCGAGCTTCTTGACTGGAGCAATGATGCGATTCTTTCGCGGTGACTGGGGAAGGATCGTCTGATCTTGTCCCTTGCGTGGTGATGTAGTTGTGGTTTGGTACATTGCCATGACATCTCGACGGATATCTTCAGGGAGCGAATTTAAGATCTCTGGATCGAGTTGCGATTGATTGGGCAAAATAGTCGCTGCCGAAGCTGCTCGGGGCGGTTTCTTTGCTGGTATTGGGCTGTTACGACCATCATCCTGGTTGTTCGGGATCTGCTTTGGGCGTGAATGTCTGATGAGTCTGGCTCGAATCTCTTCTGGCAGTTCAGCAAGTACACTGGGATCGACTTGAGTTGGGAGTGCAAATTGCGTGCCATAGATGTTCAGGGGTCGTTTACTAGGAGATTGATCGGCGACGATGTTATTCAANAAGCTCGAGCTGCCAACGTCGCGAACTTTGTTCCTCTTTGGCGTTTTTATGTCATCTGTGATAGGATCTTCAGCTGGCTCGGTCTCGGAAGCAGTATTCAGCTTCAGTCTTGTGGTTTGAGCTGCTTTGAATTGTAGACGTGGTTGACTGCTGTCAGCGCGACCATCTGCGCCAGCCTTTAGTGGTTCCAGCTTGGTCATCTGAATGCCTATTCCACGAAGTTCTCCAGGACTGAAACCGAAACTGCGCATCACGGTCAAGACCTCTTTGATCATGATGGCACTGTCGTTGGTTGCGATGCCCAGTTGAATACTCTTGTTGTAGGTGTCGCACTTGCCGTGTCCGAGATGCTTTGGAGGATCGAGAGGAGCGTCAGGAGACCGTCGCATGACTTTGACGGTCAATTGTCTGCCCTTGACATTCTCCTTGATCAGTCGCTTCTGCAGCTCGCCGCAGAGACTGACCATGAACTCATCGACCTGCTCTTGATTCTCGAAGCGTACGCCCCAGTTGACATCAGCTGACACTGATTTGCGGACGACTTGTTCGCCAACTTCAGCTCTGTCAATACCTCGGCTGTACTCCCATATCTTTTCGCCTGTCTTTGGACCAAGCGTATTTACTAGCTTCTCCTTCGAGAGCTCACGAATGTCTTTGACGTATTTGACGCTAATCTCCTCTAGCTTGCCGCCAATGCTATAGGCGACGCCTGGTAAGCTTTGCACTTCGAGAGCACCGATGAAATCGAGGACTTCTTCAGGTTTGAGCTGAAATTGTCCTGCCGGCTTTGCCTTGCGCAAGGCGATTTTGGCAAGCAATATGTTACTCCCAATGCCGACTGATACATTGCACCCAGTCCGCTTCAAAACTTCTTCACGAAGTTCCAGACCAATGCGGTCAGCCTCAGACTGCTCACGATAGTTGCTACCCTCAGATCGACGGACGCCATCAGTGCCGCCAACGGCTATACATTGCGTGCTGATATCGATGAGCGCTTCGTCTACACTTACGCTTTGAACTAGGCCTCCCGTCTCCAAAATGGCGGAGTAGAATTGCCTGCTTGATTCCTCATAGGCTGGAAAGTCGTATGGAAGAACTTTGAGATCAGGACACAGCTCTTGAGCTCTTTTCATCCACCTGAGAAATTGTCAGCGCTAACGTTGAGTAACCGATGAGTATGTAACTTACATTCCGTTCTTGACTCCAAAGTCTCTCGCAGGATAGTTGCAAGATGCAATCTCAGACCCGTTTCCACCAGCAGAACCGGTGCCGTGAGCTACTACACAGGGCTTGTCTTTGAGGTGCGGATGCTTTTTCAATGAAACAGCGGCGAAGAAGCTGTCGAAATCTACGTGCATGATATAACGACGAGCACCAACAGGACGTTTCTGACGAGTCTTTTGAGAAGCAGATTTTTCGTTTGTGAGCGCCTGAAGTTGCGATTTCAGGTCTGCCTTCCAGGTTGACAGATGATGCAACCGTGATTCACGGTAATACTGTTCGAGAAATTCTGGATTGACGACAGTCGATTTACGAAGACGCGGGTCAGCAAGGAGAATGGCGTTGTGCTCCTCCGCAGTCAACTCGGTGGCTTTCGGCTGAGGCTCTGCTTCCCGAGTATTTGTCTGTTCTTTGCAACTTGGAGCAGAAGCGTCCTGACCATAGGGCGACGTGGAGTGAGGTGGCACCGAGTCTGGCTCGACATTTTCTTCAGCAGAGCTGGTACGCGGGGGAGTCTGCGGTGCTTGGTCAAGCGGCTCTCGTGCTTTTAAAGCAGATTCTAACTGGTCTGACGTATCATCCTTGTCTTTATCCAGTGCCTCAAGATCTGAATCATGAATACCATCATATTCGGGTGTTAATGTCGGAGGCTTAGTGGGTGCCCCTGGATCTTTGAGGAATGAAGGCCTAGGTGAAGACGTCTGGCTAGCACCAGCTGTTTGCAAACCTTTAAGCTGGCTAGTATACCAGCTGTTGTCGGATTGATCCCTGTAGCCTCTTGTGTGTCTGTTAACTTGACTTGAGATTTGACCATTGTTAAAGGCCAGCACTTTCTGACCGACGCCTTCGTCCACGACACGATAGTTATCCCATGGCAGGCACTTTGCAGCTGCAATGCTATCAACGATCCAAGCAGGCTTGACAATTCTATATCGTTTGAACTCGACAGCTTTCTTGGGCGTGAGACTGCTCGCAACGATGTGTGTCACAAAAGTTTTGCCATCCAGGTATTGCGCAAAGCCACCACCATGGGCGACGATCATAGTATGAAGGTCATTCAGTGAGGGTTGAGTGTAGCCATTGACGTAGACAACGATGCCTTTGAAAATAGGTGGATTGTCAGATCGAGCGCGAATCTCAGAGTCCAAATTCTGCAACTTGATCCTCTTCCGGCGCATGTATTCTCTGTGGCCGCCGAACTTTGAGGCTTCGTATTCATCGCCGGCTTCATCTTCAAAGTTATGGTTCTCGATGCGCTTGCGCGTTTGCGCAGATCGTGTGTCGAGGCGGGAATTCATGCCGCATGTTCATTGATGTTATAATCGTCGCATTCTGTACGTCGTAGGTCAAGATTTGATATGATACAGTGTCTTGTCGAAAATGGCATTGTTCATGGACAAAGGATAAAGTGGAACGCGAGACGCGCCGCCACCCGCTCTGGAGAAGTGGACGTCAGGCGTATGCCAAGCAATGGGCCCTGTCCGACTATCTAGATGCAGAATTGTTCTCACTACGAGACCGAAAGTCAAGAATCGGTATACAGATTTAGTGGAAAAGTGGATGGGCTACAGAGTTTCATTGTGTCGGGAATTGGTGGGAAAGTTCGAGTTGTGGCAAGTGATGGAAACCAACGAACGAAGCCATGAGCTTCCTGGGCCTTCGATGCGAAGAAGTCTGCGTTGCCAGGCAATCCAGGTTCGTTGCTGGTGGTCAATGCACAAAATTTTCAAAGCTGTCTCTCATCAACGCTGCTCTTTCTGTCTTCACTCTCTCATCTCTCTTTTTTCTACAATCAATTCATATCAAATCTATCACAATGGGTGTTCTTCCTATGGCTGTTTTCGGACTCGAGGTCCCTGCCGGCGGCATGCCTGTCGCTGCTAGCGGTGAAATCCCCGCTGCTGTAAGTTTTGCCAGTATACCATTATCTATCAAGACAGCAATGCTTACTCGAGTATCAGNNTTCCGCCTGACCATGGCTGCCATCGACCCCAGCGCTGAGCCCGAGTTCGACGAGGACACTAAGGGCAAGAAGCCCCGTGCTACCCTCAAGATCATCCGCGCTCCTCTCCAGATGGAGGACGACGAGGACGACTCCGACTTCGACCCCGAGGAGATGGACATGATGCTCGCCTCTGACGATGACGAGGAGGACGAGTCTGACGACGAGGCCGGCCCCAGCGACCCCGCCAAATCCAAGAAGGCTCGCAAGGCTGCTGCCGCTAAGCAGCTCAAGGAGGAGCTCGAGAGCATGGATGTTGACTCGCCCAAGGTCAAGGGCAAGGGCAAGGTCCAGGCTGATGACGAGGAGGAGTCCGACGAGGATGAGGACGATGAGGATGACGAGGAGTTCGAGCCCGAGGAGTTCGTTCTCTGCACTCTCGACCCTGAGAACGTAAGCTCCCACTCTTTGTCACTCCGTGTATTGCGAATATGACTAACAGGATTCAAACAGCACTACCAGCAGACTCTTGACATCACTGTCGGTGATGACGAGCGCGTTTGGTTCATGGTTACTGGTACCCACGACGTCTACCTTACTGGTAACTACGTCGAGCCCGACCACACCCACGGCCCTGAGGAGGNNAGTACGACTCCGAGGACGAGGATGAGGACGAGTACGACCTCTCCCCCTGACGAGGATGAGCTTTACGGCGACGAGGACTCTGAGGATGAGCTCGACGACATGGAGGACCCCCGTATCACCGAAATTGAGGATGATGAGGCTCCCGCTCTTGTCCCTGCCAAGGCTGAGAAGAAGGCCGACAAGAAGGGCAAGAAGCGTGCCGCTGAGGACGAGGCCGAGACCCTCGACGACCTGATCTCTAAGGCCAAGCCCGCTGAGAAGAAGAACGCAAAGAAGGTCAAGACCAACGAGGGCAAGGCCGTTCCCGCCGACGAGGCCGCCAAGAAGCTCGAGACTCCCGCTGCGGCAAAGTCAGACAAANAGGTACAATTCTCTAAGAACCTCGAGCTGGGTCCCACCGGCTCGAGCTCCCCTGCTGTCGCAAAGGGTGCTGAGAAGTCCAAGGCTGCCNCCGCTGTCAAGACCGTCAACGGTGTCACCATTGACGACAAGAAGACCGGTTCCGGCCCTGCCGCAAAGAAGGGTGACCGCATCGGTATGCGCTACATCGGCAAGCTCCAGAACGGTAAGGTCTTCGACTCCAACAAGAAGGGCAAGCCTTTCAGCTTCAAGCTCGGCACCGGTGAGGTCATCAAGGGCTGGGACATTGGTATTGCCGGCATCCAGGTCGGTGGTGAGAGACGTATTACCGTCCCTGCCCACCACGCCTACGGCTCGCAGTCCCTCCCCGGCATCCCTAAGAACTCCACCTTGATCTTCGACGTCAAGTGTGTCGAGATCAAGTAAACTCGGAATTGCCGCGACGACACAACAAACAAAATACCCGGGCCCGATGCGGTCCAACCTTTAGAAGATACCCAACTTGCATCTCCTCGATATACGAGGTGACGATTACGAACAAGACCTATTAGGGGCGAAAGAGCGCGCGATGATATGTACAACGTGTGGGCAGGAATGAAGGGTCATCTTCAATTTGGAAGCAACATCTCGATTCTCGCACAGAGAGGAAAGGAAGAGACGTGCTTTTGGTACAAAAAAAGTTTTCTTATGTCTATTTTTCTTAGCGAGAGCGTGTCAATTATTCACGAACTTTACTATTGAACAAAACATATTTATTACCCCGTCTTCATCGTCTAATTCTCAATTGCCTTCTTATGATTCTTGTCATGCGTGATGCTGCAGTCCCATTCTGCAGTGAGCATCAACCGTGAGGGAGCTGCCAGCTTGAGTGATAAACATTTTTACTCATTGATATGGTCTATCACAACCACAACAGCTACAAACAATCTCATGCCACGCACATGTATCATGGATAGCCATCGCAATAGCAGGAAGAGAGCTACATAATCGTTTCACCTTGGTATGGACGTTCCATCGTCGAAAAACTACCCTACACACGATGCTGAAGGTACCACCCTGCCATGAGCATGTCGGCACATAAAAGTCCGAGGCTTGGCCACCTTGGTTTACAAAGCAAATGTTGTGATTGGCCGAGGCAGTGGATGCGATCATAGCTTTTCGAGATTCCGCTTTGCCCGTGCTCATTCTGACAAAGACACAATCATCACTCTTGGACTCACAACATTTCACAATTACCTACGACTCACCCACCCAAACTCTCACTTTACACACTCTCTGGCCGCCTCAGCACCTCGTATACACATCGCAGCAGCCATGTCTTTGCCTCGCGCTACATCGTCGGTTCCCACAAGCATGTTCCGATTCGCCGCTGGTGGTGCCCCTCGTGCTCAATGCCAACAATGTCTGCGTCCTGCCTTCCACACATCACAGCCCGCTCTTCGCTTCTCCTCGCGACGAAACCTGCAGACCGCTACTGCCTACCGCCCTTACTCACTGGACCCCATGCCATCGCCACGAAACGCTGGTGTACCCGAGACTTCTATCGCTGGTCTTCCTCCGCTTCCATCTACCTCGTCGCGCCAGTCAAAGCCATCTCCTGCAGCCGACCAACCTGTTAGCGTTCCCGAACAAGAAGCTCAAAAGTCTTCAGCTGCAAACACGTCATCCTCGGCAACCACATCTTCAACTACTAAGCCTCAAAGAAAGAGCAAACTGCGCCCCCGCAAGGCTGCTATCACACTATCGCCTGCCGCTGTAACGCATCTGCGCGAGCTACTCGAGCAGCCAGAGGCGAAACTGGTCCGGGTCGGTGTGCGTAACAGAGGTTGCTCGGGCTTGGCATATCATCTTGAATACGTGGATAAGGCTGGATCCTTCGACGAGACGGTTGAGCAAGATGGTGTCAAAGTTCTGATCGACTCCAAGGCTTTGTTCAGCATTATTGGCTCAGAAATGGACTGGCTCGAGGACAAGCTGAACGAGCGCTTTATTTTCAAGAACCCCAATATCAGTAAGTTGATTTGCATGTTTCTTGGCCGACTGTCAGAATGCTAACATAACTTTCAGCTGNAGCAATGTGGTTGTGGAGAGTCTTTCAGCATCTCCTAAGCGTCATCTTAGCCTCCCTTTTCCCTCGAATCCTCACTCTTGGACGACCATGAATATCTTGCATTACTGGAGTTTTAGCGTCTCTGCTTCTTGAACTGTACATATTTTGGGCTTCACAGGAGAGGTCATCTGGTTATTCAACGACATACCCCTTCTTCCATCTTGAACGCTATTTGCTCCTACTAGACGATTACAGATCAATAGAATTCCGATTTTAATGCGTGCTATCTCGCCTTCACTCGTGGCATATCAGCGTGTGCAGTGACGTCGCAATCTGGGCTTGGATAAGAAAAGTAGAACTCACGGAGAAGGAGCCTGGAGGTTCGGAAAGGCGCTTTCCTATTAGAGTGAGCAATTTCGCAAGCTTCTCGCCAAGTTATAGTAACGACGGAAGGCGTGAGGTATCTCATGTACCAAACCAACCTTGTCGAACCATTTTCTCGACATCAACATTTTCTGCTGAACTGAACTAGGACGCAACCACTGATGGGCAATGGAGCCTGCTGATCTCGGACCGATAACCACAACTGCATTCCACGACAATTCAGTTTTGCAATCAAGCGACGCCTTCAGAGGGACTTCATATCATAAGCTGTCAACATTCAACTATCTTTACGCCATGATATCGGCAGAGTACGATAACTGCAACTTCTTCGTTCGTTATGCTTTCAGCCGCGTTCATGAAGCAGAACTTCCAGTCTTGGTTCTTTGTGCTATTGCGCACCGCATCCGGTCGAACTCGCTCTGATACAAGAGGAAGCTTTCCTTGCATTGTTCTTACGACCGGACTCAACACTATTGTGTCTTCACTATAGCACCTCGAAACGACGACAGTATGGGCGATACAGACATTGAGATGGGCGACGTCGAACCCGAGAATCCGTGGCTGCCATATGGCATTCCATATCCACCTCNNCCCCTGCCGGAGAAGGTCCAATTTGAGGGCGAGAGCGATGAAGAAGATCCGAATTGGGCAAGAGATGCGTATTTCTTTGGTGCGAGAGATGACCTCTGGGGAGAATCTTTCGAAGTGCGGGTTTTCAACCTCCGTGATCCACTAGGCAGGAGCAAGTTTGACAAAGACGACTGGAATGTACAATACATGCTGGGCCCTGCAAACCCTTTGGTAGACTGGGACCCGGTATGCAAAAAGTGGGGCCTTCAAGTTCTGGAGAAAGCTGGATTTATGAATCTCGAGGCGGATGTTCGAAACAACGCGTCTGCGGACCCGAAAGGTCGATTCTTCGACAAGAGGCCTTCGCATTGGCAAGACGATCTCATCCATCCAGTTTTGAGAAAGGATATGTGGCGAAATATTACGGACTCTGAATGGGACGCTCTCAGACCAGCTTCTCTCTTAGCAAGTGCGTTCCTCGACGAGCCTGCTACACTGTGTCTCTTCTATGCGCTCTCGAGTTCTTTCCATATCAATTTTTGGGATCCGAACTTCAAGTTGTGCAAGAGGCTCGAAGTCCCAATCGCCCTAACGGAGGCTGAGCAGCTGTCAACTTTTCAGAAGATCTGTGCTATGCGACAATGGACCAGTTTTCAGTTGGAAGACAATGCTAAAATGGCGATGGGTGCTGGTCCTGCTCTCGGAAGGACATATGGGCTCAATTCCAAAGCCTCAAGCCCGTAAGTTTCAGCCTTGCGAAGTCCGTGTTTCGTGGTAACCACTGACACATACTTAGTTATACTCGTCAGAGTAAAATCACTATAGTTCGCTCGTACTGCGATGCTTTGATGCAATATCGAAATAAGGACAAGAATCGCGATTATCTAAAGTTCTTCAGAAGCGTACTTTGGGAGGCTCGTGTACCAAATAGTCGCAGGCCTGAAGGACTCTCGAACAATCTCGAATCAGCCTTCTTGCGCACTACTTTCATGCTTGCAAGTACTCTGCTACACGAATTTGCCCACGCCTTTAGTTACGCATATTTCGAGATACGGAGTCTTGGTTTGCCTACTGACCCTTGGGTTGGGGACAGTCGAGACAACGAATTCGGCCACGCCATGGAACGCCATGTCCTTGGAGGAATGCCTTATTTCAACAATTACACCGATCCGAAAGAACCGGGCGCGCAGGCGTTGCGACGGGTTACTTATGCGCCTTTCGGCATTCATTTCACCGAGAGGTATCGCCAATGGGCCATGCCTGGTGATGCGAATAAGAAGCATTTGGCCAAAGACTCTGAGAAGGATTTCAAGTCGCCTCGCGTTTTCTATGCATTGGCGCAACAACAAATCTACAACTACTTCTCTACGAAGACGTGGGCGGAGGACGTACCCAGATATGGTCTGGACGCAGTCAAATTCACCAAAATAAAACAGTGGGCGGCATCGCAAATGCCTGGGCCTGATCCCAGTAATCCCTTCTATCAATTCACTTTGAGATAGGCGGATACTTATCGGCATAACGATACATCTGCATCTCATACACATCTAGTCGAGGCCTCATAGAAGTAAGAAGTAGGAACGGGAGTGTATTTAGTCGAGAGAACGTCGTTAAATGGTAGTTAAATCCCAAGACCTCAGCACAGCATCTATGAAGCAGATTGATCGAGTTTCTAGAGCAAGTATAGTGTATGCTGAATCACGCGGCTCTATATTATCAAAAGACTACGACATCTTCGCACGCAACCCTCTTTCCAACAGGCTACCCCTTCATCTTTATACCTAGGAGATGCCATCTCACTTGCTCACCCAAATATGGTGACGAGCGCCTTGTCACACCACTCCCATCCAGCCCAGAGCAAGTCGCAACCCCATTCATCCACATGTTTCCTTTGTGCTGTTGCCCATCCGCATCCGGTGAAACCCGCTCTTTCTTATACAAGAGCAAAGCTTTTCTTGCATTGTTCTCCAAATCCGAGCCCACTGGTGTTTGGGTTTCCCATCGACTACGACAGCATGGGCGATACAAATATCGTAATGGGCGATGTTGACACCACGAAACCATCACTTCCTTACGGCACTCCATATCCCCCCGGAATTGGCAGCTACCCACAAAACGAGCGATGGAAGGTTCGAACCCACCGACTGGGCAAGACACACGAGACATTATGGCGCACGAGACCACCCCAATGGAAACGGGTTCGAGGTCCGGCCGCTCAACACAGGGACCTCAAACAATCTGAACGTTCAGTATAGACTAGGACCTCCAAGCAGCTCTGTCAAATGGAACAGTGTGATTGAGAAATGGGGCTTACAGGTTCTGGATAAGGCTGGATTTATCAACCTCGATTCGAGTTTGAATGCAAAGTTAGCTAATTCGTACATGCATCCTACTGGTCGATTTGCTTCGACAAGAAATCCTTCTGGTAAGAAACTCGACCGCGTCNCCTCAATATTCGGAAAGGACATGTGGACGAACCTAAGCCAGCGAGACTATGATACGATCATGCCGGCTCTTCTCCTAGCAAGTGCTTTTCTCGATGACCCAACGACGCTATGTCTCTTTCATGCCATCTCAACACCCGCAGATCAGATGATCACATTTCAGGATCCAAACTTGAAGACTTGCAGANGGTTGCAGGTCCCCGAAACTCTCACAGAGCCTGAACAGTGGGCAGTGTTTTCCAAACTCTGTGATTTGTGTAAGTGGACCGAATTCTATTGGGAACAACCTCACATGTTGAGGCAAAGAGGCGCTCTGGGGTTCTGTCAGCCACTCACAGACNAAAAGGGTAGGAATATTCCTGCTTCAGGCCCGTAAGTGACTCTTTTCAAAAGTCTAGCTGAGAATCAGAACTGACCGTTGCTTAGACATGCCAGACGTAGCAAGATCGGTCTAAGCATACATTATCTCGAGGTCCTGCGAGGCTGTACATCCGACAAAGATACAGCATACAACCTCTCCCACAAGAAAGCCCGAAAATACTTTGACGAGACACTGAGATCGACTGGTGTACCTGTCAGCCACAGACCTTCTACAACATGTATCGATTCAGCTGGACTGCGTACTGCTTTCCTCTTCGCCACTCTTTTGATACATGAATTAGCTCATGCCTATTGCTTTGCATACTTCAAACGAGCAAACGAGAAAGAACCAAGAGAACCATGGGTAGCAGACAACCGAAGCAACGAGTTAGGCCACGCCATGGCAAACTTCGTTCTAGGAGGTAGTCCATATGCTTCCTCATTTTCCACTGTTCCCTCATCCACCGTACAAAAAGATTTTCTGAAGGACAGTGTTTATGTGCAATTCGGACTCTACTTCGCAAAGAAGTGGAAACAGTGGGACTCANGCTGGCGACGCCATAAAGGAGCAGTTTTGAGACAAGGCTTGGGGGAAGATCGAAGCGTGCCACTTACTTTTTGGCCTGTGTCTCAGAGACAGGTGTATGATTACTTCACTGAAGAGCTTTGGGAGGAGAGGGTGCCTAGATATGGTTTGGAGGCGCTTAAGATGGTCAAGGTACCCGGGTGGAAGAGCTGCAAGTATCCTGGGCCCGACCCTAATAACCCTTGGAACGGTTCGATCTTGAGATAAGTTTGTGAGACGTACAGTGGTAACAATAGTCGTCTGTGATGGCTAAGATGATCAGACCCAGGGTGACACTAGCCACGGTGGTTGACAACACAAGCTCCTCTTTTCTGAAGTGCCCAATCGGTGGGCCGCTTTTGTCACGAAGATGTACATAAACAATCGAAGCGATGTCCACACCTCACAAGCTATTCCTCCATTGATCCTTGACCCAATCAACATGCTCCCTTTTGTGTTAAGAAGCACCTCATCACAACAACCCCATCCAGCCCAACGCAGCCGCAAATCCATTCATCGCAGCGAGTCCGACCGCGAGACCCATGCCATCAACACCTCTTCCTGGCGCAGCATTCAACACAAGCACAAGCCCACACTGCGCAGCCGCCGTAGTAGGCAAATTATCTCCCTTCGCATACAGCGTACTACAAATCGTCGGCGGCGGACCAGTAACATATTGCGTCGCAGTGGTAGTCGTGGTAACCGTATACGCAGGCCCTACCAATCCCGTTGCCGTGGCGCCTCCAGAAACCGTCCACCAGGTCGTTGCAGTGGCACTGGGTACATAGACAGTGGTATACGGCACACCTGGCTCGCCATCACACACGGCGTTGTCTGCGCAACAGCCAATGTGGTTTTCCGGACCTCCGTAAGCGCAGTAAGTTCCAGATCCGCAACAATAGTTTGGGCCTGAGATGGATTGGCAGTTTATGTATGCGTANAGGGGGCAGATACCGCTGCTGTCTTGAAGGAGGACAGCGGGGGACCAGCCGTAGTTTGAGCGGAGATTGAGACTTTGATCTGATGTGGTGTTGAGGGTTTGGGCGAGAGAAGTTGTGAGCAGAAGCGCAGTGATGAAGAGTTGGCGAGCCATGGTTTGTGTGTTTGGCGGGGCGCTGATGTCTTAATGTTGGCGCAATTTTGTGCTTCTGAGTATGCGATGTTGGGATGGAAGGCGCAAACAGCTCAAGCCAGTCCAAGTTACGTTCCACCAGATCCAGTTATGATCCGTTCAAGTAGTAGGTAGCTATCTTTGGTCGTCAATTTTCGCGGCTGTTTGTGTTGATGTTTGGTTACGAAGGAAGACGCGACCGAGAAGATTATGATGCTCAGATAATGATGCCCAATAAAAATGCAGTGCAGCCCGAATGATGCGAAAACACCAAACGCAAGTGAATGGTCGTAAACAAGAAAAGAAAAGACAAGCTGCAAGAATCATGCACGTCGAGCGTAATCATAAAACCTACTAAACTTGCCAACAAAGAAAAACAAGGTCAAGAATCAGGTGGTTGGGTTAGTGAGCACTATACGGAAAGGAAGGATGCGCATCGCGCATCACTGTCACTTGGACTGCCTTCTATTTCAGTCAATGTTTACCTGTGACTTTCGCATGTTGGAAGTCGGGATATTGAGCCAGCATTTCGTGTGTCGCTACATCCCATACGATATAGAACAACGGTTCTCGTTGTGCAGACTTGTCGGGGCGGTGAGAGTGAGTCAACACAGAGGAGGTTGGGGGTCTTGACTCGCTTGGCCAAGGGTTGCAAAATCTCTGGGACAAGCGCTTGAAGCGCCCGCTTGGGTGGACTAAATCAAGACCAAGCAAAAGATCAAACAACTGGACAAGAGTATACAAGTCTGTGCATAGGAGGCCATTGGAAATTGGATGGTCAATACGATTTCTCAGATTCAAACACTCGGGGATATATCTCCAGAACAACCCAAACCATCCCTGACCGCCAAAGTCCTCCACAGACTTAAGTACTAACATTACAGACTAAAAACCAAAAGGACAAATGATACACCGCCACGGGGTCGTCGCTGATAAAAAGATGAAAAGGCAGGGTTCTATCCATATAGAACATGATTCGCGACAAAAGAGAAAGATCAATGCAAAGGAGATGCGCAGGATGCGTAGGTATCTGTAGGTGGTGACAAGAGAAAGGAGAGGTATAACAATGAATGCGACGCTCTCTATGCGTCGCGAAGGGGGTATATGGAGAAAGGAAAATGACAGAAACGAAAACAGACGGAACTTTTCTGGAAAAGTAGTCAAGAGGAGAGATCAAGCCGAAGCATGTCTCCGATTCTTCATGTGGATCTTCCACTCGGCTTTTGCGACACGCATCAGCATGTCTTCGTCTCGTACGGGTACCCAACTAGTGAGCACCTTCATCGCGTTCTCAAAGTCGCCCTCAACGATGAGAGACTTTGTGGCGTCGACCAATGCAGCACTGGTAGCGTGTAGAACACTCAGATCAGCGCCGTCGAAAGTAGATTTGCTTTCACGAGCAGGTGGTGGATTGCCAGGGAAATTAGCATCACCCAACAGCATAAACACGTCCCAGACGCGTAGTTGTGCTGGGAAAGGCATGCTGAGGTTGAAGAGTGTGAGATACCATTTGGTACCATATGTCATGGCGTCGATGCCAAAATCATCCAGTTTGGCCTTGAGGTCTTGGTCATTAGCTAGCCAGTCGGTCTCAAACTCTTTGAGCGTTGTCATAAGACCCGAGAAGCCATGCTCGTAGAGAACTTTGAGCCCACGCAGCTCCCACATGCGTACGAGCATGATGAAAGTGTGCTCTTCATCGTAATAGCAGAGCAGAGTGGCAGCCAGAGAAGCCATGCCTTGGACGTATCCAGTGGAAGGGAAGTGTACAGAGATGGCGTGGAGTACGCGGAAAAGTAGGCGCTGGCCACCTCTGTATCTCCGACGGAACATGATGTGCATGCTGATCGTTCTAGGAACATCGACATCAATCTGTACATCATCGGCAGAGCTTTCTTCCTGCAATTCGTGGAAGATTTCAATAAGCTCTTCGTCGGTCTGGCATCCTCCTCGACGCTTGGCTGAAGCAGACAAGAAGGCATGCCATGCGGTTGCTCGCCACTTGTCAGGTACACCCTTCCAAGTACGCGCCACAAGCTTTGGATCTGTAACGTCAAACTCGAAATTCATACCGCCACCTCTTGCGCCTTGAGGCATCAAGCGAGCCATTCTACGCCACTTTTCTTCGCGCTGAATTTCGCGCCTCCTCAAAAATATTTCATGCGCATCCTCTTCTGCGAGGTTATCGAGACAGGCGGGCAATGTGAGCATGTCGCTCGCTTCATCAAGCAAGCGGCGGTCGCGTGATCGGAAAGGGTTGTGGGAGCGATGTTGTGATTGGCTGGATTGAAAGGAGTATACGGAGGCAGCATGGCCGGAGGGAGAGGAAGCGACAGTGGTGCGAGTGTTGGTACGAGTAGGAGGTGGTAGAGAGCGCGAGGATCTGGCAGTAGAAGGACCTCTAATCAAGCCTCTGCGCCTGCGCGGACTGCTGGATAAGAGCTGAAGCGATGTGGTAACACGCTGAAGACTAGGCTTCACAGACGTGCTTTGCGAGCCTTCGGTAGAAATGAACTTGGTCGGGTTGATGAAGCCATAGCGATCAATGTCTTTGCCAGAAAGATCTTCCCAATCTTCAACACCGCCAGCACATTCATGCTCATTCTGGATAAAGCTGAATCTATCATGGAAATCCTGGGGTCTCGCACTTCGACTCGTGACGGGTCTTCGGCGAGGGTTGGTAATAGAGCGCGAAGGAGTGGGCGGTTCGGGAGTGTCATCTCGTTCCATGTCGCCAGAGACGGTCCACTCAGCAGCCCTCTCGTCGCCATACTTGTACATGGACCTCACTTTTTGCGAGAAGGTCCTCTCTTCAGCCGATAGCACGCGACGACCATCAAGAACTGCATTCAGCATGTGTACGCTCGGCACGCGAGGACCAGTTGTCAGACGCTTCGGATTCTGTTTCGGGGATGACGGAGTAGGTGATAGTGGAGGAGATGGCGGGGCTTGCATGGGTGGAGAAAAGGTGGGCGAATTGGGAGCCGTGTGGAAGTCGTTGTCGGTAACATCGCCATCGGTCATATCGCCGTCATGGGCTCTCATCATCTTTGCCAGCTTCTTGGAATTCAACATGATGCTACCGCGTGTCGAAAACTTGAGCGAGTCGGGCGATGTGAGATCGGCAAAGTCGGTGGTGGTGGGGATGTCCATGTCTATGGGGTGAAAGGAGCGGATGCGAGAGTGGGAATTGGTAGGAAAAGGCTGGCTGTCGAGATCGGCGTCGCTGTCTTCGTCGACAGGCTTACTAGACTTGCGTCGCAAGAGAGAAGGTGGACTTCGTTTGGTTTTGGTCGAAGCGGCGATGGCATCGTGGACAATGATCGACGGCACACTCGCACTCGGGGCAAGAGTCAGTTTTGGTGCAGCGACATTGTTGGTGGTGGCTTTGGCAATGGCAGAATCGCGCTTGATGTCGCTGCTAGAGGCAGACGTGTGGAGAGTTGTTGTTTCATCCATGGCTGTCGTCGTATTCTTGGCCGCCCCTGCCGACGGGCTTGTTTCGTAGATATAATCGTCGTACTTGGCTGCAATCAATCGACCGCCCGAACTGCTCCTCTGCTCACTCGCATGCGCGTGTGCTGCTCATGCGCTTTATCAAGTCTCAGACCAGCAAATCTGCTGAGCTCAAGAAAATTGGCAAGGCGAGCAGTCAGTACGTATGCGCCGCTCGAGAGAGATCAACACAAGAGTCCCTTGGTGAAGCACTGGCCGTTTGGAGAGCCCCGACGTCTGGAGAAGCGTGCGCCGAAATTGCCCAATTGTAACAACCTGCTTTTTGCACCGCGACGACTCGTTCGGCTCCTCTGCTGATATGCGCGGATGATGGCGATGATCAATCTATTGTTGCTCCCTTCGCCTATTCCGGGTCTTGGGGTTTATATGTGCAGCAACCCTCTGTCCCGCCCGAGGCCCTCACCGTACATCCGATACCCCTGAGCAAAACCGCTGTGCAACGCTACTTCTGAACCTAACTCGTCCAGTGACCACCAACCCCCCGTTACATGCACTTACCTGCGGCTTGCATTCTAGCACCGTCTCTGCTTACAACGGCCGCCTGCTGACTGCTGATTTTCTGCATTCCCATCATCAGATCATGGGTCATACGGACATGATATCGTCAATTTATGAGCTACGCGTATATGTATCAAAAAGATTTGCTCAGTCGTCAGTCAGCCTCGCGCCATCGTGCATCAACCACAGCTCCACAAGGGCTGCCTTTTTCTCGGGTCCCCTTTTTCTGGTCGTCCTGAGCTCCACTTATATGTATACCTCTGTGCGTGCTTCTCCACCTGTTCCCCTGATCGTATCCCGACACTATCTTTGTCTTTCCGAAGACCCTTCTCGTTCACCATCTCGCCAAACTATGTGCAATTCTTTACTGTCCGGCCAACCAGCCGAACTTTTGCTTCTTGACCCTGGGCAAGACTCCAATCAAGGTGATGGCAGCTGCGACAAGCACAGCCCACAGCTGGATCTTGAGAACATTCTTGTTGTAGTCCGTCTGCGTCGCAGCTGCCACAGTCGCAAGCAGCATCAAGAAGATGATATAGCCGCTCACGCGGTGGTACTTGTACAGCTTCTTCGCGTTCTCCTCGCCGCCATAGATCTGCGGCACGAAGTACTGCGTGAAGCCAACGAGAGCCTGGATGAGGATAAGGATGTATGTGATCAGACCCAAGATTGCGTGGGGTGAAACGAAGTGTGTGCCATTGTGGGCAATCTTGTTGTACTCGATCACAACGAGTCCGGCAATGCCGCAGGAGAGGGCGAGGTCGTTGAGTCCTGCGTGAGCCCAGGTGCCGTGCTTCTTTTGCTTCGGCGTGTGCGTGGGCTGGAGGATGAGGACACCCTGGGTGAACAACAGGATGGCCGCTGAGTTGAGCAACNNTGCAGAACACTGGCGTTAGCATAGCCTATGCGTATTTGGGCCGACAAGGCTTACAGGATGCGCCGAGAACAGAATGACGGGGTTGGAGAATACTGCGCCCCAGACGATGGCTACAAGAATCCAGGATCCAGCTTGGGCAATCGCTCCAGTGCCNTGTGAGGTCTGTATGAGTATTGCTGGCTTGCATAAAAGCAGCGTGGAGCGAGCCATACCGATGACAAGGTTGTGGTATAGCGGAAGTCCTTCTTGCAGCGACGCATCACCAGGCCTTCCCAACAAAGGCTCCTGCTCGCCCATACCAGGTCTCTGCGTCTCTTGTTCCGACATCTTCGTACAATCCCTTCTAGCGTCGTGTAACTCCGAAAGTCCGAAGGAGAAGGAGAGGATAACAATAGATAGTTGTGTCTCAGGAAGCAGAGAGGTAGGAAAGTCTTGGTTGGAAACAAGACACCCGGCTTACATATCCAAAACACGGGCTTTTGCGTGCTAACAGGCAGCAGCTATCACGATCTTGATGACCTTGATAGCACCCAAACCACCGTACCTACCCTATTCGGTATTGAGCTAGCTTTTGAGGAGCGGGGCTTGCGGCTCTGTGGCGGAGAGGTTCGACCAATCAAAGGCTTCAGATTGCTAAAAACATGGTTCGGCAGATGCACGATCCACCCTTTGTATACCGATGATCGCATCACCACTGTGAGAGACTCGATCATGTGCGTGGGTGCTGAAGAACTTGTAACGCTTCTATCTCACTGCGAGGCCAGGGACGAGAGTCAGCATGATAGCACGTCGCACTTGGGTAAAGCCATGAAGAGCCACAACGTTGCCATTGACAACAAGCTGCAGCCGATGAAGCGCTACTGGCGGGTTCCAACTCTCAAGCCATACATAGAGAAAGCAGTCGCGAAGAATCTCGGTCGTGGAAAGAGTGATACTCCAGTTCGATTCACAGAGTAAAATAGAGAGCAAAGTTGAACGATGATTGTAACATATTACCATCAGGTATAGTAGATCGAAGTATAGAAAGGTCTACATGTAGAAAAACAACAAAATGGTGGTGGTATCGCGCAGTATCCCAGATTTCTTCCCGCTCCCAGAAAAAGATGAATCGTAAAAACCAACAAAATGTGCACCGAGGACCAGCGTCGGTCTAAGAAACGCAAGACTTTTGTTCAAACCCCGAACAACAAGACTTTGATGTAAAACATAAAAAAGAATCCAGACAAATTCGTTAAAGGTGGACAAGCAATAGGCGTCTAACCGTCCAATGTGCGCTGTTCGCGTTCGGCCTTCTCGTAAGCAACGGCGTGACGATCGCCACCAATACCGGTGTGCTCGTTGCCTTGGCTGTCGCTTTCGCTAGGAGCCTTGCCCTCAAGCATTTGCGAGTGTTGAGGGATACCGTGACGGTCGCCCTGAGGAATCTGGTGCTCGGCGGTCTCAGGCTGGTCACGAGCGGGAGTCCAGGCGAGGTAGTCACGACGGACCTCAACGTAGTCGTAGGCAAATTCACCGAGCTGGTCGTCATCCATACCGAGAAGTTCGGCCTCCTCAGAAGCACGAAGGTGAAGTCCAGGGATCTTGTTGATGATCCAGGCGATGGCAGCACTGACGACAAATGAGTAGGCGGTGACAGCGGCGATGTAAGCGATTTGCATATACATCTGCTTCCAGTTGTGCTCAATCCATCCACCGTCGACACCGTTGTTGACGCCGTCAAGTCCGATGATGTAGGAAGCAGCGAAAATGCCGTTGAAGAAAAGACCGACCATACCAGCGACACCGTGCTCAGCGAACACATCCATAGCGTCATCAATACGAATCCAGAACTTGACCTTGGTTGCAAAGTTGCATACGATACCAGTGACGATACCGAGAACGACAGATGCCCAAGGAGTGATGAAACCAGAAGCAGGAGTAGCAGCGACAAGGCCAGAGATGGTACCAGAGCACCAACCGACCATAGACCACTTACGAGCGAGTCTCCAATCGAGAACAACCCAAGCAATGGCACCAAACATAGCGGTCAGGTTGGAGTTCCAGCAAGCCATGGTAGCGCGAAGGTTGGCACCGAAAGCAGAACCACCGTTGAAGCCCAACCAACCGAACCAGAGGAAGACGGTACCAAGAGTAATGAGAGAGACGTTGTGAGGGCGGAAGTTGAGCATCATCTTTTCCTGACGTCTTCCGAGAATCATCGAGTAGGCAAGAGCTGACATACCGGAGCCGATCTCGACGGGACCACCTCCAGCGTAGTCGAGAACACCCCACTTAAAGGCCCATCCGTTGGCACCCCAGACCCAGCAAGCGATAGGGCAGTAGACAAGAGTAGCCCAGAAGAAGATGAATACCATGCAAGGAATAAGGCGACCACGTTCAGCGACAGCACCAACGACGATGGCAGCGGTAACGGCGCAGAATTGCATCNNTAGTATCTTGTTAGAGGCCTGACAATGTGTAATGACACCAATACGAAAACATACCTGATAAAAGGCGTAGAGGAGTTCAGGGATCAAAGGCGAGCCAGGAGAAGGAGCACCGAGAGTTTTCATGAGACCAAACTTTTGCAAGTCGCCGATGAAGCCATTGGTTGCGTAGTCCGAGAAAGCCAGAGAGTATCCCCAGAAGTACCATTGGAAAGTAATGACTGAGCAAGATGCCATACACGCCCAAATCATACTGAGAGCTGATTTTCTTCGTGCCAAACCAGAGTAGAGGAAACCGAGACCCGGAATCATAATCAACACCATTGCTGACGCAATCAAGATATAGGCTTGGTCACCAGCTTGGTACCATTGGTTCAAGTTTTCGGTGGCNTACGAGGAGGTCAGACGAGATTCAGACTCGGATGCCACGGGCTGTGGTTCATGACCGGATGCCACGGAGTGTGATATAAACTTACCAGAATCACCACCCTCTGGCAAAGTGCCATTGAATACAGTAGGCGCGCCGACCCATGAGTACGACATGATTGATGTGCGTCGAGCGTCGACTACGCTCAGGAAAGGATAGAAAGGGCGTTGATATTAAAGCCAGTCAGGTCGTTGATCCAGAGAGTTAGGTGATACTCCGCAGGATAGGTGGAATAGGTGTGGATAGGTTCGAGGGTGAAAAATGGGCACACGATATGCAAATGACTGCTGGGGAAGGTCGGGGGAAGCAAGAGATATATAAAGAGGTCTTCTAAAGGCCGTCACTGGCTCAGCACGCGGCAGCAACGGCGATGTGCACTGACGGACTGATGGGATGAGGATAAAATAATGGGGCCCGAGGGTCGGATCTGGCTCTCTTGTAGAGTCCCAACTAGCGGAGGGAAACGGGCCACACTTGAACTGGATAATCGAAGGGTTTATTGTACGTCAAACGATCTGCCCATCGAAACTGAAATTGTCTGCGGCAGCGGGCTGGCCTTATCAGCGACATCCGCGCGCAACGGGCTATTCTGCTGCAGCCAAACCACTGCTTTTTGTGCCCTGGCTTCCCTCACGCGGGTGACAATCAAAAAACCTTGCTCACCTGAACTAGATGATTTCGCAACGCGTTAAGAAGCAGTGACTTTTGAGGTCATACTTGCCAAAAGCCCGGCAGTTCTCATTCTTTTTTCGCCACTGGCAGGCCCGAATCGAAGCCTGGGACAACCATGATCGACCTCAGTCGCTTGCTGACCATGACTTCTCTCGTGCTGCTTCGTCGATTCGTGGTTCCGCTGGGGCATTACACATGCAGAATACATGACGGGATGGCGTGTCTTGGAAGCAATGCTTGGTTTTGCAAATAGAGCATGGTGGATGATTGTTATTCATATTGTGTGTCCATCGCAACATCGAGCGTTCGTTATCAGTGAACGTCGTCCAGTCAGAGAACAGCCGAACTCGGACTCTTATCTTTCGAACAGTCCTTGCCTCTTTGAGCGTAGTGTTGCGCCCTTCGGATTCGAGAAGCTTGACGACAGTCTCGGCTTCGAGGCTTCTCATTGGCTGTGACCACTTCTTATCTCTGACCCAAAAAGCACTACAGCAACGGCCTACGAGCCAAAATTGACCAACACTCACATGTGAATCTGTTGAACGATATGCCGTGTTCTTTATCACCCATGGGGCTGAGCACATTGCCAAGGGGGTTGGCATCGAAGTATTGCAAAGTCCTCTGACAAGCGATACAGACCTATTTATACAAGAAGTCGCTTATCTGGTGACTCGCTCGATGTAGAAAGACGACGAAGATAAGGAACCACACTGCGACCACAGCATGGAGAAAGTCAAATCCGAGCCCAAGGGTCGTGCCCCGACTTCAGCCGCTCTGTCGGGACCTGTTCGAGGGAACAGCGACTCGTGTCAAACAGCACGCCACGAGGTCTGGGGTGAACTCGCGGCCAGTCCTGCCCACAAGATCCCATACTTTCCTCAGCTTCCGAGAACGCACCCCGAGAGATGCCCTGGGCCCTTGTGGCCCCTGACCGGAAGCTGATGTCTCATTACATGTTCAGTTTGGTCAGAAGCGTGGTTTAAGGCCTCTCGCTTCTATCAGAGTCGCAGATCTCTGGTGAACGACTCACCAGTTGAACTGTTTCCCACTATTTGCTGCCCCTTTCTGGCTCACCATATTCTTGGTTTCTAATCCTTCAAGCTCAACAAAATCATCCAGCGACGGCTAATCCGAAGTCACTACTCGCACTGGCGCCTGAATTAAGGGGTGATTATGGAAGGTATCGTGAATTTATTGGTTTATGGACATGAAACCGCCTCGGTATTGAGTTGGTATACTCAGCACGACATTGTTGCTGGTAATGTACCGCTACGAGGCAGAAGGAGAAGAACAAGATAAAGAAACATGTGTTGCGCAACGCTATTGTTGACAACAATCCACCTATCATCTCGCAGACTTGCACTACAGTCCAATCTACTGTTGCTGCTGCTGAAGTCTACGCCAGAGGTCAGCAGCTGCCTGGATGGCCTCAGGCGAAGGGCCGCCAGCCTGAGCTGATGCTGCAGGAGCCTGCTGCTGCTGTTGTTGTGGCTGTTGCATTTGCTGCTGCTGGAAGAAAGCAGGGTTGACGAATGCGCCTGCAGGTGCTCCGGGGAACTGGTAAGATTGCTGTTGCTGACCCTGGTTGTAGGATTGCTGCTGCTGACCTTGGTTGAAGAACTGAGGGTTGGGAGGCCAGGCGAATGGCATGTTAGGGAAGGGGNNTGATTGGGTCTGAGGAGGTGGTGGTGGAGGAGGGAACTGCTGCTGGTTGAACTGAGGGAAAGCGAACTGCGCGCCCATCTGAGGCTGAGCTTGGTTCCACATCTGCTGCATCTGCTGAGGCACTGCAGGCTTTTGTGGGAGCTGCTGGGCATGGACTGGCGAACCAGCGTTGTGTGAGTCGGGGTAGGAGTTGGAAGGGCCCTTGCGCTGGTTTGCGCCGTCGAATCCGCCACGACCACCACCACGACCGCCTCTGCCACGATCACCACGACCTCTGTCGTTTCCGCGACCTCTACCACGGCCTCTGCCGCCACGATCGGCAAACTGGCGACGAGCAGGGGGTGCACCGTTTGCCATCATGTCTTGCAGGTTGTCAGGACGGGCAAGAGGTGTGTACATATCCTCGGCTTCAGGTTCGTCGTCGTAATTCATGACTCCGCCAGTGTAGGGCTTGGTTGCAGGAGGCTGGTTGGCTTGGTCGCGAGCAGCTCTTGCGCCCTTCTTGGCCTCCTTCTTAGCTCTCTTGTAGGCAGCCTCGGCCTCGTCGTCTGAGAATTCCATCTCCTCGTCTGCAACTTCCTCGTCGTGGAGGTTTGAGGCGTCGGTACCCTTCAAGTTCTTCAGAGGCTGAGTAAAGACATAGGTAGAGTGAGAATCGACGTAGTAGATCTTGGTGTCTGTGGCAATGTTGAGGTCCGAGATGTCGGATGGTTTGGTGAAGGCGACCGAGTACAAGGGCTCTTCGACCTTGCCAATGGTGTCTTGAACGGCTCCAATGACTTCGCGGTTCTCCAGGCACAGAACGGAACCAGACTCCAAAACCTGGTATTCTCCAGAGGTGAAGGCCTTGATAAGGATCAATGTGTCGACGACGTGCTGCACGGCACCCAAAGGTGTAATCTTCATGTCAGGAGTGACGGTGACATCCGGCTTAGGAATGATCTCTTCTGGGACTTCGTTCTTGGTGCGAAGCTGGGATCCGCCAGCAGCCTTGTTACCACCATCTTCGTCGTCCATGCCACCTTCTTCCATAAGCATGCGTGCGGCAGTGGCTGGGTCGAGCAATTCGTAACCTTCTTCATCGCTATCCTCGTCGCTTGACGAGTCGTCGCTGCTGGAAGAATCGTCTGAAGATTCGGCGTCGGATGAGTCGTACTGCCATTCGGCACCTTCGGCACCCTTCTGTGCAGCGGCGGCTTCGAGGAATTCGGGATCGACGGGTTGTTTTGTGGAGGCCGAGGCAGTTGCGGGTTCAGCAGCAGGTGTGGACGACGAAACGACTTCGGGCTCAGTGGCAGAGGGCGCGGGNAGGTTCTTGTTCAGCTCATCGTTGTTACCGAGAGCATCGAACAGAGCGGAGGTGGCATCGGTATGCGCGGATTGCGCATGAGCAGGTGCATCCTCGGTCTTGATGGCGACTTCAGCGGGGGCGGCAGCAGTAGTAGACTGCTCNAGCCGGCACGTCGACAGATTGCTGTTCGGGAGATGGGCGTTCGGTCTCGTCTTCAACTTTGACGCTCGCTGACTGAACAGTTTCGGGGACTGGTTCAGGTTTAGGCTGAGACTGGCTNNAGCCGAAGCAGGAGCAGAGAAGGATCCCAAGCCAGGAATGCCAGCAGCGGGGGATTGGGTCGAGGAGGGTTGCTTTGCATCGAGGTAGCTGGTTGCTTGGGCAGTGTGGAGGGCGGGAGTGTTGTTGGCGGAGGGAGTGCCGTAAATGTCGTCCATGTCGTCGGCGGGAACAGAAGTCGACATGGTGGGCGAGGGAGATAGACGAGCACGTTTGTTCGGTCTGGGACTCGTCTCGAACATTGATACAATAATGTCAATGTTTGCGCAGCGCAAACAGAAAAAGATGGATTTTCCATCGGAGCTCGCGGACTTAACGCTATACTAGCGTCATCTGGGGTTTTAGCGCGCGGGCACTAGCGGCGGGAGTCGTCACTCGTCGAGAGCTGAACGCCAAAGCTCCGAGATTGAAAGCTGAAGCTGGTGGTCAAGGCTTCAATTCAATATTGTAACTTCTGATGCGGCATTGGACACTTTTCGTCTTGCTTTCTTCGCCAACACATTGATTGTTCGCCAGTAGCAGCAATGCCGTCTCCTCCGCCGCCGTCGCGTCCAGCGCGTCGCCAATTCATGACAACCATGACGGCCAAGAAAGCAGCCAAACAGCAGAGCAACAAGGCTCTACCCGTGACGCCGACTGCTCCAGCAGAAGCTCGCCCTACACACATGTTCCCCGCCGACCTGACGAAACCCCTCGATGCCATCGCCGACCCTATCTATCTCGATCCCTTAATCGCCTTCTACATTCTCGCCGCTGCCCATGCCGTCGCTGCTTTCTATTTCCCCATCCAAGATTGCGACGAGGTCTACAACTACTATGAGCCCACCCACTACTTGACCGATGGCTACGGCAAGCAGACTTGGGAGTACTCTCCCGAATACGCCATCCGCAGCTGGGGCTACGTTTCTCTTCATGCTATTGTTGTTGGGCTACGTCGCATAATCCCCATCTGGAGTCTGCCCAAGGTCTGGAAGTTCTACTTCTTGCGTACCGTGCTTGGTCTCATCTGTGCCGGCTCGGAAGCCAGACTATACTCCAAGATCTCACGAACTCTTAATCCTAGACTCGGCATGCTCTTCTTCCTTATCATGCTCACGAGCCCTGGCATGTTCCATGCATCCGTCTCGTACCTGCCCTCGTCTTTCTCCATGTACACAACTGCGCTCGGCATGGCTGCCTTCATGGATTGGCGCGGAGGTATGCGTACCGCCCAGGGCATGATGTTTATGATTGGTGGTGCTTTACTCGGCTGGCCTTTTGCAGCTGCTCTCGTTGCCCCCTTCATGATCGAGGAGTTCATGCTTGCTTATTTTACTGACAAGCAAGAGTTTATCGACTTCTGTTATCGCATTCTCGATGGCACTGTTCGCTCCTTCATTGTCCTTGTTCTGCAGTTCTTCTTTGACGCTTTCTTCTACCGAAAAGCTGCCCTCGTACCTTACAACATTGTCTGGTACAATGTTATTGCTGCTCGCGACGGCAAGGGCCCCGATATCTATGGCACCGAACCCTGGCATTTCTACGCCCGTAATCTCTTGCTCAACTTCAACATCTGGTTCATCATTGCTTTGGCCTCCATGCCTCTCTACTTCATTCACGCCTTCGTTCTCCGTCAACCTATCTTCAAACAGTCGTTAATACGCGGTGTCTTCTTCCTCACTCCCTTTTACCTCTGGCTGGCTATCTTTACCCTCCAGCCTCACAAGGAAGAGCGTTTCATGTATCCTATCTACCCTGCTCTGGGCTTCCAACGCTGCCCTGGGTTCTCACATTCTTCTCACTTGGCTCGGCACTTCCAATCCCCGTTCCCTCATCGCCATGATTCCTGCCAAGTTAAGACTTCTTTTCGCTGCTCTCTGCTTCATTGCTGCTGTTGACTTTGGAGTCTGGAGAACCCTTGGTATGATCACCGCCTACAATGCTCCCTTGAGTGTGTACACACCGTTGCGTCTTCCTGGTGTCTCACAACCTGGCGACAATGTTTGTCTGGGTAAGGAGTGGTACCGATTCCCTTCTTCATACCATCTTCCTGCTGGCGTTAGCGCCAAGTTCGTCAAGAGCGAGTTCAATGGTCTGCTCCCAGGCGACTTCAGTCAGGCTGACAGTGGCTTTGGTCTGTATCCCGGCGCATGGCTCATCCCGAGCGGAATGAATGACGAGAATAGAGAGGATCCTAGCAAATATGTAAGTTGGCTCCTCGACAAGTTGCCAATATATGCTAATTACTTCTAGACCGAACTATCACACTGCTCTTTCATGGTCGACTCGTCCTTCCCTGGTACCGAGCCGTCTGCTCTGGAGCCAGACTACATTAATCAGACAGAGACCTGGGAGAAGCTGTCATGCAAGCCGTTCCTGGATGCTTCGCGTACTGGCGTTATTGGTCGCATTGGATGGATCCCCGACTGGGACTTCATCCCGACCAAATACCGCCGTCAATGGGGCGAGTATTGTCTCCTGGGCCGCAAAAAGTCCTCGAGCTAGGGCTGCTTATTCTGTTCATATTTTTGATACCAGTCATCTGATCATATTCTAGCGGTTTGGGCAAGTCAGAGCGATTATAGACGTATAGCATTGACCGAGGGCAGTTGCTAGATCTTTACTGGACCTTGGCGGTGCGCGAGCCCCACTATGGCCATATCAGTGTCCATTTTTGGACGTTTAGTCCGGGGCCGATAAGATGAACATGGTGGGGGTTTCAGCAGTCTTATCGTCACGACCAGGACAAATCTAAGACGAGCTATGTATATATTAAACATTCTGCCTGCTCCAGCAATTGGGTCTTGCTTGTATTCACAAGACTGCTGTCTTCAAATTCGACCCATACTGTCCAAAGACCATGAGCAACATCCATGCAATGCTGCATGACAGCATTAGTCATGTCCAGAACATTACAACTCTACAACAAGCGAAGCCTCTCATATATCTTGGCCTCGGTCTCGCAGCTTTAGTCTATCTCATACAGCGTGCTTTCGCTGGCTCAAAACCAACATCCAGACTGCACTCAAGGTCACCAGATCCAGAGAAGCCCACGGGGACACGAGTCAAGGCACCTGAGAGGCCAGATGGTGGTAAGTACCGACCACTTCCTGGTGTAGATTGTATCTCACTGTGTCTGCAGTGTGGATACCTTCAGACTTCAAAAGGCCAACCGCCGCACCGTACCCTGGTTGGTCTCTCGAAACAACCAAACCTCTGCCATATCGACCTTTCCGTTATGGACCCAAATACAACATCACCATGGGTCTGCGAACCATGAACTGGGACGAGTGGATTGAACTGGACAACCACTATCCTAGGTTCCATGCAGACAAGAAGCGCCGCATCGAAGAACGAGGCAGCAAGTGCTTCCATACACACCCAAGCCCGCAAGTCTTCGATGGTGCTGTGGAGCTTCTCGAAGAGCTCTGTGGCTACCTACCTGAGCGTTACCCAAGCATGTTTCGTAAGACTGAACATGGAATGGTTAACTTGTTTGCGGACGAGACTTTCGACATCAGGAAGGATGTCTTAACGATGAACGGCAACCGTGAAGATCCTATGCAGATGGCTGCACGTATGGTGCAGGATGACCTGGCAATCATGTTTGAGAAGGAGGATGGTCAGATGTACCTACTTGCTGGAGCAGTTTTGCTGGCAGGTTTCTGGCGTTTGCAGGATAAGTTGGGCATGTCTCTTGACGAGATTCACTACAGGTATGTACTTCGTCTCGGACGGCAAGATTGGTACTGACTTCGATAAAGCGGCGACGTTCCTGGTTACCACGACAAACTCCGCAAAGGCATGAACAACTTCTTTCGCCGCATCAAACCCGAAGCCCCTGTCAAACGCAACAACTACTTCCTACAAGTGGATGAAGATCTCGCTTGGTCTTACAGCATCGGATCCGAGGACGCTGGTGAGCCCTCCTGGGATACTGCCGCTGCCAATCGCGCTATCGAACATCATTACTTCCGCTCCGAATGTCAATCACTTCGTCGTCTACCCAGATCTGGAGGCGTTTTGTTCACGATCCGTACCTACTTCCACCCCATCACAGACATTGCAGAAGAGGATTATGTGCCAGGGAGGTTGGCTAGTTCGATCAGGAGTTGGGGTGATGATGTTAGCAAGTATAAGGGTAAGGCGAAGTATGGTGATGTACTATTGAATTATCTGGACAAAAAGCACGAGGAGCAAGTGGCCAATGGATTGGACTTGAGCAGGGAGGATGAGTGCAGAGCGTATCCATACTGAAGGGATGGCAAAGTTGAGCATTTGCATGGACGGCGTTATAGATTTGCATTAGTATGGAATGTTTCTCAAATCTACCTGGCAGGCCTTTTCATACGCAACGAAGAATTGGAAATACCGGTTGTACTCGGTGATAGAAAGGAGATCAAATCGTACCTTCCTAAATATATGCCAAGCTCAATGCGCAAGTCTTGGCAATCATGCAAACTTCAAGAACTGTCGCCGCACCCTCTTCATCTACACTTTCAACACATGATTCAATCGCTATGAGTGTACGTGCCAATTTAACGCGAGCTCTTCGCATCGCTCGTCTGCAAAAGCCCCTCAATCTTACTGGAAACTTTGCGCTTTTCGAGAGACAGGCTAGCCAGCAATGGCTGTCTTCTTCTGCATGTTACTATCATGTTACTAGCCGCCTGTCAGGTAGAGCGACTGCTGCATCCGACAGCAAATACAAAATGCCCCGGATCCATGACAACCAGGACCCGGTCGAATTATTCAATCAACATTTGAAGGATGGAACTCTTACAAAACCAATGGCTCACGCGTGCCTGAAGGCAGCATCCAGGCGAGAACGTTATGATGCAGGTATGGGAGAAGCCACAATCAAGTGGATGTGGAACGACCACGACAGTTACGAGTTTCCAAAAGATACCAGCCTTCTAGATCAGATGATCAGACATCTCGTGAGGGAGAACAAGGAGGAGCTGGTGTGGAAGTGGATCGAACAANAAAGCCGAAAGTCTAGCACTCTGGGACCCAACGATCGATTTGTCTGGAGAGCTGACGCTGTGAGAGCACTCGTTGGCACGAATGCATTCGTCTCGGACCACGATAGTCTTGACGGAGCTTTGGAATCATTCTTGCGAGCAAAGTCCAGCAAATATTCCATCCCACTCGCTCCGGCCAGAATGGAATGCGCCAAATTGCTTATGCTGCCAGTGGAGAAGTCAGCCATCTCTTGGGACGTCGAAAGCAAGCTCGAAACTCCTAGATGGCCAAACACCAGTCCGAAGCTATGGCAGGAATTCCTCGACAGTATTGAGACTATACGGGATGTCAGTGAGCCTTTAAAGGCACAGCTTCCGTTGTATCACCCGCAGAAGGCAGACCCAGCTCCTTACCTCAAACACTCTCAACATCTGGCAAAGAACCCCAAATTCGTAGACCGTATGGTCAAAAAACCGTCCATCACTCCTTGGATTGCACGGGGTAGGCATGCCGAGGCTCTATTGCGGTTGCAAGGGAACGAAAAGGACGCCGATTGGTTAAAGGGATTCCTTCAAGAGTTGTATAAGAAATCAGAACCGATTAGAAGGAAGGAGGAAGAGAGAAGTATCTCGAGGCGCGAGAGAAATGGCTTGACAGGGTAGTAAGAGTGACGATGTTCACCTTTTAAACACTTAGATACACGTTTCGATGTCGCCGACATTAAAGATCTGCAAAGACTTGACCTCAACAATTTGAGATGCTCGAAGCAGTGAGACCAATTTACTCTGTCTTGCTTATGTATTCGCGAAAGCACATGCCGGTCCTCAGTATCTTCTGGTGTTACCGCTCACAACGTTTGACGGATGCTTTCTCCTCGAGTGGACATGATCTGTTCCAACTTCTTCAGTCAAGTCCAGTGATTTCGGTACGTCCGAAGTGGGTCCCCAGTACAGTGTAGCCCAGTGCTGCAACCCAACCTGACAAAATCTCATTAGCTTCCGACTCTGGCGGCCTTGGAGCGATCTCTGCACGAAGCAAACTTACAGAACGTGGTGTGTCGTTGTCAAACACGGGATAATCACCTCCCTCATCTCTGATCGCCAGGTCGTTGGCATCATCACACAGCTCGTCAGATTTCAAATGAGTCTTGAGATCCGAGAATGTGGACTTCCTGTACATTCGGACTATCAATCTCTTTTTGAAGTTGGTACCTTTCCTGATTTCGAGGATTATGATGTCTGCGGGTTGGTGCTCGGCCCTTTCCTTCAGAATCGATCTCGGCCTCTGTGGTTGCCTGTGGCTCGAACGTGCAATTTCGCTGCTCGAGATATGCGAACTCTCCATAGCGTGCTTCTGCTGTGATTGCTTGGAGGTTTGCTTGCTGGTGTGGTTCGATGTCTCCGGCTTCGAGGATTCTGGCTGCTGTGTGATGATGCTTGATTGTTCGTGTGAGTCTGCTTTTGGCCGACGCTCGGTGGGCACTACTGGCCTGGCTTGTTGCTGTACGTATTGTTTCGTTCGATCTTGAGGTGCAAGAGGCTGGCTGGATGCGTGGATATAAGAAGCCTTCTCTCCCGAAATCAAGGCAGCGTCGATCGCATTGCTGGCATCTGCTCTTCTTGACTTCGTCTGCTCCTTCCTAACAGTATCTGTTGATGTGGAAGCAGCGCTCGAACGGCAAGACCTCTCAGTCTCTGAAGGAGTATTGATACCTGTACTCCAACTGTCGGATGAGCCGCTTGTGTCCTCTGTGTCTTCCCAATCACTTGCATTCTCGGCAGGCAATTCTTCGACTGTTTCGGCATGCATTGCGCGGAATTGTTTTCTGATCTGGCGGTCTATTCTTCCGCCCAAAAGCCCGAGTTTCCCAACACAGGAATTTAATCACAAACCGCATAGAAGGACGTACTACAGTAACGCTTTTGATTGGGCCATGTAATCTCAATCTACTCATCATTGGTCAAAGATCAGAACTCGTCGATTGAAGCCTGTTCTCTCCTCTTCCTACTTCTATGCCAAACCACAGTATGCTCATCCACGCACTCTCTGTACTTGAGAGCTGTGAGCGAGAGTATCAGCCACTACGGCATCGTTAAATCGATGCACTGGACTGCACCGTTGATGGTGGCATATATCAACTCCACGTCTTGTGTTACTTCGAGCTGCGTNGATGCATGTACCGTCAGTCACAGAGAATTGAGAAATGAGCGTGGTATACTCACAGAAACAGGCGTGTCGCTGTCGAATATGCACTGGAGGGGGNNAGAATGTGCTTGACGCAGATCCATTTTGCCATATCTCTCAACCACTTTTCCACCGTATATTTCGTGGAGCTTGTCCTTGAGGAACTTGAACGGAGTGTTTGAGTGCATCCTGACAGGCACCGTGCGCTTGAATCCCCGGTGGGTAATCCCATCGGAATTGGCATGGACAACATCGGAATAAACAGCAATGCGTAGCTCCAAGATAACGGATGGGACAACATCGGTATGTTCAATGCTGCTATTACCACCAACTGGTTCGTTGACCACAGTCTGTCCAAGTCGTAAGTCGNNGTTGAGCTCATTGATCTACGCTGTTTTACTTACTGAAGCGGGTGTGAGGGTGCAAGTTGAAGACGACGAAGCGTCAGATAAGGCTGCAAATCCCGATGGAAGCTCCTGAATGACAGTTCGCATACGTTGTTGGCAAGCGATCTCTGCAGATTCATCTACCATCACGAAGGGCTGGTGAGACTCGATATTGGCTCGGTTCTCTTGGACCATCTTCTCCAGTGCTTGAATTCTCTTTGTCAGCACAGTGTAGCGATCATCCTCGTTTGTGTATGTTGAAGCTCCGCCAGGCGCATGGTTGTTGTCTTTGCAGCCGAACTCCTTTTGNCACTTATGCAAAGCCATGCTTAGACGATTGAGTCGCGCTGCGTTCGTATGGATGGAAAGCATTGCGTGACACTCGGGCAGGGCATTTGACATATCTTCGATGAACGCGGAAAATCTTTTGGACATCAGATCGACCGTGTTTTCGAGGGCTTGAGATTGAACATGAGACGCCTGCAGTCGAGGAAGAATGTCGTAGACAAGCCATGGAACGATGACGTCCAGATCATGTGGAAGGTTGCAGACATTCGCTGCCAGCACCGCATGAAGTATCTCGAACTCGGTCAAGTGGTATCCAGCTTGCTCAACCTTCTGTAGGAACTCTTGCAGGTTGCGACATGGTTCGGGTGTCGTGTTCTTTAGTCTCTGCACCACCAAAGGGTCGTCGGTGAGTTTTTGGACGACACCAGACACCGTGTACTCTATTCTCCGGGACCAATACGGTTTTGACATGGCGGACTCCAGGCAGCGCTCTGATAGTGGGACGGGAGACCTCTGACAGAGAGTTGCAAGACCAAACTGCGTGCCAACTTTGGGTTCAAATAGTCAAAGAGACGGACCTACCTGTCAGTGCGTTGAGTTGTGACAATGATCGAACCACAGCGCGATTGAGCAGGTTTGAGACAAGAGGAGACGTGGCTTCGTCTTAAGAAGTTTGGTGCCTGGAACATGCGACGTGTTTCTTAAATACTGCAAAGAATGAAACCTTGATTATTAAGTTTGATAGACTTTCAGATTTGCGTTGATAGCGACAATATTGGATGATGCTTCAGACATTGCGGTTGAGATTATCCTCAGAGACGCTCAAAACCTAACTCAAGCGATAGAAGCATTCTGAAGGTGCATTTTAGAAACATCGACCCAATCGCTCGTGTGCACAGGGACCAAGATACTGATCAATGAATTTTCTTCGAGGCCAAGCTAGAAACATCTCAATTAGTATCAGAACGAAGCAAGCAAGGAAACCTGGTTTTGGCAACTCACGGTGTTTGGTGTGTCCTCATCCATGATTTGAGTGTTCCCATGCCACAGCTCGATAGAGTCCGAACGTGGTCTCCCAAGATACCATCTCAAGCTCTCGAATGGTGTATCAAGACCTATAATTACTGGCATGTTCATTTTGTGGCCTTGTACGCACAAAGTTATGATTGGGGTGTGTTGCCGAGGGGCAGGAACGGGAGAACTGTTTCTGACAGTCTGNGAGCATCTACGTCAGTCTCGATACTCATTACGATCGATGCTGCATCTTACTAAAGTGGGCGTGACTACACCTGAGGTGAACGCTTCCGATGCCTCACCTGGACCACCGAGAGGTTCCTGCTCTTTCTTCTCTGGCGTAGGTGTCGAAGCAGTGGATAGAAGTCCGGAGACTTTGTTCTCCAATGCATCGATCCGAGCTGTCTGTTCAGTTGCTGCGGCAGATAGCTGATGGAACTTCTTCTCGTCTTCGTCCTTGTCCTTCTGTGTTGACTCTTGAACACGATCGACAACTTGTTCAAAGTCTTCGTCAGGAACCCACCATGAGTGACCTTTGACGATTTTCTCGTGCTTCGCTGGGCTGTTGTAATCGAAATTGGGTGCAAGAGCGGATTTCTTGAGCTCCTCTATAAGTCTGGTGATCTTCGCAGAAAGCAGTACAGCCTGGCTGCTTGTTGTTGGATTGAGACGTGCCTCTTCCTGAACACGAAGCCGAAACTCGGCATGCAACCAAGCTAATACATCGTTGATGTCGCTTTGCAACCCGGAACGATGGATGATCGCCAGCAGGATTTGGGTCTCATTGATGTAGTACTCGTACTCACGAAACTTCTCGAGATGGGCATGGAGATCGGAGAGATTCGGTGCACCGTAATCAGATCTCCTCCAAGCAGGAGATGCAAGGTGCCAAGGACAGAAGAGNCTGGTGACCACGCGATCTACTGACTCCAGATATTCGAGGGGCAGCTCGGGAGTCGTGCCGTAAGGCGTGGTGTTGCGAAATTCAGTACCCATTGTTGAGAAGATGACAAGATGCAAGATCGAGCAGTACTCGACTTTGACCTACATAAATACATGGCAGCATGGTTGAGACTCTTTGAACCTCAACATGCTCTCTTGTGGAAAGGAGAGTTTGCTGAGGATCAAAAGATACACTGGTTCGAGCAGTTTAGTGGGAACAAGCTTCGATAGTCTGATGTTCGTGGTGAGTGAAGCTGAGGGGTCGGGGCAAGCTGCGACTTAACAGTCTCACAAGGTCATCCGAGCAAACTTCGAATAAGATCATCAGAGTAACTCCTGAGTCCTGCTAAACATCAAACGACAACTTGTGTCGTAATACATTGCTATTCGGTTTCATTTGATTGGGACGAGAGTGATCTGTGATCGCGCGGTAGATAGAGGCTGACCCATTAGTGAAAACCCCTGCATCACCGTGAAGATACTGTTGCACATACAGCTTATCGAAGTGAAGCAGGAGAAACATTCAGTGTGACTTCGAGATTTGAGGTTGGTGACCGGAAGGAAGCTGGTCACATGATTGATGAGCACTGATTGGCCGGACCGGATTAGGTAAGCGAGACTTTGCGCGCGCACCGACCGCTTGTCAAATTCCAAGCGAACATTTCTTCGACTTCCTTTTCCTCACGACTTAGGACGACAACGACCCCGCTGTCTAGGTCGCCATCATGCAGATTTTCGTCAAGACCCTCACGGGCAAGACTATCACCCTTGAGGTGGAGTCGTCCGACACCATCGACAATGTCAAGTCCAAGATCCAGGGTGCGCATCCTCCATCCGCCGGCGACCATCGCCACCGACCGCACACGACCAGAGACTAACAAGCGACCAACANNGACAAGGAGGGTATCCCCCCGGACCAGCAGCGCCTGATCTTCGCTGGCAAGCAGCTTGAGGATGGCCGCACCCTCTCCGACTACAACATCCAGAAGGAGAGCACTCTTCACCTCGTCCTCCGCCTCCGTGGTGGTGGTAAGAAGCGCAAGAAGAAGGTCTACACCACTCCCAAGAAGATCAAGCACAAGCGCAAGAAGACCAAGCTCGCTGTCCTCAAGTACTACAAGGTTGACGGTGACGGTAAGATCGAGCGCCTGCGTCGCGAGTGCCCCTCGGACACCGTAAGTTTTTTCTGCCATCCAAAAATTTTGCCAACTCAAGGCACTAACTCTTGTCTCAGTNGCGGTGCCGGTATCTTCATGGCCGCCATGCACAACCGCCAGTACTGCGGTCGCTGCCACCTCACCTACGTCTTCGACGACCCTAAGTAAATGTGTCGCCGAGGCAGGTGTTGATGACTCTTGTTCATCTCTGCTAGCTATCTAGTGTTTTGCAATAAAGTCGTTGTCCCGATCAAACTCTTGTGTGCTTTCTCGTTCTCTTGCTCTGTGATTCCTGTGTTCGTGATACCTCATCTTTCACGATTTGCTGCATGTCTTTCATGTGATAGAAAAACAATAATTTAATTCTTTACAAGCTATGTTAATTGCTCCCAGCCATCAATGCATGTCGTATGTATGTACACTTTCCTTGTCACGTTTCAAACAATGTTTCTTTTCCCTCTCAACAACCGGCATGTCCTCCTTTGCTCAAGGAGTCGGCCCTTGGCCCCACAAGATCGAGTTGAGCACGCTATACGGTGAATACTCTTCATCAACCAATGCACTCGTGTTGGAAGGGAACACGCTCGAGTGATCCACACCAGCCATGCCAGGACTTTCAGTGCTGTCTGCCACACTGCCACCTGAAGGCGCCATGGCAATATCCTCGATGAATCTCGACGGTCTCGATTCTTGAATGTTCAGTTTCTTGAGTGCCGTGATGGCTCTTTCCATCGGTGCTGCCAGTTCTTGCGGGTCGAGGGCTGACTGCATGTCTGACATGAGAGCCACAAATCTGCCTAGAAGACGACGTGCGCGCTCGTTGTGGGCATGCTCGCCCATGATGCCAAGGAGCAGTGCAGAACTCAAACTGCGATGCACGGCAGCCCAAGATTGTCTCGCGTAAGGTGTGATGTTTTGGAGACCAAGGAACGCTTCCACTGTACTGACCAAGCTGTCGATACAAGTCTGCTTGAAAGCTTTTGAGAGTTCGTAGCTTGCTGTACTGGGACTGATGGCTGGTCGACATAGCTCGGAGACTATGTACGACACATGCAGGTAAAGTGCCCAGTGCTCGAGCGACTCTTCTACCGACTTGCAGGTGCGTGAGTCACGCAAGTAGTCAGCTGTGCCTGCCATAATGTCGTCAATCTCGTTCCTGTGATTCGTGATTCTGGCGAACAACTCGCGCGAGCTCATCGTCTTTGTGCGGTCGCGAACGATCTCGAGACCAACCCTGCAGAGTCTGTACATGGCAAGGTGGTAGGGCGGGATTTCGGTGTATGCGTTTGGTGCTGGCATACTTGACGGGTCGATGTATGCTGTTGTTGCGGCTCGATCGTATGTGATTGATAGTAGACTGTCTTGCCATACGATCGACCACCAAACTTTGGAACGAATTGCCTTGGTCTCAACATCTGCGGCGGGCGGACAGCTGCGGTGCAGACCTAGACTCATTGCCAATCTCAGTGTGAGACCCATGAGAGACCACGAAGTTCCCGCGTTCATGTTGTTAGAAATGACNCTAGGTACACGTTAGATGTTGGCATCGTGCAAATAAGCAAGATAACCTACGTTTCCGAGAATCAATAACGTTTGGATGCTCTCTAATGTCACATGTGATAAGAAATTTGTAAAGCGCAGACACTCAAAACTACAACACACNTGCTTTCCGTTAGTATTCTAGTCTCATCCATTCACAGGTTTGGTTCACGTACTGTAGACTTGAGACGTCAATTCACGTTCTTTTCTGGGCAGACCAGAGCATTGACAACCACTCGCTAGGACAGCGAACAGCAGTCCAACCCATTCGAGGTTCTTGTCGTATATCGCTTGCTCAGTAACTCCAGGCAGAGGACTGTCGGCAGGCAAAGATCCGGCTACGCCCATCTGTTCGTTCCTCTTCTGCAGGAACCGCGTCAAGTCCATCTCGAAAGTTGAGATGTCTGCAACGCCTGGGAAAATGATGTTTCCCAGATTTTGGTAGTAGCGGAAGAAGGATAAGCATTGACTGTCGGTAGGTATCGTCTTGGCCAGTTCTTGGGCGCGTGCAAGAGAGCCATGAGCCAGTCCCCAGAGGTCTACAAATGGATATGTCGCCGTCTCGTTGTCTAAACCGAACATGGGAAGAATGGACCTGCCAAGTATTTCCTGGACCGATGGCTGCTCACGATCGCCTTGACCCAAAGCCATGACAAGCGCGGGTACTGAAGAGCCTCCAAGATGTACAGTTTGGCCAGTCAAGTCATTTCGGGCGTGAAGTCCATGAACAGTAGTGTGGCGAGTAAATTGGTTGTTGATCCATGGCTGAGCACCATCGGTCTTCTGCGTAGTACTTGATGGTGAAGAACGTCCAGAAGGGTTTTGAGTTGGTCTACTGTTCGAGCCTCTCATCTCTCGGCGCAATTCTTCCAGCGCAGACTCGACATTGTCGAGTTTTCGACATAAATGATCAAAGTCCGATCGCGATAGCGTGACCATGTTAGCGCTCAACGCAGGAACCCCACTGCTGGTACCCGCAGCAGGAAGCGCGAGTGATGCCGAGGATGAGGAACCATTGTTCTGTTTCTTATTAGGTGGATGGTAGTCGCATAGTTCGGGATGCTCGCGCTCGACACAGGTGCGGCATGGCCTGGCAAGATCACAACGAACTTTTCGTTGTCGACACGGATAACACGCCTTGTGCTCACGCGCTTTTCGTTTGCGCCGCAGAAAGTCGTCCACCTCAGCCTTGGCAGGCACTTCTGCTGCTGCTGCTGGCATCGGGGTCATATTCGGCGTGCCGGTCTCCATTGCTGCGCAAACACCCTTTCTTACCAATTGTTCTGCGTGCGCAAGATGAGAAACATGGAAGATGGTTTTTTGGTGGCGGGCTTACCGGATTAAACAGCCTTGCGGGCAGCTTTCCGGTGCTCCCAAAGCCCGACGTGAAACCCAACAATCTCAGGCAGCGCCAACACGAGTCAAGCTCACCGAGGGTTGGGATATGAAAGGTTCTTGAAACCTAGTAAAGACTCAAAGATGAGGCCTCCAACTGTTGATGAAAGCATTGGGTATCCGGACGGATTCCCTTTTCATACCTAGGCATGTCACGGCTTGGCAAGAATGGAATTTGTGTCAAACGGACGCTAGAACCCCTAGCTACCATGTATCCGAGTCAATTTGGGAGAGCACTAGCAGCGAACGATGATTAAGAGGTCAAAAATATAGTCATTCAAAAATCCTATGCTACATAGGGGGGTATCTTGTAAAACCAAATGTCCTGAATGAAACCAAACCAAGACTCCTGTACAGTATGCAAATGCAACAATATAAACATGGTCGACAAAGACATGTGTATCATCAAGGCGACTTGCCGTTGACAATCATTGAACCATTGGTGTCTGTTCTGTTGAACGACGCCACGGACGTGATGGTCGAGGCGTGACGCATAGCATGCTCCGCGCGTGCGTCCTCATACTCTTTTCTGCTGATGCCGGCCGCTGGGCTGGCAAATCCACTACCACCTCCTGCCGTAGCGGCAGAGCTACCAGCAGGAATCTCTTCTGCGAGTCTCTCGGCCATGTGAGCATCGTACTCGCGCTCGCGCGCCTGAATCGACTGAGGATCAAGCTCGCGAGCAGTAGCGAGCAGATCAAGAGAGCCATCGGATGCGGCATCATCGCCCTTGTCTCCTTCTTCATCCTCCTCATCATCACTCTCGTCACTGCTCATGTATGGCATGTCGATAGTCTGTGGCGCGGTGGCTGGGACATCGTGAACACGATCAACATCAGGGATCATTGAGTGGTAATCTTCGAACTCGGACTCGTCATCGTCGTACTCATCAATGTCCATAAAACAAGAGGCAGGCGGAAGCTCAGAAGGAGGCAATTCCTGGTGGAAAGTGCCGACGACCTCTTCTTTGAACATTGCGGGCTGCTGCTTGTTCTCCTTGAAAAGTCCTGCAAATTGAGCAGAGTACGGCTTCTGCTTTGCAGGTGGCGCTGCAGCAGGGTTGCGCCTACGCTCCGTCTTGACATTGACGGAGAAGTTGTCAGAAGGATAAATACCACCAATGCCGGAGACCTCTAGTTCAATCGGATTTCTTGCCGGTCCAGACGCTCCGCTCGAATCAGTGAGGGGCGAAGTACTAGGGAAGTTGAGTTCAAGGGCTTCAGGAATTGGGTTGTCGTCCAGGCTCATGGCTTCGGGGAGATCCTTGGCCTCATCAAGAGGACCACGAGATTCCATGATGCCTTGCTGAGTTGCTTCAGAAGGTCCTGGAATACCGAGAGCGTGGTCGGTCGTCGTGTGGTATAGAATGGGGTTGTACATCATGGCGGCTTCTGTCTTTGGCTCGCCACTAAGATCAGTACAGAACTTGGCATTGTTGTAGAAAATGATGGGACCATTGTCGGTCTTCTTCTTCTGTCTCAACGACACAGTACGAATACCAGAGCTAGTCATAGCGGAAGAGTCACCACCTGGGGGAGGAGCCAAAACTGAGATTCAGTTTCGTCTTCTTCAGAAGAGACATCGCTGTCGTCTTCGCTGCTGCGGTGGAAGAAGAGAGGAGTGTAAGAAAATTTGCTGTCCTGCTTCTCCAACAGTCTACGCTTTGATGAACTCGCACCAGCCTTGTGGTGAGAAGATTTTGATCGTNTTCTGAGGGCTGGTTCCATTAAGAGAGTTGCCATAAGTCGAGGGCGAGCTTCCAGTATCGCTCGCCGATCTTGTGATGGTTCTGCCACCCTTCCAGCGAACCTTACGACCATCCTCGGAAAGCTCGAACTTTGTGCTGAAGTCAAGCAAAGCCTTCTTGGCAAACTCAGGGGTGACGTTGAGAGTATGAAGCTGGGCCATGTTGAAAAGGAAGTTCAGGTAGATCCAGCCATGACCTTCTTCATGAGCCTCCATAGTACTAGGCTCAGGTGGCGAGAAGCCGAGATGGCGGATGTATTGGAAGTTGTCACGAGGGTTCTGTGCGCGATGAGGATCAAGATCCAGAGGTCTCGTAGGTCGCTGCTGGGGTGAAAGGCCAGCAAAATCTTTNTCGGCAATGTTAAGATTGGGATCGGTTCCTTTAACGACCTCGGGTCCGCTGGCTTCTTCAGCACTCCGGTCCTCGTCATCCTTCATGATAGGAGCTTCTCTGGTGCCCTCGGTCTTCGCAATTTGACCCGTAGCCTCCAAAGCACTCCTGTCGGCCTTGGCGGCCATTTGAGAGACCTCCTGTTGTTGCATTGGGTGGTGGTGATCACCGATGCCAGCACCAGTTCCAGCGAAGATTTGCTCCAGACGACGGACGACGAGCTTCTTCTTTGAATATTCGGTCATGACTGCAGGATGTTGTGGCAACAAACCTTCAGGGATGTCGTGAAGGTAGGTCTGGATGTTGCTGGTACGAGCCTTACTAGAGCGACGGTAAGGATGTCTACTTTGCTGGCCGCTGTTAGAGTTAGAGGTGCCAGAGGCGGAAGCTGAAGCTGAATTGGAAACATAAGCAGAGTCGGCGAAGTTGGATGACGACGAGGCTGTCTTATGAGTCTTGAGGGTGGGAACGACGCGATCGTAGAGATTGCTGGTTTGGGAAGTAGGAGCACCGGTTGTCTGACCAGCAGCGCTGACAGCGAAATTGCGCAGAATGTCCTCCAATTCGCGCCTCTTTGTCGACGACAGACCGTGGACGCGGACCTCGAACAGCTTTTCGTCCTTGAGATGTGCGTCGTGCAGCTTCTCGTACTTCTTCAGACGTCTCTTGAGCTTTTTGTTCTGAACAGTAAGGTCGTCGATGACAGCACGAAAGTCTGAGCTGCCGCTGTCCTCGGTATCGTTCTTGTTCATCAGGGCATGCATTGGGATACGTGGATCGAGCATTGCGCCCGGTCCTCCGTAATTCGGAGTTTCCTCCGAGGATGAGTGTTGGAGGAAGAATGGGGGTCGTCTGGCAAGAAGGGTTAGCCAACGAGGTGCAACTGGCAGNAGGCGGCATATCGAAGACTCACTATCGATCATAGTGCTGTTTTTGCCATCGGCATTGTTGTTGGCACCGTCGAACCACTTGTCGGCGTTACTGCTCTCGCCAGAATCGGCCTTGCTCACGTTCGGCTTGTTACTCGACGGTGAGCCACTGGAGGCTACGGTCTGTGTGCTCTTGCTGTTCTTCGAGTCCGGCGAGGGGCCGTGATTGTGTTTGAGAGAGACGGAGCGCTGAGCAGGTGGCCTCCGAGGGTGAGGGGGGCGTAGGTAGGCTTCAGAAGCCATGAAGGCGAATGTGTTGTAAAGCGTCGATGTGGTTGTGTGTAATGATCAAGTACCAGTACAGATGGCAAGATGTCTAGCGTCCAGGATAGATTAGTGTGCTGGACGGAAGTGGCATATAGTTGGGTAAAGCTATGTGTTTGTTCAGGTGGGAAGGAGCGAGCAAGTGCAATAGGTAGGGAATATCAGGGAACGGCGTAGGGGCAACAGGTCCGAAGGGCAGATCAGAGCATCGAAACACCTACTTGTGATCAAGCAAGATGGCAGCCCGCAATCACAGATTCCGAAAAAGCAGATCGCCTTGGGCATCGCAGGTCGCGAGACGTATCGAGCGTCGATTCACGTGGTGGGGGATCAGAGGCCGCAACTGCCCTTGATTGACTCTGCAGGGAAGCGAGACACAATTTTGCGCCCATCGTTCTTGTTGCAACCAAATCGCCTTTCTTGGACGTGCTCTGTGCGGCCTACACGTTTCGATCCTCAGGTCCTTTTGTGAAGCCCTAGGGATCGGGCTGTCTCGATTGGAGGCCTGCGTCACCAAGACCCTGCAAAACACTCAAACACGCCTCGAGGTCTAGACCACTGAGTTCGAGACTGCGCGGCTGCTTCCTCTCCTGAATCGTTCTTGTCTATATTTCCGCCTTTCCAGACTCTTCGAATCTGCAAACTCTCCACACGTTGCTGAGTGATTTGTGAAGAAGACTTGCGCAGAACGCAGTCGCGATCCTGTCTCCTTAACTGTTCTGTGAATTCAGAGTCCGCCTTCCACCTTTTGCTCCTTGTTTGACCGAGTAAGCCACATCGGCGATGAACTCGTCTGTACGCGCCTAGATTTCCAACTACCTGTCCCCCATCATTCATCACGTCGGTCGATTCGCATCCGGACGTCTGATGGCTCCATCCAATCTCGATCGAAGGGCCGGTCGCTGAGCCGTCTGTGGTGTTCTGCGGCCTGCCATGGTCTTACCCGCTTGGTTCTCAATATCGGTAAGCTGCCGTGTATAAGCCTATTGCGCATTCCTTCGAGGGAACAACCAACTGTCTATTTGGGGCTTTGGCTTATTTCGCCCTTGCAGAACAACTGTTCCGATGCATGATCATCACACCTAGCTGTTTGGTGCTGGTTCAGCCGCACTACATCCAGCGATTCTCAGTATGCACCTCGCCAGTATGCGATGCAATTGGGATGTGATTTACTAACTTACCACTTTACCTGCAAACATGATTCCAGCTGGTGAACTTAACTACTGATGGACTGCTTCAAGAAGAATTGACGCTCTGGCGATCAGATTTGAGACTGACCATGTTGCCAGCTTGAGTTCGGAAAGCGCTCCGAGGCTGGCTGTGATTGGTCGATCTTCAAATCCCATCAGCCGCATTCACAATGTTAGAGAACTTTTGACCACTCACCATCACCTTGCTTGCACTGTCGTGAAAAATGCTCTGAAACGAAGGAGCTATCGATTGCTTACTCTTGCTTACACGCCAGCGTTAGCGTACACGAGGAAAGCTGTCGGATCGCAAATCGAAAACCCATCCCTGGAGTCTAGAGCTCTTTAAAGTGGATTATTGGTTCGATCTATCGAACAATCCGAAAGAGAGGTGGTTTTCGATTGATGGTAATTTCGACGAGCTACCAAGCAAGTTTCCAATAATTACTACAATGGTGATGGTTCATTATGCTGGTATATGGCTAATAGCTCTCCTTTTGGTTCGGCATCTCGAATTACGATATCTAAAAACACCTGGCAGCTTCATCGAGCATTCATCCGAGTTTTCGGTCCTGGCCGCAATGCGCATGCGCCATGCATTGCAATTCTCACGTCGCATAGCTATTCCACAAACGCGGAGTGGCCGCACAAACCTCAAGCCACCACAAAACACGGTCTAGTCCTTGTCAGATCGGTCGATTGCTGCTCGGATGCCGCAACCCAAGACTCACTTTCACGCGGCTCAAAACAAACGCTGGGTGCCGGCGTCGACGGATCGTTTTGACAGACTCGCCATTCCAAAAGCTTTCTCAATTGTGTTCATGTGGCTTGAGGCGGTGCGGACACATCACCGCCAGTCCGATGGTTGTCGTCGATGGTGATTTCGATGCTCTCTACCATACCAGGTTGCTTTCCACCACGTTTCACATGCAGTCGGAGCATCTCGCGCTTGCGCGCTCGGCGGTCGCGAGTCGTGGTGACTCTGGAGGACGTCGCTGACGCCCGTTGGTTACCAAGTTCGAAGCAGCCCGTCTTATGGTATGGCCATCTTCGATGTCGTCCTTGTCGTTTCCGCTCGGAGTTGCCCCCGGGGTCAGCAACCCCAACATTCTGGCATGAATCGGCGATCCAGGGTGAGAATTTGTTTTTCTTTTATTTTGCATTTTCCTGTCTCCTGCTCCTCTTCGTCATCTCACGTCATTGGAGCAAACGTCGCAGTCACCACTTTTGCTGGATTGAGCTCGAAGGAACATCTCACTTCAGCCATCTCTCGGACAACCACAATCGCATGATTGGCTTGAAATTAACGATTTGCTGCACCACGCCGATGATCTCCACTCACACAAACAATACGTGTTATAGCCCTGAAGGGTCATACTACTGTCGATTAGGTGACAGCAACTCGATGCTCAGAGCGCACTCGGCCCTGTTTCCTTCCCGGATCAAGTCTACCTCTTCATGGATGGAGTCCACTCCGTACAAGAAGAATCGACAAACCACTTGATCGACCTCTGACAAGGATTACTGTCGATGATCTCCCGATGAAAGATCTAGGACAGCCAGGAACGTCATTAGCCCTGCCATCTCGAGTCCGGAGCTCTGCTCCTGTTGATATATCCATATTCGTGCGGACTCGACTCCATAATCGCCAGCAGAGCAGATGGATGCACTCTCGATCTCAGAGAGCATGAGTCGGAGCATCGAGCGAATCACTCAGGAGATGATGGCGTCGTACGTGGTGACAGCATTGCAACACTCTCCTGACCGTCACATGCATGACCAAAGCTTTGGTGTTGGGCACGCCGCAACAAGGCAGATTGAAAAGCCAGGGTTTGACATATGCCCGTTGAAGAATCCCAATCGTCTTTTTTTCTCGCTTTCTTGGAAAGCCATCTCGAGCCGCTCTTGAGGATGAAGAATCGGAGATTTGACAGGTCAAAGGGTTTATGGACCTCGTCTGTAATATCAGGTATGTGTAGACGAAAACGAGGCACGAGGCGCTTCATAAGAGGTTTGTGATATTGTTCTCATTGTCGTGCTCGGGTATTTTGTCTGGTCGTTTTTGTGGTGGTAAGTCAGCACAGGGTCACCACCACAACATGGTTTTTCATGGTGATGTCGACGATAACATGCCTCCATTGCATTTTATATCATATCGGAACATCAAAAGGAGGTTGTATAGGTATGCTTGCCTAGATGAAGTACCTTTATGGCGGCTACTATGTGTCTACTGCCATAATCGCGATCTCGTAGGCCATTTCTTATATCTCGTCTCAGAAGCATACTATCTCAGCACTGAATTTTCGTATGCTTAGCGAATTCGATCATATTCTTCCAAGTTGGCGTCGACGACAACATGCCTCTATTGCCTTCAATACCGCTCTAGAGGTCAGAGGAGGTTGTGTAGGTATGCGTGCTTAGCTGAAGCATGTGTGTGGTGGCTAACACCAAGCATCAAGGTTCCTGCCATCTTTGATACAATCTTGGATCGGCCTATCGCAATCAGGCTATCGCATCACAACGCGTGGCTCAAGAACACAACTCTAGATACTGAGACATGCGCAGGTTTCGATAGTGATGCACACTTTATCTCTATCCTTGAGCATGTGCGGCACATACCACGACCTCATATGACAGAGGAGACTAGAGCCGCCCCCTGCAAAGTTGTCTTAGATACACCCCGAGCGACAAAACAGAGACGAGTTGTGCAGTCAAAATGCCTTTTGAGGCCTTAGAGGTTGAAGAGTTGTCTATGACTTCCTCATGTTTCTACCACCATGACTGCGTTTCGTAGGTCATTTCTCATGTCTCGTCCCAAAAGCACATCATTTCCGCATCAGATCATATGCATAGCGAGTTGGATATCACATCAACATGAACACGAGAGTTTGAAAAACGGAATTAGATGTACGCTCTGCTTGATATGCAGAAGATGAAGAATAACTTTTCGTGTGAATCGATATTACAAGGTCGATGAAGCGTTACGTCTCTTCGATCAGAGAAACTCCTCGTTGAGTATGTTCAAGTCAAACCTCGAGACCCAGTCCATGTGATGCGAAACCCCTAAGCCTCCTTGGTTACTTCGTCTTCCACCTTTGCCTTCTTGCTTGTTGCTTCCTGAGTCTCGTCTTCTAGCTTTCTCTTGCTTGCTGAAGCGGCAGCGGCGGCGGCAGGCTTCTTCTTCTTGATCAGACCGCTGAGGTCGTTGGCGTTTGCTGTTGCTTCTGCGATGCGCTGTTTTTGGTCGGCAGGGGTTTCACCTAGCATACCGCCCAGAATACCACGCAGAGGGTTCTCCGCAGCGCCGACGGGTGTCTTGAGATCGATGAGCNNTGTAACAGATGTTAGTTGTGGTGTGACACATATTTGTGATGCTGAACTTACGCGTTGCTCCATCTCGGACATCATTTCCTTGACGTCCTTGATCTCCTTCTTCTTTGCTTCTTGCTTGTCGGCCGGGTGGGATGACAGAGTGGATTCTTCCTTCTCGACTCGTAGGCGGCAAGACTCGATGGCTGACTCCATGTGTGTAACTGCTTCCTTGCGCAAATCTTCATCAACAGTTTCTTCTTTCTGAGCACCCTGCTCCACTGCCTCTGCATTTGTTGTAGTCACCGAGGCAAATTCCATGGCAAGTGCCAGCTTGAAATGTGCTTCTGCGAGAAGGCTAGACTCTAGAGGGTACAGCTTCTGCTTCAGCTCGAGTGCTGAGCGACCTTCGGCGACGGCTTCAGGGAAGTTCTCGTTCTCCATGGACAGTTCAGCTTGGAGGTCGTGCGTGTCTGCCAGACGGTCCATGACTTGTCGTGCTTCAGGGTTCTCGACCAGTGTTTCCTTCCCCTTGCCTTTACCGTCGAGGTGCTGTGGTGTCGTTTCAAGCTTGCGGGTGAGAAGGACGCGTGCAATGTCCAGGATCTCATATGCGATAGCAAAGTCATCATCTTCTTCCTCTTCCTCGCCATCCTCTTCAGCATCGTCACCTTCGTCTTCGCTGTCTGTCCAGTTCTCATCGCCGGTGATTTGGAAGAAGGGCTTGTTCGCAGTTTCTTTTTCCTTGTTTGTAGCGCTGCTATCCTTCTCGTCCACGACAGCCTCGACAACCTCCTCTGCCATCTTCTGGTCGCCGTCCTTGAGCGCATCGTTGCTGGCAGCACTCGACTTTGTCTTGCGCTTCTTCTTCTGAGGCTCTCCACTGCCAGCGACTTTGTTTCCTAGTACGTCGCTCTTGCTGACAGCCAGGTGGTACAAACAGCGACCGTATTGGTAGAGCAGATCGGCGTTATCCAGCGACATTTCACCGTTCAGCTGCTCCTGCAGCTCTGAGGCTTGCGAGTAGAATTCCGAGGCAGCGGCATAGTTCTTGAGCGAGTATTCCTTGGTTGCGGCAGCTTGTAGTCTGGCGAGATTTGCTTGTGCTTCCTCTCTGTTCTCGATCTGAGGAGTTTCTTGAGCTGACTGCTCTTCGGCGACGGTGTCGAGTGGCTGTTGTTGTTCGGGCACCGACATGATGACGTGTGATATCAAGGTCTGATAAGAAGTTGCAGACGTAAAATAGTCGTCAGTAGATAGTTGTAGCAAACAAAAGTGTAAGATGGACAATGTTTGGTCAGTTGCTCGGCCAATCACATGAAGATTGACGTGAAAGCACGCGCGCCTTCCGCGTCGACGCGAAGACCACTTTAGGGAAGTCGCGTCCACCACAAATCAATCGACAACACAGAAGACCAGTTACTCTCAAGATGGCAACCACGATTCGCCTGCAAGAGAATGCTGTTCCTTCCTCAAGTCCTGCCTTTGGAACACCTGTCCATCCCATCCACCCCCGAGACAAACGACCTCCGATTCCTCCGCCAGCATTCAAACCTTCGATCCCTACCATTCTACCAATCCTCCTTCCGCCTGCCAGTCTGAGACCTTTGGCCTTCCGCACATTCACCAAGAAGCACAATCTCACGCTCAGCTCTCCGGCTTTACAATCATTAGCAACCTTCATCGGCAAACATTGTGGCTCTGGATGGCGTGAACGAGGAACAGCAGAGGGTGTCCTCGAAGAAGTCGCAAAAGCATGGAAGAAGAGTGGTGGCAGCTTGATTGTCAATGATGGCTCCTTGCTCAAAAACATCCTGAAGACTATCGAGAGCTTGATGACGGGCGGCAAGGTCGCTCAATCAAAATCAAATTTAAGCAGACAAAGTAGTTTCGCTTTCGCCGGAGAAAGTCAAGACCTTTCGAGACGATCCAGTCTTGTCGAAACTTCTTTTCAATCACAAGACGTTGGAGAGGACGATGATGCAGACATCCAAGATCCTCGAGCATGGATCAAGGTCGTCAGTGCCAACGAACAGCCCAGGTTGAGCTACAATGTCCACAAGAAGCACTTCGAGAAGATCACAACAAAATCTTCTCTCCTTCCTTCACCAGCTCACCGAACACAACTCTTCCGCGATCGTTTCAACCTCATCCATCAGCGTCTGATGCGCAATGAAGCCTTCCAAGCTCCTGCAATAGCCAATACCCGCTCTCTTAAACGTCAAGATTCAACTTCTGTACAACAGTTCTACAAAATTACCCCGATTGCAAACCTCCTGGGTAGAACCGGCAGTAACCATGTCTTGCTTGGCATGCTGGTCATTACCCCCACTGGCACTCTGGCATTGAATGATCTAACTGGAAGCATTACTCTGGACTTGCAGCATGCAAAGCCTCTACAGGGCCTCGATTCGTCATGGTTCTGTCCTGGTATGATCGTCTTGATCGAAGGTGTATACGAAGAGGAGTACTCGGGAGCCGGTGCTAGTGGTCTAGGTGCTGCCACTGGTGTCGGTGGTACCATTGGAGGAAAGTTCATCGGCTTCAGCATTGGCGGCCCTCCATCTGAGAAACGCAGTGCAACACTAGGAATCGCCGACTCAACCAAACAACCAGATGTTGGCCTCGGAGGTGGTTTCGGCTGGACAGACTTCCTCGGTTTGGGCAGCGAAAAGGTCATGGGAGCAAAGATGCGCAAGCTAGAGAAACGACTTCTCGCTCCTACAGACGAGCAAGCCTCTCAACAACGCAAGATGGTCATACTAGGTGAGGTCAATCTCGATGATCCATCATCCCTAGAGGCTCTGCGCGCTGTTCTGCGTGTTTACGCTGCAGAGGATGAACTTGCACCTTTGTGTTTCATGCTTCTAGGCAATTTCGTCAGCCATCCAGTCATGGCTGGCGGTGGTAGTGGTGGCAGCATCGAGTACAAAGAGTACTTCAATGACCTCGCCACTGTACTCTCAGACTTCCCTGCACTCTTGCGAACCTCAACGTGGGTCTTCGTTCCTGGTGACAACGATCCTTGGGCTTCTGCCTTCAGTGCTGGAGCCAGCAACCCCGTTCCACGCCCTCCCATCCCTGGTCTTTTCACCAGCCGAGTAAAGCGTGCTTTCGCTGCTGCAAAATCAGAAGCACCTCTCCCGAAATCAGACGACAACAATGTACCTGTCGAGCCAATCTGGACATCCAACCCGGCACGTGTATCGATTTTCGGCCCAGCCCACGAAATCACGGTCTTCCGAGACGACATTTCCAGTCGTCTGCGTCGCAACGCGATAACCTTCGGCAAAGCTACCACCGCAGAGGATGAAGATGATGAAATGGCCGATTCGATGCCTGCGGAGATCCCTACACCTACACAAATCGCTCGTAAACTCGTTCTCTCCCTACTGCCACAATCGAGTCTCTCACCCTTCCCATTGTCTACGCGTCCGGTGCTTTGGGACCAAGGCAGTGCAATGAGCTTGTACCCTCTTCCGCATACTTTGGTATTGGCTGATTCTGAGGCACCAGCATTTGCTGTCACGTTCGAGGGCTGTCATGTGCTGAATCCTGGACGACTCTGTAGAGACGAGGGAAGAGGTAGACGGGTCGCCTGGCTCGAGTATGATTGCTGGGCTAAGAGAGGTGAAGTCAAGGATATCTGGTCGTCGTGAGCGAGTCAAAGAGAAATTGTTAGGTGGTTCAATGCATAGCGGTGGTGTTTTTTTTGTCAATGGAAGACTAGTGGGCATAACATATGTAGAGCAAATGAACATCACGATTGACTGGTATAAATTCCTTCCTTTTCTAGAAGCACTTTTCTTAAACATTGTCTCTATTACACTGGATCGGGAAAGGAGAGACAAGCTTGCTACATGGCTCTTGACACTTCGGAAAAGATGAAAATTCGATACTACTATATCCAAAGGAAACTTTTATCTTCGTAAACAGGACATCAGTATTAGCAAACCCGAACTGCTGTACTCATCAAGCACCCTCCATCTAAGCAGAAGCAGTGGTAGCAACAGGAGCAACACCATCACTGCACACACAAGCAGCATTGCTAGTCAACGGCGGACCATTAGTACACCAAGCACCCGCATCCCAAGGCACAGTCGTCGTAGTAGCACCACCATCAGCCTTAGCAGTCTCCGCCTTGACAAACACCGGAATGACAGCACCAGTAACCAGCGAGAAAGATCTGTGACCCAAAACCCTGAGCAAAGAACTAGCCTCTCCACTGTGAGTGGTGATAGAGATTACAGAGGCATCCTCACTAGCGGAAAAGATTTGATCGAGAGCGATTTTGGAGCGATAGTCTTGGGCTGAGGAAGATTCTTCAGTGATGCCGTTCCAGAGTTCGTCTGTTTCGGTGAAGGTGGATTCGATCTTCCACTCAGGGAAGAGATTGTGGATGTAAGTCTCATTGCTTCTGTGGTCGCAAGTATGAGTGCTAATCCCCTCGCGAATCAATTCCTTGATTTCAGGAACAAAGTTATCCAAGCCCAGACCTGCAAAAGTGTAGTTTGCAGTTTTGAGGCAACGCGTCAAGGGAGACACGTAGAACGCCTGAGGAGTTTGAATCTTCTGCGCTGAGATTTCGTGGGCCCAGAAGGAATTGGCTTTGAGGGCTTGAGCAACTCCATTGGGGGTGAGGTCGGCGTCTTCCCAGGTCACGGTGCTGTTGCCATTTTGCTGGCTCCAGTAGCAGTTCCAGGCGGGAGTGCCGTAGTAGGTTTGGGCTGCGTTATGGTAGCCTTCGCCGTGGCGACCGATGAACAATAACTTGTAAGCCACGTTGGCGGGAGATTGGCTGTTTAGGTAAAACAAGTAGTTGTTGAAGCGCTGCCATTGAGTCATTCCGGCATCGTAGCCTGTGTCGGTTGAGTAAGTCTGATTGATGAGACCAAAGTTTGTAGCAGTCTAGGAAGTGTGTTAGCAAAGACTGAAACCCCCTGAGATGCCACCGTCGCAACTCACGTAGTCAAAAGTGCTGGGGACAGTGCTGGCGAGATCCTGAAGGAAGAAGCCAGCCATATTAGTATAGTTAATATACTCAGTACCCTGATTAACAGTAGGCACCGAAGCCGTAGCAGGAGCCGTAGAAGCCGTGGGTTCAGAAAAAGTAGCAGCCTTAGTAACACTGCCGTCAAAAGAAGTAGTAGGCGTGTATGAAGAATTGCCAAACGAGCTTGTAGTAGTCACAGGTGCATCTTTGATCTTGCGAGCACCTCTGATACCCTTGTTGACGAGTGGCTTGTTGAGTTTCTTCTTCATGTAGCAGGCGGTTCCAGACATGCTGATATCGATACAGCCTTCAGTGGCATCGCATGCATTGATACAGTCGCCGATTCTGTTGCTGGCAATGTTGACAGACTTCAGATCACCACCTGCATAGTCGATACCACACTCCACAACAAAAGTGGCACCGCTCTTGGCGATGAAGATGTTGTTGTTGGCCTCAGGGCAGGTAGGGTGGGTAGAAGTGGGTTGTACCGAAGAGTCTGTGGAAGAAGCAATCGAGTATGAAGAGCTAGAGGTGGTGCTGATGGCTTTGGCATCGCTCAGTGCAAGTAATGAGATGGCAATGGAAGCCAGAGATACAGATGTGTACACCATCTTGATCGTGGGTTGCAACAAGGATGCAAATTGAATGACCTACCTGAGTGTCTGCTGGGGCCGGCTGACCTAGATATACTCTGCCATTGTTCTTGGAATAGGGGATAGAAGAAGACGGCTTTGAGCACTTGCAACAAGATAGCGAATGACATGATGTGCAGAAGACACGCCGTGTGCTCGCGTGCCTATTCTTGCGTAGGCCGTCGTAGTAGATCCACGAAATGCTCGGGTGAGGTCGAGTTGATGAGGACGGCTGGGCGATGTGGAGGTGTGCGAAGTCATCGCGGGCCCAATCACAAACCCCACGTGCTTGGATACCACTTCTTTACGAGATATTAACACTTCTCAAGGAAGCCTCAGACCCGCAATCAATCTCGGAACTCATATCGGTAAGGCATAAGAAGCGATCAAGAGAGATTTCATTCAACAGCCGAAAGCATAACACGCGTGGATAAATGTAAAAGTTTTGTTCATTGGCAACGTTAAAGATAGACCACGTGAAATGGTCCAAAAACACTCTACCTCCTCGCTCCTCGTCAAGCACGAGTTGATCTCTTTGTGCTCTTGTAACTCAAAAGGTTTACAACGTCCCTCGTGTCGGACCGGAAAAACGCCAGTAATAGCAAGCAATGATGGACAAGAAAAGAAATTATAATGCGCCTCTGCACTGGCTGGCGAACTCGATCTTTTCTCTGAAGAGACAGGCAGGGACGCAAAGCGGTAGTGTGAAAGGCATACCACAACATAACGCGTGTTTAGTCAAGAGTATAGTTGTGACGAGTGCGCTCGACATCCTTGCGCATGGTTTGACCAGAGCCTGTGAAGCCCACNTGTACAGACGTCAGCAAAAGAACAAACGATTAGATGTAGATAAACGTACCTCTTGCGGTAGGAGCTTCACCTGTGCGGAACATGCTCTCTTTCTGGACAACCTTGGCAGCTTTACCTGTAGAGGCCTTTGATTGCCAGGACTTCCAGTTGTTCTTACTAGATTCAAGCGCCTTGGAGGTCTTCACCTTCTTTGGAGGCTTTTTGTCACCGTCTAGCGGCTTAATCTGATCCCTCTTTGCAGCGCTTGCTAAGGCAGGATTGATGTTGGCTTCGGCAGAGATGACACCGGGGATCGGAGTGCTGACTGTGGGTGTAGATGGTACGGAGACTGCAGGAGAGCCATCAGCTTTGCGCTTCTGAGAAGTCGAAGATGAAGCTGTCGGGAGAGGGCGCAAGTGTTCTTGACGCAATGTTTCAGTGCCCGAGTAGCCCTTGAAGTTGACAGTGTAGATGGGGGCAGCTGAAGAGCCGGTAACGGAAATGATGCGGGCTTCGTAGAATTGCTTGTCGCCTGCATATTTTGCCAGCACCGTATCGTTGACCTTGAACGAGATGGGGGCTTTCTTCTCTTCGACTGCAGGAGCCGCAGTTGGCGCCTGTTTGCGGAATGCCGGGTGATTCTCCTTGCTCCATTTCTCGCTGGACTGGGCGGGTTCTGGTTTACTGGCGGAAGGTTCTGGCTTGAGTGCGGCAATTCTGGAGTCGACGTCTTGGAGCAGGGCGACGATCTCTGCTTTCATGGCGAGGGCATCTTCCAGATCAGGCACCTCGGCGAGCATCTGCTCGACTTCGACGAGCNNTACGATGGTCAGTCAGTATAGTTCATCATCACACTAGCATGGACAACTTACGTTGCGCTCATAGTCGGCGCGTTCTGACTGGAGCTGGGCGAGACTCATCATGTGTTCAGTAGAGTTCTGTTCGTTGGTCGTTGAGGGGTGGTACCAATCTGCCCTGCGTCTTTCTTTGGGCTCGGCGTTGTATTATTCCAGCAGCACTGTCACCTCTCAGAATGCGCTTCACTCTGATCAAGTAGAAAGTTTGTCACGATCGAAGGACGACTCGGCGAGCGCGCAAATGGCGGAGCGACGGCAATGACGCTCGGTGCACGGACTCTCGGTTATGGGTCCCACCTGCCTTCTGCAAAGCTGTCACCTTCCTGCTCCTGCTCTCTCTGCCCTTCACCCAACCATAAACACATCACATATCAAAACATGATTGCCAAATTATATATTCGCATATGTTGAGTATGCTGCTAAACTGCTTAGAAAACTCGATCCTTGACGCCTTGCCTGCCATGTCTCCTATTCCAATCTGACGGCCGCATACCATGCCCAACAACCTATCAAACGCCTGTCATGCCTAATGTCCAACGCCATGCCACCATCCGAAAACCACAAGAAACGCTCAAAGCATTCTCACAAAAGATACGCCATGTCCCAAATCGACTGCCTGTTCCACTGCTTGATGCCCATATCCTTCACCAATTTGTCCATTCTCATTTCGAGCGCTTCGCGAAGCCTTTCGGCATACTTGTCTGACCGTCCACTCGCGTCGACACGAATGTATTCGATCTCGTAGCCATTGTTGCCTTTTGCAGAGTACCGCAGACGGAAGCAAGCACTCGCGTCACGATGCCATTCGTTGTATGCATCCTTGTACACCCCGCGTGCAATCTGCACAAGCACCACTGTCTTGATCTTTGCGATCTTCTCATTGGTCATGTTGTCAAGCCATCTGGGGACTCCAGTGTTGAAAGAGCTGTAAGGGTATGCAATCGGCGCATCCATAACCGGCCGAGGATGGAAGTTGATCGAGTCGCGGCGTCTGACAACAAAGTCGTTCTTTTGGTAGAAGATGGGTTGACCTTCAAAGCGCGCTAGCCTGCAGCTTTGTAGGAATGCCGGTTCCTTGGCCGAATCTTGACTTGCATGACGGCTCGTGCTCTTGCGCATGACTGCTGATACTCCGTCGTTGACGCAGGCCATGCCGTATATCATTTCCCGAAGTTCGTAGGGAAGTTGGAAGATGCGACATTGTTGTTGTGTATGGATAGGATACTCGTCGATGGTAGGTGGCCGGAGCGGTAGTTCCGCTGTTGTGCTAGTAGTGACCAAGTCGAAGGGGTCTGATACAACGGTATGTGCTGGNGAGGGAGAGGACATCCTCTGGCGTTTGTATCTTGCACCCTCATCTTCAAAGTTGTCTGCCCATGGGGCAGCGGTCATGTTGGCTAACATTTGGGCATGAAGGAGCTGAGGGAAAAGAAAGGACATGCCTCATCTTGTGTTGGTCACACGGTCGCATTAAAATACTTCCCCTCAATGACCGACGACATCCTTGGCAGGGACTATTGGGTGAAAGGGTTGCTTCTTCCCTTGCGCCAATTAGCTATCGTTATCTGAGTAAAGAAATGAGAGTCATGGCCCGGACAGGGTTCCAGAGTTGATAATTGCAACGCGCGGTCCGAAATAGAGGGGTTATGCATAGCGATCAACTCTGTTGCTTGGTCAAGGTCGGTCAAGACAGCCGAAGGCCGATCCGGATACATGCCTGAAAGTGATACGAAGGATGCCCGATAAGCATGGCTAGGGTCGACGAGTTCCGTATCAGGTAGTTCCTCCTTGCTGGTGGCGGAGCATCACCGATAGTCCTAAGCTCGCTACTACAGCACTCCGGACCATCGGTGATAAGAGATAGCCCTACAGATCCACGGAGAGCAGAATTCAAGGGTCCAGCCTCTTCAGGCGGTTTAACCAAAGCGGGTCAAACATAGTCGGTGCGGGGGTCGTGCGTTGAACCGGACTGGACAAACACGACTCGGGCCTTTGTGTCAACCACCGGATGAGGCTTGGAGAAACATTGCAGGGGGCACATTTTGTCTCGTGTCTTTCAGGCCATCAAACTTAGCATACCGCAATGCCTTTTCCCTGACTTCCTGAGAAATTGCGAGGAAGCGAAGTCGGAATCCAGAACTTTGATCAACGAGAAGGACATGCCGGTGGTCCGAGACGCGCAGAGTACAGAATACACACCTTTTCGTGCGTCTGTGACTGTGACTCGGAGAGACAAGCCCTGGCAAGCGAGAACGAATGCTGGGATTCGCTTGGTTGAAAGAGGCACACAAGTTTGGAGTGCGTTCCATGTGAGCAATGACTGGTCAGTCTTACGTTGGATCATGTACCTGTGGTTTCCTAATACAGTCAGGTACTGTGTTGCAGGCGAAGCACAACTAGAATCCTGTGCTTTCTACCAAACATGATCACGGGGTTGGACCAGTCATAGAACAGAAAGAGCTCTGCCTTCGATAGTCTGAGAGTCTGAAACACGGGTGACATGGAATCACATGTGCGCCCACGGAAGATACATAGGAACAAAATCAGAGACAGGGTTGCAAGAGCAACTGAGAGAGGCAGAAAGAGAGAAAAGAAAAAAGAAGGAAAAAGAGAGCAGAAAAACAAAAATACGGACGGTTAGGGCAATCCTTCTAAAAGTGGAGGGACGCGGAGTAGAATGCCGTAGAAGACACTAGGTAGGCCACGTGCAGGAAATGGAGGGAAGCAAGTCCGAGCAGCCATGCGACGACAATCAGAGGGATGAGAGAGTATTCTCGAGATGTCACAAGTCGTAAAGGTATAGCGAATGCAAAGATGAGCTGAAGAAGGCGAAAGTCGTTGAAACAGGTGTGATTGTCGATGGGCGAAGAGTTTGGACGAGTTTGGATGGTCTGGGCAAGGGCGTGTTGGATTTCTAAGCACCATAAGGTCCTACGGCGGTAAGAGCCGGGGCAACTGAGGAAGGAGGGCCCTGTCGGCCTGCGGTGTCCACATTTGCTCCTGCCTCAAGTCTCTGCCCCTCAACGCTTACGCTGACTCTGATCTTGCAATTCGACATTCGCATCTTTTGCCGCAAACAATTGGAAGCCAAACACATACCGCTCGCGAGCCCTGGACGGCGATAGCACCGATATCGCGATAGCTTCATAACTGCATCATCCGAAAGTCAAAGCGTGTTTGCCTGGCCGCTGAACTGGTCAATCGCTCAGCCTCAACTCGTTTTCGACTGGTCTGAACCGCGTCTCTGGCTCTTTCTTCTCAGCGCACGATAGTCGCATTCGCGTCAAACAATCTTGACCGACCTCGATCGCATTTGACCGTCCTCTCCGCTCTGGTATCATTCGTACGACTGTGTCAGAAATGGCGGGGCAGACGACCGGCAATCAGCCTTTCAACCCATACCTTTCCAACGCACAACAGGAACTGCTTCTTGCCGCATTGGCTTCAAACAACCCATCTACCAATCGCGACAAATCCAAGCCTTCTACCGACATGAACCCTCTCGACTTCGACGACACCAGCCCTTATCTCGAGTACCTGGATGGCGACACTAGCTTCGATTTCGACGCTTCCGATCTTGGCGGCCAACACATGTTCGACAACATGGGTAGCAATGCCAGTAACAAGTCCGACTCGACTGATGGTGACAAGCCTGACAAGCGTAAGAGCCCGGAAGAAAATTCACCAGAGGATGAGGTCGACGCCAAAAGAAGAGAAGGTGAACCCAAGGAAGCCAAGAAGCCTGGTAGAAAACCTCTGACTTCGGAGCCTACTACTGTAAGTTAACTATTGTGTGCTGCTCCAATGCTATGGGGCTGATATGTGCAAAAGAAACGCAAGGCTCAGAACAGAGCTGCTCAGCGTGCTTTCAGAGAACGTAAAGAAAAGCACCTCAAAGATCTTGAAACCAAAGTCGAGGCTCTTAGCAAAGCTCAGGAACAGGACAAGCATGAAAATGGTATCCTCCGTGCACAAGTCCAGCGTCTGCAAACCGAACTCGGCGAGTACAAANAGAGAATGTCTTATGCCAGTGGAGGCATTGCTGCACACTCACCCCCTTCAGTCGCTCGCGCCGCGTCGAGAAGCAACAGCAATTCTCAAACCGACTTCCAGTTCGACTTCCCCAAGTTCGGTGCGCTTCCCGGCAACCAACTTTTCGGAAACAATATCCAATCTGCCCGTGAGAAGACTGTTAGCCCACCTGCAGGTCCTACTGCCACTCTACCGAGATCGAACAGCATGGGCAGAAACCCAAGTCCTGGAACTCAAATCAGTAACCACCAGATGACCTCAGGCAACAACTCTAGAAGTGGCAGCATGAACAAGGGAACGAACAGTCCCCTTACTCAAGTATCGGCCGTTGGCACCACTTATGGCGACTTGTTCAGTCCATCTACTCTTGGAAACCTCAACAACGACTACTTGCAAAGCACCAACAACAACAACGATAACCACGCGTTTGCTCAGTACGCCGACAACGGCACTGACAGCACTAGTGGCATCTCTAGAGTCTTCAGATTCAACAGTGGTTCTGGCTCTGGCACAAACTCCAACCAGTCGCCTTCGGTGCCTTCTTTGACACACTACAACACTAATTCGTGTAACACATCTTCATGCGGAACCTCTCCGGAATCCGCAAACTCTCCTCCATCCGATGTCAACAAGTCGGGTGTCAACGACTTCAACGACATGTACTCTCTCAAGCCCGTCACCTCTAATTACACACAAAGTAAGCTAGCAGAGATTATGATCGCTCTGCCCATATCTGACTTGACTTCAGAACCAGCCCAGAACGACGCAATTACTAACGCTTCAACACCTGGCTTTGACTGGCTCGCCACACAGAACAATGGCCAATTTGATCCCGTCCTCTTTGGTGATTACCGCGAGAGCCAAGATGCCATTGTCGGCGATGGTGACTTCAATAGCGGTTTCTTCGAGGCCGCCTTCCCTTATGATCTGAACACACCCTTCGCCATGACCGACTTCTCTTCTCCCAAGACCGCCCAGCAAACCTCGGCAAGCGCAAACTTGCTGGCAGAAGTTGAGAAGTGTCGCGAGGGTGGTGATGATGACATCTACTTGCCAAAACAGGAGTCTATTCAGCAAAGCCAGAACGAGATGAGCTTAAAGTCTGCCGAGCAGATGCTCAATTGCAACACGATTTGGTGCGTGGATCCTCTTAACAACAATGCTTACATCGACACTAACACCTCCCCAAGGTCGCAATTACAATCCAACCAGGACTTCAAGGAGGGCAAGTTCGATCTCGACAACCTCTGTGCCGAGCTTCGTGCCAAAGCCAAGTGCTCAGAGTCTGGTGTCACCGTGCCATCGGAATATGTGGATGCCGCCTTCAAGAAGCTGTCGGGAACCAATGAACAGCCTCCTCTCGACGACTACCATGCCACACATAACCAAAAGGGTATTGATTATCTCTTCAATCAATACTCTGTTGATGAAGCACTCAAGAAGTTAGCAGGTCAACGATGATGGCTCAAAAACGTTCGGCCAGAAAAACTTCACGTACGACATGACGGATGGGTAAGGGCATAAAAAGCCTTTGGGTCGGGGGAGGGGAAATTTGGAATGGTGGATTTTGTTTTCTGGGAACTACCCTTTGCCTTTATATCGGCATGATCTCTGCTCAATCGCTGTTTTGAGAAACGATCGATCGGCGCAGATAGTTGGGACAGGCGTTGTCTATTTGTTTTCGCTGTCATTGGTCAAGACAGATGCCAAAGTAGCCTCTGGGACCACACATTCATTTGACTCCTTAAGAACATGATTGATCATACGCACATCCTTCATCTATCTCGCTTTCTTCCAGTTGCAAGCCTGTGAGAAGACACGTTCTGGCCTGAGTGCCTCGTGGCATTAACTTAGCATGACTCTTCTCTCATCAGCTCAACAAGGATGAGATCAATGTTTCGTCGGCCGAAGTCTGCCGACATTGAGGAAGCATTGACAAACTCGAGTGCTGAAACACAAAGAATTTGGGCAATCTGGGGAACGAGTTTCAGAACAAGCTTCTGCATCGACCCCCAAAAGATTCCTTCTTCAGGTCCCTGATTTTGACGACTCTGATGAGCGCGTACCTGTTCTAGGAAGCCTGATACATGTGTTTCAGTACCTGACTGCTTAAACTGGACGGCACTTCAATGTATATCACGAGTCAGTTCGCTGCGCGGCATCCTCTTTTACCAACACCAATCTACCATATCGATTTGCTGCACGCGAGATTCGCATCTCATGACAGTGGGCACGGCAGACCAATATGTTGAGCTATGAATCTCTCGTATGCAGCAAAGCGGAGAGCTATATGCACAGTCGTTGTCCGTCCAAAGCTCAAAATATTTCGTGCATGCAAGAAGACACGTCCGGGAGGATGATCGACCGCGGCCGCGAGCCGGACAGGCCACTGGTGCTTGACTTCGGGTTAGCGTGCCAGGCCGTGCCTTGTGCGCTATCGACCTAGGACTGTGATTTTCTCGGCTGGTTGTTTCGGCTACCCTTTTCTATGCTGTCAATAAATCCATCCGCCTCGAAGTGGCCTTAAGCATGAGACCTCACTGTTTCGAGGACTCCGTGGGAATGGGTCCGATGTTAGGCGCTCCACGATGCCCTCACCACGTTCATGACAGGTGCTTAGTGCAAGATGTTAGATCGGTCGAATAGAAAGAGCTGTGTCATGGCATTGTTATATCTACTTGTTGCCCTGCTTGCTGCGTGGTAACTCTCAATCTGTTCGCACGCCGCTCACATCCCTTTCAAGATGAAGCCCACAAATATTCTTCTCCCTACTCTGTTCGCATTGCAAGCAAGCGCGGCACCCACACACTACCAACCACCGCGCCTCAACGCTACAGTATCATTCCCATACAACGGCACCGATCTCGACCCCATCCCACGATCATCATGTCTTGCGAAATTGGAAGGAGCTCTCGAAGATCTCACCAGTTCCACCATATCAATTCTTCTCGGATCCTCAACGACAATGCTCGGCTATGCGTTTTGCGGCCTCGCCATGCCAGCAGAGTCATGGGAAACATGCACAGATTTTGCTGTCATTGGCGGCAGCGTTGTTGGTCTCTCACATCTGGCAATTTGGAAGTTCCCCGAGATTCTCAACGACATGAATCTTTATACTTCGACAGCCAGACCTTGGGAGGGTGCTGACACTGTTTGGGGCGAGAACGATGGCCCTAACGCTAAAGTCGAGGTTAAGCCTCGTGTGGAAATTATCGACGCGAATCTGGGAGCATGGCCTTGAGCAGAAATGCCTCATGGTTACTACACACCTCTTCATCTGGCAGTGCTATTCTGCTGCCACTTCATTGACGGTCAATTACGGATCCTCTTCTGCAAGTCGAGCCACGAGCTTGTGCGGTACTGGCTACCACATGCGACACAAACCAGAACCAGCCACGAGAACCACAATCATACGGAGCACATCGAAGCCTCCGCTACGCAGATCATATTGCGAGCTTCCACCACAAGGACAATGACTCTCCTGGCGAGCATCAGCCCAATGACCAAGAAGAAACACCACACCGATCATTCTACTTACGACCTCACATCACACCCAGCTGCCGGCCAGCACGCCTACACATTTCGGAGTTATCAAAAGTTCTCGACGCGCTATCATCCTAGAGATGCATACACCTTTCCTTTGTTAGATTATCATGTCATGTTACGATACCCACGAAAGTCATACAAAACCTCTCAGATAGTTTACAGTGTAGATCAGTCTCTGCAAACAAAAGCTCATTGATTCTCCTCTTTAAGAAGACCCTTGTCTACCTATCCCTATTCTGTTCTTCTGTTTTTATGTCCATTTCATGAAAGCATCAGGGCCTATGTTTCTTGTCTTGTACGTTTTACTTCTTAGGTGCAGCCATAACTGTTCCTCGTTGTATACTGAGATTAATTCAAGCACTTCAATCTGCATCAGCATATCCAAGCATGTCCAGAAAAAACCTATGCTAGCATACTAAACAAACCTCAAGATCAACACACTCCTAGTCAACACCATCCTATTCGTCTTCTAGAACAAAATGATATTCTATCTAGCCCCTTGTCTTCTTCATCGACTGGTCAGATGGCCGAGTGGTTATGGCGCTAGTTTCAGGCTCACCTGAAATGAGTTTACTAGTGAGAAATCGCGTGGGTTCGAATCCCACTCTGATCATCATCCTTTTGTTCACGTAGCACACGTTCTATAACAATCAAGGTTGTTGTTTTGTGCTGATGATCTGCTTTTCTAATGTGATGTTGAAAATTTGCTTGGAGTGGGTGTGGAGCCAGAGAACCTTGGCGTAACGGGAAGCTTGGACGTGACCCTGGCGATGATTTACCATCAGGGTGTCTGGAGAGAAATGGGTGGCCTGTATGAATTGGAAGGGAATCTCGAAAGCTATTAGAGATTGAGTGACTCCACAGTGTGGGAAATCACTGAAACCTACCTAGCCAACAGATAGTCAAAAGAGTCAAAGCAGAAGCAGGTAGAAAGCAGACGAATAGGCAAACGCAAGAACACTGATTGCAGGTCCAGAGAAGGAGACGAAAAACGTGATGATTGATTGACGAAAGAGCAAGGGGGAAAAGAAACGCTAATGATGATATGATGGCCCATCCAAACCAAAGCCCAAAGGAACAAACCATGTCCCTAAACACCACCAATGATCCTGAGTTGTGATATCCAACGCTAGCTGATGATGAATAAAGAAATCCAAATCGCCTTTTGTTTGGAACCGTGATGAAAAGACCCAATGTATACTCCATCCAAGGATGACTGAAGCGTCCAAAAACATAATGATGAGAAACCGAGAAGTGACCAGAGAGTAAGAAGAGAACAACACCTAGAGCACCTTTGGCTTCATCCACTCAGAAGTGCCGACACCGAGATTCAAACCATTGCGCGCCCACCATCGCCTGACTTCCATGCCTTTTCTGCCTTCGACGCCATCTTCGAGCGCCTCCTCGACATCGCAGGTCTTATACTCGACCCTAAGACCACTCTGCTTCCACCATTCGAGGACATTCACATGTCCCATCTTGGTGGCACCGACCAGGACCTGGTTGTCAAAGATCATTTTAGAGCCCTTGACGGCATGCCAAACCTTCAACACTTCAACATGCCCGTGTGTGCTCGCGAGCTTGGCAACAGAGTCCTCGTGAGGGAAGGGAATACCAGAGTTTACCCACCAGCGCACAACGTCTGCATTGCCTGATTGTGAGGCATAACAGATTGACTTGCCGGGCTTCAGGCGAATGGGCTTGGTGTCGTCGTCAGGACTTGAGGCATGATGATGGCGTTGGGAGAGTTCGCGCCACCACTCCAGAACTGTGATATGGCCAGCTGAGCTGGCTTGTTCCAGGGCAGCTTCGGTGAAGACCAAGGTGAGACCAGATTTNTGCCACCACTCTAGTACGTCGATGAAGCCTTGTCGTGATGCGCCATCCAGAGTCTCGGCTGTGTACTTCTTGTTCAAAAACCAGGCTGAAGTGTTCCAGTATTCCAGAATTTCGACTCGACCAAAGACCGAGGAGGCTTTATCAGGAAGAAAAGTGCCGTCAAAAGTGGTCCAGAAAAGATCTTTGTGATGGGATTCCAGATGTGAGAGGACAGAGGTCATGCTAAATCGCATGATGACTTTGATGCAGAGGCGAGATAGCCAGCGTGGTACAGAGTTATCAGCGATGAACTTCTTAAGATCCGATAGGTTCCCTGTCAGCAGCGTCCATTCAAGTTGCTCCATGTATGTTGTTGGACCTCTAGTACTGGCATGTTGTTGCCATTCGGAAGGTGGTTCAAGGTTAGTATAAATGTGTAATGTTTTGGCAAGCTCCCAGTCGTTGGTTGCATCGATGATCATAGACCACAACTCGGGTGGTAGGACAGTGCGTGACTTCTTGGAGCTGCTCTTGAAAGTAGTCGAGGAAGCATTAGGCGTGACATGAACACCGTGACCGATATTCATCAAGTCTACCTGGTTGCGGGCTGTGTCGACAACTTCGTCTAAGGCATCCCAGCTCGTCACCTTCTTCCTGTCATTCTCAAACGTCCACAGCAATGGCTGTAAGACTTGTATCCAGTTCCACTTTCTCTTTATTTTTGTGAGCTGTTTTTTGGTCATGGGATTCTCCCACATCAGACTCGACATGCCGGGCACCATGACTATCTTCTTGGACACATTCCAGCTTCGCAAGATCTCGAGTACTAGGTTGTCGGTATCTCCATGCAGCATCTTGGCCAGGTTGTTGGCATCGATGGGAGCCAGAACCAGCAGGTCAGCCCATTGACACAAGTCAAACGCCTCTTTNTCGATGTCAACCACGTCTCCGGTGGATTTCATATGTGTGCGCGACACATTAGGGATAGCGAGGCAGTTGTTGGAAGCGGCGATGAGGTCGGCACCATGCGAGCCAGGGTCCAGTACGGCCCTGACAGAACATTCGGGCAGCGATACGAGCTGTGGTAATAGTTTGGTGATGATATTGGCATCAGTACATCCAGTCGACGCCACGACTACATTCAGCGACCGAGGCGTCATGGCCTCGACTGTCTGTATGTCGGGCACAGTGATGGCGCTTCGTGCCATCGTAGTCGTGTAGTGGGTATAAGGGAGAGGTCGAGTTTGGACGAAAAACACATCCGTTTCGTCAAAAAGGCAAAAGGCGCATACAGTCGGCCTTTTCTTTTATGATTCCTGGCGTGACGTAGGGAACGTCGAACTGTCACGAGCTGGTTGCAGGAATCGAGAAACGATGTATCCTTGTCTTAGTCAAGTACTCGCGTGCCTTCCTGATCGGGTGGTTGTCATGCCTATACTGCACCGTACTCTCGAATCGACCAGCGATAAATCGAGGAGGCTTGTGTGCGTTATAGAAAAATTAGACTTGTTGTTCTGTTGCGGTAGCCGCTTGAGGCTCTTGATGACCGCCATTCCGAGGCCAATCGCAGGCCAAGACCCTGACCATCTCCGATCTTCGCCGATCTCATTGGTTCCTGCCTTGTTTCCCCTTTCCCCACACATCAACATCGAGATTGCTTTCATCCAAAGCCATCGACGACAACACATGCGGGTAACCAGCTCTTCTGCCTGCTTTCAGGCTGTGCTCAGATGTAAGTGATGGAGAGAACATCCTGACTACAAGACGGAACTCTTGGCTGAGCCCTCGGACGGCCATCGTACACCACATTACCTGGAAGCAAACATGGTTGTTGTTCGGGAGCATGAGATCCAGTCAATCACAGACCCGCATCTAGCTACAACCACTCTGCCTGTGCCATTGGATACGGACCTAGCGGCTTAAAGAGTTTTGATATAGCTTCATCACAGCCGCCATGATGCAAGATTCAGCTGGCTATACTGTCCACCTGTTGGCAAATGTAAGGACCTCATCATAAGGTATTGGGCGATCTGTCTCTGTCGCTTTTGATATTAGCACTTTCGTCGGGTTGGTATAAGAGATTCTGCATCCAATCAATCATCGTCTGATACTCTTCTTGGAGTCGAAATTTCCGATACTTTGGATCGAGACCAGCCGCCGTAACTAGCCGCGGCTCACTTGAACTCACATACAGCTAGTGGATACCACCTCTCAGTTATTATGTGGTCCGCCATGACTGTCCGTTAGTTCGAAAGACGCGCAAACAACATTTCAGGGCGCCATAGGCCATAGACGGGTTACCAAATACAAGAGCTTTGCACTGCAAATGTTGGTGAAGATCCACCATCCTGTGTCTTCCGTCTTTGGAACACTTCTGACCTGTCGTTCTCGCTGGACAATACGATCTATGAAGAAACCATGGATGAGGGCGCTATGTGGACCCTGTACGCCGGCCACGGTTGGCTCTCCAGCGCTGTACGCGGTCAACATCGTGTCTCAATAGCCATTACCTTGAAACTGTTCTTCAGTCGGCAGGGCATAAATATGATGCGGAATGCCCTCCTGTTGTCTGCTCTTCGCTTCATCAACATCATCGTTTTGTGCAACATCATTGTTACCATTGTCATCACTTTCACGCAGCAGCCTCGCATATACTGTCTTTTGGATTTAAACCATGAGTTTTGATTCTGGCATTGGAGATACCCCGGCGACAGCTGAACCTCCAGAGCTGCCGTTAGGCCGAGTTGACGAGCTGGCGTGGCAAATTACAGACATTTGGGACGAGTAAGTCTTTAGAACTTTAAGCGGAAGAGTATCGTTGACCCTACTGCAGTATAGAAGCCATGAAAGCCTGTATACAGGGGCAGCTGATCATGG